CAAAGACCAAATCTTTGGGGAGTGGGTTGGTCGCAGTTGCTATTGGCAGTGGAGTGAAAGAGAGCGACCTCTTTGGCTGAGAAATTTCACTTGGCAGAAAGGAAGGCAAGAGCAGGTTTCAAGGTTGCGATCTCCTCTTCTCGCCTCTAAAGTCCAAGATAATGGCACCCAGGTGGGACCGATTCGCTGTGCCATCGAAGCACAATGGAACCTAAAAATCATTAGCCTCAATGCGAAAAAATGATTTGAAGTTTTGGCTTAAATGAAACGAAGCAAGCCAAATTCTACTTGATCAGTCAATTATTATGATCACTGAAACACTGCAGCCTTGAAATATTTCCAGATGGTCCTTAATAAATAAAAGTTATTAATAAGAATTTCAACAAATCGAAAGAATTCACTTAAATCATGATAAAAACATCAAACATTGTCTTTTAAAAACTTGACTTAATACCATAATCGGATTAATACGATCAAGTTGCATAGGAAAACTATTAAAATTCCTTACTGGAAACGCTGCACTTGCATAGCTACATGTATTGAGGCACAAATTAACGATCTTGCACTTTGAACTTTAGCTGGGAGGCGATCTCAGTAATCGCTTAGCCACATAGTTACGACTTAAAATCCGCCAAGCCCAGACGTTCCCAAGAAAATAAATAATTTCCATCTGAAGCTTTTTGTGTGGGCATATTTCCTGCGTTATTTATTGTTGTGCGAGGGACCCTGGTGATAAGCACCTTGGTCTGGGCAGATATTTTGGCCAAGACAGTCAACCAACTCCGACTTACAAAACTAAAACCGAAAAAATGGTAAAAAAAAAAAAAAGAAAGCAAACCGCGAGTGCGAGTACAAAATACAAGACAAGAAGAAAACCAGTTCCTGAGCAAGTTTACTTTTAGTTGTTGTTACTGGCTTATAGCCTTGAATGTGCATTTCACGTTGTTGCTGGTTTTCAGTTTTTGGTTTTTGGCGCGCGCTCAGGAAAACATAAAAAACTGGTTGAAGCCACAGTTGGCCAAGTTTTCCCAAACCTCCTGGAAAAGCAAAAAAAAAAAAAAAACAAAACCACACAATTGATAGACAAGTGAAATGAGCAGCCAAAGAGAGCGAGAAATTCTGTAGTCTATAGCGGTTTATTTTGCACACGACTTACGGTTATTTTCTAATTACTTTCCAAGTAATTTGCATACACAGAAAGAAACACGGAGATTTCGTAACGAGGTAACTAGTTGGTCTGAATCATTATATTTTTTAGGTAGCTAACATTCTTGACTCTGTTGTTTGTCTTTTCTAAGAATGTGATATAAGCAATAAGTCTTATGGTATTATACTATAGGGTTTACTGTTAATATCATATCTTAAGATACTAAATACCCAATATATAAGTTAAGATATTAATTCTTTTAATAAAATACAGTTCTATATATACAATATGATTGGCGAAGCCACCATTTAGTTATGAAATAGTTATTTATTAATAAATTAAATAAGTCACTGAATGATCTTTTGAATACTTCATCACAATCAGTCATTTATTAATTAATGAAATCATTTACAGGGAATGCCCTTCCGGGTACTTTAGTACTATACTTCGGATTATCATAAAATACATCATTCACACTGATCGTGTCAGATGGAATGTGTGTTGCCAAAGGGGTTCTCCTCTTCTTATCAATTTTGCAAGTGACATAAGTTATTTTTAATGTTTTTTGAATAGATTACTGACAATCAATGATGTTGGACTTGCACCCAGCGATAAGCGCAAATGGGTTAAATAATATTGAATGCATGTATTTGACATTGTCAACTGAAACTGAGACAGATTGGTGGAAGTGAGTTATATTCCGCTGGAGAATTGAGTTCAGCAAGTCAATTGCCATTAACTGCAGCGGCCTTTCATTTAATTAAGGTCTAATTACAACTCCCCCAATCACTTGCACTCGAATTCTTGTTTTATCTTTATGATTCAGTCCCTTTGATTTTATTCCCACTCGAAAGTGATCAAAGTTCAAAGCACAGTTGAGATTGACTAATGCAACAAAAAATGGAAAATCATTTCAATATTTTCTCTTTTTTTAGGTATTTTGTTTAACATATATGTGCAATATTAAAATTCTGTCTAACTTCGACAATGAAAGTTCCACTTAAGGCACTTTGACTGTACACGCTTCATAAATGCTGACATAGCGATAAGATTTTATTTTGTAAAATCACAAAAATTCGTTCTAAATTCGCTTTATGGCCTTTTGATTGATCGGCAGGCGGTGTGTTCCGAAATAAAGCTGTGATTGATTGGCTCTTTGGCTAATTTTGAATGGGATTATGCATAGCTTACACTGGCCAAAAAGGGAAAGGGAGGCGGTTCGGTGAAACTTAAAATGGAAATATAAAGTACAGCGCACAAATTGCGCAAAATGCCAAAGAACGCCGCAGTTAAAACTCCAATAGGAACACAACAACAACAGCGGCAGCAGCCACACCGCCCAGCTGCAGTGCAGACATCTAATTGGAAAAAACAACAACAAAATGCAAAGATATAAACAAGTCCATGTGCCTTAGTGTGTTTGTACTGGTGTTCAAAGGGGAATGTAAAAAGAATTCAAAAATGGACCAACTGGGTCTCCAATAGGAACGGTATATCGCCCGCAGTTTGAAAGCCACTGAACGACTACTCCCCTATTGCTGTTGTTGCACTTTTCCTGCAGAGATCGGCATCTGTTTACACAGTCGGGACACTTGGGGCCGAAATAGTGAGAGCCCTGTTTATATATATTAAGATCATTTCAAAATTGTAGGATTTTAACTAGAAGAATAGATTACAGATTATTATTGTGTATAATGTTTATTGTCAATTGAAATGTAACACCACAATGTTCACGTCCAGTAAACAATTTAACCATTATTAAACGGTTTTTGTAATTTTCCGATACAATATAAGTTAATTTGAAATATTAAAGCACATTTAATGTTATTAGTGTAATTATTGAGATGGCCACAACTGTATGTAAATGGGCAGCTGCATTGGGGGCGTTGGCATTTTCCCCTCTTCGCAGCTTCGGATCTCTTTGCCTTTCTCCCGATCGCAAGCGATCAACTTGGCCTTGTTGATAGTCGTTGGCCTCTTGGCTGACCCGTTAAGTGTAATTGAATTTAAACGGCAATTGTCTTGCGAATGCCTTTAGTTTTATTGCCATTGCACTTTGCAAAATCACGGTTCGGTGCAGTGACTCTCAAACTTTCAAGCTTAACGGTGCCGCAGAATGGTTAAATGAACGAACGAGATGGTAGAACGTCAGAGCGAGACAGCAACTACACGAGCGGAATGCGGTTTAAAAATAAACCAAGCCCAGAGCGAGACAACTAGTCAGGAGAAGGGGTGGCAGGGGGCCAAAACGTGCTTTGGCTTAGACCCTATTTAGCCTAGTTTACGACTGGCCAAGACACAGCCCCGAAGAGAGCCTCCTGATTTAGACACCTGTGCACAAAGAGAGCGGTCGGGGTAAAAGGGGGAGGGCATCCCCATACCCATCGTTATGCTAATTTAAAACAGAACTACAGGCCAACCTCTTTAACAGGAACTCTTTTGATCAGCTCTTCTCTGAACATAGGAAACTCTTAATGTAAATTATAGTAACCTTCACATACTAAGAAAACTATAAATATAAAAACATTTTCGTTTCCTTTTGCATTTTTTATCTACACTACGTTCCCCTTAGCCAAGCTAGACTGTTTGGCTTCATATGACAGCTTGGCAGTTTTACGACCTGTTCGCACGCAACTTGACCAACTTGACCACAATGGATTGGCAGTAGATGGACGATCGGGAATGCCCTTTACCGTTCACAGTTTGGGAACCCTAGCGATATTATGCAACACCTTGCGCCGGTTTTATTGGCTTATAAAGTGGAGCATCGGACCGTAAAACATCCCATATTTTTTTAACGATCTTTTCTGCTCTCTTTCGATTCCGGTTTTATTTCATTTTACTTTTTGCTTACCTTTGACAGCCTCGTAGTATCCCAAATCCAGCGTGAATGATTTACGTTAATATCCTGGTGCACAAAAATATTATATATATTTATTCTCCTGATTTCTGGATGCCTTCTGCTTCTTCTTCTTGTTAAGCTTCTGCAATTAACATAAATTTCCGTATTTATTTGTTTTTTGCCGACTGTTTTCACTGCGATCTTTCTCCTCCTTTCGACTCTCTTCCCACTTTTTTTATTAACACACACACACACTAGAAAATCGAAAGATGCAGACGAAGATGGTTATAAAAAATAAGAGAACGCGAAAAGGAGGAGGAGAAGCAGGAATGAAGGAGGATGGGAAGAAGTAGAAGAAAAACCGGAAAGTTGTTTTTGTTGTTCGCCTATAAGCGGCGTTCTTTGGTTACAAAAACAAGCCGAAAAAGTGTTAAAATCAAAGAAATCTTAACGTTTTCTGCGTTTTTGGGGATTCTGTTTTAATTTATGCCAAAGAATTTTTGTCACTTGTTGCTGCTTTCGACCTTAATAACAAATTCCAATGCACACCAGTTGCTTTCACACGCAAAACCAGCTTTGTGGGTTTTCTTTTTTTTTTTTGGGTATTCGTTTTTTTTGTTTTTGGGGCAGTAATTAGAAATAGCCGCGTTTTAAGCACCGGTGCAACAACAACAGAAACAGCAATGGAATTTTCTAATTAGCACACAAACTACAACAAGAAGAGCGGCTTAAGAGAGCGAGAGCGAAAAAGAGAGAGTCGAAATGCTGATTACGTTTTACTTAATGGCTCGCTTGTTGTTTTTCTTTTTGCACGGCGTTATTTATTTTTCAGTTGTTAGCGGTTTTGGGATCCAACAGTCCGCGCGCACGTCTTGTCAATTCGCCGATCGAGAAAAAACTTACAGTCCCCATTCAAACTAGTTGGTTAAATGCTAGATTTTTTAACGCATTTCTATTCGCACGGTATTCTTCTTGTTGGCATCTACGGTCACACTGTTGGCGCTCTTTTATAATTATCGATGAATTTTAAAAACAAATATATCGAATTTTGCTTCATCTGAATATCTCATGCGTTTCCTCTTGTAACCCACATTTTAAGACTAACAGCTTATTTTAGTTGAAAAAACCGTGCTCTTTTAAAGAACGTGATTATCAATACAAAAAGTGAATAAATCCATGCGTGAACAAATCCATTTTATTTTTAATTGGATGATATATTCAACATTTTATTGTATATTTGCCGTGTATTGTTCTTCGAACATGTGAAAATACATTTAAAACAAATAGGGAATCAATAAAGATTCCGCGCTGATGATTTTTACCATGACGTCGATCAACGCTGGCAGTAACGTAAGCCTTTCCAGTCCTATATAAGGGGATCAAAAAACTGTTAATCACACAAACCAATACGGATCTTAATTGATCAATATCTCAACCTCTTCGAAAACTTAAAAATGATGCAAATCAAGTTTCTGTACACTTTCTTGGCTGTCTTGATCCTAGTTGTCCTGGGAGCCAACGATGTCGAAGCCGACTGTCTCTCCGGTCGTTACAGAGGTCCATGTGCCGTCTGGGATAATGAAACCTGCAGGCGTGTTTGCAGGGAGGAAGGACGGGTCAGTGGACATTGCAGTTCCAGGTTGCAATGCTGGTGCGAAGGATGTTAAGTCCAAAGATTAAAATCAACTAACTTCGATTCGAAAACCCATATATAATTCTGTTTTTTGTATGCACTCAAGAAAAATTACTCGTATAAAACTGTTTGCAAGAAATACTTTACTGTTTTAATGTTGATATATGGAACCTTACATTTCCTAAATGGGGAGGAAAATTAATTTTTTCCTTCACTTTTTGATGATGTATTAAATCAGCCCTAAAGTCTGTTATACCGAATGAGTAAATTATTTTTATCTTTTTGAGATAAATTTCACCACGACGACGCCTCTAGCTGTGAAATATACAGATCTTGCCCTATATATAAACCCTTCTGTACGTTGTTCAGCATCAATTTAACTTAAAAGCTTCTGAAACTTTTTATGAGATGTTGCCAGTGAAGGTATTCTCTGCTATCTTCATTATTTTAATGATGATTGTCCTGGGAGCCAAGGAGGCCGATGCGGATTGCCTTTCCGGAAGATTTAGGGGCGGCTGTGTCGTGTGGCGTAAGAAAAGGTGTGAAGATCTTTGCAGGCAGGAAGGACGAAGAGGAGGACACTGCAGTCCCAGTCTAAAATGTTGGTGCGAAGGATGCTAAAAACTGATCGAATGTTTTATAATAATTATTGTGATTTTAAAAAAATTATACAACAAAATCTTTTGATGTGTTTTTTTTTTAGGTTTCCAAAACGTTTAATTTTTTTTTTCTAAACATTTATTTGAGTAACCTTTATTTTATTCTTTCCAGATGCGAATAGCGTGCTCATATTGACTTAATCTTATTTAAAAATGTACTGAACTCTTTTGTGTTTCAATGAAAGCTTGTTTACAGATTTGTCATAACAAAATATTGACGATTGTTCATATTGTGGCGAGAATGATCAGCAGATAAGATTGATCAGCAGGTGCAGTTGCCGAAAGAAAAGAAACAATCAGCACGAAAGGAACCTTTAGCGTTTATTTAAACAGCAAAGTCTATTTTTGAATTTTTCATTTTTACCCATTTACCCATATCTTAATGCTTATAGAAATATGAAAATAAATAATAATAAATATAATATAGATGTCTATAATTCAAATGGCTCTTTTTGTTTTTCTTTTTATTTACGAGTCGAAATCTGAGCAACATAAGTTGAAAATTCCCGCCTTGTTGGCGGCAGAGCTGCCAGAAATTTACGGCTCAGACTTATTAAGTGGAACACTTTGGTCACATTAGGAGATCAAAGAAACAAAAACATGCCGAACTATTTTGTTTTCTTGGGGTTTTTCTTAACCCTAAGTAGCCAGCTTAACCTGTTGCTCGCTCTGAACGACAAAAACTGCGAGCATTTGCTGAAAGAACTTGGGGATGCCCAAAGCAAGTTCATCTACTGCGCCACCACAAAATCGGTGCCTGTGAATCTTTGTATTGGATGCGAAAATCTGTACCGGAGTCTCAGCAAAGACTATGAGAACCTTATAGCCAATGCCAACTGTTCCAAACTGTATCTAAACTCGGACAGGATCAACATAGTACCGACCACTCAGGGAATCCTCACCAGCCTCTGGCAAAAGGCCAACTGTGAAAGTGTGTATCCGAAAGTCCCAAGAAATCATGTGCATACTTTATTCATTTATGAATCACTTCCTTTGTTCTTTTTTAGATTGCTTCAAGGATAATTTTTTTCAAATATACGACCAAAATGCCATCGTTTTACAGACCTGCTTCAATAGAAGCACACAGGATGTGGTATGCCTTGAATGTAAACCCTTCTACATTGGCTTAAACGATTTCTATCTCAAAATGGAAGCAAAAGTCAGTGGAAATGTTTGCTTCGATCTGCAAGATAATGTAAGTTATCATAAATTTTTTTTTTTTTAATGATAATCACCATTGGCTTTTAAGATGAACCGCACTCGTCTGAATTGGTCAAAAACTCTAAATTGCTGCCAGCGCGAAGTCAAGCTGACGAACTTCCTCATTGCCGTGGGAGTAGTTGTCCTCCTGCCCATTTTCACCTTCTACATCACGGCGATTGTGGTGACTAAACGGCGAGAGGCTAATCACGGCTTGTTGAACGAGCAGGGTAAGCTAATCTTCTTTGTTTAAAAACTGTATTGTAATAATACTCATTTTAGAGCCCGAGCTGGATGCTCCTTCAACATCAAGGCTCATCACGGCTGCCCTACTGTCCACTCCAGTTGAAGATCCTGTTGTAGTCTCAGCCCGAACGGAAAAAATAGCCAATGTGTTGAGTGGAGTTGGAAATCATATATTGGACGATTCTGAAGAGAATGACTCTGAAGGACTGACGCAACCGGCAAAAAGCAGAACTGTTCACTACTCTGAGTCCAGTGATGACGAGCCACCATTGAGACCAAAGAAGGGGATTGGTAGTCCACCATCCGACGACTCAACCGATGATGAGCCTCTTGGAAAGGCCAAACGGGCGTAAAAGTAGCTGGGTAACATTTCTATTAAGGGGGAATCCCCGATATCTATGCTAGAATATGTAGTCATGAGACATCATAAGATCTTGGGAATCAACACCATCAGTCGAAGTTGATTTAATTTAGTTTCCAACTGTTTGTTCATTTAGCCCAAGCTTACTTACATATATTCCTTTCATTACTATGTATATCCTAGGTATCGTTGTCTTCGGCTAGTGCCTAACCAAATATCAGATATTTTTATATAACAAATATATAGCCATATGTGATATCACAATTAAACACGGATACATTTATATATTTATAATAAATATGAAAAGTTTTTAAATTTTTTTGTGATTTTGATAACGGATCTTAGATCCAGGATAATCAACAACTTTAGGTTAGCATTTTGTATGCACTTTATTGATGGCAAGTAAAACTGCACCTAAGCCTAGGAGTTTAAATCGAATTAATGCAAAAGAAGATCAGGGTCATCATGGAAAGGGCCCTTCCACCGGTTTTGGGTTCTAGCCTAGGATCTATCGTAACAATTAGATAACAATTAACAAAGGAAATGCATTGGCCGGTTTCGTTCGTGGTTCGACTTCGAAGATTTCCCTAATCCTAATTTATCCGTACGGAGCGTATAGATTGCCATGTGTGGACGAAGTCTGGTAGTGGACCAAACTCCCGTGGGTCTGGGGCGCCGGTTGGTAGTAGGCCTGGTGATAGTGCGAAGGCGGAGCCGGCTCATTCACCTGTATCTGGTGGTAGTTGGTGAACGGTTCGTGCTCGACCACCTCGCGAACAGTTTGGAATGGATGGTTGACCACAATACGGCGTTTGTGGAAGGTCTCGCTGGTGGCTGAAGCATCCGTCGGCGCCGCGGTGGCTGCAATGACACGCTCATTGGGTTTCAAATGGCCAGCGGCTCCATTAAGAGATACATCCACATCAGGCTGCGCTTTCGATTGTGATGGAGTGGCCTGGGTAGCTGAAACCTCTGAATTAGGTACTTCCATCAAGCGCTGAGACTTCTGCTCCCTCAACTCGGACCTTTGTTGCCCCTTATCGCAGTCCGGAGCAACTGTGGTCGCCACCACTGCCGATTTATCCTGGTCATTGGCGATTTGAATTTGGATATGGGTGTTGTGCTGCTCTTTCTTCGGCTTCTCCTCGCTGTTGGGAGCTTCCACCAACCTGGAAGACTTACTCTCCGCGTTGTACCTCACTTGAGGTGACTGAACCAGCCTGGATAATTGATTATCCGGGCTAAATCTCATCTGGGAATAGGGCGCACTGTAGTCTAGCTCCTCGGCAACCCTCTGTCTGGATGGCTGGTTGTAGTAGGCTCTAGGAGCTTGAGATTTCGCGTACACCACCGTGGGTCCAACGTGGCTCCTAAGATAGGGTTTGATCTCCGACACCTGGGCGGGTACCTCTTGGATTCTCCTCTCCTTAAGTGGAGTCTGACGACTACGTCCCAGGTAAATGTTGTGCTGTGATGGCGGCAGGTGGATCTTGTGCTCATGCTTAATGATCTGGGTGGGTCGCTCCTCCTCTTCAGCCAATTCCAATCGAGCTGGCTTTGCCTCAACACTTCCGGCGCTCACATTTGGCAGATATTCCCCGGAAAAATAGTCATCGTCCTCGTTATACGGCTGGCGATTGAAGTTGTTCCTCTGCTGGTAAACCCTTTGACCGGATCGAGAATAATCCTGCTCTGGTTCCGCCCTTTGGATCATTTTGGGTGAAAGGTGCTTTGAGTTTACCTTGACGGCGTTACCATTGGCGTCTACTGCAGATATAAAGTTAGGAGAGCTCTTTCCACCATCTGTGACGTCTCCCAAAGGCTGCTGCTGTTGCAATCGGGATTCAACAAACTCATCCTTGGGTGCCTGATCGTAGGAAGGCATTGTGGTCACACTGGAGCCTATCGTGGTGGTCTGCTGATCCTTAACAGCTGGAGCTGTATCGTAGGATGGCCTGTACTCCGGAACATTGTTGTTATATGTCTGCGTCTGGATCTGACCATTGTTGTTGTTACTGTATGCGGAAGCCACCGCGGGATGAGGGTGTCCCAGAGGCAGAAGAGTCTCTCCCTTGGGAATCTTGGCCACCGGGTGCTCCAGTTCCACTACCAAAGTTCCAGCCGGTTTGATGACCACCCTCTCCTCAATGTCGTAGAACTCCTTTTGAATGGCCGGATGACGCACCTCGTACTTCTTGGCTTTCAGAGCGGGTTGCACTATTTGAATTGTCTTCGTGACCAAGGGACGTTGTGGAGGAGTATATGCTCTCGGAGGAGCTGGTGGCAGGTAACCCGAGCCTCCTTGGTAGCCCGACTGGTCAGCATAGTCTTCGTAGCCCTGGCCATCATCTACTTCTGGTGGATATTGATCCTGGTAGTCCACCTCCTGGGCATCTTCGTAGTTAAAGCCACTAGGATCGTAGCTAGGGCGATTGTAACTGGTGGCTGGGTTAAAGCCGGATGAGGAATCATAGCCAGAAGATGGATCCGACGGTAGCGAGGGAGCTGCCGGAGCAGGAGCACTCGATGAAGAGGAGGAGCTGACACCTCCGGAGGATGACGAACTAGAGGAGCTCACAGCTGGTGCAATGCTGGCCGTTTGGATGGGCGCCTGAGGTGGCTCGTAGATGGGTTTGCTATCCTGTGCCGCCTCCACATTAGCACTCTGTCCCTGGCTGGGAACCGGAGCAGCCACCTGGCGCTCGAACATGCGCAGCTGCTGTGATCGATGACCTCCAATCGTAACCAATTTCTGAGGGGCAGCATCATCAGCGGATGAACTTACTCCGGAGTTGCTTTGAGTGTAGCGCTGAGGGGCAGGATTCGATGACTCGTAGACCTGGTAAATGATCAAGACTTCGTTACTCATTAGCTTCTAAAATCTTCCTTTCACTCACCGTCTCAACAGTGGGTCCTTGGCTGTGGTAGGACTGGATGTATCGCTCGAACTCCTGGTTTTGGCGTAGCTGCTGGTTTCGCTGTCGGAATTGGCCACTATGAGGACTCGGTGGCTGCTGGTGGAGCGAGGGGCGTCTGCTGTGGTTTCGTCGACGGGGCAGTCGTCCGGTCTTGGACATGGAAGGCTGACCCTGAGCAGGTGGCTGTAATCCCAATCCCTGGCGAGGAGACAGTTGCTGTGGTGATTGTTGCTGCTGGGTCTGAACCACCTGTTGCTGCTGTTGGGATAGGAGTTGCTGCTGGGATTGCGGCTGAGATTGCACCTGCTGCTGCCGCTCCTGGATGCGCTGAAACTGCTGATCGTCCCTCTGAGGACCTGCCCTCAATTCCGCTGGAGCATTACCCTCTACGTACTTAACATCCGCTGGATTGGTGGCCGGTTGCTGGGCAATCGAGATGTTTACGTGGGTGGCCGCATCCACTTGGCTCCAGGCCACCAGCAGAAGTACTAGCAGTCCTCGAAGCATCCTGATCCTGTCCAATCCGAAAACCAAAATCCAATATCCAAGTCCTATTTGTGAGTCCTATCACTGCTGACCGCCTCCAAAGCTGACCGCTGTCTGATCGATTAGTGGAGTGTGCTCCGCATATTTATACGGATTTCGGGTGGAATCGAAATTGGGGGAGCGATCGTAATCGCGATCAGTGTCAAAGTCAACTGCAGCATTGGGAATAGCAAAATCTACAATAGCTTCGATAGCTCCGATACTGACCTGGGCCAAACTGTTTAGGGATGAGTCTCAGATGCTTAACCCAGTTCTACAATTAAAGTCATTCGACCTGACGATGGAGCGATCGCATTTGATCGATGATGCATTCAACAAATTGCTGTCATCGCTTCACACTTGTGTGGCACGCACCAACACTGAGAGAAATTTGGCACTGTACTTAGAGCATATTTCTATAAATGGGATAAATTTATAATAACTTTAAAATTTATAAAACCTTTTATATTTCAATTTAAAATATAAGAAGAAACCTGTTATTAAAAATATAGTATACAGAACCATACATTTTCTAATTAAAGCTCCACATCTTGGGTATACTTTTTCTCCGCCTGATCGCGACTCCGAATTTCGATAGAATCCGTAGATGGGCAGTGCAGCATTTTCATGTAATTGTCGGAAGGTCGGAATCGCAGCGCTCCGCTGGCGACTTGTTTGAACTTGAAATCCAAGCCGAGACGTTGAACTGCACCGCTGGAGGAGCATATAGAGATCGGCCCCCCAATAGGTTAATGGATTCGGATTTTTTGGGGGTGCTGGTCAGGGAAACTTGCGCAATTGAAGTTTGGCGAACATTTGGCGAATACCACCACTTAAATTCAAAAAGAAGGTAAAGGTTAATGTGAAGTATTTCTGTTTTTCTGTAAACAAATTTACCACAAATAGAGTCAAAGTCAAATGTGGGGAAATAAAAAAAAACAAAGGGAAAAAAAAGTTATACCTAATATATTTTACTTTTACTTTTTAATTATTTATGGAAAAGTCAAACATGGTTTGAAAAATGTTAGACTCACACTAATCAATCGAGGTCCTTCGAATGATTAATGAAGTTTGAAATGAATGAAACCAATTTGGTCAACAAGTTTTTTAATTAGATCGTGTTCCCCTTTTAAGTTTAAGAACCCAATTAAAATATATATATTTTCAAAAAAGATTTGTATTTTCTACTCAATTCTGTCGTCCTATAATATTGAAATCACAACAAAATAAACTTCTGACTGAATCAACAAAAAACAGACCCCAAATTACAGTTTGTGAGGACCTGTAGAAGCTGTAACTGTGATGCCCTGGCAAGAATACGACGATTACATGAACGCCAAGATGCAGTGCATCCAATCTGCAGTCAATGTGGTCTGTAGCATTGCGGGATCGATCATGCCCATTCAACGGGGTCGTCGTAGCTCGGTAAGTGCGATTTCGATTCCAATTCCCAATCCAAATACGTGCCGTGCATCGCCAAAGACATATAGACATGGTGTGGTAACCACAAATAGCGTTTATTATGTTTGTGGGTGGGAATCAAAAACCAGTAAAAGAGTAGACAATATATATAACATGCGGTGCATGTGGCCAGCCACAAGACTATATGTGGCCAGGCGGGTACAAGCTAATGCTACGCGAAAAACACAGTCCATAAGGCAGCTAACATCTAGGGGACGCCTACAGCAGTTTCTCAATGTCCTTGGCTATGTCCATGGGATCGGTGGTCGGGGCATATCGGTTGACGGGGATGCCCTCCTTGTTAACCAGGAATTTGGTGAAGTTCCACTTGATTCCACTGCCCAGGGTTCCTGTCTGCTTGGCCTTCAGGTATTTGTACAAGGGCGCAGCGTTATCTCCATTCACATCGACCTGAGAGAAAGGCAAGTTATTAAAATGGCCAACTGCATTGGTATTTTGTATTACCTTAGCGAAGACCTCTCCAATATCAGCCTTGGAGTCGCGCAGATGGCACACCATAGCCTCGCCATCGGCCTCTGGCATCTGGGATCCAAACTGATTGCAAGGGAAGTTCAGGATCACCAGTCCGCTCTCGCCGTACTTCTCCTTCAGGTCCGTCAACTTCTGGTAGTTGTTCTTGGTCAGGCCACACTTTGAGGCAATGTTGACTACCAGGACGACCTTGCCCTTGTACTTGTCCAGGGAAATGTCATTTCCATGGGTATCCTTTACGGTGAACTCGTAAATCGAGGCGGCGTTCTTGTAATCTCCGTTAGCAGACATGTCGATCTGGAAGGAATGGAAAACGGGGAGTTAATTATTGTGGATTAGTTATGGGTTTTTAATAGAATGAGTCGATTTTATATAATATAATTTTTGTTTCTTTAAGTTCACTAAGCTCTATAACTGTGGTTACATTCCGCATTAAAATCGACCCATCCCACTTAGTATCTAAAAATGAACATAAAACAGAAAACATAGGCGAAGGCAAAAGGCAGAGGCGAAAACGTTTAGTTTGGCGTAGAGACAAGCAACTGAGTTAGTCAACGGATTAAGAACTAATCAACTGGCAGCACTACTCACGGCAGCAGCTGTGGAGTACTGGGCGGCTGAGGAGGCGGAAGTGACGGATGTGGCCGCACAGCTCACGGGAAGCAGGACGGTGCAGAGGCGAAGGCTCTGCTTCTGACCCTGACTCAACTCTAGGGCAGGGCCAATGGTCCGCCTGACTGAATAGCACCTGAGGGCCTGGCGGGAAATGTTCTGAAACTGCCTGAGACTCATACTTCAATCGCTGCAAATAACCAGGCAGAAATTTTAGATTACGAGGCGAAACAAGAGTTTGTCTAGGGTGAAAATGTTCTTGAAAACTGAACAAAATTTGGAAAAAGTTAAGAAGAGTACAAAAAAGTGACATTCAAAACAAGACTACAAATTTGAATTACGTGAAATATATGCCTCTAATGTTAGTAAACACAAATTTTCTCTGAAGAACCAACATAAGATATTGCGAAAAGTGTTAGACTTCTTAATAGCAATAAATATTTAGTTATTTAATAGATAAGATAATGAATAACACTATAAATACTACAAATCCATCAATTAGTGGACATCAATGTACTTTAAAATGGATCGAGGAAAACGTCATTGGAATAAATCCTATCAATGAAAATTACTCAAAATAAAATGGTTTTTTATATTAATAGCCCAATTTCGATTCCAAACCAACAACGTATTTATTACCTATCTTAGAAACAAGCCATTATCAGCATTTTTGATTATCTAGCTTTCATGAGTAATTATGATTAAGGAATTCTGAATTCCGACCGTATGTTTGGTATTTACGAGGTAATCATCAGCACCATTCCATATCCTAATCTTCCCGCCCTTGAACACTGGTCATAGTGACACTGCATAATTCAGCAGGGTCAAAGTCAAATCCAAGGCCTACAATTATTCTTGATGATTCAGGACTAGGTCACGCAATTGACCTTTAATCCGTTGAGGATTGGCCCACGTCACCGGACTCCCTGGCGTAGTTACTGACGCTCATTCCGCATGCAAGCTATTATACGCTTCGAGTTGATTTGACAGCAATTTGAAGAAGGTGGAGTTATTGTTCTGGGTAATTACTTGCATGGTAAAGTAGATGTACGAGCCTAGGGCAATTGCCACAGACCCGAAGAAAAAGTGCGCGATGGAACGGCCGGCCATTGTTCGTGTTTATATGTATGTAATTCGACTATATCTTCGATTTCACAACGATCTGCTCTGGTTTGTGGATGCAGGGATACAAATATAGAATGAGTATGTTGCGATTTTGCAAGCTCACGCTGATATATCCGAAAAATCGGGTGCAAAGTACAGTTCTGATTTCGATTATTTTTCCCTTTCTTATTGTCTGGTGGACCAGGTGCGCTTTTCGACTGATTTGATATGCTTTATCTTCGCAAAACACTTGTCGGTAGCTGGTTATTATTGTTTGGGCTTACTTATGTCGTAATATGAATGACTAATAGCACCTAGCACTTTCTTTCTTTCTTTCGTAAATAAAACTAGAGCCGGCGACTTGCGAAAACCCTATTATATATGTGTTGGTGCTTTTCCATAAAGTAGCTTTATTTTGTATTACCCATCTGGTCCCATTATAAGTGCGCTTTTTCAGGGCTGTCAGATTTGGTGCGGAAAAAGCTTTCTTTTCTACTTTTAAATCTCATGTTATGACCCGTTGCCAGTATTTCAAGACACTTTATAGTTTTTTACTGCTTATAATATAATATATTTCTGTTAAAGAAATGAATTATTTAATTCATTTATTGACATTTATTGTCAATTATACATTTAATTTAAAAAAATATGGTTAAGTTATATAAAACGCTTTCCAATTTAAAATAGGGGTAATCGCAGCCGGCGTTGCCATATCGCTATTTCAGACCCTTGCCAGACAGCCGGTTTTAGTATTTTCCACCCACACAGCAAACGGGCGCACCAATTTTCTTCTTTTTCCATTGTGCGTTTTTGTTATTGACAAGAAACAAATTATATCCGAAAATTCCAAGTGAAATGCAGTGCGAATTGCTTAGTATGTGCTCGTGTTAGTGAAGCGGAGAAAGAGAAAGCCAGCGAGCAGGAGCAGACACGCCCACGCCAGGCGCAACGCCCACCGCCGCAGGATACACATATACGCATAGGAAAACACTCACACAAACTCTTACACACACACACACAAAAGAGATCCCCGGGTGGTGAAAAGGGACCTCCAAAAATGATGCTCTCATCCATAAACAACTCCTTCGAGCAGGACACCCATGATGCGGACGCTAACTGCGATGGTCCCGACCTGGATTTCGTTTACTCCGATGTGGATGGCTACCAGAACGAGATTGCCGAGCTCTATAGCTACACGGAGTTCAGTGAATTCCAGATGAATGTGAAAGCCTTCGAGGATCAGATGGAGCTGTATGATCTGCCTCCTAACTGGCAGAAACAGGACTCTGCTGCCCAGCGGGGTATTGTGATGAAGCTGGTAGACCAACTAGAGGTTTCCGATCGATCCTTTCGCATGCAGGCCGCCCGGTGCATTTTGTATTTGGCTCAAGGTTGCTGGGCGGAGGTTCAATCGGACGAAGAACAGCACCAGATCACCCGAGACAATGTCCTCGTGCTCTACCAACTCGGCGTCTTTGCCTCCTTTATCGACCTGCTCAACATGGAGATTGAAAGTGCGTGTTCTCCAGACATTGTTGCCGTGAAGATCACCAACGTTACACTGGTGGACTCGACAGACATCCGCGTTATCCTTTCCGTGCTGTACATAATCACTGAGACGATTCGGGATGAGAGGGAACGAGGCAGCGAGGACTATAAAGAGCTGGCTGACTCATTTGTCCAGGAAATCAACTCCCCATTACCAGATGGCGAGCTCTTAGCCGTAAAGCTGCTGGGCATGATCACTCGGTTTTGTAGTGGAGCAGCTCCTCAATTCCCTATGAAGAAGGTCGTCCTCTTGCTTTGGAAAGTCTCACTACTAGGACTGGGCGGCATGGATGTGCTCAAGAATCTCAAGAACGAGTACCGGCTGAAGGTGGGACTGGAACCTATTACAGAGGACACTCTAGAAGTCACCAAGTGCATGAGAGCCAGCTCACCACCGGCCACAGCCACTGATATATTGGAAAACCAGTATCCAAAAAGGAACTTCAAGTAAGAAAAGTCTTATCTCGTTTTGGTACCCCCTTTAAACTTTTTTCCTTATCCACAGACGCTCTCTAATGAAGCAGCGCTTCCTAGACGAACCCGAGCAGATCGACATGGAAATGGGCGGCAATGAGGGTCAGGGCAATGCCAACAATGGCAGTGGTAATGGCGGGAACGGAGAGGAGGAGCTTTCTCAGTACTACAGGCCTTACGACGATCCCTCATCTTCAGCCTCCACCACCTCGACGGCCAACCCGAACAACCAGCCCAGCTTGACACAGCCTCCTGCTGCGGTACCTCCATTGCAGATCACCGCTCGCCTACCGTGGACGCCTAAGGTACGGCAGAAGGACATAGACCAATTTCTGGACATTTCACGAAACAAGTTCATTGGCTATTCACTGATCGGGGACCATGAGAGTCTGGCTGGACTGCCGCAACCCATTCACGAAGGTTTCAAGACGCTGCAGCGGCACATGTACATGAGTCTGGCCGATGTACAGATCAAGAAGGAAGAGGATATAGCCAGGAACCCCATCTCCACGCACGAGGATGAAATTAAGCTGACCCCGGCGGAGGTTCTGTATCAGGCAATCCTGCCCAACCTGCCGCAGTATATGATCGCTTTGCTCAAAGTTCTGCTAGCGGCATCGCCAACTTCCAAGTCCAAGACGGAAAGCATTAACATAATGGCCGACGTGCTGCCTAAGAAGATGCCCCTGACAGCCACGCAATCGACGAAGCTAACAGTTGATATCGGTCGGCACAAGGAAATCATTGTTAAGGCTGTCTCAGCTATTATTCTCCTTTATTTGAAGCACTTCAAAATTAATCACGTTTACCAGTTTGAGTTCATGTCGCAGCATCTGGTGTTTGCCAACTGCATCCCGCTGGTGTTGAAGTTCTTCAACCAGACAATCACAGAGTATGTGAACACCAAGAACTCCATTCCTCTGCTGGATTTCCCATCGTGCGTAATTGGCGAACAGCCGGATTTAAGTGGAGACAGCTTCGTTTACGGCGGGGAAATGTCTGACAAACCTTACTCTTGGCGAAACGTATTCTCCTGCATCAACTTGCTACGGATTCTAAACAAGCTGATCAAGTGGAAGCACTCACGAGTGATGATGCTAGTGGTCTTTAAGTCGGCACCTATCTTGAAAAAGACTCTTAAGGTTCGTCACGCCATGATGCAACTTTATGTGCTTAAGCTGCTCAAGATGCAGACCAAGTATTTGGGCCGCCAGTGGCGAAAATCAAATATGAAAACCATGAGTGCAATTTACGCCAAAGTCCGGCATCGTCTAAATGACGACTGGGCCTTTGGCAATGATCTGGAGTCGCGACCCTGGGACTTCCAGGCTGAGGAGTGCACGCTGCGGGCCTGCGTGGATCGATTCAACCTGCGACGCTATCCAGAGGCCACTCAGAAGTGTGGTAACAACGGCACAGCGGCACAGAATGCGGAAAACACCCAGCAATCCAATATGATGGCAGGCAACAATGGATGTGGCAATAATGGTGAGGCGAATGGCTATGGAAACAATGGAGGCGGAGGGAACGGCGGTCACAATCAGCAGCAGCAACAGCTCAACGATTATGGTGTAGAGGGTGGCTTTCCCAGCGACGAGATCCTCACCCATTCGGACTTTGCCTTTTTTGGCCACTCAGGCTGGTGGGACCGCAAGGTCGAGCTGACGGACTACTTTAAGGCAAACTATGCGGTCTGGCTGGAGGAGGAGGTCTATAACAGTCAAACCGACTGGGATGCTCTTTAGGACAGAGCAGCTATAGGTGAGTACTGTAACATGCAGTATCATGTGCATATTTTAGCTTAAACTTTCTTTTTTTTAAACATTTCTGATCAGCTAGCCTAACTGGCCTTGTAAGGATCAACATACGCATCATATAAACAAAAAAGTTATTACCATAATTGTAAGCATAAAGAAGTACATTGATATAATCCATGTAGCCCGACCACGATTGGAACACCAACTACTCACTGAATTGGCAATAATTGGAAAGCCAGAGGTCTCCGCTCCGCTCCTCTTCACTAACTATCATACGCGAATACCCCATACCGATGACAAGCCTGTATATTTAACGATTGTATTTTATAATTTATATATTTATTATTTGTCCTGTTTCACGAGACCCTTAAAACGGACCGCGGCAGTTGGCTTCTGTAGCGGAATAAACAAATTAACTAGTTTGAAAACGAAACTTGCGATTAGCTTGCGGTTAAATGTTTGTTTATTCGTATGTGTGTTTTGTTTCGCACAAGAAAAAATAGAATTCTATTAGGTCATAGTCTTAAAGCTAGGTTTAAATTTGGTAATTATACACTACGCGGTATTTACAAGGTGCATATATAAATATCCATTATATAGTACAATAACTTTTCGACTCCATAAAAACGCCCCACACCAAATGCCTCGTTGGGGTTTTGCAAAATTCCATGACGTAATAGTAAACAATACAATTATAATAGTTAGCACAGCTAAATATGAATTCCTGAACCGAGTTTCTTCATTTTACAATCTGGTTACAAGAGAATTCTCCACAAGAGAGACCATGTCACCCATAATAACTATCTTAATACGAAATAAAGACTAATTAATGAAGTTGCAATTTAGGGCGGGTCGATTTGAATTTATGGGAGAAGCTAGTTACTGTTTTTAAATATACCTTTGACATTTTTTGTTGGGCAAAAATAATGTTTCAAAACAATACTGAAATTTTCTTTGGACTTTGCGGCGGCTAAAATTTAATTTAGTTCTAAAATTTTTCTTCTAAAACCGGTTAAAATAGTCCAACAGATTGATATAGACGATATTTTTTGTCAATTAAAAAACGAACCACCCTAAGATTTACTTACAGCTACATCTTCTTAAACTTCAATAGGGTTTTTAGCCACGGTTCAGGGAAGTAATTTAAACAATTTTGAACCGTTAAATATCCTACTACTAGACAATATTCCTTTATTGTACACTGTTTCCGAGGAAAATTTATTGCTCCATGGGACAAGCCGTGTGCATTACGTTGTTATTGCTCGGACCCACGTAAAGCATACCGAATCGCTTTTGCTGCGGTGGACAAACGACTGGAGCAGGAACTGGAACCTCACAGCGCTCCTCGAAGTAGTGGACGATGCGCTGGAGGACAAATTTGAAGATCTTCTCCTTGGCAATCTCACCATTGAGGAATGTAATGTCCTTGCAGTCACGATATTCACTGAAGTTCTTCTCGTAATGTGGCCAAACACAGAGCTCAAAGTATCCCGTGACATCCGGAGGGTCGTAGGTTCGCTTGCTGCGTCGCGCGAAGCATTTTTCGTAGGGTAGGTGAAAGTGGTACTTGAGGTTACAAAGGGCCAGCAGCTCTGGCTGGTTGAATATCATGAATCCCTCGACCAGAAGGAAGTTGATCTTCTTGTCCCTCAGCTGGGCGGCAATTTGGGCATTGATTCGCATGATGTGCTGCTGCTGCTGTTGAATTTGGTGCTGATGGTGTTGCTGCTGGGAATGATGATGGTGATTATGTCGATGTTGCTGTTGGGGTACATATTGATAGGCTCCGCCGTTCGCCTGTTTGTAGTAGTTCGCATTGTAGTGGTACTGCTGCTGAAACTGCAGTGCATAGTGCTCAAAGTTGGCATAGGTTACCAACTGCTCAGGTGGCTCTGGGGCCACATGGCGCCCTTTGATGATGTGCGCAATATCGTTTAGCATCTTAGCCATATCCAGCGAAGTAATGAGTTCGAAATTAATGGCATTTAACGCCTCATTTCGTTGGTGACGCTTGTCCTCCACGGGTAAAAAGTAGTCATCCTGCGAGATCAGACGCACTTCGCCAATGGTGTACGGGGAGTTCCATAGCGGAGCTCCACTTAAACCCTTGAAGTAATCATGTAAACTGTGGGCTAAGGTCGTCTTGCCACCACAGGTGACACCCGAGATTCCAATGACCAACCACTGCGGCATGTTGACGTCGACTGGTTGTCGATCTTCCTTGTTTTGTCAGCAGAATCGTATGTTCGCACAGGGACTGATAACCCCTGGATAACCTCTTAGTCGCGTTTCACCCTCAGGCTCCAGATATGATAGAAGGAGAACGCGGCGATGCCGCCGAGGAAGATTACCCCGAACACAGTGGGTACTATGAAAGCGTATTTTAGCGGTGGAAAGAACAGCCGAATGGGATTACCTGTAAGACAGGAAAGGAAGAGTCAGTGAGGAATCGGCAAAGGATCTGTCGATTATTATTAATGAATTCGCAATTTGATCACTATGCTTTTCATTGACGTTTATAATCCATTTATATAGAACGGATTTAAGATTAGATTTGATATTTTTAGGCCTGTGTTAATGCAACAAATTAGATTGGTCACGATATCAAATTTCAGCAATTGTTTAGGTGAAAAATGTATACCTGGTTAGCGTAAAGCCTATTACCCAGGTAGGGCAAAACCAAAATCTATGAAACTGCAAACACAGCTAACTAGCTACAGTATATGACTGTAACGTCAACTTAAAACGGAAATTGTGTGATTTCAATGACAAATCGTTAAATAAATTCTCATTTTCATTGTTGATATTAAATCTCAAAGTAAATCAATTTTGAATGAAAACAACGTTTGCCATGTAAGTAAACCACAAGTGTGATTATATCAAATTCCAAAGTAAATTTGATTTTTTAAAGAACATTTTAAGGATAAACCCTTCGTGTAGATATATTGCAAAAAAACTTTAAAAATAAAATGGAAAAACATATTAAATATAATAAAACAATGGTGAAAATTAAATTTATAAAGGGTTTATATTTTAAAACCCAAGTTTTGGTTTTAAGCAACTGCGCATATAACCGGTGACTACTGTACTCCGCATCACTATTTGTGGGTGACCTTGACCCGAGCTTAGAGCCTCGTAAAGCGCATTCCAGGTAACCCCGGTTTCGGATGGAGACCTCTGTGGATCGGATGGTTTCCGCCCTCTTAGACCCTATTATATACGTAATGTGTACCTATATCGTGACCAATTTACGACGCGGCGTCACTTTAATTACTGCACAAAAGCGGCGCGAGATTATTCAATAAAACTTATAACCGAGAGAAAAACGGCCGACTTGTCTACGGCAAACTCACCTTCATCGATGAGCATAAACGGAAGGACGGCCACCCAGAAGAAGTAATAGAAGAAAACGGCGATTGCGGCTATCAAAATGATTTTTCCGAGTTGCGCATTCGAAGCCATAAATAGCTGATATTCTCGGAAATTCAGGGGTCTGTCGGGCGAAAAAACACGCGACCGGTAATTTCTGCGGAAGACTGCTCATGGGGCGTTCTCCCCGGGTGGACTGCTCCTCTGACCCGTAAAGCTTGTCTTTCTGGACAAATTACTAAATAATCCCAGTTCTCTTTTGAGATCCGTCGTGGAATTGTAAACAAAACAAACAAGTGCTCCAAAAATTGTCCGAATTCAAGGTGTAGAGCTGGGCTAACCACTGGCGATATAATCGATAAGTCGATTATTTAGTTTTAGTTTCGATAGTATAGTACCACAGACTTAATCTCCTTCGATCGATTTGTTTAGCATAGGTATTTTAAAGTAGCCTTTAAAAAAAATAAAATAGAAATATTAATGTCTTTAATAAATATGAATGGATATAACAACAATCGATGTTCTCACAGCTGTTCATATTAAAAATAATAACTGTTATCGATAGCAGAAGATAACAGAAATATACTACAAAATACTATTCAGATTTTTTTAAAAGTGGCCATTTCTGTGTTACTAACACATACCATTCATAAAAATACTAAACTACGCTATTTTGTAAACAAATAATTTTTAAATGATTTAAAAATGGTAAAGAAGGCGCAAATCAAGCGGCAGCCGTGGGTTAAGAACCTGTATTCGAACCGAGAATATCCAGACAATTACACGGACGCCAGCTTTTTAAAAGATCTCCGCACGAACCTGCATGTACGAATATACACGTTCAGTGAAGCAATTTCCGGCATAACGGTACTAAATAATCAGATATCCTGTATCACTGGCTTCCTGATACTATACCAACTGATGCTCAGCGACTGTGTGTCACCCACTACGATCCTAGTGCCCAGTTGCGGGGTCACTGGTCTTGGATATCTGTGCTACAGAGGAAGGAGCATCAGCTGGGCGCTGCTAAGAGAGGATTCCAAAACCCTCGTCACTGTGGTCCTATTCGGTTACCTGTTCTCACCGATGCTACACACTCTTACTCAGGCCATCAGCACGGACACTATATACACGATGACCTTCTTTGTCCTGTTGGGAAATCTTATCTTTGGGCACTATGGCCTGGATGTGGCCATGGTCTCCAAGGTAGTGATTATATCCATCATCACATTATGCACATTACTAATATTTTTATCCACTTCTATGTGATCCCAGGCCATATCTCTGAATGCTGCCATATTTGGAGCCATTTGCCTGGCCTCCCGCCTTCCGACTTCGTACCATGCATTCGTGCTCCTCGTCGAGGCCGCCGTCTTCTTTGTACTGTACCCCATTATGACGGAGGCAAGCTGGCATGCTGTATTCATGGTGCCCATCTTCGCAATATGCTGTCTAGCCCTGTACTGGATATCGCGGCCTGTACTTTATCTCTACGCCTCCACCACTGTCTTCATCAACTTTGTCTGCCCGTTAATATTCGTGTGGCAGCAGCAGTACAAGTTCAACATTCACGGACCCTGGGACGAGGCTATCGTGGAGGAGAACACCGAACAGAATCTGGACGATAACTTATAGCGACAGCTCCGCTTCTCAGATCAGCTGCTGCCACGACCAGGGGGCGGCGATATCGGGGAGCATTCCATAACCAATCACTAAGCCATTGCACGCTTTTTTGTATAACTCTGTAAATGTCTTTCTCTTCTTTGGAATCATTCCAAGCTATTTTCAATGTTGATTTTTTTTAATCTGTTATGTCTTTCTAGCTTTACATTATGTGTTTAATAAATTATATATATGAATATGAGTCGTTTAATAAGAGGAAATTTATTCATATGTCTTGAAAGATTTATATGTTAATCCCACTCCCACCTTATAAAGCATTTCAAGCCTATTTAATTAATAGGCAAGTCGATACACCTCGAGCTGTTATAGCAATTGATTCCGGTTTTTATAGATTTATGTTATTTTACATTTACGTTTGATTATCATTTTTCAAACGAACTAATGAAATTTCATAACCTTTAACTGACTTGTTATTAAAATGTTTAATGCAATTCCGTTGTGGTAAAAACTTGTTCATTTAAAAAAATACAATAATTTAGAACTAGTAATAGCGTGTTATTTCCCATTTATGTAAGCCCTTATTTATGACAATAATGTACTAAATTTTGGCTATAATTAATAGGAAATATTAAAAAGATGTTAAAACAAAAACCTACATAACAAAAATATATCAATTTCAACAGTTTAAACCATATTGTTATACTATCACTGGGAATAATCATCTTAAAATAACTGGCGATCAATCCAATTAGGTAATTAAAACTAAGAAAAATGATTGATTGATTAGCTAACCAAAGAAATGGGGCTAATAATTGCCAAGTAATAGTTTCGAAAGAATTTGAGCAGGGATTTCTCCAAAGGTACTACAAGGTAATTAACTTTAATGTTTGATACGGTTAAAAATAAATCAGGTTGCGGTTGAAACTGGTTTCGTAGATAACAATTAAACTTTGAGAATCGCACACAATGTAGTTTTTCGACCTAACGTAATGCAAATATATGCAATTTTTTAATAAGTAGTAATATATTAAATATGGATGACTGACATTATTATTAAAGGGTTTTCCAGTAAACCAATGAATCACAGTTCAAACTATCGTTGTATATATCGTTTTTCCGGCACAGCAGTTGTATACCAAATTATAATTATTTTATAATCTTTCAAACTACCCCAACAAATTCTAAAGTGTGCCGTATCACAGTTAACGATTCCAGAGAAAGACATCATATCATTCGCCAATAGGGTCTGTATTATGAAGCGTACGATTATCTGCAATTTGTTTTGCTTTGTGTATATTGCATTGTCGAGGCTTATCAATCAAACACCTTTAAACCTGATATATGAAAATCGATCAAATTCGATTATATACTCAATTAGCCGAAGATTAAATGTAAGGTCGCAGTTAATTTTAATGCTTTTAGTGCTTTGCACCTTTAAACTCCCGAATTAATGAGTTTGATTTAAAATTGTGAGAAAGTCCAGAATAATAACAGTGAAGTTTCGTTGCAATAATATATGTATGTATTTGTAGTTCTTAACCAATTCTACAATTGCATTATAGTAGTTTTAATGCGATTTGGAGCAACGAGTTTCGGGAATGCGTTTTAACATCCTTCACACCAGCATTTCAGACTGGGACTGCAGTGACCACTGACTCGTCCCTCCTCTTTGCAAATACGACGGCAAGTCTCGTTATCCCAGACGGCACAAGGACCTCCGTACTTCCCAGATAGACAGTCGGCCTCGGCTTCCTTGGCGCCCAGGATGAAAACGGTCATCAGGGCCAGGAAAAAGTACAGGAACTTAATCTTCATCTTGTCGATTTTCAGAGATATTTAAATAAATTTAAATAAAGTACTGATGAGTTCAGATCCCCATAGGGCGCTTATATAGGGTCGTGATCTCTCTGCCAGCGTCCACGTCGAGTTGTCAAAAATGATTAGATAATAAGTTGAGTATATTTGCTAGAGACTGCCTATTTTACAGCATGAATAAATCCCTAATAAAACAAAAGAGAACAGTTTGTAATCTATAAAACAACTTGGTCATTGTTAAAGTATAAAATCTAAATCTAAATAAAAAATAAGACTTTGTTAGAGAACCTCAATGCCTGTGCACAGTCCGGTTTTAGCTTATGGAGACATTGCTCATAAATTTTCTATTGACAATATTGGACAGTTTTATGAAGAAGTTTGCATTCGATCAGAACATAAATAAACAATAACTTTTAATACACCTAGAAAATATTAGGATTTTTATTTTACTTTACTATTAACACATAGTTAGCATTGACTATTGATATTGTTATTTTATTGGCCAATTTGATTAATATTTTTATGTGTATATGGGAAATAGTGAGTATATGAGAACTAGAAACTTGTTAAAATGGGTTAATTAATGAATCAGGTAGTCGTACGACCGTGGGGTAATCTAATGAAAACTAGTCTCAAAAACCCAACTTTATTGATTCGAATATCAACGAATGTAGAATAATCAGTATTACATTTTTTTTAATAAAATGTAAATTTGTATTTTTCAACGCTTGACATAGAATACGGATATTAATTGCTCATGAGGGGTGTAAGTACAAAAAAAAATAATATGTTTAATTTTAATGGGCTTCTTTTCATAAAACCATTATTAACTGTCGGTCAATTTTTAAAATAGCTCTATATAACTATTACCAACTTCCTAGATTTTATAGATTGAGATGCAGAGGTATTAGCTATCCTACGGAAAGATGGACATGGCAAGGAATCTTTTTCAAAATACGCATTCTGCTACGTATTGCACTTTAAGATGAAACAGAATAAGACAAAAGGACTTTAAAATACTAGTTAAAAGATATAGGCTATTCCTTGATATATATATTTTTTATTTATTTGAAAGTGCGATACAAAATGTATAAAGTACACATGATGAATGTCAAGTTATAAAAGCACTTTCAGAGGGGAGCTGTCTTAGCATCCTTCGCACCAACACTTCAGGCTAGCACTGCAATGTCCGCTGACTCTTCCTTCTTCCCTGCAGATACGTCGACACTGCTCTCCATCCCAAGCCCAGCATGGACCACTGAATACTCCAGATGCACAATCATAGGCATCGGCCGTAGTGGCAACCATGAGAACGATGGCAAAAAGAACGATTATATAAGACAGTACGAATTTGAACTGCTTCGCCATTTTTAGTAACACTTTCTGGTTAGATTGTTTACTTAAAAGTTTCTTCAACGTACATGGCGCTTATATAGGCCCAGAATCTCTCTGCTAAGAAAATGTTAATTAGTGCAATTTACCTTTTGCTTAAGCAGGTGGATGGATGCATTGTTCGACGAACATGTTAGCTTCCACATTTTGTGCCCGGAGTTTTCTTCGACAGAGATAGAAAGTTATTTTATCTTGGCATTGTTCGTTCGAACAAGTTTGAAAGTAGATGGCAATGATCTCACGAACATTCATTTAAAAAAAGCATACTCTCGGGGTTTTTAAATTTAAAGATTTAATAAAAAAAATTTGTAAAATAGTTGTTTTTTAAAGATATTGTTGTCAAATGGTTAACAAGATAACAAGGGTACATCAAAAAATTTTAAAAAGAGAAATTTTTAGTAAGCGCTTTGTCTAAAAATTAGTCTCGATAATCGTATTTCAGTAATAATAAATTGTTTTGTGGTGTTGTGCTATATATTTTATTTGATATTTATATGTGTGCACAATTCAAAGACTTGCTTCAGCATTCTTCGCACCAGCACATCAACCCGGCACTGCAATGTCCACTGACGCGTCCTTCTTCCTTGCACAGGCGTCTACACTGCTCTCCATCCCAAGCGAAACAGGGGCCACTAAATTTTCCAGAAGGGCAATCGGTGGCATCTGCCATGTTGGCGGCCAGGACAAAAATTGTCATTACAGCCATGAATACAAAAAAGAATTTCATCTGCACCATTGTAAGCGATATTCTTGTGCTTTACTTGAGTTACCGACAACGTTTGGTCTCGACAATTTATAACAAGGTTTATATAGGGTCTACACCCCATTGTCTTTATAGTAATCTCCTGAAATATATTGTTGACTCCATCAGTGTTCCAACATCCTTTGTGTTTGTATTTGCGACTACCTTCTAGGTAAGATAAGTAACTTTGTTTATGTAAAAAATAAAGAAAAATTTACATTTGTTCATAGTCACTGCAAGATTGTAGTGTTTTCTTTGCCACCTCAGAAAAAGTTTATGAATTGAGATTACCAGTTAATAGATATGACGTATGGTATTGTCATATTTACTAGTTTAGGGGAGTTTGGAATTGATATATACCTTCAACATATGTTTAAATACATGTTGACAGCTTATAACCCTCAAAACACATATAGCAAACTAACTTGGGCTGATTATGTTTGGCGTTTATTTACAAACATATACAGGTGAAAATTAATGCAGATCATAAAATAATACATGATGTTTGCATTAAATGTATAGTCATTATAAAGTTCGATACGATTAAAATTAAATAGAAACTAGATTATCGGTTGTGGTAAAAACACTTCTTTTTACAGATAGCATTACAACTACTAAGATTAAGGGACTATGCCTAACCATACACAAACACAAATGCGTATATACCTATGTATTTTGTAAACTGTCTTTAGTCATTTGCTAATCCGTAGGTAACTATTGAATACAATAATTTATTTCACGCATGTATAAACTTTCTCAAAATGTAAAAAACGTAGTACATATGTATTCTCTGTTGGTTGGGCTCACTTATCGACTTAAACTAATGCAATTAACTACAATCGAATAGGTTTAACATACTATATAGTATATGAATGACATCCTTATTAACTGCATGTTCCTTTAAACTTTGTGTCCTTTGCACTAATATATAATTGTGTTTTTTTCTTTTTTGATTTTACTTTAATTAAACTAACTCAGTGGGCAGCCCACTGCTCTCATCCCACTATCATTTATGCCTAAATTCCTCTAAGAACAAATAATGATACAAACACTAAAAACACGAACGCTGCACCATGGCAGACCAGTCTCCATTGCAGCGGTTTGCACAATTAATGTTAAACTAGGCTTCTAATTAGAGGGCCACCTCATCGCCATTTCTGGTGGTTAGGGGTGACACCTGCTCCTGATACTGCTGTTCGGCCTGCAACTGAAGCTCCCGTCGCCGCTGGGCAGTCACCGACAGGCCGAGATTGCCATCCACCTGTGCGCTGGAAGCCACTTGGTTGTTGGCGCTTGGCTCGTACATTATATCACTTATTGATGTTGTTGCTGCTGCTGTTGTGGCGGCTGTTGTTGTTGCGGTTGCGGTTTCCGTTTTGGTCGTGGCAAAGTGTACATGTTGTTGCGCCTGTTGTGGCTGTCGTCAGACCAAATCGCTCTTCGGCGTTGATGTCGCTCCTATCGCTGCCATAGGCGCTCCTGCGCTAATACCGCCAGGGGCTCCCTGATTGGCGCTGGACGTTGTGTCCAGAAGGGAACCCGCCTCCAAATCGCCAGCCTGACGAGCGGCATTGCGCTGGCGACACAAGTACGGAGAGTTGGTGGGTGAAGGTAGTTGGTTCTGTAATTTAAGTTCATATTTCATTACACAATTATCCTTTTCAGGCATCGACAATTTTAACTCACCAATTTGTTGTTGTTTTGGCAGCAGGTGGCCTTGACACATCCCTCATCCGTGGTGGGACAGTCCAGGGCGCAGCAGTCGGAGCCACTCATGTTAATGCTGGAGGTACCATCGGACATATTGCAGCCTTCGATCTCGCTGAACTCTGGCTGGATGGTGGTTGAGTGGATACCTTCGTTGTGGAAGAACTCTTTCACCTTTTCGGCAATCTTCATGTATTCCGACAGATTGCGGCACCTAAAAGGATAATAGCATACGGATTAGATGGTAAAACATTCCGAAAGAAAGGTAAAGCCTTACCTTATATGAGCAGAGGCAATGATGCGGTCGCCGGCCAGCTGCCAGACATGGAACTCGTGCACAGCAAGCACTCCATCAACTTTCTCAAGAAGCCTTTTCTGGATGGCGTCCACTTGAATGTGCGTAGGCACCGTTTGGAGCAAGATCAGAGCAGACTCGCGGAGCAATGGCCAAACTGAGTGCAAGATCAGCACCACCAAAACGATGGACAGAGCGGGATCCATATAGTAGCGATACTTCCACTCTGTTTTCCACACAACCACAGCACTAATGACTACAATGATGCTGCCGAGGGCATCGCTCAAAACGTGCAGAAAGGCACCGCGCATGTTCATCGAGCCGGGATCGTGGCTGTGTCCGTGGCTAGATTTCTTCACCGGTGGCTTCTCCTTCTGCTTCTCGTAGGCAAAGTCGTTTTGCTCATCCTCGCCCTCATCCATGTTGGCCAACTCTGTGAGGCGGCTGTGGTTGCGTGTAAGTCCGCCGCCATGTGAGTGTCCATGGTGACCGCCGTGCTCTGTAGTAAAGTATTAGTTATAGGAGGGTATCTTTGTAATTTTAATGGTTGTTCTTACCGTAGAGCAGACACAGTCCAATCAAATTCACTACCAGACCCAAAGCTCCCACGATTACCAACAGCTCGGGCTCGTGAATAGGTTCCTCCTCGATGAACCTGTAACATTATCATTATCAGTCAATTATTTTCATGAGTTTTCTATTCAATTTTTTATAAAGTCAGTAAGCGCTTTCGCTATCAATAATCAAAATTATCAGCTAGACTTTTAAAGGCCGTTTACTTTAGATCAGATGATTAAATTGTTTAATCTTGTTTGATTATTTTTCTGGCAGTGTAGCTGTCGTCTCCAGGGTATCAGTAGTTGTTGGCAACAGCTTCACCTCGTAAAGCTTTCAATAAATATGCGCAAATTGCGTTCGGAATGTAAATTAATAAAGTGGTATAATTCACAAAACCCAAAGCACATATATAGACGGTAAGGTGGCAGTAAAATCCGAACAACAAATTTACTCACAGACGGAATCGACTGAGGCAAGAAAATTTAAACAAATCACGTTAGCACTTGTCGATGTCAAGGGGAGCTTATTGGCCGTAATAAGGCTTATTGCTCACAGAACTCAGAGCAACTGGGTTTGGGTGCAGATCGTTGATCCGTAATTAGTCTCATTATAAATCAAAGAAAAATCTGTTTTGATATTGACGATGAATTACAAGAATGCAAATTGTAAAACTCAAGTTTTTACTATTTTTGATTTTAAAAGTCTTAAAACGTAGTAAAAATTTGTTTTGGAAATTTGAGCTTTTTGAGATAAGTTTTGTTTGTTTGATTCGTTTGCAAAGCAAAGAAGAACCGTTTTGGAATTTTTTATTTTTTATCAAAATGAACAAACAAAACCGATTGGCAAAAGTAAGCTGAAGCCATCATTTAAGACTTTCTGGGTTTGTTTGTGTTTTTATTTAGATGAAGCCGATGCTGACACAGAATAAACGATGGCTTTAGAAGATTTTTTTGAATTAAACAAGAAAAGCTGAAAATTGTTCCTACATTTGATTGGTCACTCACCTTTTGCAGGCCTCGATGGTGATGCTGAAGCAGAGGGCCACCAGGAAAACGGCGTTGACCAAAGCACCCAAAACCTCAGCCCTGGCCCAGCCGAAGGTGTTCTTAGACCACTTTTTCGGTGACATCTGTCAAGATAGGGAGTTGCGTGAGTGATTTAAGTTATGTTTTGAGTTAGACGACAGGGACTTACCTTGACGGACAGAAAAGATATGACCAGGGCGGCAATGTCGCCCAACATGTGGAAACTATCGGCCACCAAAGCCATCGAATTGGTCACATAGCCCACTATGATCTCCACAAAGAAGAAGAACGCCGTAAGCCACATCATCGAAAGCAGTCGGCATTTTTTGCCCGAGTACTTGGCCATTTTGGAGAAGCTGCAGGAAAAACAAACAAAGGATGAATTATGGTATAATAAACTAGGAAGTTATAGAATTTTATATTACAAATATTGAGTCATGGTAACCGTTGTCCATGAAAAGTGTTTCCCCACATTTTATTTACCAAAGAAAGCCCAAATTGGACTTGAAGAAGCATGGGTGTTTTTTTATTGCCCCGACCCATAAATATTCCCTCAATATGGCTTTCGAAATATCAATCAGTTGGCTTCCAGTTCATTCAACCGCTTTTTTATGCAGTCAACAAATCGCCTGCAATGTGCCAAGCTCTGAAATTGTTATTGCACTAAAAACAAAAAACAAAAAACACTGAGACACGCACGCCCAAACAAATTACCAACAAATTGAGTTTTTCAATTGTTTTCCATTGTTGCTGCTCGAACAGTTTTCCATTTAGCCTTTTGTTTAGGCAAAAGTTTTAGTGCCCCTACATCATTTAGGGATTTAATTGAAACCGGGTATCAGGGGAAAATGAACACAGTTTAGGGGTCTGAAAAAGGTGCTTGGCGATGGTTATGTATTGTCCAAGTTTCGGTTGAGTAGCTCCTTGTGATTTCCATATACTCGTATCCGACTTACGCGAAGAACTGCATTTCGGGCTGGAAGAGTTTGGTTTACTGTTGCTCCTCCGGCACTGAAATACCTTATGGCTGGCTTTGTTTCAGATCAGGTATGGCTTGCCAGCCCTCGAATGCGATGTGTAAGTAAACAAAAACAGGCAACATTTTCAACTGAATCGACAGCGAATGAAAGTGTATCGGCATCGGTCGAAGTCCCCCTGGTTGCCAGGCGAAATCGGGCAATAATGTCTGGGCTTACGGGGTGGTAAATACAGAAGGGTGACGTTTCTTTTTTCATTCTGCTGCTGTGGCGACGCGACGGGCAAGAAAACAATTGGCATTTTCGACTAAAAGCACAAAAACTATTGCCCATTGGTCAAGCCACGAGCAAAGGAATTGAAGAGCACCAAGAACAAATACTAGACAACATCATGAATCGAATTCTCTATTCCAGATGGTTCTGGGCTGTGAGTCAAGTGCTCAAAATAATAGTCAAGTATTTAGTCATTCTATGATCGAAGCTTTCTAAGCTTAAGCGTTGAGCAAGCAAAAATATACACAAATTGGAATACAATCTAACATTCCTTCATTCAAAATAGACGGTCAATACCTTAAATCTTTCTGCTATGTAGGAGTTCTCAGTTCTAGCATCTGCTATCAAGCACACTCCACTGTACGGGAATCCTCATTCACCACCAGCATATTCCCGCCTAACAATCGCCAAAACGATTACACAATCTCCTCGTGTTGCTGTTATCTCGCCCAGCCCCTTCTTTCCGCCGACTTTTAGAATGCTCGGCACACGAGACGCCAAATACAAAGGCGCTTTTTGCATTTTGATATTTATCTACGCCGCACCGCCCCATACACCCACCCATCTCCCCAAAGCGATCCTATCGCATGGGTACCGTGCGCAGTAATACCAATAAACGCGTACCGCACTCACAGCCCGATCTTCTGGGTCCACGTATTTACATCTTCTCCATATGCGAATCGCTACATATGACTAAACTAGATAAACACGAACGATAAGCCGGCGGCGGGCGGTTATATTTGGCAGCCTGTGCGCAAAAAGCAAACAACCGCCGCTTATCGGATGAACAGAAAAAGCCAAAAAGAGGCAAGGAAATGGGTCTGATTGGAAGGGATGAGCTACTCGAGACCAGCAGTCATCGGTGCATGCAATGTAGGCTACTTTGTAAGATAGCCAAATATTTATAGGCGAGCAAATAGGCGAGTAATCGTATTTTATTAGGGTTTCCCCTCGGGTGCACTCAACTTGATACTTTAACAAAAACTTTTAAGTTAAATTCCACGATTGGAATTGTATTGGAATCACAACAATATCGAATATCATTCAGGGCCTAGGCGGTTCTGCTTGGAAAAATAGACATTAAAGAAGAACTCAATTGGAACAACAAGGCAAAACTTGATTTGAAAATCGATTGATATCAATATCCAATGAAACGTATTTAGAGTTGGGAATCTTTACCAAAAAGGTACTAACTAACTAACTAACTTCTAACTATTTATATATTAGACATTCAACTTTATTTTTCAAGTGTATCATAGATATACAATAACATTCGCCCACGATCTTTAAGGAAATGATACAATCGAACAAGCGCAGTGCGCACCAAGCGAATTAATCTAGAATCAACAATGAGCAATGAAAGAAAATGAGCTGAATCACAACTTACATGTGGCGAATGCAATCCAAGGAAAATGTTAATAATGGAAATTATATATAGATATATTGGGGAGGAGCGTGCGGGAAACCTCGTCCGTTCACACACGAATGAGCACTGCCCGAATGCCCGAGCCAAATGGCCCTACCTGGCCTTTACCCGTTTCCACAGGCATTTGTATACAGGTACCACATCGCAGATAGGGACTGTTGGCCTGGCCAACAAAGTGGTCAACTGGCGCGGCTTAAAATGTGTCACTTGCAGCTGATAGCCGCCACACAATACCCACCGATAGTCACCTTCGCCCCGCAGAGCTCTTAAGCCCTCCAGGCAGCCCGCGATAGGTGAACGTGATCCGCATAAATGGGACGAACAGGTCCCCAAAAACTACCAAACTATGGACAAGCCATTGATGAAATATCAGAGACTCTTTCACGGCTCTTGGCTGACCAAATATTTTGCCATTTACGGCGGTCTGTGTTGTCACAGCCATCAAGTGAATGAAGAGCGTTGATTTTAAAGCTCTTGGTCAAAAAGGTTGCCCGAAACGATGGTATTTACAAGATTTAGTCCTACAGATTTCTAAACTATTTCGTTAGCAACCAATCTATGATACTATATCAGCTCAGATCAGCTTTTTTAGAACTCTTAAAGTGTGTTATGTAAACTTTCTGTTTGAACAACTAATAATACCTCTTGATTTATTATACTTAGTATCCTCAACAAAATATTTTATTTTGACTTGAATAACTTGTCATATAACTTATTGATAGTATTTCCCTTTAGTGACATTGGGCCCTGCAACTTGGCCTTGGCTATATGAGTACGTGATGTGCTCTACAGCAATTTATATATGATAAAATCCGAACAAGCAACAAATCTAAAAGGAAATTTTGAATGTTTATTTTAAGTTTCCGGCTTGTCTGGGCTTTGCTCAAGGACTTTTAGAGGGGAAAGGGGCTATATATATAGTACTATATATATATACTCCTAAGTAAAGAGCACGTGACATGCGTGGCCTACGCAATTAATTCGAACCATTTAACATGCAGCTCACAGTCGACTGATTCAAAGTACGAATTTGTTAGATCGGATGGAGACTGACTGTATGAATGTGAATGCGCTGGCATGTAAAACATATGCACTCTCGGCTAGCAAAACTGGGCTACAAATATTCTAGGTCAGGTGGTTTAATTGGCCTCTCCAGATCCAGTTGCACTGAACAACGGTTATTCTCCGCCCAATTGCCCCCAGGCGGACAGCTGGGATTCGGCGGTGGTGTTTAACAGTATTTGGGTTACTAAGCCAAATGTTGGTCGCTCTAAAACAAAAAGACGACTTGGCCAGCATTGAGTTTCGTCTAGCTCAGCGATAAGACACTTTCGGGTGATAAGCGGATATCGATCGCTTATGCATGGAATGTGTTGTACAAAGTACTCGAAAGTACTAATTCAGATAAGCTAAATGAATTGTGCCGGTGATTTATTGATCAGAAATTTGAGGAAAGATTTATTAAGCAGGAATTAAAGTAATTTTGAGATTGTAATTTTATTACTTTAATATGAAGTGTGGCAAGCACTGAGGGAAATTCTAAGTAGAGACACCGCCAGAAAGTTCTAGTTTAAGCAAAATTGTTGATGATAAAACTATATCCGAATACTACTCGTAAAGCCCAACCTAGCTGCATATCGCTCACTCGAAGGTAAATGTACATTATTCACGACATTTAAAAGCAAAAAGGCAATCAAATAATTATTTTAATGGCAAAAATTGCAGTTGACCCACAAACGGCAGAGCAAACGAAAAATAATCATTTGTTCTCCCCGACGACAACGTGGCGACGATTAACCCGATTCTTTTGCAGACCTCCGGGAACGGAAGGCGGACGGAGGTGCTCTGGAAAAAAAGGGCGGCGAAAAGAATAGCAAAGTAAGAGCCGGAATGGGCGGTGGGGAGCCCAACCTAGTTGCGTTGCCGAGAACAAAACAGGGTAAAAAATATAAAAAAAATAATTTCATCGCCCTGGTAGAGAGAGGTACACAGATACTATATACAAACATTGCATGGATATGTCGGCTAAAAATATGGCCAACTGAATTGGCCCAATTTGCATGGAGTGGCTGCGATAAACAAATATCAAAAATTCGCCAGGCTGCCAAATCAAATTTCAATGGATACAGTAATATAAGTGGAAAGCCCTTTGGAACAACTATGAAACCATGTCAAGGTCGCATGTGCATGAAAACCCAGATATCCAAATATCTTTGAGATTAAAATGTAATATCGTTGGTCCGCTAGAGAGACGTTGAGGAAGTGGGAGAAGGCTTATCTGGACCTAGGCTAACCTACTTTAGTTGCAGTCGTAAATTAAAGCTACTTTATGGTGGCCGGGGCAAACATAACCCACTTTCCGTTCCATTTCCAGTTGCAGTCAATAGTGAATGTGTTTGCCCACAAATCAAAATGACCAGTATCAAATATTAAATGCTGATCAAATATTCACCCCTGATACTGAACTAAATCAACTGAATAAATAGGTAGCAATCCGGAGCTGTTTTGTGCGTTTTAATTTGTTTTCCCACAAAATTATATTAGCACATATTGATTTTTCCTCTCCTCCGCCGCCGCCTTGCTTTCAATTTCAGTAATTTTACCCTGATGAACTGGGAACTGAGAACAAAAAGAGTTGGAAAGTTACTTGTGTGAGTGGTGGGGTCTGACCTTTAAATCGAATTATTTCAGCCACAGCGAGCAGACATTTAATGTGATTTAATTAGGGCAGAACACACGGGGTTAATGCAACAGTGAAAATCGCAGCAATACACAATCTCGCAGAGAATTTCGTACCCATTGCGAATATCAAACAACTTTTGAAGAGGCGGTAATGAATTCATTTTCAAATGCGTGTTGATTGTTTACTTTTAAGACGTCATAGCTCAAGAAAACGTGTTCGCACACCAAGATGTAAATTTGCAAATTTCTGCAAAATAAATTTATCAAAATGCGTTTTAATTTTGCTTCCTATTTCCTTTCTATGATATATAGATAGTAACATAAGCAAATAAGTAAACAAAATATATCGCTTAAGAATAAGCAAAATGTTTTTAACAACAGAATGGGGATTGCCGGGGCAGTAACTTTAGCAAAGCAATGAGTCAGAAAGAATTTCTGATAAAATATCCAGAGAGAAGCGATGATTAAGCAGAAACAACCGGTTTTTGAGGATGGGAAGATGGGATCGGAAGAGGCCATAAATCAAGTATAACAAGTCCTAGACGAAAGGCCCTCAAAAGGAAGCCGAGATTAAGATCGTTTGTTGAAATGCAGATATTACACGGGCATGACTACCTGACCACGCCCACCCGTCCAGTTTGGAAAACAACGATAACAACCTGATGGGTCACAGACATGTTGGTACAGGTTTTCTCGAGGACACTGTTAGGTAGCAACCTATGATCAACGGTTTATTTTTAAAGTCTACGTTATCAAAGAAGTATACATATGCTCCTTATTAATTCCTTCCTGATTCTTGTTCTTATTTTAAACTAAAAATAATTTATAAAATATCAAACGTAAGCTGTAACTTACCGATGCTTTGCGACTGGGAATCGGTGTTTTTGATGTTAAGGTTCCTTAGCAGGAACGCAGCTCCCACTGAAGTGGCTAAAATCGAAAGTGATTTGTATTTCAAATTAGACATCTCTATTTAGTAAATCTAATATTCATAAAGTTAGGTAAGTATTGGCTTCTGGTTGTACTGGCTAGTGATTAAAAACTTTAATTATAGTTGTTTTTCGATGCAACACAGATGATAATAAATATTCATTATTTTACGGATGGCAGTGTACATTCGCAATATTGAACAATTAAATACTAAATACTGTCATAAAAAAATATTTACTTTCAATTATATTTAGCGACTTCATAAAAAATTATTTCAAATGTCAAAACGTGTGAAATGTCTTTATATTGATGTATACCAGTTGTTTTTAGCCAATGTTCACTATCTTTAAAGGGCACAAAGGAGGGGTAGAGGGCGGTGCAGGAACTGTGTTGCTGTGGTTTTGCGATAAAAGTGGAAAAAGAAAACAACTTCAGATATTCGGCGTTTCTTTTGTTGCTGCAATAGCAAAGAGACGAGTGAAAAGATTGTAGAGGAAAAAGTGAAAAATGCTACGTTTTCGTAGATTTTGCAGAAATTCCTCTGCTTTTCTTGTTTCGCCTCTTTTGGGGTGGCAGGAATACATACAAACAGTAGGCCTATATGTATATGTATGCAAGTTAATTGTGCACAGTCACAATGGATGGTGGAAAGGAGCGGGGGAACCGAGAACGATTTATAATTGCACGTGCACTTGTCGAGAAAATTTCTGGATAACTTCTCACTTCTTTGCCGTAATTTACCGATTTTCTGCCTTCTTGGTTGCTTTTTGCCGCACTCGGAGCGGAGCGCACTACACAGACGATGTAACAGCGCGGATGGATGATTTTTTTTAATAAAATATATTTTCCACCTAATAGAGGTGGGCGAAGATTCGATAACTTGGTCAGCTAGTAATGACACAGCGTCGATGTTATCCATGCAAATATCGATTGCACGACAGTATTCCTCTAAAACTTCTACTTGTTGAAAAGTCCAATAGTCCAGCATAGTCTAGCATTATGAAAACTTTTGCACTTGCCGTAAAATTTGATACTTACCTAATATCAAAATATCGATAGCTCTGACCTTTGCAATAAATTATTTTTGAAAATGGTTGTGGACATGGGTAAAACAGTAGTAAGGAAAATAGCTATTTTTAAGCTAGAAAATAGCTTAGTTGGCAGTAGTTACCGTTTTCAACCGTTATTTTCAAAGTAAAAGATAGTTTTGATGACCTCTGTTTTAAATATTATTTTTAATCAAAATCTTATTTTGTTTCTGTATTTTCTTTGGAAACATTGTTACAAAATATCATATATTTGCGCTAAAATAAAATCTAAAATGAATGTCTTGCGATTTCATGTTAGCAAGCGATGCAAAGACGAAATGTTAATAATTTTATTAAAGCAAACTATGATAAGAAACGAATACGCAGAAAACAATGGAAATAACACGAACAATTATTCCACTTGGATGACAGATCAGTCTTCAATAACGCCGATGATGTTGATGCCACTTTTGCCGAGACTGACGCACTCCAGGACGGACTCCTGCTTCTCACGCATGTATTTCAAAAACTGGATTATTACGTGAAAAAGATTGTTACTGTCGTAAGCACAATCGTGCATCTTCTTGTCATCGATGAAATTAAACTTGGGATAAGGTTGCATGTTACTTGTGGCTAGAATGGCGCAGTTCGCTTTGTTGCTCACACAGGAGACGATGTCCTTGTTTGAGTTCTCATCCCTAATGATCACATAACGGGAGTAGAAAGGCCTTCGTCGGCCGTCCGGCGGCGCTGTCATTAATTGGCTATCAAGGTAAACGCAAAACAAGTGGAACAGTATAGCCGCATCAGTGGGTCGGTCATCTGTCCATTCCTGACCATTGCTTGCTCTGTCTGATTTCCATCTATAGTTGGCTATGTAGGAGCCTTCTGATAGCTCTTTAATGCGCTGCACAAGGTATTCCTGGTTGTTAAAGGTGTCCAGAAAAGCCAGCACCATAGGCATCATGGGTATAAAAGGATTCACGATGCTTCGGTCCTGGGCTATCAATCGTAGCACCTCCAGATTTAGTGATCCAATCTTGAAGTTGCGATGACCAAGATCGAGAAACGCCTTATCCACATACTCAATCTCTTTTACCAAACGATGCAATATCGTGATTGATATCCACGACCGTAAGTTGGCCACATACTGCAGTAAGTTATTTGGGCAGATGGGCTTTTCGACCTTGGAACAGTTGGTTGGGCAAACAAAGTTATCAGACCAGAGTGGAGTAAATTGGTATGAGTTCTGTTTGGCCGGATGGGAGCAGGTCATTTGAAATCTTTTGATTTTGTTTTTATCTTCTTCTACCATGCACCGCTCCATTTCAGCTCGCTTTATCAAAGCAGGTAACTTCCGGATATCGGTGATGAAATCATCTCGACAAAGTTGATCATACGGTGACGTGCAGTTGGACATCAGTGAGTCTGTCTTCACCCTTAAGGGTATCTGGCATTGGTTCGCCCTCCTACGGCAGGAATGGAACGAAGAGTGCCAGTAAATGAAGGGCCAGGTTTCCGGCTTGTAACTGAGTGGCTTTGCTTTTGGGCGTATGCACACTGTTCCAAAGATGTTTTCTAAAGGAGGAGAGAGGAATGTATGTAGTAAATATATTATTAGCCTTTTATACCAACTGACCATCCCTGCCATCCAGCAGATACTTTTGGTTTGCCGTTCCGATCACCTGCTCTTCTCCATGGATTAGCCACAAATACTTCACGAAACAGGCCAATGCGCTTAGGGCAAGCACAGTGGATATTAAATATTCGGTCAGGTACAACCAATACTTCCTGTTGGCGTAGTTTCCATTCACCCGAATGTCCAAAAGCAACAGCGATAGTATCACCACATTTAGAAGGCATCTTTTTAGGTAATTCTTCGCCTGGGCGATTCGAAGTCTCAAATCGAGGCTGCGCTGAACCAAAGGATTGCTTTTTGGCGGCGACAAAATACTTCTACAATTCATTTTTTAAAGGTTAAAAATATAATATACAATATATAAAGAAGTCTGACAGTTTTAGTTCAAGTGACAGGGTTAGCTTGATATTTGTTCAAATTTCTCACATATTAAATTCTTAGCGAAAAGTTATAAATTCCAATTAATCGTGCATCTTATTTAGACGCTAATTTAATAACGGTCTTACCTACTAACTAATTAAACAAATTTCAGAACTTAAGTGCCTTTTTGTTTATAAAACACTATACAATTATTACGCTATTTGGTTTTTATTTAGTCGAAAGCTTTTTAAACTTTAAGTTTAGATATGGTTTAAGTATCGGCTTAAAAAAGTGAAAGGAACATATCAGTGCTGACATAATTTACTCCCAAAAACCCCTAAAAATAATTTAAAATCAACTGATACCTAAAAAAATAAAATAAGATTTCTACAGAAGGGACTATTCGTCCATATAATTTTGGTTAGGCTTGTTCACTAGTAAAAACTATTAGATGTGGCAAAAAAAGCCCACAGCGGCATCACTGACTACGATCGTTGGGGTTTTCGTTAGTCTCGCGTTTACCGGCAGAGGAAACAGGTGCACAAGACAACATAGCCACGATAAGATCGGTAATTGCAATGTGACTTCCCCGCTCAACAAATCGGGAATCACCACAAATATATATTTGTCATTTCTATATATTTCGACTGAGGATATTTTAGCCATTTACGGGTAAAAATAACAAATAAAACTCTTACGGTTTTACCTGTGCCAATTTACCTCGTGTGCGTGAGGCAGAGAGTGATAAGATTAGACGAATGGGTAAATGTTTTGTTGTGTGATAACAGGCAATTGGAACTTCAAAGTGGTGACCATAAAAAATTTAAGTGTAAATAAAAGTAACGAATTAGTCATTTTGAAAATCAGAGAATTAGTGCAAGCTCCAACTAAGCAGTTTGTGCCACAAATGAGTGTAATCATCAGTGCCCGTAAACAAATTATAATAAAAAACGATATTTGTGTGATATATGAACAGAGGAGATATGCTCATATGAGCAGCTTCCGGCTTCGACACCGTTTAAACTGAAATGTCCAGTGGAAATTATCTAAATTGGACTGCGAGTGGTGCTACTGTATCTGTGTCTGATATTGTTATTGTTATGTTTGGTCGTATTGTGATAGTTATTAAGTTATGTGAGGGGATTACATTAGAGTGTGCATAGAATGAATGGATTTAATCGTGGTATATATATCTGAAGCTTACTTACTGTAAGTTAGTCTAACTACAAATGATAAACATAGATACTTATATTTAGAGTTTTAAGTTTTCAAAAGACCTTTTTAATAATTTTTCTCCCTGTGCATCGAGTCATAAAACTATAAGAAAGTTATATAGAAATAGGAAACAATCGTTTTTTATTGTTTTGTGACTGCAACTATGCGATAGCCCAAATGTAAACCACGATAAGGAGAGTGAAAAAGTGAGCGGAACTTAAGTATATATTGGGGAAAATTGCTGAAAATTGGAATAGTGATGCAAGCAGCCTTTAAACTTGGTAATGCATTTAAAAAGCCATGAACGTGATCTACATAAATATCTGGATCAGGGGTGATGCAAATCCCAGAAGAGAATGCAATTAGTAGCTTGTTTTGTGTATACTAATGGCCATTGTCACTTGCTATCCGCTTGGGTCATTGGCATCAAAATTGTCAGAGTTGAACAAAAAAAAGTAGGGTATTGCACTGGTAAATCCCCGATCAGCCACTAAAGTGACGTCACACAGGTAAAATGCATTGCAATGAACTCATTTCATTGCATTTCGTTTCAGTTTTGGTTTTAATTTGGTTTTCTCTCGTTGGTCATTAATTGGCAGGCATGCAACTATTGCAGCATGGCCATTGTATTATATATATCCGGTTTATACCAATGTTTGTTGTGCATTTGAAGTGGTCAACGGGCTGCGTGAGGAAATATTAATAATTCATTTCTAATAAATAGTGTGTGGCTTATAGTGAGAGGGGAAAAAGTAAGTTGTTGATTGAATGCTCTGCCTGAGTAAAGTTGGCTTCGCTATCAGTTGCAACACTCAAGTTTTACCTAATAATTATTTTTTGATTAGATTTAAAAAGCTTGATCGTATATGGTAAACATTTTCACAGCTTCACTGAAAGGAATTTACGCTTTAAAGAGAACCAAAAGTTTTTATTAGGTTAGTTTGTGGTTATCTCTCAGTAAGGATTATGATGGCTTAAAGTGTATTAAGGAACTTATTTAGTTATATAAATTTTTTTAAATATTCATTAATTTCAAGCAAGGCCTACACATTTTTTCTCTCTGCACAACCATTGCTTCTAATATCAGTTGTTTGTGCTTAGGCAGCGACAACGCGTGAGAGAAAAAATGGTTATCTGAGCGCTGCTTTTGTTTAGCCTGCGCTCTTTGTTACCTGTACGAGAGAGAGAGAGAGAGAGAGAGAGCGAGAGAGTGAAATGGGGCAAGGGGAGTGAGCAAGAGGGAGTGGAGCTACCTGGGGCACAACTTGCGACACCTTTTGACGCCGATCGCGAGTTCAGTAGCAATCGGTAGCCGGCAACAGCAACAACAAACCCAAACAGAACAATTAGTCGACCGATATTCAGTGGAATATAGGTATATATTCACATATAACCTTAAATAGCGCACACAAAGTAAACCATGTAAAATTCAGTGATTACGGCAGCGATATGGTAATGCAACGGTGTATTGTGAACAGTAATACACCGCACAAAGTATCCCCGAGATACTCTTAATGAGAGCATTGCTTAACCTCATGTTTTTTGCGCCCTTTCAGTTGGTTAGCGGTGAATGCGTTTAACGGTGGATCTTCGCTTGCACCTTTGCAACCCACGAGATACGACTGAAGACATAGAATGGCCTCCGGCAATAGTAGTACCACCGATCTGGACAGTCAGGTCAATGTGGAGGACTTGCCCATAACGTTCAAGGTGAGTGTCCAAATTGCGAAATGCGTATGAGTATTTAAATGCTGTGAACTGAGTGACGCAAGTTCAGGTACCAATGGTAAAGATAAAATATATGACCCAAAATGCACTGAAAACAAATAATTAGTAATTGTTTAAATCACTTTTTTCACTGGGGAGTAGTTGAGTAGTGAAATGACATTACTCTTTTGCCTTTCCAAAGCCCTACAAAAATATTAAAATAATTGAAATCTCAAAAGTAATAACGTTTTCCCTAAGTGCATAAGCAAACAAAAGCAGACATAAGAGCTTACCTCCCGCATACGAGACATGGCCAAAAAAAAGAGCCAGACACGCACGCGTCACGCCCTGCTGAACTTCAGATGGGGGCTGTGGTGGGGAAAGGGGCGTGTCGTTGGCACCACATGAGCAGCAGCAGCAACAACATTTTGGCTCGGCTGTGGACATCCGGTCGCAGGTCGGATGCAAATGAAGCGACTCTAACGGCAACGCATGCGCAGCGGAAGCCAATGCCGCCGCTGAATAATCCCAAAGACATATCTTTTAGCCTTTGTTGAATGGGAAAAATATATGTTTTAGATCTGGGATTTAATATAAATCTATTTTTTGCCTGCAGGTGAAATACATTGGATCCGAAGTGGCACGTGGACTTTGGGGCATTAAGTATACGCGCCGCCCGGTGGATATAATGGTGGGCGTGGCCAAGAATTTGCCGCCCAACAAGGTCCTGCCGAATTGCGAGTTGAAGGTGTCCACCGACGGTGTCCAGCTGGAGATCATTTCACCCAAGGCCAGCATCAATCACTGGAGCTATCCGATCGATACGATTTCGTATGGAGTTCAGGATTTGGTCTACACAAGAGTCTTTGCAATGATCGTAGTCAAGGATGAGTCCAGTCCGCATCCCTTCGAAGTCCACGCCTTCGTCTGCGACAGTCGAGCAATGGCTCGCAAGTTGACCTTTGCCCTGGCCGCTGCCTTTCAGGATTATTCTCGAAGGGTCAAGGAGGCTGCTGGCGAGGATGAGGGAGATGCCACGCCTAACGACACTATAACGCCCACGCGTCAAAAGTTCGCCATCGATCTGCGAACCCCCGAAGAAATCCAGGCTGGCGAACTTGAACAGGAAACGGAGGCGTAGTCGGTGGGATTCACTGCAGATATCCACCGGTTGCGTTTGTCAATGTGATGTGTTAGTTACTTAACGTCCAGTGTTCACTGTATTTGTAAATTGTAGTTCTCTCACCTGGTAGTTGCCTCATACAGCTAATTACCCAAAGCCTAAGTGTTAATGCGATTTGTAAACGATTTTCTATAATAAATTACCAATATTGTAGTTTTGTCTTTGTGAAATAGAGTAAAATATATCGGAGGTATTAGCTTTAGTAGCAGTAACTAGTTTGGGCTATCAGTAGAAGATACGTATCAAAAGTTCGTTTTCCAAGTCTTTTGGTTAGGCTTAGAAAATCTTTCAATGTTGAGATATCGTTTTTCAGGCTTCAAATCGAAGTCTATATAGTTAAAAATCCGTGTTAATTTTGGGTAAATAAATTAATGTTCTTAACTAAAGTTTGATTAAGTCTTTAGGTTGCTTTTAAGCTGACCATCTCTACCGTTCAGAGATTGAATGCGATTTGGCAAGTCACAGGACACTCAAACCTCTGCACGATGGAGTTGATTAGCTGGCAAAAATAAAATATCCCAACTACAATCCCAAAAAATTTAGGTATTTAATTTTTTTAAGATTTTTATTTTAAGATTTTTTTGGAAATTTTTTGTTTTGTAATTTGTTTGTTTAACTCGTCGGAACAACAATTCTAATCTTAAATTTCAACTCTCGTGCACGTTTTTCCTTTAAGAAATGGCCATAAAACTAGGAAATCAAAAAATTATTAAATAAAACTTGCCTAGGTGCAAATGAGTGGGATAGCGTATTGGGAACTAGGAGGTGAACGGGGTTCCGGTTCGGGCTAAGTGGAAGGATAATCCTCTCCAGGATTGCTATCGGTCCTTCTCTATCTCTCTCTCTCACTGTCTCTCATCCCCTCTAGCTGGCATCGGCGCGGAACAGGAAGCGGCGCTTGCGGGCATCCATCTTTGGTTCCCTTACTTCCGGCTGGGACTCAGTTTCCGGCAGGGTTTCCGTTTCCACCTTGCTCACCGTTACCGGCACCGTTTGCACCTTGGACATGGCGGGTTCGGCTTCTGAGATGCGCTTGTAGATGGGCAGGATGAGTTCCTCCTCCTGCTCGGCAGTGGATTCCGCCACTTCCGCTGGCTGAGGCTCCTGATCCGTTTTCTCAGGGTTGTTCTGAACCAGGGTCATGGGTGCAGCCCCACCTGGCGTGAGTATCAGCTCCATAGGAGCCATCTGTTCCTTTTTAGGCGTCTGGTCCAGGCGCTCTTTGACCAGCTCCACGATGTCATCGATGCTGATCGAGGGCATGTAGGCGGCGGTGACTAGACTTTCCTGGGCATCGTCTTGTAGGGGAGTTTCCTCGGGTTTGGCCACCAGTTCAGACTCAGATTGCGGAACTATCTCAGGAACAGTCTCTTGCATTTGCTCAGGAGCAGACTCCTTGATTTCCTCGGGATGGATTTCCTTGATTTCTTCAGGAGAAGTTTCTTGGGCGGCAGCTTCTTCGACTTTCTCGCTAGGAATTTCCTCAGGAGCAGCTTCCTTAATTTCTTCAGGAATATCATCCTTTACTTCTTCCGGAATTGCTTCCTTAACTTCTTCGGGAATAACTTCCTTCACTTCCTCGGGAGCACTTTCCTTGGTCTCCTCTGGTGCCGTTTCCTTAACTTCCTCTGGAGCGCTTTCCTTAGCGTCCTCTACTTCCTCAGGGATTTCAAAAGCCGGCTGGATATGAACGGGAATTACTTTGACTGGGATCTGGTAGTCCATGGGCATATGTTGCACCTGCATAATGTTGATAATAGGAGAGTCCTCCATCATTTGGGGCTTCGGGGACTTCTTATCTTCCATTTCCTCTAACAATTGTTCCTCGACTGAGGCATTCTTGTCCACGATTTCAGGTTCCGGCAGCTTGGCCTCCTCAATGGACACATCGGCATTCTCCACTGGTAACATGCTCTCTGCCATATCAGTCTCTGGTTTCTCTTCGTTTTTCTTCAAGGTATTCAGGAAGTCGGTGATCAGTTGCTCTGCCTCGGCGGCCATCACGGGATCTACTGGCTTGAAGCCTCCCAGCGACTCTTGGGCCTCGCCGTCGTGGGTGTTGTCCAGAATTTCCTCAACTAAAGGACTGTGTTGCTCCATTTCGGGAGTAGCTGGCATACTCTCGGGTGCATCTGCTGGCTTGGCTGCTTCCAGGGTTTCAAGACTCAGAGGCTCCTCATGGGAGTTGCTGCCTTCCACGATTGCTGGCTCCGATTTAATGACCTCGGGCATAACTTCATGGATCTCTTCCACCTTAGCTGGAACTTCTGGCTCTTCTTCGGCTTGAACTTCCACCTGGGGTTGTACCTCTTCCTCCTCTGGTTTCATTGCTTCCTCTGGCTTAATCTCTTCTGATGGCTTGGCCTGCTCTTCTACTTTGATTTCTTCAGTGGCCTTAGTTTCCTCAAGCTCCTCTGGCTTCTTCTCACTTTCCATAGGCATTGATTGATCCAAACTTTCGACTATGACAGCGGGAATCTCTTCGATGGCTTCGATGGGCTTAACATCCTCGATTCTGGTATCAATATCTACCTTGGTGGGCTCTGCCTCCTCAACAACCGGCTCTGGTTGAACAAAAGTCACAGCTGGCTCGGATGCCTGAACCTCGGGTTCCTGGATTTCCACGGGAATCACCTCTGGCTCGGCAAATAAGGTCTGCAGTTTCAGCGTGGGCTGGGGCTCACTGAGTTGGACCACCGCCTCAGTAACAGCTGGTTCACTTTCAACCATTTCCTCCACGGGCTTCACTGTAGTGGGCTTGTTGAAGATCGCTGGACGTTTGCGGATTCCATTGAAGAGTTCATTACGGGTAGGTGCAACAATCGCGGGTCTTAATCCCTGGGGTCTCTCCTTGTTGGGTCTGACGGAGAATCTCTGTGGCTTAATGGGCTTAGATTCCACCTCAACGTGGGCCACTGGTTCGGGAATAGCTTCCACCTCTGGAGCAGCTGTCACTGGAACTGGAACCTTCCTTTGAGGTTGGGGCTTCCTTCGGTTGGGTTTGGGTTTCTGCACCTTGACTGGCTTCACTGGCTTGGGTGGCTCCTCCTCAGGTTCTGGGGCAATCTCTGGCTCTGCCTCAACTGGCTTAGATTCCTCCTCCTCTTGCTCCTCCTCCTTCTCCGGCTGCTCACTCTCCTCAGGAGTGGGTTTACTTTCCTGTTCAGCGGGACCACCAAAGTTGCCATTCAGTTCGTAGTATCTGGAGCTATCCTGGCACTCGATGGTCATGTCCTCGCGACGCATGCAGGTGAAAGATTCCTGGGGGATAGGTTTGATATTATTTCAAAACAGAATTAATGATTACCAGGACACCCACCTGACTGAAGATGGTCTCCTCGGGGCAGATGAAGCTCCAGCGGAAGGTGTTTTCCCTGCCATCGGCGTAGGTAACTGGCAAGCAGACATGGAAGATCTGGCAATCGTTCTCCACATCCGCGTAGTAACCATAGGTCTTGTTGGCACACGAGAAGTTATCCGTGATGTCCGACCGGATGGAGGTGGCATTGCTGGGCAGGGTAAGGGTTCCCAGGGGAGCAGCTTCCGCCGGAGCTGACTCATCCTCCGTTTCGGTCTGTTCAGGCATTTCCACCTCAGCTGGCATAGGTTCCTCACGGATCACAGGTGCTTTTATTTTCTGAAAGAAGATTGCAGGTTGGTTGTTTTTCTTCAAGGATTCTCTTAATGATAGTATCCCCTATTCCACGTCAAGTCCTAACTTTGCTTTCTGTGTACGATTAGCCAGCTGTACGATCCATTCAGCTAACGAGGTACGTGACAGGCATGGATAATCCCAGAAATCCAGCACGTGACTCTGCGACTCAGCTAGGCACCCGAAAAATTTCACTTGTGTTCTAGTTTTCGTCTACGAGGCGGCGGCAAGTGAAAATTAAATCGAATCGAATCGAAACGAAGACCCAAAAGCCCAGCCCACTGTGCACTTCGCACCTGTTGCAGCCCTTTTATGGGGCGCAATTGCAATTGAAGTCACTTTCGAATGGAACGCTCAAATATTATCACATAATATTTTAGCCATATGGATTTGTTATTAACTTATTATTTTGGCCGCTGCATTTCAATGAGTTGTTGGGGGTCGAAAACTTTCGGTCGTACAGAGACCTTTCTCGAAAAGGTCCCCTCGATGAGTAATGCAAATTGAAGAGTCGGTCGGGGTATTAGCAATTCTTGGAACCATTTTCAGTGATTTCGCTGGCGAATTCTTGCCGGCTTCTACCTGTCATTAAGCCACCTGCAAGTGCCTATAAATACCTTAGACCAGCTCTTGGAGTCTTGGCCGTTAAAAAAGGCTAAACGCTTGGCATACCAAATAAGCCAGGCCAAAGATGTAGGAGAGGTGGCATACGAGTATTCTTGTATGCAAATGCGACTGAGTCCAGGCCATGTCCCATTAAAATTTCATCGTATGGCTCGGTGGCGGGCCGGCAAACATTTCATTAACAGTTTCCCATTTCCGTTAAGGCGAACGGAAGTACTCTTTGGTGGTCAAGCTGTCTGCTGGACACTTCAACAGATCCGTTTGCTGGACTTCAACACTCACCTGATGGGTGGTCAGGGGTCCTGCGCTGCAGGTGGCCATCAGGGCAAGCAGCAAACACACGGTCTTCCGCATTTTCACACACAGATTGTTTATTTATAGTCACTATATATCACTTGGCACGATCCACTTGTCTGGAACACACGCGTTAATCCGTTTTTTGGGTATTTTCTTGATGAGTGTGTGGGCTGCTTTTAATCCAATTCGATATCCAGGCTTTTTATAGAGGTTAAGACCAAGGCTTGCACTCGCACTGCGGGCTCTTTGCACACCTGTGAGGCACCGTTGGCTGGAAAATACTAACTGCCACCGTCCACCGAGCCGCCCAATTTATATATTCTTCGCGTTGATTTATTAAGAATGCAAAAAGGCAGAGAAACCGAAGAGTCACGCACACACAGAGAGGCCCGAAGAAAGGTGTAGTACCCACCTGGGTAGGTACAGTAACAGCTCAATCACAGTCGCACACCATTACCAGGTGGAACCCTCTTCTTCTCAGCAGACGTGACATTGCGTATACGCACGGTGTGCTTGTGTGGGTCTCGGTAAGTTTGGCGCGCATGCGCTTAAAGTGTGCCGTCGTCTGTGGATTCCGTTTTGTGTGTGGAACATAAATCCCAAGAGCCAGCTGACAGCGAACGAGAGCGGGAAGAAAGATGACGGTCATGGTCAAGATCTTCTCAAGATTTGATATTCTGCAAGATGGAGGTTTTAAGTTTAATGTAAAAGAATCTTTCAAAGTTTATGATACAATTCATGATTTATTTGACAATTTAAGCTGCTCATATGGTAAATGAATAGGTTCAATGGAGAAATATTTCTTACTCATCTTCCTTTTAAGAAGAATCTTATACAAAACAACTTTTGGTGAACTCATAATTATAATTAAGAAATTCTCATTAATACTCATAATAGATTCAATTTGGAACTTCTGCTTATTGAAGTGATTCCCCTCAAATGAATACCCAAATCCCTCCTTAGATCTTAGAGCTACATTGACATTCGCGAATCCTCCAGTTCCGGCAGCAAAGAAGTTCCCGAGAACCCAGTTAGTTGGTTGACAACAATGCTTTATTACCGAGAAATTGTTTATCCATTAGCAGGCCTCCAGACTGGCAGATGGGTGACGAAGACACGAGTCCACAGAGCAGATTACACTCGAAAGATTACACTCGGCAACGACGTGAGATTGCAGTTTTATGGTATATGGTCATATAGCATGATTCTTCTAGAGATGGGCAGGCCAAAATTCGTTGGGGTTCATTGGCTTGGCCCTGGGCGCTCTGTGTGGAAGGATTATGCAACAAACGAAATATCATCATGCAGGGACTTTCACACACCCAAAAATATAATAAAAAAATATCGAAAAAAGAGACTGAAAAACAAAAATAAAGCCCAGCCGAAACTCCCAAAACAAGCGAAGCTTATTAAGGCGCATTAGCAATTTAGAATGGTTTGCTACCATTTCGCACGAAGTCCACATATATTATTTGGTGCCGTATTACGCGACAATTATGAATTTCTAATTTCATGTTTAGTGCGCCACCCCTTCTTCCCTCTCCCCTAGTTCTATCAAAATCACGTATACGCCTGGGCTGAAGAAAAGCGAAAGCTATCAGAGGCCATTGGCATCGGAAATGGCTATAAAGAAACAATTATTATGGTACTTCTTATTAATTATGTATTGACTGGCGCTAGTTAGTTGTCATGGATGTAACTGCTCATAAAAAAGGCTCAGGCGGCGGCTGATCAAAGTCGCTTTTTTGGTCTATCTGAAGTTGTTCATCTTGTAAGCCAACTGAGAGCTCCTGGCATAATAATGAGCCTATCAGGGGTTCTAGAAGACTTCATTGCGAAGGTTTGCCTTTAATAATATATAATACTTATATTAATAAAGTACACATTTTATTGAGTAAGCTGTAGAACATCTTTTCTATCTTTCCTATACATCAAGAAAATAGTGAAAGACAACTTATCCTTTTACCTATTTTGTATCTCAAAACTATCGTTTTAAACAAACCAATTCTACGAATAAAACTATTTAAACTCCCTTTAGTCAAGCATTTAAGACGTGATCATTAACATGCCTTCATGCACTTAATCGCACTTGGCAACAAAGTAACTCGAAATGCATTTTGCATAAAATGTTTGCCAGTTAAAAAAGTCATAAAGGGCCCAAACCAAGAGCGAATCGCGCAGAGATAAGCCAGTTGACAACAAGGCGACGTGTTGAGGTTGAGGCAGAAGTTCTACGTCCAAGCAAAAACCAGAATCATGACTGGAATTATGAAAAATTCAATTATTAATAGACAGCAGGCGGTGGAGAAGGAGGAGGAGTAGGAGGAGTATTACTTAAAAAATCACCTGAAAAAATGCAGCAGCGAAAATGTTTCTTGGACTTGGACCTTTTCTTTTTGGACTTTTGGGCTTTTCTGCCTTGATTATAATGCAGCGAAAAAACACATGTAACTTTCTAAAATGCAAATCGCACTGCAATGGAAAATCATGAGTGCTTTTCAATTTCAGAAGCAACTGAAATTAAACACGTGGGCGTTGGAATTAAAATGTGTTATCGGCCCTTCATTTTCTGCTACTGATCACTGAGTCGCGTGCACGCTGCGTATACGTGATGGAGCGATGGGCAATGGTCAGTGGTCAGTGGTCTGTGGGCGATGCAGGCCCACTTTCTAGCGGCAGTTAAATTAATTAAGTTTCCATCAAATGCCCGAGTTGACAGTTCACCTGACAGCGGCACGTCGCCGCCTGTCACTTAGTAGAGCATTCCGTGGAACGCGCTTAGAAATTTTCTAACAATATTTTTTGCCAAATCTCAAATCTGACCCACGACTACGCCCACTTCCATTTGACACTTCCTTTTGGCCAAAAATCCATTGATACTATTTATGATTTTTCGCAAACACTGCACGTTGCTCACCGTTATTCCACCCGAACCCGAACCCGAACCCAATCCCCATTGACCAAACACTCGCGCTGCGAGAATTTCAATTGATTATTTTAGTAATTTTTGTTTGTTTGTTTTTTGGCAACATATCGAGAACAGATCGTATCTGCATGATATATGGCCAACGGCCACACCCACCAGACATCCAGAGATCGACACCACCGCCCACATTAAGCGTAAACCAAAGTCTGAAATGCACTGGGAAAAGTGGTGGCTCTTCTTTAATACTTTCGAAATACACCTTTGGATTCTCACTTAGATGAGATTAAAGTTCTTGGAACTTTTACTATATAAACAAAAGATTGATTTCATTTTAAAAAAGGGCTCATATATTTAAGAAGTAGTTCTGAAAGCAATCCAATTTTCTTTCCGTGCAGAGGCGTAGTTTAGAAAGTGCTGAAAACTAAACTATTTCTGTTTCTCTGACGATCAATTATGTGGCACACGTTTGCAGACACCTTCGGTTCCAGTTCCAATCCAATCCAATCCGATCCGATCCCCATCCAATCCGAGGTGGAACTTGGACTTACATACTTGCTCCCACGCAATGGGCCAAGTCAATTGAATTTTTATGGCCAATTTCATTGATTTTAATTTTGCTAATGATAAGCATTTCTTTGCACGAAACTCCCACTTGATAACGAGCGTGTTGCGGCATGTCAATTTGGTTTTCCTCACGCTGCATTTTAATGGCCAGAGCTTTTCCTTCAATTAATTTAAACAAGGTCAATATCAAAACGTGTCACAATGCGTGTGAAGTTGATTAGGTGTAATTTGACTTTCTTTTCGTCCCCTGAACTTCATTACAACAAAGCCATTAAAAGTCTTCGTTTTTTCTCTTCAGACATTCATCCCAAGCTTGGCCAGACAATGCAGTCAGATTTATTAGCCATAAATTCGGCGCTCGACTTGTCAGACGTTTGTCAAACACAAATTTAATAGCTTATTACAAACATTTCGCGAGTAGCATTTGGCATTCCAAACGCGTTCTGCGCATGCGCAAATTGCTGAGGCCCACAGCGACACCCAAAAAAATTAATGGCCTCTCGAGACGCGACTATTTTGGGCGTACGTCTACCCTATTTGGTATTGCGGAGCAGTAGGTAGGACCCAGAATTGGGCCACGGAATTTAGAATCAATTGCACGGGCCAGCAGGTGAAACTTCTTTCGGAATTTCAGCGAGAATTGACCGCATTCTGATTGGGGGAACCCAATACGGGTGATCGTGCCATAAAATGGAAGCAGGAAATGACGGGGCAGTTTTGAAATGGAAATTTTCAGAATAAATAATAAATTCGAATTGGATAAGTTATGAAGTTATTTTGAGGGGGAAATCTGAGATAACCAATTTACGCATTTTCAATACGGGGTAACATCATCTTTTTTTGCCAAAATTTTACATTTTAAACAAACTCATAGTGGTATAGAATTCCACATTCGGACCATTATTGGCTTAGTTATAGTCTTAATACTGCCATGTTAAGGACAAAATCTAAGATAAAAAATATAAAATTTATTCCAATAAAAGTTTTTCATCAGGTTTGTTTTCTTTAATAAGCATCATATAACATAAGAATACAATAAATAATTTGGATAAATAACTTAGGTCTAGTTTGTTTCCTCGCTGCGAATGTATCCAAAACAGTTCTTCGATTTCTCATTAAAGGTAAATTTTAAAATGTAGTTTTATATTTAAGGCATTGCACTAAAGGGGCTAAGGGTTAAAACTAAAATTGGTTTACTGGCATTTCATTTCTTTCATTGTGCTAAAATTAATTTTGCTCTAGGACCTTAGGGATTATTTAATAATCAGCATCGTAGTACGAATGTAAATCAAATAAATACAATAAATAATGTCTCCATTGGAGGTCAAAGTTCAGGTGGTGTGGGGCATGTATTTTTTTTTCGAGGGGGGGTGTTGTAATCTATTGCCACTGGTTGTACTGATTACGATAGGCCAGATAATGGGGATCCAGAGTCTGGGATTGCTGCTGGGGCTGTCGCACCTGATAGCTGTCCGTAGAGGAGTCCACCTCCTCGACCGAGGGATCCGTCTGCAGGGATCTCTTCCAATAGCTGCCCGGCTCGCTCCAGTCCTCGCCATGATCCTCGTAATGGTGCTGATGGTGGGCATGTTCAACGTATACAACCTAGTTAGAAAATATGCAAAACGTGTGCCGTGAAGTGAGAAACACCAGAGGAAGTACCAAAGAGGCCCAAGAGTGTGTGAGTGGTTCTGTTTTTGTTTTTGTAATCGTTTTTTGTTTTTTTAACTGGGTGTATCTGAATGTGTCTGTCTGTCTGGCTGGCTGGCAGGATTCTTTCTTGCTTTTCGCCCGAAAACTCGTACTTACACAGTGTGAAGGGAAAATCTTTGGAAACGAACTCTAAGATCTGATTTGGATTTTGGGTCTTAAGGTGTATACTGTTATTAGTGAACACATTGATTGGGTTTATCTTTTCTTAATTATTATTTTTATTTTCTTTTAGAGTTGAACGTTCCGAAAACGTTTGTGAGCTGTCCAAAATTTTACCATATCTGAAACCAAAGAGGTCTGAATTTGTTAGCATACGGCACATTTTGGAGTCGTTAGGTGTTTTGGAACTCTGGTGTTTGAAGCTGGAAGAAGTTCTGGAGCTGGTCCCCGAAAACAGTTAGAGAAGTTAGAGCGCTCGGGTGTTTTTTGAAGGTAGCAACGCATTTTACAATCTTTATATACATCATGTGTGAGAGAGATAGAGAGTCGAGAGGCAGGGGCAGTTGGAAAGAGATTAGCGGGTGGTACACAGAAATATTGGTGATCATAAGGCTAGTTCTTGAAATTCAAAATATAAACCTTTAGGATATACATTTGTACCAGAAATGTAAGAAGTATTTTACAGTTTAGGTTTACATTTTGAAATATCATTAGTGTTTGTATTTTAATATAATTAAAATATATATATTTTTAAGACCTTATTCACTTTCAATATTCTGCGCCCAAATAAAAGTGAGAACTGCGCTTTTTTGTAACAAACCTTGGCCAATAAAAACTGTTGTTCACTTATGACTAGTGTAAGGACATTCTTATCAGAACTGAAAGAGTGCAGAAAATCCATTAAAGTCGGAAAACCCTTGGTCTATCAACCTGAACATGAAGTTCGTGTGTGTCGGTACAAAAACGGGTTTAATTCCCGGGAACAAACTCACAGGATCTGGGACCCAATCTTAACTTACCTTCGACGGCGGACTGCCGCGTTTCACATCGATCCAGAATCGGGCTATATTGATCAACAGGCCAATAAGGGCTATGGCAAAGAACTTGACCTGCAGATGGGCACCTAAGATCTTCAGTAGCAGTTCGATTTTGGCCTTCAGGAAGGTGCCAATCATTATGAACTTGGCAATTGCCTTCTTCTTCTTCTTCTTCTTGCCACGGGTCACTGTATATTTAATGGGTAATAAAAGACGATCAAATTCGTATGTATTAGTATCATTTTGCTCTTCTTGGGAAGCACTTACTTGGCTAAATGGAACAAAAAACGCAAATATTATGTAATTCTTCGCTTGGGAGGGTGGTGTTTGTTAGTATGAACTGCAGTGCGCGTTAAGTGCGGTAACGATAACGAAACGGCATTCAAAAAGCAAGCAAAAAGCAGGCAAAAAACTTACATTTTAAACTAGAAACTTATTAAATTATGAATATATATAAAGATAATATTTAAAATCAATAAATATTTTACCAAACATAACTAAACTTCTGAGATCTGTTTAAAAGCTTATAACTATATGAAACTATTATATTAAAGTATTTTTCCTATTTCAAATTTGGCGCTTTACTGAAGTTGTTAAGCAGCGCCATCTAGACAGCCAACCGAGTAAGCTAGGGTTTCCGCTTGTTGCGTACAGATGGCGCCACTCTGTCTTACAAGCTAAACCGGTAATTTCTTTACACCAACACCATTTCCTAACTTAAAGTCCAAGTTATAGACTTTCTTCGGTAGATTAGTTACTATCTTGTTGAAAATCATTAATCTTTGAGTATTTTTAAGACTCTGAAGAAATTATATCCACCGAAAGAACTCTATACTCGAAATAAAACTGGAAACTTAGACATAGAAGGCACTAAGTTGTGCTTGGAAAAACGGTGCGCAAAAGTCATGTAAAACCACACGCAGCAAACAACACACACCTCCGTTACTTCTACCATAATTAAGTGGGTTCCTGTGCTTGCGTTTTCCCCCGCCGACGCCCGAGAACACATCGTCCGCATCGGCCAGTTCGTCGAGCAGTCCCAGGCCCAGACTCAGGTCGCTCTGCTCGTGCTCCACCACGGCTGAACCCTGTTGACCCTTGCGCTTCCGCTTGCCCTTCATGCGGCGCTTCTGCTTCCGTTTCTTCATGGGCCTGGCCAGGGATTCGTTGTCATCATGACTTATCACCGTGGATGCACTTTCGTGTCCAGAGTCGACTTCATGGTGCTCTGGTGCCGCCTGGACAACCACCAAGGTGGCTGGTTGTGTCTCCTGACCTTGACCCTTCTTCTTGTTCTTCTTGCGCTTGCCGCCCTTTTTGTTCTTCTTGCGCTTGCCACCTCCCGGTTTTTTCAGTGCACCCGCAGCAGCTTCCTCGCCGTCCTGCAGTTCGATGAATTCCACACCTGGTTTAGAGGGAATAAAATTAATAATAAAAAATTAATTAGTATCTTTTAACACCTTGACTTAAATAAAATAACTACCTGTTGATGTGTTGTCTTCGCTGAAGACCGGATTTTTGACATCACCTTGTGGCTGGACCGCTGGGGGACCACTGAAGACGCTTGGAGTATTTTCCTTTTCGGTTTCACTTTCAGGTGCCGACACCGCCTCGTCTACATCCTCATCTTCGGTCTCGGCCTCGGGCTCTTTTTCCTGTTCCGCAGTGCTGTCGGAGTCATCCTCGTCGTCGTCCTCCTCCTCCTGGTCATCGTCGTCCTCGTCCTCCTCCTCATTGTTGCCATCCGTATCCTCATCATCTGCATGCTCCTCCTCAGCCGCATTGCTGGCATCGTCGGCGGCATCCGCTTCATCTTCATCTTCGACGCTATTTCCACTCTGGTCGGTTTCACTATCATCATCCGCCGCTTTCGGTGTCTGCAGATACTCGTATTCGCGGCCAAGGAAGCTGCAGGTGGTGGTGGCGCATAAAAAACAGGAAGAAATGAAAAGTTTGGCGAAAATTCAACTCGTTTATCCACACTCACCCGTCCATAGACTCGGCCAGGTATTTCTTCATGTAATTCGTGCCGATTTCAATTTTCTTTAGTATCGTCGATGGCTTCTCTTTCACGGGCAACTCGGAGGTGCTGTACCCTCTCCTCTCGATCGTGGCATTCATCTGCCGATCGGCCTCGACTGTCCCAAAAAAACACAAAAATAAGTGGATATAAATTTGAGAAGGAAAAGAAAATGTTTTCGATTTTAATTGCTTTTTCATGTAAATTCCTAGCACGTAGCTTGTGCTTTTTTCAAGGTGTTGCGTGTACAATTTCCCACTAACTCCCCTTAAGTCATTGATTATCGTGTTTAGTGATCACTAAACCTTGGGGGTTTCTTAGATTTTCTTTAGATGCTCACCCACGTATAGCTGTTTGAACTTCAAGTTAGGCTTTGAGGTCGGTGAAAATGCTAGCTTCTATTTGCTGGGAGTTTCTGTTGCTAATATGTGTGAGAAATATTTTCAATTTCCTACTGAAAAATCGTGTTTGATGTTATGCATTTTCTGGCAACAACATTTCGTGGGAAAACTACAAAAATTTTCTATTCTACTTAACTAGTTTATAGAATAAAATTGAATTTTACAACATCTTTGGTTGTCTGTTCTACTTACCCTTCAGTTTCTGCCATTGGACATTAAGTTCTCCATCCCAGGCATCCAGTATCCTTCCAGATTGCTGTCGAGCACAAGTCCAGGGCTCCGCTCGAATGGGACACAAGGCCAAGTCCAGATACGGTGATACCTCTGCAACGAAGACACAGACCATGAAGATCAGGGCAAATATGAAGCGAAACTGGTCAAATATTTGATGTAAAACTGCCAACGAATTGGGCAAACTAGCGATTGACAGCTCGACTGACTTTCGTCTGGCCAAGCTCAGTGGGGATTTGTGGTCTGATTTGGCTAAGATGTCTAAAATGGTCATGGCTCTAACTTGGCGATTTCCAGCCACTGCAAATATTTGAGTGAAAGTATGTGTGTGACCATTCGACGGCCAGTACCACTGGGCAATCATTTCAACACCTTGTGTGGTTTTTCTGGCCCGCTGATGCTGCTGACCACAGTCCACCTCAGATGTGTGGTGCGTGCAGATGAATGTTATACCTCCCCCTACCCCCCTTTGGTTAACCAATAACCCAATACACAATGGCCAAGTTGTTCGCGGCGCGAGCCATGTTTTAGTTAACATCAAAGATTGCCATCAATCAGCGATGGAGTGAAAATGCTCAGCGATTGCCGTCAATTAAAATTATTGCTGCCCGTCCATCTTAATCGCATCTTAATTCGAGCCCATTTAATTGGGAATACATTAATTTGTCGCGGTGACAAGGACCCCATTGAAATCTTAAAAGCTTTTACTTAAAATAGAAAACTATTAGACAAGTTGCTAGATTTTAACTTCAAGTGTTTAATTTACATAGACTAGCGCCAAAATAGTTTTCGGCTCTCAGGCATTCATGATTTTCCTCTCCCTAATGACACACAGTTTCCATATTTTTGGAAAATTGAGCAATTATTTTCACTACTTAAGTTCATTTGTATTTGCCTGGGCCTTTTGTTGATTTAATTGCCGTGTTGCAACATGAAATGAGTCGTGATAAGTGAAAATTTAATGTCGCTTCGTGTGGGTTTTCTCATGTCTAATGTTGTTGTCTCTTTGTCACAATTTATTTGGCTCATTTCACTTTCAATGACACCCGACACACCGCGTACTTTGACCTAAGGCTTCGCTAATATTTCCCAAATTCAATGCCAAGTGAAAGCCGCGGGGATGCCAAGTCCCAAAGTCGCAGCCTGTGAGAAATTGTTTACCTGCAACTCGTGGTGACATCCCATAGATAACATCCTGCTAAATTCGACCCACGCCACAAGACAACTGGGAAAACAACAGGGAAAACCTGTGCCAGAATGCGCCGACTAAGGGAGCAAGGAGTGCCAGGCGGGAAATCGAAGACTCTTGGGAAGTTCAAAGAAAGCCACTTCGTGATGCACTCGAAGGAATGTTTTTAAGGTTTCTGATTTGAAAACTTTAGTTTATCCTTCATATGATATGAATATAATTTACTTTTGAGGATCTATAATGCAAAAGTTAAACAAAATCTATACAAGGAGAGATTTTTAGTGATAGCCCATTTCTTCAAGTGTACTCCCCGGCGAGCTTCTTCGATATTTGGCGGCTGTCTTCTTTGGCCGACAAATGTGGCACATTATTTTGTGCATCTTGGGAGCTGCTTAGTAGCCATTCTGGCCAAGACTATCTGCCATTTGGCATTTGGTCCGTTGATTTCGCCTTTGCCGCTGGTCTTTTCACTTTTCTTCACAGATTCGTTGGCAGGGCGTATGGTAATGCCGATTTCAATGGCCAAGGCAATGCAAATGCCAATAATGCCACCCTGTCCCAGCTAATTTCCAATATCAAAATGAACTTTCACTGCAGTTGAAGTTTATGCGTGGCTTACTTATAGTATAATAACAAAATACTAGGCTTTGACTTGGCGATGGGTGACGCATTAACCATGGTAAGACCAAACTCCAGCTGGCAAACTGTAAAATGCTGCTGGACTGCTGGGCATGTGGGCCAACTTGCCGGCCATTTGGCTAATTCACTTCGCCTGAGGAGCGGCCATAACAGTAGCTCGTAAAATATTAGCATAATCACTGGAAATTCTGAGTTATTTTGTTTGGCCAGATTAAGTTGTAAACATGAAATGTTGCAACGGTGCAACGTGTGCGGCATTCGAAAGTGAAATTGAGTGATTAGTGGCATGTTGTCTATCTAAAGTAGACGTTTTTCTTTAAACTTTAAGACAGAAAATAGTCTTTACCTTTTTTCCATGAAAATATTAAATAAAATGCCTTTAAAAGTGAAGGTTTAGTGGGTAGAAGTCTAGTGCCCTTGGAAATGATTAAAAGATTCCAAAACTTTTCACTATCCAACTTCAAGAAGTAACAGAATTAACCTCTAGACATGTAAATTGTTTCCTTAAAATTACTAAGATTAATCAGATTACCCCCAGAAAAACATTTAAAAAGTCATTAACTTATATTTCGAACTATGCTCTAGAAAACTTAAAGTCATATAATTGATTCTTTTTATTTGAGATACAGCCAAGCCAGACATAGCTGAATTAAATACAATGATCTAGTGGTTTCGGCATTTAAATCATCTCAGACTTCATTACAAAAGAATTTTATGGCCATTATAGAAATCGGACGGAACAATATGGCACTCTTAACCGTTAGCGTGCGACCCACCAGCCATGTGGACTGTTGTACTGATGGACTTATGGACATGTGAGCCTCAGCTCTGCCGAGCTTGAAACTTTAATAAACTTTCACTGGTTTCGATCTGGCGCAGAATTTGAATTGAAGACACCGCCAACGACTGCGCTGAAGACGAAGTCAACCGCAGAGTTAAATACAAGCTCGAAACCCAAACAAGACATGGCCGGCAGCTACAGCTCGAACGACAACCCCGCACATGTTGTATATTGATTAGAGCTCCACTTTGGCTAGGCAAATCGATGGGTGCACTGAGAACAAAAAAGAGAACTACTATCTAACAAAGCATAGGCAAATATTCATTTAGAAGAATCTTATTTGGCTACTAACAAGATCATAAAAAAGCTTAAAGAATATCTTCTATCCAAAAGAGTTCATAAAATATGAAGATGATTCACCTAAGCGAACTTTGGGTACTCGATTGATATAAACTATGAATTGCCTTCTTAGATTCACAAATTTCTCTAAGAAATATAAGTTCAAGTCTTTCTAATCATGGTGTAGAGTAATATCAGCTGGATACTCTACAAGATCAGGTTTTCTTTCTTTAATATTAAGTGCGAAGTTTCCGCTGGCCAATCGTGGAAGTATTTCCACATTTTTCCCTGTGTGGCCTTCGAGTGCAACTGAAATAGTAATCCAAATCCCGCTCAATGCCTACGCAGAAACCTAGTGGCGACTCAAACTTGACAGATGGAGACGCAGTTACAGCTTCATGCGGCTCCAGTTTGGCCATCTTTTCAGCCACATTTCGCAGCCAAACTGGGCAAGATGCCGATGCCAGAAAAGCGGCAATTAAAAAATGAAATTAGATTTCATTCCAGTGAAGCAGCAGCAGCACTTTTCATTTTTCTGCGCTTCGACCAAAAATGTCACCAATGTCGCTCCGTTTAGGAGTGATTTCTGTTGTTGTTGTTTGTTAAGTTTTAGCCATGGTTTCCAGTGGCATTGTTTGGTTGCCTTTTGGCCAGACCCGTTCGGACCGGGCTTATTTAAATAGTAGGTGACTCGTCTCGGACACTCTCACATATACAAATATGACGGTTATAACCCAATTACAAGCGTTTCTCAAGTTTTTCTGTTGTGTTTTTCTTCGCCTCGCTTGGCTTTTGGTGTCGGCGCAATTTGTACACACTCCCCGGTATGGAGACCCAGGTATTCGCCCCTCCTGCTCCATATGATTTGTTACCTTTTGGGTTTGGGCTCAACACCAGGCCGGTGTAGTCACCAACTGAATCCGACTGTATCGCGACTAAGACATCAACTTGTTTGGATGCCTGTTTATCCATTCTTATTGTTTGCGCAGCCGTTGTTATTGCTCAGTCTACATGGGTGGCTCTTAGGTAGGCGGGCTTGGTTAATATGCCACTAGCTTGGCTTGGGATGTTTCTTAAAGACCTTCTGGGTGATTTTCCAAGAGCAAAAATCAAACCTTCACTTAACTTGTGGTGTTTATATCCGTTTTTTAATCTTATTTTAATCCTTTACACTAGAATATCAATCCTATTTTAAGGTTGCTCTCTTCTACTACGAAGCAAAGTCACAACCTAAGAATATTAGTACTGATTTCCAAGCATAAATTGTAAGATATTTCCTTTAAGCTTACTAGATATTTAAGTTAAACACTGTTCACATACAGGAAAACCTCTCTTAATTCACTCTTCATCTAGAATTTCCCCATGTAAACATTTCCAAGATCTGTTTGGCTGATACTACTAATTAGATGCCCCCACCCACTCCATAATTTCCCCCACGTAACCTTACTAATTAAATTAACATACTCATATCTCCCTACAAGTGTATTTGATAGTCGCTTAATCAGCGAGCAAAACGTTAATTCATGTTTCGCTGTTAGTTCTTTAATGACTCGACATTCGTACTCATATCGTAACACCCAACCTGCCGCCCTTCTTTCAGTTCTGGTTTAGTCGGTTGTGACCCATATTACATGCTCAGAAGCAGATCGAGACGCCAAGTGCCCTAAACGATAACGAGGTGTACTCTATGTCTTTCTGGTAATGCCTTCTTGCACTTGTTGCCGGGCCGCTTGCTAATTGTTCGCCGTGCACTTGAAGCGTTCTTTTAGCCGGCGGCTAAAACAACAAAAAAAAAAGGGGGAAAACAGCAGCGGCCAAGTAAAAATGTCGTACGCTCCATAACGTAACAGAACCAAATTGGCAAGAACCGACTCGCATGCAAGCTACTTTGTTATGCTGCATTGCCCATGGAAGTCACCAAAGGCTGCACTTGGAAAAAAACTAACAACAGCTAATTAAATATCCCGATTTTACCTTATTTTATATTTCTAGAAGGTGTTTTTAGTCATTTAGACAGTACATAAATACCAAAAATAAGAAGGTGAAATAAAACTGAAAGAGCTAAGACTTTTCCTGAATGAAGCCAAGTGTGGGCCGTCTAACATTATTGCCTGTCAGCGATGGCAGCTGCGACGCCTCTGACGGATTTGTGGCCACTCAAGTGGCTCATAAATCTCTTCAGATTCTTTGGTAGTGGCACTGCCAGTGGCTGTGGCAGTGACAGTAGCGACTTTCGTTTGGCGGCTGCCCGATTATATAATTGCCGAACACAGAAATCGCCACTCTCACAGTTAGCTTAATGAACTGAAATTTCACTGCAATAAAAGTATTTTTCTTAAGGCTTTTGTTTATGTTTTGGTTTCTTTTGTCCGCCTGGTCACTACTCGTCATATTACAAAAATAAAAACCAAAAAAAAATATATATAAAAATATAGAGAGAAATTTTGGGAGCTGGAAGAGCGTCTCAACACATTTGATTGGAGAGCTGTCTCTTACCATTTAATCGTCGGCCAACAGGTGCTGGTGTTAAGGCCTGGTGATCCGAGTAGCGGGCTGGCAGACTCCAGGCACTGGCCAGGGAAATCTGCGATGGCAGGAGCAGACAGACCAGGCCTGCTATAATAGTTGGCTGCCAGTCCATGTCGATGGTTAAGGCACCGCTCTTCGTAATCTTTGATTCGGATGATATATATAATATATACACACTAGCACCGTTAGATAAAATCAGAAGTCTCGAGAAACCAAAGTCAACACACTTGATTTATATACACTTATCGGCACGCACAAGAACAACGGCGCTTTGTTCCATTTTCAAATTCTTTTCCAAAAAACCCGAATCGAAAACCCGCACGAATATATATGTTATGGTATGTAGATGCACTGGCTCCTCGGCGATCTGCTCACGACCAAGTTCAAGGTAAGATTAAGCCATGACGCGCATACGTAAGAAGTTTTATACCGAAACGCGACTTAAGAGAGTGCCATTGTGAAAGCGCTCATGGCGCGGCTCTTTGGAAAGTTGGCAGCCAAGGTGACCAAAAGAGAGCCCGCTGCTTGGTGGTTACTTGGTAGCAAGGTAGCTTGGCTATTGACTTGTCGGCCGGTGTGGATTTTAGCAAATGTGCGGCATGCACTGAACAAACGGATCAATTAAGCTGTCCGCTATGCGCATTTCGAGTGTCACACTGTAAGCGATATGGGGAATTCTCGCGGGGATTCGGGTCACATGTGAACCAACGAACTCTGACTTGACCTACGCAGGGAGCTATTCGCTGGGTATTGTGAAAAGAGTCGCATCTCTACCTAAACAAAAGCCGCTATGGGTTTTCAGTTTAGATCTAAGAAAGAAGAGACCTTTAATTTAGCTTTTGTTTCGTTTGTTTGGATGTCTTTATATTGGTTTATTTTATAATAAATCCACTAGCTAGCCTATTTAAATCCAATTAATTGAATAGCTCAGATGAATGTAAAATAATCCGATTGTTTTTATATCTAACAGATAGCTCATACTAAGCCAACAAGATTCAAAAGAGAGTAATAATCCCTCTTACTAAGCCAAGCCAAAGCCAGCTAACTGGCTAACTGAAGTCCTATTAAATCAAAACCTTCTCCTCATTTAGAAGAGGACTGAATAATCTGCATCTATCCTAAATGAATGCCATGAGTAACCCACGAGCTGAACTCCTCTTTCCACATAAACTCCCAGATATCAATGGAAAGTCATTCGTGAGATGCTAATCCTGTGGCGAAATGCTTGTATGGCAGATGCAAATCCTGTACAGGGTCACAGAGGTGGTTTCTTCAATGGAAATCTTACTCCCAACGGCGATGAGATTTCCACCCACATAGGCTAGCATAAACCAATAACCAAATGGATATTTAACACTTTTACTTTTTCCCTAACGAAATTCATTAGCACCTTGACAAGTATTGCATCAACGATTTGTTAAGCAAACTGACCAAGTTTAGGCCACTTGAGAGACAGAGTTGCATCATTGATAAATTCTGGCTGTGAAAAGATACATTTTTCACTTGTCAAGCAAATGAAAAATGAAAGTTTTTCTCCTTAGTTTACTCAGGTCGGGCCCATAATTGATTTTGACAATTCGCAAAATAATGCTATTTGTGTGTAAGGGCTGGGCCTTCGTCACAAAACTGATCTTGTAGAGAGTAAATATCAGAGGGCTGTTTCCCCAAAACATTGACACGCACGAAAAGAAAGTTTGCACAATCCATTGATATCGTCAGATTGAAGTTTGGAACGAGGTGTGACCGAATCGAGTCCCCAATCCCATTTGGTCAACGCACTCGTACACTGCTCGAATTTCTGATTAGCCCCCCTGCATTACGAAATTATCCATTGGTATGAGGGAATCTCACATATGTCGTATATCAATTTCACTTTCAGCCGGACAGGCGACAGGCAATTAAGGAGACATAGGGCTGCCAAAGATGTCGCCAAGGTAGTTGGTATCCCACTGGCGGTTTGTTATCTTAGCCATACTCATACCCATACCCATACCCGTTCCCAGGCCATGTCCAATTATCATGTTAGAAAGAGAGTGAGAGCAGCCAGATCCGCTGACAGCCCGTCTTCGATCCCCCAACTCCTGGCTTGGGCTACTACATCGAACGAAATACTTAATAATAATTTCTTTTCCATTTTTTTAAGAGCAACTAAAACCCAATATCCATTTCTATTAACAAAATGAGATATTTAGTAAATCATCATATGTTAACTTAGTTGTTTAGCTAAATAGTACTGGTAGTGGCTACTAGTAATAGACTTTCCCTAAATCTCTAATTTATGCAAACATTTATTTAATTTCTTAAATTTGCATTGCTACTGAATTTATTTTAGCAGAGCCATCCTATAAATTGTACAGCTATAAAATCGTTTTAAAAATATAAGTTAATGATAACAGGATACCAGTTTTTATAAAAATCATTTTGATTTACCAAAAATTCAAACTATTTACAACTGAATTCATGTGATATTTTTTCTTCGTGCACCTCCGGCTGCCCAGTGTCTTGGCTGTCAGTTAGACGCAATTATCCACATTTTATATATAGTAGAGACAAAGATGCTGGCTCTGGTGGATCTGTCGATGCTCATGATTTGTCGCTTCCAAGCCTCCGAGCCACCAAATGCAGTGGACAGAAAAAACCTTTGGAGTATTTCAATAATCGCCAGTGGCCTGCTGCTGTGCGTTAGAAAGCCGTCGACCAGAGAAATTCAATGTGCATTTTCATTTATTTGTACTGCGTACTCGTCTACCTATTATATTTTGCTCTTACTGCTGGTTTGGCCTTATCAATAGTTGGTTTCAGTAGTTAGTAGCAGCGCCATTTTGTTTTTGGCACGGCTAACTAATTAATTGTAACGCTCGACTAAGGCCGTCGTCTGCCGACAAAGAAGACATCACCGCGTACTCGGCCCGACTCGTCACTCAAGTCGAACGTCACCGGCCCACACTTATGACGGCTGGCTAATGGCTGGCACAGCCGCATCTTGGCCAGGTCCACTATGTCCTCCTATAAATCAGTCAACGAGCAAGATTCCATAACTCTAGCCACCTGACCAGCTTTGGCTATCCCATCGTCATGGAGCAGGGGTATCGGTCTGGGGCTGGTCATTACATGCTCGTCCGACTGTCGTCTGAACGTCTCTAATTGCCTCAGATAAATATTTATCGAGCACCTCGCCTTTGGCCAAATCTTGTTCGGTTTTAATGTGCGGCGCCGGTCGCTGGTAAACTGCTTAATTGCCCGCCAATTGCTTCTGGCTTCACTTTCTATGGGGGCTAATTAACAGGTCCTTGCTAATATTTAATATTCATCATACCACCTGTCAAGCGTGTTGTGCTTTTCGGTGCTTTTCAATGCCATCAAATCGAAAGACTTAGGGCACGAACTTGATAGTAGGAGGTGGTAATTTATGTTGCCTACTTTTCGGCTGAGTTGAATTAATGCGCCTTGCTTTTGGGGCTTAAGCTTTAGCAAAGACTTAAACCAACTATCATTTAAGAAAGTATCAAAAAAGCAACAAATTTCAGATAATCTGGTAACGGTAGGGAGTTTGATCGTGTTGCTTGATTTTAAGGTCTTTTCATATCTACAAAGGTGACCTAGTGCTGAACTAGAAGGTTGGCAGTCAAGCTAATGCTATTTCTTCTATAAAGCTTCTTTAGTAATATGGCTTTTAACCTAAAATGTAACCTAGTTATTACCTATATGACATACATAACCGAAATCAACCCTTTACCTGATATGTGAAATTGCCAAAAGCATCAAAAATCGCAGCTCTAATCCATCAATCATCACTCAAGCATAAAGATATAATATCTCTATCAACTAAGAGCGTTAGATGAGAGCCAGCAATTACTCATCCTAACCATTTCTTGCCATATTTAGTAAGCCAATCTTTCACTTTGAGCAAATATTTAAAGTAAATGAAGCGAAGGAGAAACATGATGAGGTCGAGCCCATTGCTAATAAGCAAATCGGCTTATCCACTCTATAATAATTGCACATAATTGGGCATGTCTGGTCATAGCTCAGAGAATCTCAATCCAGCCTCCAAGCTACTGAAAAAAAGGCAAGCAACAACATTGACGAAATCCGCAATGTCAAGTCATGACTCGAACTTCCATTTCAATGTTCGCGATAAAGTCGATGATTAGGCGCAGCACACGCCCCAAAATGATGATGTGGGCAAAGAAATCTCGGCGGTGGCAGACCCGTCAAATGGCCAATTAATCACAGACCCCCGAAAGCTCAGCCAGAAACGAATACCGAACCAATGGACTTTCTTCCCAAACCCATCAATCACAATCTTCTGGGTCTTTAGTGGTAATTGTTTCGGCCAGCTCAAACAAACGGTGGCACACATCTTCTTTATATTACACTATTTATTACAAATTATCATTCATTTAGGGGCTACTTGGGGCAAATAATTTAATTAAATACTAGGCTCGTAACTAGATTTAGGTGTACGTAAAGCTGCGTCCTCGTAAAGTCGCTGACTAAATGTGTGCTAGCTAATTAAACGCGGTGGTCGTTGACTTCCATGTGGAACTCCCATCATGCGGAACAGCTCTCCATCAGCGGATCAGGCGTCTCGCCCGATACTTTGTCGGCAGCAGGGACATGGGATCCGTGTTGTTGGGCACCTCCCCAGCAACTCCTCCCACGGGTTGGCTATCGGTGAACTGACCCGTGGGGGCATAGGCTCCATAGGGATCCGATCGACTGGCCCATCCACCTGACTGCGATTCATACTGGTAACCCTGACCAGCTAGCTGAGCTTGTGTCTGGGCATTTCCGTGGATGTGCAGGTGAATCTCCTTGCTGGGTGGATGTCCATTGCCCTGACCGCTCAGTCCAGTGGGTCCCCACGATTCCTTGGCATGCGGATTCCAGCCTGGGTAGTTGAAGGAAGGGGCCGTGTGCTCATACTGTCCAAAGAGGCTCGACTTCAGGGTGATGAACTTGCCCAGAATAGCAATGGCATTCATGACTACCAGAACCTTAAGCAGGAAGAGAGACTTCATGCCAATGGCAACCAGGAAGGCAACCATGGCGGAGAGAACACCAAACTTGAAGATGATCGGGATCAGGGCCATCTGCAGGCGACGGATCTTGCCGAAGGTACGACCCTCTGAAAGGGAAATTAAGAATTAATATGAGTAAGATATTTAGATCAAATCTATTAATTAACTGCCTAGAAATCATTGAAGGAAAGACCATGAAACGAACCATTATTTCTTAAAGTGTCAGTGGCGCCAATTCCCAAATGAAATTCCGGCGGGTTTATCTCCCTCAACTGCTATAATTTCATCAATAAACAGAGCTGAACGCTCGGCTATGCGAAAGTCCAATAAAAAAACGAAAAATCGCAAACAACAACAGAGCCCAGCAAAAATATTTTCTCATCGTTTAGAGATGAGCCAGCCGCGTTTTGTTTTCTTATTTAATAAATAATTTGAGCGGCTCTAGAAAAGCTGCGGAAAGTGAAATTACAACCGGCGTCCGGCAGATATATATATCTCATATATATCCCAGTCACCGTTGACTTTTTTCTCAGCTCTTCTCTTCGTGTTAACACCTCTTAGCGGCTTTTTGCTGTTTGTTTAACCGCTTCGGGTTTCATTGAAAACGAAAGTGAGTCGAGAGGCAGGGCGCTGGGAAATCTATTTGAGTTTGATTAGAAAAGCCGCTAATCATTTGAGGTTTAGATGCAATCAGCCTGAATGAGACACGCACTGAGCTGATTTTAAACGACCTCACTAATTGCTGTGTACACAAAGAGAAAAGATGTCTTCATCTTAGTTACAAGAAATAAAGTCACATGTGGACTTGACATTTCAATTATATCACAGAAATGGTTAGGCTTCAGGCTGTTATGTCAGTTTTGTGTTATTAAAATTAATAACTTTAAAGGTTTATGATCAAATTAAGACAGTTTATATAACAAGTATCTTTAAGATACTTAAATAACTTGACTTTAAAACTCGTTTCAATAAGTTCAATCTGATTTTTCCCTGTGTAACCCCTTTAGCCTGCGTTTTGTTTTGATATTTGTTTTTTCATCTTTTGTTTTTTGGCGGGGGACTCACCCACAGCTGAGCTGCCGGACGTAGGCTTCCCGTCGTCGTTGTCGTCATCGCCGAAGAGGCTTTCACTCAGATCGCTGCGCAGCCAGCCCCACAGAGTGCGAACCATGCCCCAGACACTGAGATCTGTGGGATCGGTGGCTGCCTGAACTGCATTGGGGTTCTTGTTACTCGAAGCTGCAGCTTCTTTGTCTGCTGCATCCGCCGCCTGCTCCTCCGCCTCCTCCTCATCGTCGTCGTCATCGTCTTCCTCGTCATCACCATCATTTTCCTCCTCAATTGGCGATGCAACATCATCAGCCTCCGCCTCGGGCTTCTCTGAGGTTTTCTCGACCTTTTTGGTTATCTTGGCTCCTAAGGCACTGCTGAGGCAGCAAAAGGCCAACAGAAGCAGCAGCAACGAGTGCCGCGCACTTGAACTCTTTGTGAGAAACTGAAAGTGGAACCAACAGAGAAATTATATCAGTATGTGCCAGTGCTTGTCTCTCATTGTCCACGAGAAAGAAGAAAAAAAAACAACCATTTCATCATCGCAAGGTGCGGAAATTGCGTAAACAAAAGACTTAGGAAACGAACCTGTTGCCACCTTGCCGTGCCGTGGAACGCACTTTAGAATCCACTTTGAACCACTTCAACGGCTTGGGCTATAAAACGTTTTATGGCCCTGTCTGGGTGCGAAAGCATTTCCCATTTTTCGTTAACTGAACTTAACTGTTGTGTAATCCAAATATTTTTTAGTCTGATGGCAATTTATATGTAAATTTAAGAGGTTGCAAAAATATGTCATGCATTGTATAAAACAGTGATTTATATACCGAAAGAGGTAGCTGGATAAAGACAAAGTGAAATTTAAGCAGGTTATTTTGTTTAGACATTTGGCCAATAACATATAGGGTTAGTTCTTTGTGTTTGTTGACAAGCTAATGGGGGGTTAGTCTGCAAATTGCTACCTTAGAAGTAGTCTTTGATCTTAAGTTAAGTTAAACAAGCGACTTATAAAGAACTTGACATGGATTTAGCTGGGGAATATGCCTTGAGAGTATCTAGTATAAACTTTTATAGGAAATTCCTAACTAAAAGCCTAAGGGCCAGCCACCAAAGCCACAACTCATTGAGTATTAAGCATTCCCACCAAATTTCTTCAGAGCCAAGCTAAGCAACCTTCACTTCCACTTAGTGAAATCTGAATATGAACTACCTAAACCTTATCTCCGGCTAAAATATCTTTACCCAGAATACCCGAAAAAAAAACCGAAAGTCACGCGCTTTCCATTTTCAATTCACCTGCAGAACTCCCTATAAAAAAACTTCAAAAAAACACAATAATAATTGTTATAGCTAATAGGGAGACCCAAGAATATCCATGGGAATGGAACTATGCTAACCCAAAGACAATAAAGCCAACAAAAGGTAAACAAGTTATTTAGAGCTAACGGTTGGCTTCGTTCCCCAAAAAGAAGAATATCCATCACGCGCTGAAGATGTTTTAATTAACAGGGCCAGAAGAGAATTTGCATGGCTAAGAGTTCTCGACATAATTCGCATTCAGTTTGCATTATTTAATAAAAAATAGTTTATTTCTGGGCCTTTGTTAGGCCTCTTTGTTGTGAATGATTTGGTTTTTTATTTTTGGGCCAAATGCCTTTGTGCCCAATTTGTTTTGCCTCGAACTGTAAAAGGAAATCTAATTTGGCATGGCCTTGATTCAAATTTAAACGAGCGGGAAAATTGATTTGAATTTCATGTGGGCTTTTCATTTTCAAATGCGGGAAAACAAAGAAGAAAGTCTTTCCCCAGTGATGCAACGTTTTAACGAAGAAATGCATTGTTAAATACCGATTTATAGGCATTAATTGATTTGCATAATTTTCCAGTTCGGATTGACAGACCGAACTCGGTTTTTCGGCTTAGTTTCACTGCTAAGTTTATTTGTTTTAATCATAGGACCACAACCCTTTAATTAACATCTTCTTCTGGGCTGTTTCGTCATCTCGAAACTTGAACATTATCACATCTGACACACTCACTTTCAGGCCAGCTTCTCGAACTCTGTTATGGGTGAAATTTCGGTCGACGTTATCTGGCCCATATGTAAATATTAACCGAAAATATTTGCACTTGCTGCCGGGCAAGATTTCGCCTTGGGTTCCAGCGAAATGGTGCCGAAAAGCCATAAAATGCTTACCAACTGATGATTCGCTAGATTTAATCCGGTTGACAGGTATTAGTAACCTTTTTTTAAAAAAGATTTAAGGAAGTTTTTCTACTGGCAAACCTCAAAAAAAAATCCCCTTAGCCATTCATTTATTAAGTTAGCTGTTTAATTTGGCAACAATTTGGTATCGTTTCTGTCTGGCTGTTGGGATTACTTAACAATGGTAATGAAATCAACGAAATTAGCAAAATTATACCTAAATGTGATAAACATTATCACAGTCAGACATTTTGTTAATACCGCTAATCTGGCCAATGAAATGTTTATTGTTTAAAATATTAATTAGAGTAATCATAAATTCCCCAAACTTTCGCTTCACGTGGGTGTGTATCGTATGGCCACGGGTTTTATGATTTTATTACACATGCTGTGTAAACCCATAAAATCTAAGGTTTATCTCGGGTAATTATGCATCTGAGGCACGACTTTCTTCGTTCATTGCTGGGCTTGTCATAATAATAATATGAGCTAGTAAAGTTGTTAGTAACTCTTAGCCGATGATGCAATTAAATGGCACGTGGTTGAGGCAACCAATTTAACCATTCGACCATTATCTAATGTCAATATAATGTCGCAGTTCATGACACGACCGTGTGGCCGAAATGTGATTGTTTGGCCAAGTTAATAACAACTGGGGGATCTTGCCGACAATTGAAAAACTGGCCCGAATGAAAACACGCCTTAAAAGAAAGTTTGGCCTGGAACTAGCCAAACAAACAAGTGATTTTTGTGCCAAGAATTGTTAGCATTTGTCACACTGGCTTTTTGGCCAACCTTTTTGTGTGATTTGTGACTCCTTTTCTTTTCACGAGAGATTGAGGAAAAGCAATTTGGGACAGCCAATGCGTGCACAGAATGTCAATGAACAATGCACTGGAAAAGCGTATGTATGATATCTATATGTTTATCGTACAAAACTAGGTCAGTTTTACTTAAGTAAACTTATATTAGAGGCTTATTAAGGATCCATATCTTTTATGGCGGGAAAAATCAACCGAATGCCTCTTAATTTTCCCTCTGTGTGGCCAGCGAACTTATCTCCAGGCCTTAACTAATTTCGTACTCACCATAATGAAGGCTGTGACTCTTTGATTAGTATATGATAATTGCAACACTGGCTCTACGCTGTATCCTTGGTTATTTGTGACTGATTTGGACCACTTTCACGCGAATCTAAGGCAGACACGCAGATGTTGGCCAAAAACTAAATATATATACACACGAGATTGGAGTTGGCCAAGGAGTTTAGATGACTTGGAATTGAGTTCGCATGGAAAGCGACTGCAACGCTTGAGATGTGCCCGTTGACTGGCAATCTGAGCTGGCCTCGGCCACCAGGTAAGATCCACAGTCGCTGCCTCGGCCGGCGTCTCTGCTCGGACTTTTGGTGGATCCATGGTAGACCAGTCTTGGCCAAGTCGTCGCTTCTTCGCCGCGTGTTTGCTTGGCTACCAACTGGCACTCTCACAAAAAAGACCAGAGACACACGCTCTCCCAGTTACAATTTCGTTTTCAACACTTTCTTCACAATTTCCCCTAAACGCCAGCAGCCGCCGAAAAAACTGCAAAGTCAATGTCTCCATCTCTCGGCTTTATCTCTATCTGAATACCCAAGCTTTTTTCTGGGCTTCCTGTATCGGTTGGCTTTATTACGAATTGTCGTGCAATGGCTCAGAGCATGAAAACGCGTTTGGGGAACGTGACAAGACGCACAAACTGACGTCACTGAATGGGCGGCACTTGCACCCAGGGACCCCCCTTATGATTTGAATCAGTTTAAATCTGTAAATTTAGTCGACGCTATCATCGTTCTCTTTAAGTACAAAGAAGGTTTCTCAATCATTTCCCCATTACATTCAAAATAAATCACAATAAAATGAACTCCCAAAGACTAAGTAAGCCAAAAATGAATTCAGCTAATGAGAGAAAATAGACTCATCAGCCGCCATTGCTGCTGCACTTACTGCAGTCAAAAGAGTGAATTGCATTATTTGAAATCAGTTAATTGGTAACATAAAATAATTTAACAATTTCCCCAAAAAAGAGCATTACGAGAGGCCTTGAGAGATAAATGGATTTGGTGGCTTTCTCGTTTCGTGTTTCGCCTGCATGGTAAAGACCGATGGCAAACATTTTTGCCGGCTACCTTTTACAAGCCATCCGTTGCTTTGGGCCGCGTTTCGTGATTCGATTGTCTTGACCCATTTCCCCACTACGCAGTTTCTCTCTCTCTTTCTGTTCGGTTCCCCCCATCTCTTTCTTTTACGCACCCAAAACCATTCACATTCCCCGAAGATCATCTGTCTCAGGCAATTTGCATGATAATATTGTAGAATTTCTTTGGGTTCAAGTTCTATATTGAGAACCCTTTCATATGGCACCGAAATGTTATGATTTGTGGCCAATAATTGTCACAGTTCCGTGAGGAAGTTACAGTTATCCAGAACATTCTCTTGTCTAGCCTTGTTGCTCCAGAAAGGTCTCTTAATCTGAGAGCACCTGTTTGGTCATTTTATGATCTTCCACTTTATTAGCATTACATCAAATGGGGTTGCCACATATCGCTTACATAAACAATGCAGGTTCATTGCTCTGGGCGTCGTTGCAGTGTAATCCAAAGGTTTGTCCAAATCATTACATAATGCTGGCCAACTGGAACTAGCGATTGTCTGTGAAAACCGTTAAGTACACACAACCAGGGGTTCAGGTTCAGGTTCAGCCGGAGGTTGAGCTCTGGGTTCAGGTTTTCCGGTTCGTTTGATGGTTGCTCTATGACAGTGTCAACGAAACTTCTATACAGATATAGACCACCGAAAACATAGTTCTATTCAAAGGTTATCATAACGGTTCTCACACCTTTTCTGTTTTAGCCAGGTTAACATTCGGGATTATCAATATTGTTTTGATCACAAAATTTGCATTTTTATGAGGGACTCATATTTCCTGAGCTAGCTTTCATTCTTCAAAGGCAATTAGCTATCTTAAACGATCCAATTACATTTCTGATTTTCCCTTTTATGGGATAATTTCTGTAGATAAAGATTTTCTTTCGATTTAAGTTACTTCTCTTCTCAGATACTTCTCACCATTAGGTTATCTTAAGAGACCAATTGGCTTTGTAATTTACGAGGCAGTTTTGGGGAGTGAGCAATACAATAATGGGTGGGTATTGCCAGAAAAGTAGAGTGCCTTTTCCAGAGCTTTCATTTGTTTGTAAAAACTGAATAATTGGTTCACAAACTAGTGATAATAAAAGCAATTTGGCTTTAGGGTAGTTAGTTTGATAGTTAAGCTTTCAAACTTTCTAGTTTTTCTGTTTACAAAAATTACTATTATTCTCCCAACTAAACTTTAGAAAGATTATAGAAGTCCTGTTTTATATAAAAATGAATATTTTATTTGATTGGCTGATTATCTTAACGAATGAAAAACTCTTATCTTAAACTAAGGACTACTTCTTACCACTCGAGCCATAAACATTCGCATAGTAACTCTGCCAATTGGCACTGCTCAGAGAGGCATAGGGATTGTAGTAGTTGGTGTTGTAGTTAGTAGGATATAGGTACTGTCCAATCACATAGGGCCAGATGCGTATCTGTGTGTTGGTATAGGGACTCGGTGTTGTATACGTGCTGTAGTAGTAGGGATACGGCGTGGTCTGGTAGTAGTAGTTGTTCAAGCTGGCGAAAGTGGGACTAGCTGTGTAGTAAGGGTTGTATTGTGTGTAGTACTGGGCAGATCCAAGCTATAGGATATAGAAATTTACATAAACATTATATAGATTTGGTTATATACAGTTTATAACTTACCGATAGCAGGATTGCCGTGAAGAGCAGAGAAAGGCAGCTGGATTTGTGTGACATTTTGATGGAGATTCGCTTTCAAACTAACAACTCCCAACTCGGGCATTTCCAATTTATAAAAATGTGACTGGAGATCAGAGAGGTGACAATTTTCCGCCCCGCTGACAGATGCCAATTTTCGCAATTAAGCAGACAGTTTTTGTGGCCACTTCGTCATTGAACTTGACTCATCCGGGTTACGTGCGGTGCCAGCAACCAAATATTCTAGAGGGTTGTTTACCCATAAAAATGGCTTAAATCTATGTATAATGCCGGTGGATTCCCGTGACGTGTGCAACAACAACAAGAGTAAACATTAAACGAAATGAAATTACCGAAAATTGTGAAAAACATTTTGTTTAGTCAATTAATTAGGCAAGCATTAGGGTAGCAATTTGATTTTGTTTTTATTTCGATTTAAGATTGCTTACAAATACGAAGATTATTTGTAAATTATACAATAATGTGGCGAATGGCGGACCCATCCGAGGTTCTTCCGGGGCATTTCGAATGGAAAACTTATAGAAATGGAAATGGAAATGGAACTGGGTACCATCTCTATATACATTATATACACAACGCAACTCCTCCTCTCTCTCTCTCTCGCGATTCACGACTCAATCAATCAATTAAACTACAATACAAAAGTACAAAACGAAACTCAACAAATCGTCAACAAGGCGCTTAAATTAGTTTATATCTCATTTGCATGGAATTTTACAGATTTTCACACAGATTTTTCTGTTTTCTTTTTCAGTTACAATTACTCAGCGTTTTTCATACGGCGTTCGTTTTTTTAATTTAATTAGTTTGTTTTTTGCTTTTGAAGAGACAATAAATATGTAATTAATTGCAAGTCGTTTAGTAATCCTCGTCGTCTTCATCTGGCGGATCTGTGGCATAGGTCAGTTCGTTCAGGTAGAACCATTTCTGAAAGATAAAGTTACTTTAGATTAATCTTATCTTAAAATTATTTCAGCTAACTCACAGGTGACTCTGTGCAGTTGAAATTGTAGTCCCAGTCGCAGATTCTGTACTCCTGGTTAAAGCTCGTCTCGTTGGCGCACAGATGTGGAATCCGATTGCCCTCCTCATCGCACATGTGAAAGATCTGTTGTGTGGGAAAGATGTAGTATTAAGTATAGCATACTTTCAGGCACTTGAGAAAATCTCCTTAAAAGCTTGGCCTAAGCTCTGCAGTCTCTCTCTTTGGTATCTCACCTGGCAATTATACTCCATGTCGGCATAAAAGCCCACAGAACGCCTCTTGCAATCGAAGGAGAATGTTATGTTATCTAAATTCGTCCATTCCTTCGTCTTGTGATTTTGAAATACTGGACTGGCTGGCTCTTGGGCTTGAACCGCAATGGCGGCTAACAAGATGGGACCTAAAATTAATTGAGTTATGAGTTAATATGATAGATATTTATTAGAGTAACAGCTTATGAAACTAACATCTGATTTAGTAAAGAGTAGTGTATGTTTCGCTTTTCCTTTATCAAACATTTCATTCTAGACTTTACTGCAATGAAAACTCCTCTTTATGGATATGCCATTTTTCTGCTTACAAGCCACTAAGTACTTGTTTTTCCCAACCATAACATAAACCACTTTGGCCACCTGCAATTCCCCTTTTGTTTGGCCAAGCAGGTGTCTTGCCTTTTTCGCTGCTTCCTCCTATCTTCGCCCACATTGACCATGGCCAATTTCTTAAGTTATTTGGCTCACGCATGGCCCAAACACCGCGAGTGGGCCAAAATAAAGCCCCGATGACAGTCAGTTAACCGGCTGGCTTAATCGACGCACTTAGCATTTAATTTGTGTCCCCGTCGCCAGCTCGACTTCAAATTGAAGTCTTTATTGAGGCCACTACTCACCTAGTAAAACGCCGGAAAGCCATAAAATTCTATAACTGTAAACCATTTTTGTAGCGTTGGACATTTTGGCGTGAATTTTGTTTTTCTTCTTCTCCGCTTCTTGGCTGTCCGCTCCGTTTTGATATCAAACTGAAAATCCAAATCACGATCGTCTCACTCGCTCTCTCACTCTGTCGCTCGCACACTCTCCCTCTCGCTCGCTCTGCTGGCCTCTTGCTACGCGTCCATTTAGCTGGCTCTGTTTTCAATTAGGAAGCGTGTCGTTCGGTTTATGGCCGGCACATGGCTAAAATAGAGGCGGCAAGGTGGTAGAGAAAAAGAAAACAAAATCAGTTAGGATGGAAGTGAACTGCAAACTTGAAATTAGGCTATTTTGTATTATTTAAGAGGGTAAAATCGTGAATATTTTAATGTAGAACTGAGGGTTAAACAACTTTTAAACATATTTTGTGATAATTAAGTAAGATTTTTATAAGATTTTAAGGTTTTAAGGTCTATAGCTTCTAAAGTTTTAAATATCTTAATCAACATTTAGCCAAAACAAGGCTTTTAACTCGCTCTAATAAATATTAAACGCCTAACTGATGATGAAATTCTGGAAGTAAGACACCAAACATAGCAATATGTTTTCCTTCCTCCATCGACAGGTTGAAGTGGGCTTTCGGCCCATTACAAAACCAACCAGACGAGGCTTAGACGCAATTTACATGCCAAACCCACGCCAATGCCAGAGATTTTGGCTTGACTCATCATCATCATCATCGTCGTCAGCCGGATGTGTCATAGCAGCCATCTCCGCTAATTGATTTTCTTCGACGAGTAGCAGTTGCCAGAAGTTTTGTTACTCCGAAAATCGGTAACCCACACCTTGTCTGGGCTAACAGGATACAGTACTCCAACAATAGCTGACCCACTTTACAGCCATTCAAAATTCTCTTCTATAGCTCAAGTGCCATGAAATTGAAAAGCGCATATCTCATATTACCTGTATCTCAATATCAATCATAAGTTGTCAAATTAACAGAGGGCATTTGAAATGCTTTAAGCGCCATTAAAAGACAATCAGTCAATGGCAAAACCAATCAGCGAAAAGAATTTATTTATGCAAAAACTTGTTTGCTCATTTTTCTGGCGAATTGAATGATTTATTTTGGAATTTTTATTGCTGATTGTTTTATTTTTGTTTTGCTTCTTTTTTTTAGCAGCGAGTGAAAGAAGGCCTTTTACGACCTTGCAGACTCAATTAAATTGTCAACTGGCGATTCCCTCGGTTAATCCAAGTCTTTCACTCGGTGCCCAGGTAAATCCTTGACATTTTATCGCAATTTATGGCCTCTGGTTGCGTAGATGATGTCGATGGCTGAAAGGCCACGGCAGATCCCAGACGAAATAATCGTAAATTGTTTTTTTATCTCGCCCTCCCTCGCAACTAATTTTCAGCGCCAGGAGTTGCGAGTCCGCCTGCCTGCAACCAAAATGAATGATATGCACATTTTTTCCTTTGGTTTCCATCTCTCTTGCAGTCCATGAGTCAATGATGAAGTGAAGGCGGTCTTAAGGCGACGTAAAAGGTCATCAGCGCCAGGCGAGGCAAAAAGCCATCTTCACGCAAAACTGGTGGTAAACTGGTGGATCATGGCTAGCAGGAGGGCCGGGATGAGGGTCTCGGGTTTCGGGAACAAAGAGGCGCCTCCGAGATGACACAGCAGCCATCCAGCTGTCCATTTGGGCAGCTTGTCTTTCACCGTTTTCAATGACCATGGCATGGCGATGGCGCTGGCGCTGGCGCCTGTGACAATTGGTCAAAAGTCCGCTTAAAAGTCTCCTCAAAATTCAACTTAAAAAACCGCCTTCTCAAAAACTCTTTTGACTGTTTCCGCAAAAGTCGACTCAAACATATTTCGTGTCGTAGTTTCGGGCTAATGGGAAAACACTCAAGCAGCTTAAAGTGACGCCCACAAATCCTTAAGAGGGGCTTCAAGCCGAAAAGGTAATTGATTTTAACGGATTTCACACACGGCTTCGTTAAGGGGCGTTAAGTAATTAGTTAATACTGCATTTCAAATCGATTAAGCTTCCTTTGAATAATGAAGAAAGACTTTTTAAATATTCAAGAAATTAGTTTAAGAAATGGGAAATGACTATTATTCTCATATGGAATTCTTTGATGTTCCCAATGTCATCTATGATGGAATTTTTCACATAAGTTGCCAAGTTAATTATTTTCTTTATTCAAAATTACCATCAAGGGCATTCAAACTTCGTTACTAGCTGCTTTAAAGAAGATGCCTCACTACGGATATCCCTCCAAATATTCATGGCATCCTCACTTTTGACATTTTCTGACAAGCGTGAGAAGCGGCTGCCACGAAGCCTCTACAGACTATAGACGCTAGACTCTAGATGCTAGACTCTAAGCTCTAAAGAGACCCATCTGGCTTGGTCCATCGATTGGCTTTGGCTGGTTCTGCTGGCCAAGCAAATTCCTGAGCTGCAACCGCTGGCAAGACTTTGGGCCATCTGCATGCCACGAGCATGTGCGGCATTAATTTTGAAAACACATTTTGAAAGTCTCATTTTACATTTTATGTTTTGTTTGGGCTTTGTGCCTGCTTTGGGCCACGTTGATTGGCTTTGCGGCTGATTCGGAAGTTCGCTGGCGTTGCCTTGCGAAACATCGCACTAATTTGTTAATTTCTGACGCGTAACCGAAGGCGCAATGTTTTATGGCCTTTTGGCTCGGGTTATTTATGTTAATTTTATAAATTACATTATTTCTTGATGAAACAAAGGGAAACGAGAAAAGAAAGTAATGGCCTTGACTTCTGGAAATTGTAGTTTTTTAGGGGTTTGGGTTTGGAGTTTTCTTAGGCATAAAGCAGCACTTTTTTATATTATTTTAACTTAGTTTAAGTAATGTTTCACAAGATATCAAGATTATATTTGACTTTATCATAACATTACATCACTCTTTGATGATTTCTTGCACTGCAAATATTGTTTATAACTTCGTTTTGGCCCAAGGTTGATTGCATTTCGCCAATAATTTATTTATTTAAGCTAGAAACTAGTTGGTTTTTGAGTTTAATATCCTGTCTTGATTAGGAAAGTTTGTTTGTCATTGTTTATTAAACAATTAGCTGCCAAGTAAGCTAATAAGAAAAAATCAAAAAACTTAACAAGACCGAGAGAGGAGGCAATTTGAAACTTATTTGCGCTTTTTTCTCCTACCATGGCCTAGCATGTGCAACAAAGTAAAATGAATTGGCAAGAAAAGCAAGGAGGAAAAGCCGAGAAAATGATTTCACGTATGTGTGTGCAGCGGCGGAAGCGTCGCTAATTGGCGGAACTGCCGCTCAGCGTCGGCAACAATGGCTGGAAAAATAAAAAGCGGCAGAAATATGTTGAAACCCGGCGATGACGACACCTGAGATGGCTTATTGCCACCGCCCCTGCCGGATTGGATCTGGGATCTCGGATCATGTATCTCGCATCTCGGATAGATGGCCAACACTTGCATAACCGGGCGGCAAACATGGCCTAATCATCTCATCCGACTCCCAAGTAGCGGTTAGCCAAATTGATTAGGCCGACAGCGTTGACACTTCAGACTTGGACTTTTGTTTGTTTTGGGAAAAGCATAGCAAAATGGCAAAAAAAAAAGTGAACAAAGCGACGCCGTTTAATTGAGCGGCGATCCAAATGAAAACCCGCTCGACAGGCCAACCCACCCCCTCTGGCAAACCAACCCACCGCCCGTTCCAGGCTACGACGATTATTGGCCTTGAAAATTCGGTACGCAGAAATGCGCTTAATGCGAAAAATCAATATCGCTAAAAACACAAACACACATTCATACACACATCCCCGGCAGCAGCAAGTCAACAAGAAAAAAACAAACTTAAAAGCCAACTAAAAAGTTGATCGCTCGGCTCAGAAAGAAACCGGCTCAAACTCGGACTTGTACTAAAAGCGAGCTGATCAAAAGCAAATTTTAAAACGATTCAGCTACACCAAAGCCCGCGAGTTTAACATAAATTGTTATAAACAAAACTTAAACTAAATTATAGACGCCAGCAGAGACTCTAACTTGCTGGGAAATTAAGAAATATTTAAATATATATCTTGATTCATAATTATATTTAAGCAAAATGAAAAACCACACTTTGGCAAGCTTTATAAGCATTTAGAAAATATAAAAAACAGCTTAGCAAAAGCCTTAGGTGTGTTAAATATATATTTAAAAAAAGATTAAGGCAAATCTCAGGAAATTATGTGTTTAAAAAAATGTAGGAGTTAGACATTGATATTGAAAATTATATAAAAACGAAGAGCCTTTGTTATGCATAAATTAAAATAAAATCAATAAATAAATAAAGAAATATAAACCATTTTGAAGATTCATGGTTGGAAATCCTAGATCTTAACCCAACAATAACTCAGCAGAAACTCAAATCTTCCAAGAGCTTGGCTTTAAGGTTTAAGAATACCCAAGTGCCACCTTCCCAGGCTGATACCGAGTGGCACCGCTAATGATGCGATTATTTTCCTACCCAAAACATATAACATTTAAAGCCAATTGACATCTGTCCGACATAATAATTAAGTTGGGCCATAAAGAGCTTGTCAGCTTAAGACCATGTTTCTATGGATTATTTTTCGAGTCACAACAGCCCAATAATTTAAGGAAACCGATCGTCGCGATCGATAAATAATGAATATATGCGACCGTAGATCTATGAAAATGGGGAAACACCGCTTGGCAAAGGAGAGGAAATCGATTTTCAATGGTCAAGTTTAAAGAAAGTCAGGTGACAACCCGTTTGGCACTGGGAAAATATAAGCCAATTAATTACTGCATCTTAATTTCTTGTTTATATAACCATATATCAATGCAGATCGCTGACTTACCAATTAAATGAGAAATACAAATAATAAATGGTTCAGGTTCAGGTTCAGGTACAGGCACTGCACTGCACAGTAGCTTTAAAAAGAACACTGATTTATGGTTTAATCTGAAAAACCTTCCTTGGGTACGGCAATCGGTGAATAGATATTAATAAGCATAGTGCCCATTGTTAGCCCGAAAAGTGTGTGACCAGGAAATGGAGGTGGGGAGCTGGAAAGCGGCCTCAAAAGGTCGCACGAATACGAAAACTAATAATTAATTAAAATTCCATTAAGTGCGGCAAGATAGCCGCCAAGAAGCATTGATCGATCACACAATGCCAATTCAGTGATTTAAATGCCATCAGCAGCTGCCACAAAAGAAAAGACCGATCGGCTACCGATCATCAGATATATATATATTTTTTTTTGACAAGCAAGATCCCCCAGACGATGTCCATCCGTCATTAACATATCAGCATTAGTGCTCCGCCAGAAATAACAATCGTTACAAGGGCAAAACAGCCATCACCCGGCGTTGATGCCGATGAAATATTTCAGTTAGTCAGTCAGTCAGTTATCTGGACAGATAGATACCCATCGCTGGCTATAAGCTGATATTTTTAGATTCGCCACGGTAACATCTCATTGAAGTTGCCCTTCCTCACGCCAAAGATCTGACAACCCTCAACAAGCCGAAAGATCGCAAATCATCCAATTTGTAGTGCGAATTTGCCCTGTGGCTGCCTTTTCAAGTTGGGTATTAGGCCTGCATCCCAGAGATACAAAGATACCAAGCCGTCAAATCATTAGACATTGATGTTGCCACGGAAATCAACATTTTGCAAAGGCTATATATTTATATATATATATTTATTTATTTCGCAATCTTGTATTAAATCTTAAGCCTTAAACTTGTCGGACTTGTTGGCTAGCTTTTCTGCAAGAAATAAGTGTGCTATTGAGATCAACATTTGTTCGTGAGCAGGGGGAACTTTTCAGGCCTTCCATTCGTTCTTGGGGCTTTTTGCTGGCCAACTCATTTTAGCATTAGTCACTAACTTGTTGGGTAGCTAGGCAAGGACATAAGTTAGGCAGAGATGTGACCCTTTCCAGGAAATGGCTTAAGCTGTGGCTTGCTGACGATGTCTAGAAATCTTTAAATTTGCTACCAACAAGATCCGGTTAAGAAATGTTTAAGTTTTCCTAAAGTTATTGCCATAAAAAGTCAAACCAATGCCTTACACTTTTTAAGACATCGGAAGTATTGGCCAAACATCGTGATCTAGAGCAGATTTTATTTCACTTTTATAAAAACAAAAAGGCGTTTAAAGGCTGCTTGATCTTAATATTTATCTTTGAAAAACACACCAATCTATTTCGATGCTTGTTGTATAACAAGTTCCGATGCTCTGCACATTTTAGCACCAAATTTATGATCGCACAGTCGAAAATCTTTCCGCGACGACCATAAAATGAGTGTGACGCAAACGGTAAATCCATAATTAAAATGAATTAGTTAACATAAATTGAATAATTTATCGGTGCGATTATTCCGATTAAGATTGTTTGTCTGCCAAAAAGTAACTTTGTTCTGGAAACAACAACTTCACTTGGCATTTGCTGGCGATTGGCTGGTATGTGGCAAAACGATTCTGGTTTCATTTCTCAATTGCGAATGTAAGCTGAACCGGTTGAAGCGAAACCCTTTTGGTAGAGTTCAAGGCTCGCCACGTGTCGTATACGTGATGTGCCGGCACTTGGGCAAATCCAAAATCCAAGTCTGGGTATCCACACGTTGCAGTAAACACTTTTCACACAATTAAACAGCAGCAGCACTCAGGCATTTAGACATTTAGCCATTCAGCCAGCGGGCAACATTAACTAACTAACTTGTAATGTGGCAGCAATAAATTTTATGTAAATCGCCGCTTTTTTTGTGCAGTTTAAGTCCCATTGCAGCTACAATCTGCGAGCTGCGAGCTAAACAATGCAAATAAATTACGGCTGCGGGTACGGATACTTTGCTAGCTGATGTGCAATTGAACGCAGAGATGAACACACACATATATGTTGGCAACAAAAAATGGGAGAAGAAATAACAAAACACCCGCCATCGCAAACACAGATACTCGTACTAGGCAAAAACGCAGAGATTTTCCAAGAATGCGCCGCACAGCTGCACTTAGAGATGCATTTTCTGGTGGTGCTTGCTTAGTTTAGGCAAGAAAAGAGTCTTAAAAGGTGTCCTAGAATGTTCTTCTTATAAGTAGAAGAAATCTTTCCTAAAATGATTTCAAGTATAGATTAGCAAGTCTATTATCCAGATCCTCAAGTAACATTTGTGGTATAAAATCTCAATAAATGAAAACTTCTTAAATATAAATCCTTAGTTTTTCACAAGATTTTTTCCCAGTGCCCGACGAGCGGGTGGCTGCTGTGACTCTCAATCTCAATCTCAATCCCCATCCACTCTCAGCTGCTGTGGCTGTTGCATTTAACCTGCACCACCAACAACCAATGCAAGCAACAAGTTATTTTTGTCCAAGTCATCGATTGCATGGCAGCCTTTGGCTTCGTCTTGGCTATGAGCAGTAAATGCAAGTGACTCCATTGGATTGTTTTTTATACAATTTACCAAAGAATTTACACATTCCTATCGTAGTTGGGGTTTTAGGGATCTCACTACCACTAACCACTGAGAAAAGCAAACTGAAACCAGCTTTGCGAAAACAGAACTTGCTAATTGAAAAAAATGCTCTAAAATTATAACGAAAAATGGAACTTTGCATAAAATTAATACTAATAAGTGTTATCGCACAAAAACAAGTTTGTTTTAGCCATAAGGTCAAACTATCAAAGCTCCCAAAATGGTTTAATAAAATCACCTAAAATATTGGTTAGCAAGCCAATTAGCCTGAAAATAGTTTAGATATTAATGAGCAAGTCTATTAGTTTGGGATGCTGGTCAGTCAGTGTCTCTCAATTACCTTTTTGTATATATTTTTCTATATATTTTTAATATTTTAGTTTACAGATAAATCTCAACTTTAATCACATCCATTATAATATTCCGCCTTCGCCTCTTTACCGCTTTTATTTATTGATCAAGATTGTTGTGACACGCAAGCATAAATTCTTAGGTATAATTTAAATTAATGACAGCGTTAATTTATTAATATTTTTCATTTTTGTCTTCCATAATTTCATGAATAAAACAAAACTGATCATAGTTAAGATTTATGCTGATATTAACACATACGTATTTAGTTAAGAAACGTTTTCGGTTTTTCTTAGTTTGAATTTTGTTTTTAAACTTTTAGTTTAGACACTCATTGGAGAACTTCATTGTGATATTTATACTTATTTTTACTTCACTTATTTACTTTATCTAATAAAAAACCTAATAAACTAAACATTTTCCATAAAACAGCTACTTTTTGGATCACATTTTTCCCTGCTAGGCAAGCTCAGATCGTATGACAGGTGGCCCCCCGCTGGGGCAACTTGTTTACTCGTTCTTTTGCATATTCATGTGGCAGATGTGACGGCTAGTCGCCAGCATCATTGTGATGTGCTGTTGAATGTTGAATGGCAAAGTTTAAGTTACTGATCCGAGCCAGAAAAGCCACTCGAACACCTCCTAATGACGGCCGCTTACGCAAATTGCTCCGATTTGTGACAGATTTTGGTGTTTTGGTAGGCATTGAATTATGCTAATGGCGCCAATGGCAATACATCATTATGTGCGTGGCCCGCAGATCGTTATGTAAGTTTCAATTTGGAGCAAACGCACACAGGCACACGCATTATATAAGAGAGATTTGCAGGCTGCAGTTTGCCAAGGGGCCTACCTTGATTTAGAGGTTGCACTGTCTCGGCTGGGTATATCCAAAAATCCAAAAATTAAATCCAAGTCACTGAGGCACTGCAAACGACTTTCTTGCCAAATCTCGAGGCTGGCGCTTAATTATTTTTGAAAACGCATTTGCATAAGATTTTCTCGCTGGGCATATGGATATATATACTCGTCTATATATATACAAAACGATATATAAAATTTGCGTTGATATTTTATGTAATAAACACTGGAAAAACTATTGCTATTATTACGATGGCGCGCGGATTGCTATGGCTATTTCACCAGCCAGAAAACGGCAACAAAATATATTTTATATATATATATATATCTATATAAATATAGCTCTTTCTTCACACGCACACACACAAGTCGCGAGACGGCTTGAATCGAATCGCGTATCCGTCGGATGCAAAGATACAAAGATACAAAGCCAAAGTTAAAGTTAAAGTTAAAAGACAAAGCAACAACCGTTCGCTCAAGCGCCCGTTGAACGAATAAAACGGCCCAACAAAACTTGGCCCAAACACTTGACTTGGTCGGCGATAAAAAAAACACACAAATCGAATAAGCCAGGCCAAAACAAAGACAAGGCAAAGACAACAAAGTCAGAAAAATGTCTGCAAAGACAGGCGCGAAATGAAAAGTGTTTCGTTGGTTAGTTTGTCTTTACCGTGTTTGCCGTGGCTTTTTGGCCAATATGCATTTGTGTTGGCCTCGTTAGCTTACGGTATGTAGTCTTTTGGCCCGGAGACGTGAAAACGTTTGCAAAGTCAGCGCTCAACTGGTTCGCAGGCCGCCGCTCAAATTGGTTTTATACGCGGATCGGATCGGATCGTATCCGAATATCCATTCGCTCTCGAATGGAGCGCACTTGTATCTCAGAGATACATCCGCTGCATTCGCAATGGCCCAAAAGAGATGGCCATTGAGGTAGGTTTACACGCCCGCAGACTCCGTCGACTGTGGTGTACTTTGGCTTTGCCTTCGGCTCGGTGTTGCCAACTGGTTCCACTTTGGCCTGAGTTGAGTTAAGACTCAAAGCTGTGGCCCATTCAAAATTCAGTCACTTCATATAGGGAAGTTCATGGCTAGGCAAATGGGCGAATACTGATTAGCCAGTTCCATCTGCCAACTTTCTGACGCATTCAGCTACCAGTTCTGGATGGAGATATGTTTTTATCACCTTCTTAAATACTCTGCGAAAGGGTATTGCCATTTAAGGGGCGCCTTTACAAGTTTTGTTGAAGGTTTTTATAAGTTTTCTTTATTTCTTATTTTAAAATCAGAAACTAGCAGCATTTTGGTGAGTATTTTTCTACTCTTTAAGTAACTATTTTTTTAGAATTGAAGAGTCTTACATAGTTTATCAAAAATGTTTACCCTTTTCAAAGCAAAGCTGAATAGGAAGCCTGTTCTCTAGATGGTTCGATTTTAATGGCTATCAAATATCACAAAAGTCATCTAATTCTGATTGCAGATTCTGAGGTGATAAACTTAAGTGTATTTCAGCTATCGGGCTGTCCACCTCCGCCGTCCTTCCTTTCTCGTTTTTAATTAACATAATTAAAATAAAATAAAGGCGAGCACTGGCCACAGCCGCAAAATGTATACTATAAACTGAAATTAGCATGAGAACAACTTTTAGTTTTATTCACTTCTTTTTTTTCTGTGATATTTTGTCTTTTTTTTTGGGGGGGGAATCTTCGGTGTGAGCGTTTCTGTTTAATTTAGATTTTTGTGGTTTTGTTTTTGGTACGCTGCTAACTTCGCGTCAAGTTCATCAAACACGTCTGATTAGGAGCCCGCCCGCTCTAAGCTGTACAAGTAACTGGTTAGGCTACCAGCCCCTGAATCCGAAACCAAATCCAAATCTGAATCTCTGGGGGTTTTTGGCCAAGTCAGAGAGTCTGGTCATTTGAATGCCAAAGGCATCGCACGCTGCTCTTTTCACATTTGCCGTTGGTCTTTTCGGCTTTAAAAAGCAATTTATGATGAGCAGCGGCGCAAACGGGGAATTTATGACCGGCGGTGGATCCACAGCCGACACGGAATCAGACACCGATCCACCGGCCGTTTGATGCGCTGCTCTCTGGGCTTAAATGTCAAACTAATTTAGCCAAGACACTCCATTAAAACTGGATTAATTAAAGGCACAACGGCAGCCGCAGCCACAGCCACAATGAAGCTATTGATTGCGATCGGCCAGCGGATATATATCTCCCCGATCCATACAATCCGAAGGCTTTCAAGAGCTGATTGGATGACTGATTGATTAGCTAATTAAATGACTTATTGGGCACCCACTTGATGGAATATCTGTTAGATATCTGCCTGCCTGCTTAGTTCGAAATTAATGTGACAGAATTGGCAGCTATGGGATTTTTATAGTAGTTCAAGGACCAAAGAGATTTATAATCTTTGGGCTTTAAGTTCAGTTCCCAAAAGAATATATATATTCAGAGATATAAAGTGAAGAAATAAATATGCAAAGTGTATCTTAATGTCAGCAATAACCTTTGCATATCCATTACAAACCGATTTGATTGACTCCCTGAAGTGTGAATCACGCATTAAGAACTTTTCAAGTGGCCTTACTTTACGAGGTCTTAAAAGTATAGCCCACTAATAAAGTATCTTAATAACAGACTTATTCTGCCGGAACAACACAGACTGAATGAGCCAACTAACTGAGTAACCAAATACCTGAGAGCTCGAATGATAGACTAGCTGATTGATTATCTTATTGGCGCCCAACGTTTGTCAATCGCCTGGCGACGGTTGGCTACAAGTCTGCTGGTAATTAGCTTAGACCTGGCTCATACTCGTACAATTAGTTCAAATATTTTAATTAACAAGTGGCAACTAGCAGGGCGTATGCGCAATGTCGTATCTCTTACCGCCAGCACTTAGTCAATTAAAGTCGAGTGGCCCACAAGTTGGCTCATTTCATTTCCAATATAGCTACATATTCATGCGATCGGCAGTAAAACCCGAAAAGGAAAGGAAAGGTGTTGACCTTGTCACAAGCCCAGGCCAGCACGCATCGCGTCTTGGTTTCTCGCCCGGTTTACCTTCTCCCCAGGAAAACAACAAAAGATAAGGCAAATGGGTTTGGAAACCCTTCAGAAGATCAGAAGCCGGTCTTAAGACACGCCAAAGTGAAAAAGTGAAAGTTAAGACACGCTTAAGTCATCCCTAAATCATTTCAAGTTCAAGGTTGCCTTTGGTCACTGGTATTTAAGTCTTTTTAAAATACATATATTATAGATATATATTTTGTTGGCCATATAAACATATATATTTGCGCTAATTTCTTGACATTTACCGCTTTCATTCACGGGTATATGATTGTTGTTGCTGCCACACTTGATCGCCAAAAATTATGTCCATAATTACACTGATGTTAATCGATTTTTAAGTTGTATACCCCAACACACGGATTATACAACAAATATTTAACACCTTGCAGACAATGGGAGTTGGGTTTTTATCGCCGTTGGATTACGGACTCGGGCGACTCGCATTTGAATTGCTTTTCAAATCCACTCAGTAAATTAAATCGTGTAGATTCCATTCGACGGGTAATAACCCGTTCAATGTTGAAAGTCAATAAAATATCAAGTTTTTATTTATTTTTTATACATATGTGCTGTGTTTTTTTTTCGTCTTTTTGTTTTCGTTGCCAAGCAGCCGAAAAGTTTGCATTCAAAGCTCCTCTAGCACTAACTGCATGTTATTATCTAGAGCATGAAATCCAACTGACCGCCTCACTGGAAATCAACTCGGCTCAACTGGACTGAACTGAACTGGACAAGTGGCTGGTGGCTGGTGGCCAAGAGATTGCTAGCACAGCAGAATCAGCCAGGTGATAATCCACTCAAGACGGCTGCCGAGTGCACTGTAATTCGTCAAGGGGGATTAGCTTTAAGGGGATTTATTAATTAGGAACTTATTACTTAGAGTCTTGAATAAATTGGAAGGAAATTTATAATTTTAAGTTTAATTAATATAATATATTTAATATATTCTCAAACTTATAAGATTAAAGAAGCTATTTAAGTTATTTAAGACAAGGTTAAGCAGCTTTCCTCTTTCATATACCTTATAAGTACCCCAAAAAAAAACCCTTCTCATTATTTATGTTTTGAGTGTTGCCATTTCATTCGTGACAAGATTTCTTCAGTGACCATAAAATCTGTGAATTTAATCATGTTTTGTTTAAATAAACGCCCATTCACCGCCATTCCACCCACAATCCATTTGGCCGCCTTCCTTTCTCCCTAAACCGCCCAAATAATTCTGTCTGCACTTGCCCAATCAGGCCCGTTTCCTCAACTAATCTGTCTGCAGAGTATTGCAATTTTCCTAAGCAGCTTCCAACCACAAAAGAGCAGTGCAGCAGCCAATGAAGTCAATTACTCAATTTCCCCCCTCATTTTCCTTGGGTGCCTAAGCTGATGGCAAACAATTGCCGCTCAAAGTTGAAGTTGAATTGGCGCTGCCTGCAACTGAGTCCGCCCTCTTGGCTACTGCGCGCCACTCAAATTCCAATTCAGACTAATTTTCTTGGCTTCGAGAAGAGCACATATACACACTCATGTGTTTGGCCAGGCTAACAGAGTGGCGAATTTGGCCATTTTAAAGCAAAAATCGTGCAAGATGTTCCACTTCAGCAGGTGCCAGCTATTTTCAAGGAAATTTGAGTCCAGCAACAATGTGGGATTAGCATTAGCTTTATTATTACGAAATTCTACTTGATTAACTATTTTTAAAGAAGTATTAGTATACTAAAAGCAAATTAAAAATTCTACAAAAAAACTATTTTAAATATATAACAGTTCTTAGGTTAAAGTTAGAAAAGTTTCTTAGGTTTATAGATTTAAATCCAATTTTACAAACCTCTGAGTTATGGTCAAGAAACCCGCTATATTTCCTTTCAATTACTATAACTTTTATGCAAATTGATCAACCAAATTTGTTGGTTAACAATAGTGGCCATCACTGACGTCGACTCACGTGCAGACGGCCATCAAGAGGAGGTGAGGGAGAGGAGAGGATGAAGGGTGAGCGACTGGGGCGACTGTCGTCGGGCGGTCGCGTTCGTTTCTTAAGTCATTCGTTTTGCCTGACACTAAACTGTTGCACTAAAGTGTTGAGTTTGTTTGGCTGCTTTGCTGGTTGCTCCGGCTTGTTTGTTGTTGTTTGGCGCTTGTCGATTTTACAGCCAAGTTTGTTTTGGGCTTTGTATATGTTTTTTTCTGTTTTTTTTTTTTATTTTTGTACTTTTTTTTTGCTTGTTGTTTTTCTACATTTGCCATGTAGTTGGGTCAGGTTGCAGATTCGAAAGTGGGTCAATTTATTACTGCAATGAATTGGTAACGCTGTTGATGCTATTTGTTGCTGCTGGCAGGGTTTTTGCCTAAATTTAATTAACTGCAATCATTTGTTTGGCTGCCCGCTGCCCGCTGTCTGCTCACTGCTGGCCGCTGTGGGCGTGTCACTCAATTAACTCCGACAAATTCGAACACATTCCGTAAGAAGAAGCTGCCGAGGATGGGGGAAGGTCATTCCTCGCGGCCAATGGACCAGGAATAGTCGTCAGCTGGATGTGGGTTAAATGTTAACCCATGTACTCCGGCTAGACCCAAGCCCACGATGATGATGAGCCTCGCATTGCACATTGCATAAGCCGCGTGAGCAGCCGCCGGCAGCTGGATAGTAAAAAATAGTCAAAAACACACTTGGCAATATTTTTTATTATTCGTTTAAGGATTTCAAAATCTCTGCAATAAGAATTATGTTAACAAGATTTCATAAGACTTGAAGATATTTTATTAACTAAATTAACAAATAATTACAGTTTTTTAAGAGACTTTTTATGGTCAGAAGTTGCTAAGAAAAACGTCTAAACCATTAACCCTTTTTTTCTTAGAGTAAAGATAGTTTTTTTTCTGTGCATAGACAAATAGGAAAATGGTAGAGTGCAGGCCATAAATACGGCTAGGCAGAGTGCTCAAGTGCCATGTACAAGCCATTAGGGAAGACATGAACGATGCTGGCACTGCAATCTGTTTTCCTTCGGTTAATGTCTTCGATTTCGACTCGGATTTTATGTGTGAGAAATCCACCGAAATGGTAGACTGTCTGTCTGAAACGCATTTCGGCCATTCCGAGCGTGTTTTATGGCCAGCCTGTGCAGATAAACCAAGGCAACAGAAGCCAATGAATGGCCAATGTGGGAGTTAACTCAAGACTCCAGTTGGCAAGCGATCTGTCTAACCATTAATGTTTCATACCAGAAACCATGGCCTAAAGAAGAAGTGCCATCTGCAGAGACCTCAGGAAAGAACTCAAAGAGACTTAGCAAGCTTGAGGAAGCTTAAAAGCTCTTGTTTGAGTCTGCAGAACAAGCATGAAACTGTGTTTAAGCAAGTTAAAATAGCTTAAGATACAAATTCTGCTTTGATTTTTGACATTGCTATTAATACGATCCACTATTTTTAATTTTGGTTTAATTTTTAAGGTTAAGACAGCTTTTTAGATTCTTGAAATATCATAACATACCACTCAGTATAAAACATAACTCTATAATGTAACTTTATTTCCAAAAATTTTAAAAATTACATTTCTTTTAATAAGGTTCGGCTATCTACATCGAGGATGTTACCCATATTTTACTTTACATAAGAAAGCAGTTCAATACATGATCGTCAAATGTAAAAGCTCTGTTAGCAAACTTTTTCAAGCAGTGCAGCCGTTAAATTCGAAATCTAAAATTTGAATTTCCTGCCTCTTATATATATATGAAACATTTAAGTCTAAGCTTTGTCATATCAACATATTTGTGTTTTTCAAGTCAGATAACTTATATTAATAAATGATTCAGCATACTTCACATCCGCTTTGGGTTTTTGTTATGGCATTTTTAAATCGCACTCTTAGGAATTTGTGGACACAAAAAGTTAGAGCAAGCCCTTTAAATTCCCTGGGAGGTCATTTAAATTTTTGTTTTTATGGTGACCTTTATGCGTTAGAAAATTACCAGAAATTTATTTTAAATGCACTTAAAGGAAATTCCCTACATTTTATAAGAGTTTCCCCAAGGGATTTCTTTAGCTTCCAAGTCTTGAAATTTTCAGATTAGTTTTCAGAAATTGTACTTTTTATTAAGGCACCAGAACCAGCTTCAACTCCAAGAATTTCCTTGTTGACTCATTTAAATTTTCCTTGCACTTATGTGTTGGAAAATTACCAGCTGTTTTGGCGAGTGGCGCCTTCGCCCATTGCGATAATCAACTGAAATCCAATCCACTTTGTGTGGCCCAGCAAAACCCGAGAATAAAGTAAAATCAACAAATCCAAGCCGCCAACTCGACTCGCAATAATCGCTCAATGAGTCCCATGAAAACGCACACTCATCGAAAAAAGTCAGAGAAACGCCTTTTTATTCAGATATAAATGCTTATATATTTGTAATTTATTAACTAATAAATAACGCAGTCGAAAATAGGCAGATAGCCCAGATGTTGGATCCAAAATTAAACCTAAGGCTATAGGGAGGGAGAAAGGTGGGAATTATTATTGATAGGATGGATGCTGGGGAGCATGCTTATCAAGCGGTTGCCTCCTCCTCCTCCGAATCGTAAAAAAACTGTAATCGATTCCGTTTTTGCTGACTTTTTGCCTTGGTACACCTAACCTCTTATAGGCTATGTCTGATCGGCTTTAGAATGCACAGACAAAGCCTAGTAGAGGCTAGATTTATAAGGAAATTCTCGGTGTATAACGGTTTAACATTGGTTACTCCAGTTTTCCATGGTTTATACTATTTTATTTCTTTTGAATTTCCTATAATAAAAGCAGTCAAACGGCAGCTGCGCCGCTTTCTTTGCATTGCTTGGAATCTGGATTTTTTCGTTTGCCGTCTAAATTTATTAACTTGTTGCCGCCGTTTCGCATTTCGTGTTTTGCGTACAGTTCATGTTTGATCTGTGGCTCGTTTTCGTATTTTTTTTTCTTTAATATAAAACTGCCACGTCTTTCACTCGCGACTTTCACTTTTGGGGCTCGTCAAGAGCCAAATTAATTGCAAGCCAGTCGAAAATTATCAGCGGGCGATTGTCGAGCGCCCAAATGGAACGAATGCCGCCTCGCAACTGATTGCCAGCGGTATATATAAAGATTGGTGCGACTCTTGTTTGCCAGAGAGCACGCCCTCTATCAGCAACAACAACATGCATGTTTATGCATTTAAAGTTCAAGTTCAAAGCGGCGAGAATACGAATTAGAATTCTTGCTCGGCCGCTATGTCTCTCTAAGTCAAAAGAGAGCGAAGATTTGAGAGGGGAGAGCTGAGTGGAGAGATTACGGATTATGGGAGAGTAAAGCGTGTGGCCAAGTGCACGTACACCTCGGAACAGAAGGAAACAGAAGAGATCGTTATCTACACGGGGAGAACACAGTGGGTGTTTAGTTTTATCAGAAGTGGTATCTTAACTGTGGAAATCTTTAGACTAGGTATCTCATAAAGATTTAATGGAAATGGATTAAATAATATTTCAAAAGTTGAATTGAAATCTATCTACAGTTCCAAACCATTAAAGGTTCTTAACTAACTAAAGGAACTTTTTTCATTTAATTTCAAATCATTTTAAAACAAATTAGTTTTTACGGTGTAGTGCTTTCTATTTCGGACCGGCCTTTTGCTCTCTTTCTCTCCGAACTTCTCGCTCTCCGAAACTGTGAATAGACGAAACTAGAGCTAGTTTCTCTTCAGTTTTTGTTGTGTTTGTGTAGTTTGGGGGGCAAAAAGTAATCCATGTCAGTAGAACACTTTCGATTTTCTTTTTTTTCGCTTTTTGCGGGCGCGTCGCGTTCCTGTTTTTTTTTCTTTTATTTTTTCTTCGCTAATTGTTTGATACTATTTTCGATTGTGCTTTTGTGGATTTTACTCGCGAATTTAATGGCCAAACTTTCACTTGGCACAGTCAGAACTGAGAGTTTCACTAGAACGTTGGGTTTTAACTATTTTTTTTTGTATGGGTCCTTGAGGTTTTCTTTTTCTCTTTTGAGGCTGCCACCGATCTCGACACTTGCACAGTTTTGCTTTTAATAAACCCGAGTACGAAGTGATTTTATGCTTTTATACTCTCGGCAGCGACGCTTGCAGCGCAGTCGGCGTCAATGGCGGCCATTGCGTGCATATATATATACATATATCAAAATATATGTATATATATATATATATGACGGTGCGTGAGTGTGTGTGTGCGATCGCTTCATTTTATTATTTTGTTTGACTTTTTTATATGCGAGAAAAGTACGAAAAGTAAAGCGAACGGAACGAACGACGGCGGAATGAGCATTTTGCATCGCCCGATCGCCGCTTTATATATTTGCCTGATCCGTAGCCGCACACGCACACAGTCTCAAGCTTGCGATTTCGCGAATATGAGTTACTTTGCGTTCGAGCATCGTTCTTTTTGGGCACCACTTATACTTTGTTTTCCTTTTGGCGACCCACTCACACACACACGCTAGCTTTGGGGCTCTTCCTGCAGCCTGCACCGCCCACTCCGCTCCCTCCGCTTACCTTTTTGGCACACACACTCTCTCAAGCAGATCTCCTCCATCTACAATGGCGGTCAATATTTTAGCACTACAAGTGCTATGGATAGCAATTTAACTTAACATTTTTGGAAATATAAATATATTTTTTGTTCAGGATGAATGTCCAGGGTGAAAATATTAGTACACCTATTTGATTTGCTTTTACCAGAAGTTCATATATAAGCAATTTTATTTGTGAATTTATAAGCACTGCTAGTAACTTAACCGCAATTGTAGGCTCCCAGACGCGTCGCTGCCGCTGTCTCTTTTCTACCAGGCGGAGTTTTTGCCGTTGGGTGTTGTCTGCCTTGTTGTTTCGCATATTTTGTTGGTTTGCACTTTTTGTTGGCCACTTTCCTCTCTCCGAGGGCGCAAATTAAGTCCGAGTCATTAAACCGGTCAGCTAAAATAACGTGGCATCCCAAAGTTAGGATCGACTTGCCTTGCTGGGAGTAAACAACAACAAGAACATCTTGATCACTTGTGGTCACTTAAACGCTTTGTGCAGGGGCCCGAAGTTATTGACCGACTTTAGTGTAATCCGAGCACCACTGACATTCAATGCTCTCCGAGGAAATATGGCACCATCTGATAAATGCACCAGATGAGCGGAAAACATAACTGTTCGCACTTGAGGGGATTGGTTTTTTATAATGATGGAGGTACTCCCATCATGATTTGCCAGTTCGTTATGGAATTATAAGGCTATACAAACTGGAATGCCTTTATTACCTACCATAATTAAACGGGCAATTATGTCACCAGGCACATAAAGTTAATTTAAGCCAAGAATTTCCAGATTGTACAGCTGCAATTAATCAGTTGATTGATTCTATATGTATCTATCCCCGAAATTATGACTCTCCCTGCTTAAATGCAAGTAGTAATAAGACCCGAAAAAATGTAAGATTTGATAAATTAACTTGAACTCTCAATACACGCGCAGCCGTTAATTATACGCCATGTATATCAGTCGACGTTCCTGTTTTTGCGCCTTTTGTCGGTTGTCGAGTGCTTTTCGTGTCGCATTTGTTATATTCTTATTCTGGCGAATGCATTGAACTCGGCTTGTTTATTTAAAAATAAAAATACAATTTGCACAAAATAAAGAACGCCGAACAGAAATCGAATCAGCAAACAAAAGGAATTCATTGTTTATGGCATTGCCAACCTGTGCTTATGACCAGGGGCGGATATGAAACGTATTTGGGAGGGGTTTTCATTCGTTCATTTACATCTCCAAAGTCCAGACTGAATAAGAAGTTAAACTTTTTCTTACAAGTAAGCTAAGTAATTCTCACTTTATTTAAAGCCAAAGTTGATACCCTTTCAAGCAAAGCTTTAGCTGGTTTTCTTTCCACTGTCCCTTTGAGATACTCTCTTATGCACACGCCTACTTAGCTGCTCTTCAATTGGGGCGCAAAATGCAATTTCGGGATGTTTTGGCTTTCGGGTGGCGATTGCTGAGAGTCGAGTTCATTGGCTTCGTGTAGATTTTATTTATCAGTTGAAATATTTTGCTAACAAATTGCAGTCAATGACATTAACCGCACAAAAAGGCGCACACACATGCAGGGCGGATGTGCCACTAGCTCCGTCTCTTTCGGATGCGTGGGGCGAAGAGGAGTAGGAGGGTGTGCTGGATAAGGAGGGCGAAGGAGGAGCAACCGAGATGGCGAACAGGTCACGCAAGCGTACAACAGTTTATTCATCTCGCATCTCGCCAAAATGCGCAGCAGCGGAATCAACAAAGTTTCCGAAGCCCCATCGATAAAGTGGAGATAGAAGACTGTCTTCTGCACACTTGTGCAAAGCTCCAGGAACAAGAACAAGACCAGAAGAATCAAAAACAACGGCACTAGGAGAAAAGGTGGGTTGGATAAACATTTATTTTGATTAATCTGAAAAAGAAATACAAAATTTTAATACATATTTTAGTCAACTTGCCAAATCTTCTTATAAAATGAACATTCAGTAAGTTAATGAAACCATTCTTACTATAATATTCGTATACCTTCTATTAGTTAATCAAATTTCTTCCCGTGTAGCGAGCTTTACTTTTTCGGGTTTCTGTTTGTCCAGAAAAAGATGACGGAGGGTAGTATGAAAATGAGGGGCGAGGGCGGGCGGTTCGACTGCAAAATTGTTTAATTATAAAAAGTAAAAAACGAAGCTAACAGCCAGAGCGAGAGAGGGTGAGATAGACCGAGATATGCAGAGCGAGTGAGTGAGGGACAGAGATAAAGTTTTTGTTGAAGGACACACACGGTCTTTAAAAGTGAGTAATGCACTGGAGGTTGTTGACTCTATGCCCGTCTCGTTCGCTCTGCCTGTTGCCATCGTCGCCTTCGCCTTGTATATGTATATATTTTTTTTATTTTTTATTTACTTTTTTTTGTATTTTTATTTTACTTATTTTGCACTGTCCACTGTGCCTGTTGTTGTTTTTGTTTGTGCTGTTGCTGCTGCTGCCGATATTGTATTCAGTGCATCAGTATGAGTGAAGAATCTTTTGTTATGCGTTTTTATTTTTTGGCATTGCTCGTGTGTTACTAAGTGTGTGTGTGTGTTGTGCAAAGTCAAAGTGATTAAACTTTATGCGCAATTTATTTTGCATTCACCAAAACAGCAACAAAAGCAACAACATGGCTAAGTAAAAAAAACAGCCACAGAATTATTGTTTAATGCTAATTTAACACACGTCAAATGTGGTATCCAAAAAAGCTGGCTGACTGAATTAGCTTTTACAGGTTCAGCCAATCGCAAGGTAAGATAAGCAGAGTGATAAGAATACACAGCACGGAAACTGACGTCTTTACTGCTGATTTTGCCTATAAAATGCCACGTTTAATTAGCGATTTAGAGTAAAAAGTTCTAGAGGAAGTTCAAGAGACGAAAAGCTGTCAAGAAGGCAATGAGTCTTAAGGAACTTTTGTATAAGATAATCTAAACTATTTGATTCCGATTTATATGATTTATTTCTATAAGTAATCCAATATTTTCGACACGCAGCAGCTGCTTTAATTGGCTGTTTGATTAATTTCAATATGCAAATATAAAATTGCAACAAAGTGGCCACAATCGCCTTGCAACATGACAAAAGGCATTGGAATTTAGGCATATTTTCCGGTCTGATTGACTCGACTTGACTGTACGAATGTCGCACGACAAGGAATACGGAACATGTGCCTGGATGCGGGTGCTAAACATCATCCTCATCCTCAACCCCATACTGATCCTCATTCTTCGTTTTCAGAAGTTAATTTCACCCTTTTGCTTGTCCCTATCGTTGTTTTTTTTCGAGAATTGGGGAATTGCAGTTGTGGCAGCCGAACAACATGCGGTTAAATGTTGACACCCAGCAGACGCCACAGTCAACCGCAAAAAACGCAAGCCTCGGGATCTTCATTCCTGGCCGGAGAGAAAAAGCCTAATGAGTGGGATGATCCATTGGGGTGGACCGTGTCTTATGTTTTTAGGATATTTTTATATTCATTACATAGAGTAAACTATATCTATCAGTAAAACTTTGGAAAATAAAATCTCCCCGAAAACTTCGAAAAGTATGCAACATAATATTTAATTACTGAAAATAAAGCATACATTTCTGCAAATATAATAGAAGGGCCCCACAATTTTAAGAAATATTTAAAATTAACATACACTTTTTAAGATATGACATATATTAGTTAGGTGACTGAAAATATTTGGCTTAAACTGACTTTGTTTTTCCTCAATCATTCCACCCCAATCGCGTGCAGGCAACCTCCAGATGCGCACAATATGGTGCTCCTTCTGGATGACGCCGCCGGCATCATGGCCACAGTTGCACTGCAGCCACTGCAGTTTTTATTATTTTTTCAGCTTTTTTCTGCTGTTAATCGTCTTGACGGCGCAGTCACATTGTGCGTGCTGCTCCCAAGGCCAGTGCAATATTTTACACGAGTGACATCGCCGGCGAACTTCCGTCAGTGTTGCTGCCGCTCTCCATATACCATACACGTACACACTCTCTGTTCATTCGGTTTCCCCCCCTCCCCAATCACCATACCCATCCCGATTCCATCTCCCCATTGTGCGTCATCGCTGGCAGTGCATTTTCATGGCTGTTTATATCACCAACTCCCCCGACAAAACCAAACACCCCCACACGTACGCACTGCCGATCGTTTAACACCCACTGTAAGTGGAATTGCAGGCCAGACAAGTTCTTCGAATTATCCACACAGCCAGAAAATTATATACTATTCAATCCATAACTTGATTAATAACATCCAGGCAGGAAGAAAATTATATACAGCGTATCGAAATTGATTAATGGTTTTCTTAACCCCACTTGGTGTGGGCTTCCCATCGTGACGTATACGCAATATTTGCAGTCTTTACGATTATTTCGAGGTATGGAAATAGTTTAATACATGACATACATGAGTTTTTATCATTATAAGCTGTGATAATGGACTCTGAAATTAGGTTTCTTATCTAATGGACTGATTTTCGGTTTTACTTGCCATTTCGATATAATTAAATGGTTAACAAACTAATAAGTTAATACAGTTTAATATGTAAGACTAAACAGAAAGCAATTCCCGTTCATATACCAATTGTTTTCAGTGTTTAATCAATCAGGTTGCTATCGACTCGCTCCGATATTTGTTTGTCATTAGAAAAGAGTTTGAATCTTTTTTTTGGGTGAGGCCCATTCTACAACCAAACTCTAGCATAATTGTTACTTTGTCTTTCACTTTTTAAATTTGTATTTAAATTTTAATACCATGTTACTTTTGTTTCCCCAGTTTTACTGGAAAAATCAGCTAACGATGCCGCTTAAAAGTGACTCCTTGATGGCTTAGTAAGTAACATATAAGATCATATCTCTAATAACCATCCCATCCCTGCAGCTTCTATGCTGTAGGCACAATGGGTCTGTTGGTGAGCATGATCTGTGTGGCGATTCCCCAAGTGAGTCACTTCCTGTGGAGGTTGTATAAGATCTACGCTGAGTACACACCCATCACTTACCTAAGTAATGACCACTTGTCACCCGTTTCCAAGCACCGACTGAATCTAGTGGCCAAGAAGACACTCGTATTGGACATGGATGAGACCCTGATCACATCGTGGACAAAGAAGCGAGACAAAAGCGCCCAGAGAATGCCATTAGTACCCCACGACTTCAAATTCTATCTGCCGCAATACGGGACCGAAATCTATGTCTACAAGCGTCCGCACGTGGACTACTTCCTAGATCGCGTATCCAATTGGTACAACCTGGCTGTTTTCACAGCCGGAGCCAAGGACTATGCCTCTCCGATTCTGGACTTCTTGGACAATGGACGAAATGTCCTGAAAATGCGTTTTTACCGGGAAAATTGCATCGATGTTTTTGGTCTTAAGGCCAAGTACGTATCTCTGGCTACTCCTGACTTGTCCAAAGTTTTACTTTTAGACAACTCCAAGGCGGAATGCTTTTTTAATGTGGGAAACTCTATTAACATCAAGTCCTATAAAATTGGCAGCCACGATGAGGCTCTAATCAATTTGTTGCCCTTCCTCGATGCCCTGCGCTTTACCAAGGATGTACGATCCATCCTCCAGCGCTGCACTCGTTTCGAGTGTCTCAACACGATTCTAGAAACTGTCGCTTAGTGAGATCTCCACGTTTTAATTTTGTTAAATTTTTAAGAATTGAATCACCGGATTATCAACAAAGGTCGGGCTATTTATATTTTATTTTTAGAAAGTCATCGTTTGGTTTAGACTAAGATTGAAGAGATTTAATAGTTATTTACTTGTTCTACATAAAAAGCATTTCTTTTAAGCCAACAAGTATTTCCTAAATAAGTTCGGTATGTCATTTGCAAAAGGAAGTCCAGTTTAAGATGTTATGTTAACTTCGTCCTGGTTAGAGTTAATATCCCACTCTGCATTACCAGCTCTCGCCATCTCCAGTTTAGTCATGCAAGGGCGTGCTTAGTCATGTCCCAGCTGAGGAAGGCCAAGTGATTCACTAAGTAAACGACTTCGGCCAAGGCTGCAGCGATATCAGGGCACAACTCATATTAATCAGAGGCTAGTACAATATGCTCCACTTTATCGGCAACTGAGTTGCGACAGTGAAAAATGAGCAAATGTCACAAGGATCATAGGGCTTGGCCCGTTGTACCATCTGCATTTCGATCGGAGTTAAAACTAAAACTGGTTTCCTTAAAAGAAAGCAAAAACGTTAAGCAAAAGTTACTATTAGTGTTTCGAATATTTCATATCCTTTATTGTTCACAGAACTGAGATATACGTAGCAAGAGTAAGTATTAATCTAAAATCAAAAATCAAAAACAATTTTGTCTTAAAGCGAATACAGCTTGGATATGAATGATAACTTCTGTTTGCCTATACGAATTGGTAAAGCTACGCGTAGAGGAAGCTACTATCCCAGAAACTTACTCTTACTTGCTGACACTTGCAACCAATATACCCCAAAGAACCACCAGTGAGGATCGAATACTTTTCGTGCTAATCCCTAGTCCAGCTCAGCCATTTGGGTGCGGCAATTAAGTCACCATCACCACCGGCGAGTAGGATCTTTTGTAGAGGGGACTGTGCTGGTGAAGGGGCTCGCGTTTCCAGCGAAGATCATTATTGTCTCGTCGCGGATGCTGAATGCTGGATGCTGGAAAGTAAGACGACGACGGCGGCCCCAAAAAATAAGGCAGCCAGCGGGCGGCGGGGCAAACAAGTTAATGAACCTGCGTCTGGGATCCTTGGGACACCCGAGTGCGCGGAGGGAAGCCCGTCCAACTAGTTTGGCCCTGGTTTTTCGGCTTTGGTCTCTTTTGAGGATCGACCATGGCCGCGACCGTCGCGCCGCGCCACGCCGAATTCTGTGGCATGAATTCTCTGGAAATGATCGAAATTTCATTTCATTGCGGTACGGCCAGCCGAAATTAAGTTCAACAGCATTCCACCGGTCAGCGACTGTCTGGGCCCGGATTTTTTGGCAAAAATACTAGCCACTTTGTTGACCAAGCTTAAAAGGGAGTAGCGATACCTGTACATCAATAGGAATCGACTCCTTAGACATGAATTCTATTCGGTAGCAATATTTATTATTATTCGGCTAAATATATCTTGTTTTTGTTTTTAACAGAAAATGTTCAAGAATAATTTCGTGTAACTTTAATTTTGATCAGTATTTTAAGAACATTTCAAAAAGGAACAAATGACCAGAAACAATACATTATGGAGCTTAAAGAAAGGAAAGCAGATGCCTAGGGATTAATTTCCGCACAGCTCCTGTTTCGCGGCTAGGTTCCCCCATTATCCTTGGGCCGGGAGTCATTGCCCTGCTGCAGCTCGCATTACACAATTGCATCGGCGATCCCGATCGGGCGGTGCTCAAGTTACACAGAACTCCAGTGGCCTACTTCCACTCGAGTGACCCGCAATGTCCCCGAACAATACCCTTTGTGCCTGTCCCATGGCGGTCCAGAGAACAGGAGCAAAAGCAGGAACAGAAGCTGCGTACAGCAACCCCATTATCCCGACCCTGCCCAGTGAGCCAAAGACAAAGAAACCCATTTTGTCGCATTCAAACAGAAATTAATGTAAAACAAAACCCAATCCAATTCCAATTCCAATCCCATCCAAGAGCTCACTGAAAAGGCTGAGAGGGAGCGCGCCGAGCGAGGGAATATAATTTTATTTTTATAACTGACCTCGAACTTTTGTGCAATGTGATTGAACTGCCTGACGATATCTGTGGGCCCTGCTCTGTCCGGCCCGCGTCCCTGTCCCTGTCCCTTTCCCTATACGGGACATGCACTTCTAAAAAAACTATAAATACTGTATAATAATATTTTAGCCTAAGACATTACTTACTCAATAAAAATAATTGTCTTAAAGGATGTATGTATCTGCTTTTAACCAATGCGTATACGTAATATTAATAATTTTAAAAATAATATTTCATGTTATTCTTACTGTTATATTATTTCAGATATTTATATTTGAAGAATTTGTTTTTGGACCTTATATATGATATATCTAAAACCCATTTCTGATAGCCTATTAATAATTTTTCACAGTGTGTCCCGATCTGAGCTGCAGCATTTGCATGCAGACTGCATACGGAGCTGTTGATCGCCTCCAACTCCGATTCCGATTCCGATTTAGAGACCGAAACCGAGCCTGGATGCAATCGTCGGTTGACAAACAATATGGAAATTCTACAGAGTGCGCTGAAATAAAAGGGGAAGCGAAAGCGAATCTTAAATGGCAGACCGGGTCGGTGTGAAGGGGGGCGTGGAAAGGGGCGATAGTTGCAGTCGTCAGCGGGGAACGTTAAATGCATAATAAATGTGCGTTCTAGAGGTTGGGAAATAAAATGCGTGCAGCGACGTCGACGCCTTGCACTTTCAATGACCAAACACAACGATAAGAGAACCAGAGATATTATACAGAGAAAAAAATGTTTAGAAAATGTTTGAATATCGTTTGAGTTTTATCATGATCTTAGATTCAAATCTTGTTCCTAACAAATTAATGGACTTAAACTCGTGCTGATCTTAAGAAGCGACATTAAGATGAAATCCAACATACACATGTATACAGACCCAACATTTTAAAATGTAGCAAAAACCTATCCGCAAGAATGATCTTAACATTAAGAAATTGTCATGAAATTGGTATCCAATCTTATCTAATCTTCATATGCTTTCTAAAATTGTATTACTTTTGTTTGCAGAAAGAGGTGATAGCAGAAAAGCAGGGAATCGTATTGATTCTCCTTGTTGGAAAACGCTAGTTCGACAACAAACTTCTGATTGACTTTGTTTGCCAAAACAATTTGAGAGCGTCAAAAGATAATGCGAAAAAAGAGAGGGAAGCCAAAAAACACACACACAGTTCTTTATCAAAAAGTGCTCTGTGGCTTTTGCTGCTGCTGTGCAAATATTTAATACACTTTTTTCACTCGCGAAAGCCCAAAACAAAAGAATCAAAAAAAAAAGAGACGAAGACGAAGAAGACAATAAATAGAAAGCAGAGGCGTTGGCAGCGAATGCCAGTCAAGCTTTAATTCCCCAAAACAACAACAGTATGAGAGCAACAAAACAGCAGCGGAGGCAGCGGCCACAAAAAGTGTTTAGCTGACGTCATTTGTCCTTGAATTCGTATATTTGCCGCAAACCCAAAGCGAAATTCGCAAAATTCAATGCACTCGCCAACTAAACAAAAAAGCAGCAGATAAGATGACGTAAAACAAAATAAAAACGAAATGAGAAGCGGAAAAGGAAAGCTACATAATTCAAAATTTGCATTGAAATTGCAGGAATACATTAAATATAATTGTAAATGGAAATATAGTCGATAAACTGTACAATGAATGAATATAAATGATTTTTTTGGTAAATTTAAAAGTTTTGATTTTAAAAGCATACCGCCAAAATTGTCAGCTTCCAATTAGTGTTGTAAAAGCCAATAATATAGTGTTGAAAAAGAAAATTTAGTGAGGACACAATACTGGTCAGGGCCGCAGCATTAGCAAAGACACCCTCCTTACCAGTGGGGAATAATTCCGAAATAAGTGTGGTCAGCTTTTAAATATTTTTAAACATTTAAAAAGCCGTTGGGTTTATTCGCATACCCCGTCCACGTTCACATTGCGAAGCACAAACCAAATAAAAAAAATAAACACGCGCAGTTTTTAATAATTCTTACTGAACCGTTTTTTTGATGCGGAGTCGGTTTGTTGGGGCGAGCAAAAACGGTGAACGCCAGGTGGGTTTTCATTGCAGGTTGCAATTAGGGCTACTTCCTCTCTTCTCTTCTCTCCAATTCTCCGTTTCTTGGCCTGTTTTTTTTTGCGTAAGTTCAGGTCTGCTGAAAACTGTGAACTAATTACGAAGCGCATGATTGCTGGGCCGTTAAACGGAAAGCGGAAAGTCTGCCTTATCGACTCTCATTTATCACCTGCCCTTTGAACCCATACGAACCCAATTCCGGATCGCGATCCGTCCCTGAATCTCCTCGTCTGTTTGCTTATAGCTTATATACGGGTCTCACTTTGATATGCTAATCTCCAGGGCCCACGCGTATCTGAAGTTGACAGTCGGCAGTCGGTAGTCAGTGGTCCGTAGTCAGTTTCGTAATTAACTTAACCCGTGTGCTTGTACGTCTTCTTCCCCTCAGAAAAGCTACGTAAATCGATAACACACCCTCCCACAACACAGCCAGCCCACACACCACACAAATCACAATGGGTCAGACTCTGTCCGAACCGGTGACCGCCAAGGAATCCTCCTACTGCCAGAACGCCGCCTTCCGCGTGGGCTCCAGCTGCATGCAGGGATGGCGGATCAACATGGAGGATTCGCACACTCACATCCTGTCGCTCCCGGACGATCCAGGAGCAGCATTCTTCGCCGTGTACGATGGACATGGAGGAGCCACGGTGGCCCAGTATGCCGGCAAACACCTGCACAAGTTTGTTCTCAAACGACCAGAGTACAATGAAAACATTGAACAGGCATTGCAGCAGGTGAGTCATAGGAAAATCCCTTTTAGATGGCGGGAAATGCCAAAATTGCTTAAAGACGGTAGTTCAATAACTTTGTGCACCTTTATGAACTCCCTATGATTAAGGCAATGTAATACTCAAAAATGAGTAAAAACTTTAAAATACCTACCAAGTTTCAGTAACCGTTCCTCGCATATATTCATAAAGCCAACTAAGATTGATATCTATTCAGGTGTGCCTTATGGGCATTGCATTGAGTTCCATTAATACGTAAACACGTTTTGAAACCATAGATATAGATAAATATTGTAGGAATTATACCCATATCGACATCAATATATTTGTTTGCCTCTTCAATGAACCGTAATTATTAATCATTAAAGGCAGATCCTCATTTGTTATATCCATATGAACATCGAGTTACTCATATGCAATACTTTTTTCGTCACTTGGACTTATTTACTACCATAGAGAAGAAACTAAAGATAAATGATGGAAGTATATGGCTTGGTAATACCTAGCAACTTATTTTAAAACTGTTTTATCTTTTTGCGGTTTATGTTTATTAGTTTCCATATACTTTTTTGATAACAACTTCAATACAATAATTTTTTTTTAACATTATTCCATTCAAATCTACGTACACCTACTCTAGGTACATTTTAACCTTAGCCAGAATTCTCTTTTCTCATCACAATGTATTACTCACAAGCTCTGATGCAATTACAGGGCTTTCTGGATATAGACTACGAGATGTTAAACAAAGAGTCATGGGGTGATCAGATGGCCGGCTCCACTGCCGTAGTTGTTCTGGTCAAAGACAACAAGCTATATTGTGCGAATGCTGGAGACTCTAGGGCCATTGCTTGCGTGAACGGACAGTTGGAGATCCTTTCGCTGGACCACAAGCCCAACAACGAGGCAGAGTCCAAACGTATAATCGAGGGCGGCGGATGGGTGGAATTCAATCGCGTCAATGGCAATCTGGCACTTTCCCGGGCACTGGGCGACTTTGTCTTCAAGCGGGCAAACAAAAAGCCGGAAGATCAAATCGTCACAGGTAAGAATCACCCCATCCATTGTTCTTATAGTCCATTATCACCTTGTTGTTTCTTGTTCTCCGTCCGTCTATATAGCCTACCCGGACGTGGAGACACGCAAGATCATGGAGGATTGGGAATTCATCGTGCTGGCCTGCGATGGCATTTGGGATGTGATGAGCAATGCGGAAGTGCTTGAGTTTTGTCGCACCCGCATCGGCATGGGTATGTACCCGGAGGAAATCTGCGAGGAACTGATGAACCACTGCCTGGCGCCTGATTGCCAAATGGGCGGCCTCGGCGGTGACAATATGACTGTGGTTCTTGTCTGCTTGCTTCACGACCGTCCTTACAGCGATCTGATAGCCCGCTGCCGGAACAGCAACCAGGCGTCCAACGAGAATGACTTAGCTGGCAAGGTGGCAAAGGATGAAGCCGCCGAAGATGAGGCGGAAACCGATACCGAAACAGAAACACAATCCAAACCCTGCCAGAAGCAATCTAATTCCGGTTCCACGGACGACGAGAAAAAGCTGGAGAAAGAGTCACAGGATGCGCTGCTGGCAGCGGCCGAAATGCAGCTAAACTATATATACTAGTGCGCCTTACGATTAATTAGGGTTACTCCAATACCGCTTAGGTCAACTCTTTATACTTAACAACGCAAGTGTTCTTGGTTAAGTTTTATATAAACACAACAAACAATCGTACACAACACAGTCCTTACCAAAATGTTTGCTCCGATTAATAATACTTGTTTTAATTGTAACCCCACGATGCGTGTATATACATATATGCCTTGTCTAACTATATAATTGTATGATTTACTATATTTTGTGATGCCCAAGCAAAATGGATTAAAAAGAATTGTATTACTCGTTTAGTATTTATGTACCTAAATATACTTGTCAAAGTTGTTTGGGATTGATCTTTAAGAAAATAGTGAAGAGTTTCAAAATTAAAAATAAAGAAAAATGTTTTGTAGTGCCCAAGAAAGTTAAATTTGTTTTATTTTAAACTAAATTGCTGATAATTCTTAAAGAATGGCAATTCAAGAATATGGGCCCAAAAATTATTAATATTAAATTAATGCAAATTTATTACTCATTTCAAGATTGTCTGGTATCAAATTTTATGGAAAAAATTTTAGCTACGAATCCAAACAGGATATAATTTTTTTTAACAAAAATGATTGTGGCCCTTTTTTATTGGCTTGCTATTTAATAAGACTTTTAATAAACAAAAAACCGTTGTACCCTCGGTTAAGCAATAACTTGGACTGGGTTGTACTGGTTTCTGTAGCTGGTTATCGCTTTATTGTTTTTCTTTTGGCTATCTATGTACATATGCACATTTAATCTACATAACGCCCGCTCGTTGTTTCTGCTTGTTTTTTAGATTGGTTTCCATTATATTATACATACAATAAAATAAAAATAAACGTAAGAACTGCCAGTGTAAGTGTTCTAGTGGGGCAAGTAGTGCTCATGAAAAGTTCCGCCCGTATTTTTGTTTTTAACTCGCAAGTATAAATTTTATTTAAACCTTTTCTTTTAAGTTGTGACGAGTGCAGATTTCCACTTCCTCATCATCATCATGATCATCATCACCATCGTCTAGTTTTTACGTACAAAGTGTTCAGGCTTAACTATCCTATTATAGAGACAAAATTAATTACGCTTTTGAGTTTTTTGGTTGTTTCTCAGTGTTTGTATTTTTTTTTTTCGTTTTGTTTTATTATTATAATTTTTATTTATATGTATGCCATCATATTACACATTCAATTATGTATAACTGCTGTTGGTTTCGCTTTCGCTTGCTGCATAGAGGGATATTGTATTTCTTTATAGTTAGTTTATAGTTTAAATCATATGCAATTTTATAAACTTCTTGTTACTTTACAGTTATCAATTTCGGTACAATTACAAATTGATTATATATATATATATATATTTATATAAGTATGCATGTACTTCTCGTTATTCATATTACATATTTTCATTTTTGTTTTTTAACAGACAGGTTGTTCTTCTTTTTGTTGTGTTGTTTGTTTTTCTAGTGATAACAATGTGCGTAAGCATTTTTGTTTAGCGTTGTTTGTTGTTTATGGTAATAAAAATAAGGGAGTAAATTCAACCCAAGGCAAATAAAAAAAAACTCAAAAAGATCTCTGACCGTCGTGGAAAGTTTAGGAGTTATATCGAAAGCAAAAATAATTGGGAAATGGCAGTGCCATAGAGAATGATTTAGGGAAATCAGGAGGGAAACGCCCTCAACAATGTATAGCTAAGGGTATGTACAGTGGTTCGGTGAGGGGCATTCCATAAAATTAAATAATACCAAATATTTGGATGGTGTTAAAACAAAAACTAAACCATATTCTAAGCTTTTTGTATGTGTTTGTGTGGTTAGGTGTCGTTGAGGTTGTGTTAATGTTAATGATAGATGGTTGGTAGTGTGGTGTCAATGTGGGGAAATACATAGCTCTATGGGAGTGGCATGTCTGCTGAACTTGCAATAGTATTATTTTGTAAATATAACAAGGTGTCATATGCGCTGCTTAAGTATACAAAAATAAATAACTTAAGAACTGAGGTTTACAATTTAACAATTTAATTTAATTTATTGTATTCCTTAAAATTATTCAACATCAACAATGTTCCTTTACTTTCCCTATACCCTATTCTCTCTATCTCTCGCCTCTCGATCTCCGCCTTTGGATGGACAGCGTGGTCAAGTGTCCAAGTGTCGACTGTCTTCATGGCCGAGTGGGCGTTGCAATCTCGATCGGCATTGGCCAAACCTCCATTCCGTTCATTTGTTTTTGTTTTTTGTCGCACACAATTGATGATTTGTCAATTGCATAATATCACATCTCATTGTCGGAATTCTGGAGCCGCCGCTCATCGAGTCCGTTTGCTCCACTCTGGCCCTCATCTATTGATTCACCTAAAGCACAGTCCGCAGTCCCAGTCGCAGTCCGCCCTATTGAGGTTCAACTGTACAGTGTGTTTAGTGAGTGTGTGTGGTTTGTGGTGTGTGATTTTGTATTCGTGTTGGCAGCCGACAGTGGGTGATGAGCACAACAAAATCATTTGAGAACTTTCCAAATAAATGTGTGTGAGTGTTGGGTTAGTTGGATTATAGTTCGGGTCTTTCTTCGATTTGGAGGAGAAGATACAAACTATAAACTATGAATTATTTAAAGATACATTTTGTGTGGCGGGTACGCGACGGAACACTGAGCAAGGTATACTATCTGTGTAGTGACCACCATCCCTAGCGAAATATTTGGATCCGGATTCTGGGATCCACGATCTCGTCAGGAAGCCCACTGACTGGGCAAACTAATGAGTGATTGAAGGATAAAATGTACTGAATGATTGATTGATTGCTGTTTATGTCCTAGAGGCAGTTGTGTATTGTGTGTGATTGAATGCGATTCAATGGGCGGATGGTGTCACTTTGGTTCTTGGCTCAGTGGTCGGTCAGTACCCTGCTCGTATGTTACATATTAGTTAGTATAGGCACTTAGCATATTCGATTGTTTTCATAGAAACAAAATATATGTGTATATATATATTGATTTTTCAGTTTTCTTTTGTTTTTCTTATATTTTCAATTTCATTTTGGTTGGAAGTCTTGCGTTTAGAGTTCATTTTTCTTATTCTCCTTCGATTTTTGATTTTGGATGAAAGTTTTAGTACTTTTTTTTTTTTTTTTTTTTGGGAGGGGGGTGGTTGGGTGTGTGGTTTTGTTGTGTTTGGTGGACAAAATTGTTCGGTTTGTTCACAGTGGGTTAATAAGTTCATAAGCATGTAATTTAGGAGAACAAAAATAATACAAAGGTTTTTATCAATTTGGTTGGGAGGTTGTGAAAATGAAAATGATTAGTTTCGATTTGGTTTTGTGGAAGTGGAAGGGCAAATCAGTTTTGTTCTCAAATAAAGGAAATACCCAACAAAAGCAAAAATGTTGTTAGGTTAAGTGTGAATATCTATATATGCATACCTAAACTTAGTTCTTATGCCTAGAATAGTTTGTAGATATCGTGTGTATGCTCTTAAAACTACTGATTATTTCTCATTTCTCCCTTGCCAATTGTTTTTATGCTTCAAGGATTCATTTCCATGCTTCTTTAATTTAAAACAAATTAAGACTCCATAAATCAATTTGTGCGTAAATCGTGAACAATTAAAAGGAAAAACAATAATTAAAATGTATGCAATCCTATGCAAATATATATCTAAGATGAGCATCAATAATTTGGGAACGAGGATGAAGCAGCATTTTTTCAAGTTGAGAGACAGTAAAACATTGATAAAGAATTCGTTTTAAATGCCTATTTTGTGTTGTCCTAAACCTCATAGAATTTCGTGTTTGTCTGTGTGTGTGTTTTAGTTTATGGCACCTTTTTGTATAGAGTCCTAAGTCGTAAATATAACATTAGATAGTGTTTGTCTTATGATCTGAGCTGAGCTGTGTCCACCTACGCTTTGTAAGGATAATGTTTAGTATTTAGCAATGCTTCTAACTTCTTAATTCATTTCATTTTCGTTCTTTGATTGTTGAAATAGACGAGTGAAACCATCAAACTGAGAAAATTGCCTTCATGTGGAAACAAATGCAATTTTAAAATGTAAGTCCTTCCCACGATATACGCTATAAGTATAAAAATGAGGGGTATACACGAGTCGATGTCTGGGGAAGGTAAGTTTGCCTAGGTGAATACAGGTGTGTCTGTGTAAAGGATCCTTTAAGTCGTGAACTAAGTACGAGAATCCCCATAATCAAGTTATATAAAAAAGCGACTTGCTCAAACAAGATGATCAAGATAAAATGTTACAATGATTCAAAACAATTATATATATATATATATATATATATATTATATATAATATATCTAAATAATAGAAGTAACCCTAACCTGTGGGACTAGCGGAGCCATAGCTATGTACGCTACGTACTCGTATCTGTGTACTTCTGTTTTGGCTATAAACATTACGTTCTGATGTGTAAGCAAAAATGAAAATGATGAAATAGTAAAAGTACATAATATAACGTAAAATCAACATGTGATTTCTGAGTTCATCGTTAATTTATCAATAAAACCTAATATTTCCTTCTCTCTTCCTCTGGTTGGCTTAGCTTGCATTACTTCTGGTTTTTCGTTCAATGCTACTTAGCTAAATAAACTCAAACCTCTTAGACTTATTCACTCGGCATCGTTATTGGTAATCGTAATTATAGCTTAGGCATATTCATCTCTTGTCTCTTCTCCTCTTTTTGTTGTCTGCAGTTGCCTCCTTCCTGGTTCTCGGTACGGCGCTAAACTAAGTAATTACCCGTCGAGTCTAGGTAACATTAGCTTAGATAGATTAACATTAACTGATAACTGATTAAATATAGCTGGAGAAAAGGTATGCACCATTCATTCTTCGTCTTTGCCTACTAATATGATAACTGGTCCAAGCGTCGCCGGCTGCTCCCTTCTCTTCGTCTTTTCGTCGTTTCGCGTTACGAGCAGCGGCCACTAACTACTGTAAGGTGGAAGTTATATAGGAAGGATCTTAATGCGAAATTCACAGCTCACCTTTCATATGCCTCCTTAGTTAGCTCGTTAATATCTATAGCACTTATAGGTGTAACAAAAAGGTTTGCTCATATTTACACATGGAATTTTATATATGTACAGTCGGATGCATCCTCAGAGGCACCCTGCAAAGGTATCTCACAGTTGCCTTGCTTTGGCAACGCGGTTCTCGTATTTCCTTTTCTTAAGAGTTGTTGGCTCTGGACTTGCGGTTGCCGCTAGTCCCCGAGCTGACATTGGCATTAGTATTGTGCTCTGTTGCAGAGCTGTAATGTAGCTGCTGATGCTGTTGTTGCTTCTCTTTGCTCAACTGACGAACAGAGGTATTGGGACGATTATCTGGGGGGTACAATCAGTCGATTAAAATTTGTTTAGTTATTCAAACTTCTTGTTTGAATGAGCATTGCAGGCAACCTACCTTTCTCTTTGGCAGAGACTACGACAGGCATGCTGCCTTGGGGAGTGTTGGTGGGCGGTGGACCGCTTGTTTTGCCGGACAGTGCAGATGGCGAGGCGCCACCTGCGGCACGCTTCTCGGTGGAAACTGTGGCCAGGCAGCTTTTCTCGACAGCTGCTACCACCGAATCGCCAAAGACTAGGTCCATCTTGTGGCTTCCGGTGGGCGACAGAGTGCCGGTGGACCCACCCGAGCCAGTTTCCTTGCTGTCAGAGGTCGCAGCAGCCTTGTGGTGCTGGGCCACCTGGGCATAGCTAAGTTTGCTGGCAGTAGCGGCAGCCGAAAGATTTTCGGTCGAAGTGGACGTGGCCACGCTCTTGTGCTTGGTGACACCTTTCTCCAGCAAATTTGCCTCTTTCTTGGCGTGCAGGGCTGCCACCGAAGGCGGCTTTTTGTGCTGGCCAAGGCTACATTCGGCCAGAATTGTGGTCAGACCACCCTCTACCACGTTACAGGCGCCAGCGCCCGTGGCTAGGGCAGCGGAATACTCGTTGTGACCAGCCAGCTGCGGCAACTGCTGCTGGACATAGCCTTCGACCAGTCGCTGTGGCGGCTGCTTTGGATGCAGTTCATCCTCAGTCTTGTTTAATTTGTCCAGCTGCTGCTGCATTTGCTGGGCTCCGGCTGCCTCCTCCTTACTGGTGGCATTGATATTTGGTGTTTGACACTTTATCACATGGATCGAATTGTTGTTACTGGAGCTCTGCTTAGTAACGTTCTTAGTATGGTTGCCCTCCTGGAGCTGGAGCCCATAGTCGGCGCCCAAGGCAGGTGTGGGGCTTACAGGTTGATTACGCTGCTGTTGTTGCTGATAGTTGTGGGACAAATGCGGCTGATTTTGGCCTTGTTGGTGCCTGTTATCTTTGCGAGCCTTGCCCTTGCCTCCATTGCCGCCACCAGTGCGCACCACATCGGACAAGCGGTTCTCAGCCCAGTTGTTGGCGGAACTGTTGGCCAAATTTATATTGCTGCTCTCTATACCCTGATGAGTGCTTGCTCGCTGTTCCTCACCGCTAGTGCTCTCCACGCTGCTGTTTAGCAGTTGGTGTTGATGAGACTGCTGTTGGTGGTGCAGTGCCTGTTTTTGTCCCAAGCCCGTTGACGAAGAGGTCGAGGTCGTAGAGTTATGCAGGGAGGCGCCGCCAGTTGCCTGAGGGGTGTGTGGTGCGGTGGCTGACGTGGCTGGCAGTGGTGGAAAGGCGGCATCCTCCAGGTCAAACTGCGGTGGTTGCACTGGAGCTGGCTGCTGTTGTTGCTGCTGCTGCTGTTGTTGCTGTTGCTGCTGCTGTTGGTGCTGATGCTGGTGGCCCTGATAGCCCAAGGAGCTGTGGTGAATACCGCGCTCGTTGTTTCCCCCAGACAGACTATTGTTGCCTGATCCGCCTCCTCCGGAACCACCGGATCCGCCACTGCTGACGCCTAGGCCGCCGCTGTTGCCCACATTACTACCAATCGAGTTGTGGTGGTGATGATGATGATAGTGATGGCTTGAGCCCTGCTGTCCAGTGCTAGAGGCCATGTGATGTTGTTGCTGCTGCTGCGATGACAGGGCATTGTGATGATGGTGATGATGCGAACCACTAGCCATCGACGAATGCTGGGCATGATAGTGCGGATTGTAGTTATTGCCCTTGTAGTTGCCACGGTGCTGGGGCGGTGGGACGTCGTGGATGGCGTTATAGTGGCTCTGGCGATCTCCGCCGCGATGGGATCCTCCGGTACCATCGGCTCCGCCGCTTGACTGTACATTGCTGCCTGAGGAAGATGACAGCAGGTGCTGCTGTTGATGCGGGTTTGAGGGTGAGCTACCATAAAGCTGTAACAGAAAAACAAAAGAAGTTTGCGTTAAAAATAAATTGTACTAAAACTGCTCTTTTCCGTAAGCCATTTATTGACTTAGTTCTTAAAATTAGGCTAAATTTCAATTGCTTACCCCAACCCGACCGCCTGGGGAATAGTTGAGTCCGCCATCTTCATCGCGGCGACGACGGCGCGGACGATTCTGCCATTGCAGTGGCTCCTTACTGATCGAAGTGGCCAGCGATGGGGAGGAGCTGGCAGACATATTGCTGCTGCGATTTACCTGCTGCATGGAATGAGAGCCATGCTCACCGCCGTCCCCCGCTTCCTGCAGCTCTTGCACCTGCACTTGCTGTTGCTGAAGGGCTACCTGTTGCTGCTGCTGCTGTGGTTGCGTCTGTTGAACCACCAGATGGTGCTGATGCTGGCCAGGCTGTGGTGGAGCCGGAGCAGTAGATACATAGGTAACTTGCGGAGCGCTGGCAGCGCTGGAGGAAGCCAATTGATAGTGCTGCTGCTGGGACTGTCCCTGCTGCTGTTGCTGAGTTTGCAGGTGATGGCCGTGGGCGGGCAAGGCCTGAACTTGGGTGGCATAGTGATGGTGGGTGGTCACTCCACCGCCGTAGCTCTTGTCAAGGTTTTTCTGCATGCCACCTGCGAAAAAAATTAAATTAGGTTTTACAATTCAGTGATTTTTGAAAACGTACCTTTCCAGTTGCTTTTGATTGGATAATGACGAGTGGAGTTGTTCACCTGAACTGTGGCCTGTTGCTGTTGGGCTGAGCTCGTTGGTTGCTGCTGAATTTGCTGGAGCACTTGCTGCGGCTGCTGTTGCAACGGCGCCTGCTGCAGTGGATCCTGCACAATGTTTGCCGGCACCACACTTACCATTCCGCCTGGAATAGCACCAGCTATCTGGATGGGAACGATGCTACCGCCCTGAATGTGTGAGGCTGTTTGTGTGTTGCGCGGTGGTTTGCCCCTCGATTCGCCGCGTGGTCCCGAATTCGCACCGCCTACGCTGTTAGGATTGCCTCGGTGATTGTTGTTGTAGCGACCACCGCCCTGCGGCTTGGACGTGACCATTGTTTGTGCGGTGGGTGGCGGAGCTTGAGCAAAACCTGCTGCCACAGCCTGTGGAGCCAATGGATTGGTGGTAAATATGTTCCCTCCGATCTCATAGAAGTTCTGGCCATGTGCAGCAGTGGCTGCCACAGTGCCAGGCGGCCATGGAGCAGTCACTAAGCCAGGATAAAACTGATTCTGCGTAATTGGCTGAAAAAAGTTTTACATTTTCATTCATATTATCGACAGATATTTATTTTTCTAAAATATTTAGAAGTTAGGCAATAAGATCGTTTTCACCTCCGTTTCAAATAGATTAAGACAATTCACAAAATAAACGTCTTGAAAATTGTTTTTACTTTAGTTTCGATGAGTTCGGGTATCAAAAAGATAAGGTTTTAAGTCACTATAACTTCAATTTAACCGCTTAAATAAGTGAAAAGATAAGAAAAAAAGGTTTAAAATTCAACAACCAATATACTACTCATCAAAGGTATGACTCATAACCAAAGCATGTGCTTAATTAACAAATATCTTCTTACATTAACTCGAATCGGAACATAATATTACATATGTATATCTCAAGCCTAAACCTTTTGCCAAATCACACAATGCACCTTAAATAAACAAAGGAATGATAATAATACTCACAATCAATACAGAATTGCTGTAAGAAACTGAAGCGGGTGCCGCGATTGTTGCTCCATTGGTGTAGAGATATCGCGGCTGCTGGGCAGCCGGATAGCCCACTGTTGCGGCACCGGCTCCGGATGGATCAAAAACATTGGCAGTCGGCGGTGAAGTAAGACGGTAGCCGTTCTTTATATTTGGTACAGTTTGAATGCGATTGATAAACGACTTGGGCTTGATCCGGGCCATGATCGGCTTGCCCTGAAACTCCTTGACCTCCTCGCGCAGGTACTTATATGCCTTCTGCGCATCCTCGTCCGATTTGAAGGTGATGTACCAAGAGTTGTTGGCGACAAATTCGCAGGAGATCGGGCGAGGACAGCTGTCATTGCTGAATAGAGCCTGCAAAATGAGCAAAATCGAATTAGTTTTTCTGGTTATTTTCAGTATAAAGAGTCACCTACCTTGACATCATCGAGGGGCGTGTTGTTCGATATCTCGCGCAGAATGATGATGCAACGCTTGCGATTGGGACGCACGCGCAGGCCATCGTCATCCACCTGGACATTCGGGGATTCACGTAGCACCTCAGTGATGAGATTAATGTCATTGGTTAGTTTCCGTACCAAATTAAATCTGGCCACAGTGTAAATGGGCACATACTGGTCGCTGTCCATCTGGGAAAGCAGGTAAGTATCGTTGGCCAGATTTTCTCTGTAGGAAAACCAAATAGAATAGATGTCAAAGGAAGTTTGAAATGGCTTAGATATTTAATCTCACCTGGAAAAGTAGTACTCAAGCTGGGTCGCCAGCATTTGCTTGAGCTTGTCCAGTGGTATGTTCGGCTCTTCCCCTGCTACTGCATTGTGGCTGCCCTGCTGTTGATCGACGGAACCATTTGCTGAAAGCTGAACGGGCACTGGGACTTGGACAGGAACCTGAACCGGCACTACGATCTGATGGGGCTGCGGATCGAGGGCAACTAAATTCGTGTTGTTAAGGGCGTCTGTGGTGTAGCAGACCACAGTGCCATCCTGCGTTTGGGCAAGTGTGCCATTCATGATGGCGTATTCGTTAGTCTCCTGGGCTTCGCCGCCTCCAGCGGATGCTCCTGGTGCCCCTCCTGCTACTGTTCCTGATCCTCCAGCCGTGGCCTGTGGAGGCGCCGGCTGATGGCCGTAAGTCAGATGCTGGGCGGGATGCGACGACTGCGTTTGCTGCTGGTGAAGATGCTGTTGAAGCGTCTGCTGCTGCTGTTGTTGTTGGTGGGCTACGTGTGTATGTGCCAGGATCTGGGCCTGGTGTGGATGCGCCTGCTGCTGCTGTGCAGGCACAACTGATGCTGCTGCTGATGCGGTGGCCACTGGAGCAACTGCGACTGGAGGAGCTACTGGAGGAGCACCGGCTGCGGCGGCTGTGATCAACGGTATGTGGGCAGTGGCGGCTGCTGCGGGGGAGGCTGCAATTTGGGTGGTGGCTCCAAACAGATTGGTGGCTAGCATCGCCGTCTCGACAGGAACGTTGGTGTAGACGGGCGGCTGAATCTTGAGTGCATCTCCGTTCATGTACACATATCCTCCTGCAAGTGGTTTGCACATAAGATGGTTTTCATATTACGAGTGGGCGGGGATGACTATGTGGGTGTTAGAATGTGGGTGTACGAACAAGGTCAATTTTTTTTGTTATTGTAGACGTAACGGGAAACTTTCGTAATCGGAGGAAGCTAGACGCTGGGAAAACTCTGCCGATTTCGAGTGAATAAAAACAAAAAACAAACAAACGAAACGCAACGCCAGCATAAGCGCACACATATGTATATTTTGAAGCATGTGATGGTATATAGGGGTGGCACATATGTGCTAGCAGTAGTTAACTTTTTACAAACCTAAGTAGTATTCCATGGTAACGTATGTTGCAATTATCAAGAAATTCCACACAAAGACACAGTCGGTTATTTCGCTTCTCCTTTGCCTTTTCTCTTATTTTTTTTTTTTTGTGTTAAATCTATTTTTTTGCTCTTTCGAGCTACACACACACACTCACGCACGCGGCACACTCATACACACAGCAGGCACACACAGTCAGACACACATACGCGTTGCCACCCAGTCGCGAGAGAGGGAGAGAGAGCGAAGGAGAGGCCGAGAGCGAGCGAGCGAGAGGAGTAGCTCTTCTTTCTATTTGGAAAATTTGATTTTCACTACGATTTTGTATTTCGCCTATTTCCGCAGTTTTAACCTCGCTGAAAATCTGGCCTCTTTATAGCGATGATGGTTATTTATTTAAGCTTCTGCTGCTGCTTGCGACTCAAAAACACGGCTCCTGCTCCTCCGCCCCTATTCCTGCACATTTTTTTTAACTTCTACGTTGCCTTTTTCCTCGGTCTTCTTTTGTGCTCTTCTTTTTGTTCGCCGTTTTTTTTCTTTCTCCTTTTGGTCGTTCGCAGTCTATTTTTTTTCTCGCTTTTCCTTCGCTTTTTTTGCACACGCAGAGAATGTGAATTGAAAATTGAAAACGACCGAGAGGCAATTGATTTTTTTTGTCAACTTTTCACACCCTACTTGCACCGCCCGCGCCCGCCAGCGTTGCGCTGTTCAGTTGTCAATCGTTTGCCAAGTTGTCAAATAAATTGTTAAGGTTCTGCCTGGTTTTTTCACCACCAACTTGTCACGCGAAAAATCCAAAAATTCGACTTCTCATCGTCATAGAAAACTTTCGCCGTTTCGATAGATTGACAAGCAGGGTTGCAATCGATTAAAAATACCAGAAGTTTAAAAAGCAACTGCGATTTATACAAGTTGTTCCAGCACTGAATTAAAATATATTAGAAATTAATAAAAGTCGGAAAAAATGTATACATTTCTTTTGACAAGTAGTAATTAAAAGTAGCACAAAAGTCTAAAATGCCGCAAAAATACCAACGTGATGGTCAAAAATACCGAGTACCTACTATGTGGCAACCCTGAAACGTGCAAGAACATAATATTGCTAAGCTAATTTCAGCCCTTACCCCCTCCACAACCCTACAAATGACCTGCATAATTATGTGCTAATGTCTACTTACCATTGGGAAAGAAATAAGTTCCTTGTTTATCCGCCTGCAAAACCGAATTTGGTGCAGCCGAGGCAAACCACTTGTTAAATTTGACCGAATGAACAAAGTGAAACACCAAGCGTTCCGCGCTTCCACGTAATCCCTACTCCACGTTTTACTGGCAAATTTATGTTGAGAAATTCGACGGTCTTGAATCGTAATTTTGAAAAACGAATTTTCAGTCGTTGGACACTCACGAACACTTTTTTTCCAGCAAAAAGCAACACACGCAAAAAATTCGCGCTCCTATTTTTCGTGCCTTTATTAGTGTGACTGCACACTAATGAAGAAAATATACCCACATACTAAATAGAATGGTATTGGGTAGAAAACGTCGCTATAGTGTGGATACAAACCATTGTAATTTAGTATAAATTAAATTTCTCAACTGTTAGTTACGGCTTGTAGCATTTTCATTTAACTGATATTTTGAACATTCATGTTTAGCCCTTTACAAAACCAAAATATTTTCGATGCTTACTAGAATTAGGTATATTCCACGAATTTTGTAATTTTTTTTATAAAATTATCATATCCACCAGGTGACCAATTAAGATGAAATCATAAAAAACTCAATTTTCGTCCCATTATGCTACGATAGCGCCCGCACACATTCGTTTATTTAAATTGAACATTTAATTTTATTTATAACATTCTTCTCAGTTAATGGTCTATTGCTTCTGTATTCGTGTAAATGTTCTTTTAAGAGTGTTGGAATTAATCGGAACAAAGAACTTTTGCAAGTTTTGGGGGTATGTTGTTGTAGAGCTTAAGAATGAAATAGTAGTATGAAAATTCACACCTTTTGTTTGTTCGACCGTCTAGAAGCCGTGCACCTTGAGCTGATCCGGCTTAGCTAGTCCCACCTTCGTCAACCATTGACAGATGTTCTCACGCTGATCGCCCTGGAGCTGCAGGACCTCACCATACTCTGGATGCTCGATTACAGTGCCATTGCAAGCGAATTCCTGGAAATGATTGCAAAACATATTAATGTTTTTGAACTGGAATAGTTAACATAATATATCTCTGTCATAATAATAACCAAAATTAGATTAATATAAGGTACATATTTGTATGAATTTAATTCTTGGAACTAGTATATAATTTGTTAATCAGGCAAAAATCAAAAATCTGATCCTTTTCTGGTAACAGCAGTAATAAATGGATTTCTTAATCACTTCTTGGGTAACGAAAGTGCTCTATAATAAGGGACTATTTATCCTTAATTTAGATTTTAAATAATTCACAAAAATTAAATTTTACGTTTCTTTATCTGGTAGATATTATTTTATCATTCTTTTAATCAAGCAAGACTGACCTTATCTAAATTGTCCTTTTAACTATTGTTATTAACGTGTATGAACTTCTAATGGACCACTTAAACATTAAATCTTTAAAACCACTATGCTGACCTTACCAGACTCAATAAATGTGGTATAAATATTTTCACAGGTTCTCTAACCAGCCTTTAGCGTTAAAAGATAAAAATGACCGAATTAACTACGTAAAAAGGGTGATTTTAATTATCCTATCTTTATGTAAACGAAATGCGATCTCCTCCAATAGTTGTGGTTCTAAGTACGGCATATATTTATGTATGTACGTAGGTCCATTGGTAAACATACCTTCTTGCAGGAGCGGACTATCTTCTTCAAGTCATACTCCGCGGACAAACCCTGTACAGTGGTTAGTGTCTTCCGACCGTTCCTCTGCTGGATTCTTATGTGCACTAGCCCGTCTTGAATATCATCATCATTGCCCTTGATTGCATCAGCAAAGGGGTCTGTAAAGCAAGAGATTGGATTGATAATTGCGATTATCTGGAGATTTGATGAATGTATGAGGTACGATGTAAGATGTAAGGCATGTAATCACACCCTCACAGCGTGTTTTACTTTTGTCCCACAATGCGTGTCTGTGTGCGTGATGATGACGAGCAGGGCGGCCATTTTATGTACATGTGTAGGAGTCGGGGAAAAGCATATAGCTTACTCTCTACTTACCACGAGTGTTTAAATTCTGGATGGACATACGACAATAAAAACAAACCACAGCCTAAAACAAAAACTTTTTGAAATGATTTGTTGATATCTGAACTTTCAATTTAACGTTTTACTGAGTGAGTTTTTTCGGAAATGTGTCTGACAAGTAGACTAGAGCTGGAAAAAAAATCGATTTCTTTTTGATACTATCGATGTTTTCAGATATCTGGCAACCTTTGTATTGATATTAATAGAAAAGTTAAATTAAAATGTTTAAATGAGCCTTGTAAACTTACAGTTTTGAACAAATAAATCAATACACAAGTGCCAAACACTAAACTAAGGAGACAAGCAGCATATTCTTTTACAATAATAATTGTCAAATTTTATTTAATAGTCATTTGGCGGCTATAAGGTTTAAAATGCTTCTCATCTGGCAGCGCGAATCAAGGATGTCGAATTTTTATCGATAAGTGGCCTGCCAATCCGCTTGACCCCGAATGCAGCCCTATGTTTTCAGCAAGCGCAACCAACTTTGTGCTATGCCGGGCTGCCATATTTCTTTCCTGCTTGTCTTTCAACGAGAAAAGGTGGGCATTTTGCGTTTTGTCTCGATTTGGTTAAGTTCTAGCGTTCCCACAGCGTTCTAAGCGCTCGAAATTGTTGAGGCACAATGCGTGCCACACGTGTATCCGTCACTTTTGCTGCCGACCCGCTAAACTTCGGAGGTAAATTGAGTTTTACCCACACGTGCGACACAGCGGGCGAATAGTGATTAAAAATGTGAATATTTTTGTGGCGATACCAGACTAGACTTAATCAAAATGTCATTTTTATTAAGCTAAATTGGCTGTTTTCAGTATCTTAATCTAATTTTGATTTTCTCTGTCTTTACATGATGGTGTTCCTGCTGTCCTTTTATTCGGAATTGATTTTTCTTTCTTTTTTTTTAAAGGTAAGAACACGTGCGGTCTCAAAATTCTCCAATTTTCGTCTATGATGAATGATTGAGCAGAAGAGTTCTTGAAGACTATATTCATCACCCAAGACTGAATATAATGCAACACCTCATTAAGTTGTATTAAAAAACAATATTCTAATCACTTATTTTATTTTTATTCCATGTTTATCCTCTGGTATGGCTAATTTCTGCGATTTTTCCATAAAGGTGAGCATAAAACATAAAAAAAACGTGTTTCTGTTCTTAATGAGGATTGATTTAGCAGAAGAGTTCTTGAAGACTATATTCATCACCCAAAACTGAAACACCAAAAAATATATTTAATGTTTGGGTTATTTTGGGTAACTACTAATTAAATGTTCTTTCTTTTACAGACGTGAGATGGCAACCTCTTCGCACCTCAATTGGTTGATCATTCGCAACAACAACGCCTTCTTGTTGAAGAAGCGCGATGTTAAGAAGCCCTTCAGCACAGTAAGTAAATCTATTCTGATGAAGATATACCACGTTTATAGGCACCAGAAAGAAAAATGTAAAACGTTACATTTATTTAGAAATGATATATAAACGTGGTAATGATGTTTCATAATGATGTTTCCAACTTACAACTTTCACAATGATATTTGAATACAACATGATAGTAACTCTAATCTGACAAAAGTTGGTAACATCCTTCTTTTGAACTAAAAAAAAAAACCAAAAACTAAATATCAAATTTACTTCTCCAGGAGCCAAACAACTTGGCCAGCGTGAGCTCATTCCGCTACAGCGGCATCGTGCACAAGAAGACTCTGGGAGTCGTACCTGCCGCCGACAAGAAGGGCTTCACCGCCGTGCTGAAGAAGGGCAAATATGCCCAGCGTCCCGCCAAGAACACCGTGCGTGTTAACTTCAAGGCCGGTCCTCGCCGTTCCCTGAAGAAGCTGAAGAACCTGCTTATCGGCTCCAAATACCGCAAGGATCTGACACAGGTAAATATTGCTGAAACGACAGCATTTTTTTTAGCGTTTGTTATGATGACTTTTTTTTATTGCTACACAACCAAGATCGCAGAAGAATCGTGTTGATAAACTTATCTGACGCTCCCCATAAAAAAAAAATTAAATTTAATTTGTAATTGTATGTACTAAGAACTTATTTGTAATTTTTTCAGGCTGCCCTCCGCCGCGCTTCCGCTGTCCTGCGCTCCCAGAAGCCCGCCCCCGTAAAGGGAAAGAAGGCCGAGCTTGCTAAGGGAAAGAAGCCCGAATAAACTATACCAGATGGGATTATGCGGAGCTGTTTTCTACTCGAGAATAAAGAAAAATGTTAAGAACACCCTAATATTAATATAAGTTCTGTGTTGATTTGTGGGTATTGGTTCCCGTGGGGCAGTGCATAAAACTGCGATATTTCGTAAAAAGTGAAGTCTACATTTAGGCAGTTCATTATTACCATGAGCAAAATACTACAATGTAACTTTTATAATCTTGAAATGGGTAAATGACCCTCTCTACTGATTAACTGTAATTTTTTATTTTTTATACCCATTTTAATTTTCTCAATGTTGGTCACTTTTATTGAACTATATTTCCTGGGATATGGATGGCCTTAAATTGAAATAGACCATGGAATTGCATTGAAAGATTTCAGGACGAAAAGATCATTTCAGAGTAATTATACACTCTAGTCAAGGACAATACAAAACTTGCTTAACTACGGTACACATAGATTTTAAATGCGCTTTGAGCTTGGGTGGTCCACACAGCTTCAGTAGAAGTACTCATATTTCTGTGCATGGTGCAGCATCACCTCCATCGACTTCTTTCCCTGTAGAACACCGTTTCGTTCCATGTAGTTCCAGATAGAGGCCATGAACACGCAGAACAAAATTACGCCAAACACGATGAATTTTAGCAGCAGGAAAATTGTGCGCATACCAACGGGAGCAGTGAACTCCACCAGCAGAACGAGAAGTACGAACAGGAAGGTTGCGGCGCTGTAGTACAAAACACGATCAGTGTTAAGCTGGAGCAGGGAAGCATCGCACAGAGCCAGAGCTTCGTGAAGAGCGGCTGTCCTGGCAGCGGGCATGGATTGGATGGAAGTGGAACTGCCATTGCACTGCACCCCAGGCTGCTGCTGTGATTGATTGTCCTCCCCTGTCTGCGCATCGCCAGCACCCAGTTCCCTTACGGCACAGCTCTCCCCATCCTCTACTTGACAGTTCACCTCTATGGTGGCCACTGACTCCTCTGTCCTATCTGCCAATTTGGATAGACGCAACGTGGCCAGCACGGCTTCGTGATCCGAGAAGCTAAACTTCTCACCTGGCACTCGTTCCGGAAAGGGTAGTTTATACTCAGCTATCTCAGCATTCACATGATCCCCACCACGCACAAATATGTGATCGATGCGGATACCTTGGGGATTCCGCTCTAGAGCTCGCTTAGAGGTGTACGAGTTATGTTGACATTCGTTGGTGCGAAATGAATCCGAAGCGCAACTGTCAAGCATCTTGGAGGTATACAGCAGCACCTTGTACGAGATGTCCTGGGGCTGTGCATTGAGATCGCCAGCCAAGATTTGCAGTGCTGAATTGCCCCTGGTAGCTTCGATAAATTGAGCAGTGTCGAAGGCCTGGATGACGCGGTGCGTCTTGTACTCATCGTTGGTATTGTCGTATTCGGCATGCAGGTGGGCATTGTACAGATGCACCATCTGTCCATCGACAAGGATGCGGCAAAGACCCACTCCCTTGCCACCGAACCAATCCGCATGTTGAATGCGATGGAAGTATCCGTTGACGGACCATGCATGGAAAAGTGTACCCAGGATTGGGTACTTGGAAAGCACTAGCAGACCGGCGCCCATCACACCGCTGTGGAAGTAGTGGCTATGTGGCAGAACCGCCTCAGTGCCTTTCTGCAATCGCTCGCTGTCCTGCTGCGCCCACACCTCTTGCAAAGACACGATGTCATACTTGCCACTTGCCAGTTCCTTGCAGATGGCATCAATGCGGGGTCCCCGATCACTCGACACATACGGTATGCCCCTGAAAATACCCACAGATCGGGGTCAATGTTGTTGGTGCAACAGGGTCCTTAAAAGGAGATGCACGTTCTTACCAAATATTCAGGGTCAGAATGTTCAGCTCCAGCAGTAACATCTCGAGTTTTGTGGCCGGTTTTCACGCTCGCATGCTTACACCCCCAAATGGGCGCGGGGAACGATAAGATAAGTTTTTGATTTTGTTTTTATGATATAAAGCCACAGTGTGGCTGTCTGTGGAAAGCTAAAATAGAATTATGTTTAACCCTTAATGGGCATTGCCATTTCTTTCAGACACATATTCCCAACATTGAATAATAATTGTGAACCTAGCATTTTTATTGTTGATTTAAAAATGTGTTCCTTTTTTAAAGATCTTTACACAATTGCTTTTAAAATAGTAATAGAAAAGCGATTACCATAAGGTTAAATGTTTAACAAGATTACGCTTTCAAGGTATTTATAAATTCATTACTCTGGTCACTCTATTCCCGCAACTAGTAAATTTCAGTATTTAGGAATAACATTTAAATCCATTAATAATACAAGTTAAGTATTGGGTCACTATGGTAATTAAGGCTCCAACATGATGTTACAGCTGCTGTTATTCTGCTTGGTGCTCTTTATCAACGTCTATTGGTAAGCTTCGCCTATGTCGGGTCCTCATAATTGACCCATCATCATTATAAACACAATATATTGGATCACTTTCCATTTTAGGATCTTGCCCACGGGCATTAGCTGGTATTTGGTCAAAAGGTTTCGGGTCAAAGTTCGGATTGGCCGAATTTCGCTGCCTTATTTCTCTCTGAAGAATGTGCACATTAGCAAGAGTGGATTCTCGGTGGTACGAATAACCTTTAGCCTCATTAGGTTCTATACGATAAGCACCCCCATATTTCCAGCAAATCGAGGAGGTGTGTCTACGTAGCAGTTTCTTCACCACCGATGTGACCAAGCTACTTTCCATATACATCCGGGACATCCGCATTAATAAGGACATTCACAGCAGACAAGATGATAACGATGATGCTTACGAGTTTCAGCGGACTCAGACCTCAGAAGGTAAACCCTCGGAGGCGAAGGGTGTGCCAGATTTCCGGCAAACTAAGGTGCCGGCGAGCATCATCACATTTGCCCAGTTCATGGCGGTGCATGTGAACAACATATCAGTAGTCCTAATGAATAATGATTTTGATCCGGGCTGGTTTATCCATGCCACGGCGAAGGAGCTACATCTGGATGGCAGTATCGTGCAGAATGCTCGTGTTCTGCTTGTAAACGCCGCTCTAAGCGAAGCCCAGGCCAAGATGCTTAGGCACTGCAGCTCACGTCGCCAGTCGCTGGAGAATCTCAACAAAATTCGTCCCTGTCTGGGAGAGGTCAGTTTCGATACGACTCTGGATGCCTCTCTTTTTGCCCAGGGACCACTGTCAATGGATGTATGTATAAAATTGTATGTTTCCATAGTCTAGTTAACAATAATTGTCTTTGCAGACCCTTAGTCTGGTTATCAACAATGCCAAATCCGTAATTCATGGCGGACTGTACGAGTTCCTTAGTGAAGCCAAGCGAAGAACAACGACTGGTCAGCAGTCTCGGCGTTCTAAGCCGGCCACAGCGCCCTCCAAGAGGTCCTACGATAATGATAACTACGAGAAACTGGCGCCGATTATACCAAAGAACTTTAACTTTAGCATCAGGGCGGCAACCTTCTCGGCCGTCAAAGAGAACTCACAAAATGATTTTAGTGCCAAGCTGCAGTCGTTTCAAGTAAATACATCCCTAACCTATTGTATTACAGCTCTTAATGCTAAAAACTTTATACCCAGATCTCTGGAAAGTTTAACTCGAAAGTTACAGATGAAAAGACGTTGCTGCCTTCAATGCTTGCGAAATTGGGTTTTCAACATTTAGATATTGATACCAAATATGAAAAATTACTTTTCGTAGAACAATTCACCATAGACTCTGTGGTAAGAAGATTGTTAAAACCTAAGTTACTTAACAATGCTCTTAAAGTAATTTTCTTTAGCTGGAAAAAGACATTTTCAACCTGTATGTGAAGCTTAAGACATTCCAAATCATCTACAACCATAGTGAGATATATGACTTTGTTAATAACAATTTCCTAGCTCGACAGCGCTCGAGCGGAGCACAGCCAATCCTCATACACAAGCAGAAATCTTTGCCGGATCAGTTATATCTTGATACAACTACGGAGAGCAATCTGAGAGCGATTCAGAGGAATCAGGGAGGCGTTCTTGAGTGGATTATGCAGCGGATCGTAGTCAAAGGCTGCGCGGAACTGTTTAATGTCTCACTTCTTATGAAACTGGAGGATGAACATATTGCCATGAGTGTGAGTCATACGAGGTTCCTCTTAGAGCAAATTGAGGAGAAACGGAGTAATCTCTATGAAAATAAATTCCTTAATTTGTTGCTGAACCAACGGCAATGGAGCATGGAGCTGATGGTAGAAACGCTGTGGTCAAATCTCGGGAACTCCATTAACGACACTAACAACTTAAAGAAGACCCATTCACCTGGCTCTCCATTTTTCCTCGGAGTGAGCCTGGTTAAGCTATGCTCCTATGCAAACACCACAAAACTGGACTTATCCGTGCACACTTTTCGCACGGAATATAGCATGCAGTTGGCCGAGTTTGTGGTGAAGTCAATGGAGTGCCTACGGCAGTACCGGGGCATCAAGCCAAGGAATATATCGGGACAATCTCAGTCTAGAGCAAATGTCGGCCTTACTCTTTCTGTGCAACCAACACAATCATCTACCTCTCTACGCGTGTCTGTTAAGGTCAAGGATATTACGGCATATTTTGTTAACCATCACAATGTCTACACGCTGCTAAGTTTTTCAGAACTGAATTTGTCGCGGGCTCAAAACTTAACCACCCTGAAGCTCGAAGAATTTCAAATGGCTATAATGCGCTCGATGACGGCTTCTTCGCTTTGTCTTACCGACTTTTCGGATGTGTTTGCCACTTGCAAAATGATTCGATTGGAGCATGAACAAGTAGAGGGAACGCTAGGCAAGTTGTCCATTTACATACCCGGCAACATGGAAGCCACGTGGAATACCAATTTGCATATGCACCTGTTAACTTTAGTGAGGGATATGCAAGACCTAAAGACTGAGTTAGCGATTCCTGCTTCTCCTGTTAAGAGAACAGTTCCAAGAGGAGGACTAGTGGTTGAGTTGTCTGCAGAACGGAGCACCATCTTCGAGATAAAGTTTTCTGATCGACACTCTATTCAGATATTTGTAGAAAGCCTTTTCTTTAGTCAAAAGGAACGTTGCATTATCTATGCTGAAAATGTGTTTGTCAAGATCGATAATCAGCACATATTTACAGTGAAAGAGTTGGATCTACAATCAGTCCCCCGTCTTGAGGTACTGACCCAAGAACGACAAAACTTTCCTGGGTTTCAGCTGCCCTCCAACAAGGTGTGGGTTACCACTATCGGATCTTTTAAAGCCATTTTCCCATATGACCACGACTTTTACAATGCAGTGAACGGAGAGTGCACATCCCATTTTAAGTGGCTGAAAATGGTTCATAATTACAAAAAGAAACCATTTACAGAGGATTCACCGCTACCCTGTGATTTGGTAATTAAGATCAAGGAGTTTCTGCTGGAAATAAGCGACGATCCCTTCGAAGTGAAACTTCGCGATAACTATGTCCTACTGGTGGATGAATACCTGGAAAGCTTAAAGCGCAAGGCTCTGTTTGATAAGAAGATTGGCGAACTTTGCTCGGAACGTCTTTTGTTACCATCTGGAACCATAGAGAGTCTTTATGCCAACCTAATTAAGAAGAACTCAGAGATCTATATACAGCGATCAAAAAAGATTCGCGAAAGTGGCCCCGTTCGCACACGACTTCTAGCCTGGATCATGACGGACGTGAATATTATGGCTATGGCTGACACCTCCATCCATGGCTATGATAATGTGACACGTATAATGCGCGAAATCGATCACGAAAGTCCGTGGCCAGAGGAGGGGTTGGAGTTCTCTACGTTGTGGTGCCGAGGTGTGAACATCAGCTGCACTGAATGGAAATTCATGCTTAGGGACTTTCCACAACCCATGTTTTGTGTAAAGAGCATGCGGCTGTACGGTAATCTTTGTGGAGCTGAACAAATGGGCTCCAAGAGAGCCAAGCGAGATGTCTTTATAGAGGTGGGCGAACCCTTTGGCACCGATGTGATCCAACGTAGCATGCCTTCTCTGAAGTTCTACCACGACTTTGATTGTGAACTGGAGAGCTGTAGCTACGCCTTTGGTGCGTGCTGGGAACCTGTAATGGCCCAGTGCAACTTGAGCTTTGAGAAGATCTCAGCCCCCTCAAAGGATCCGTCACCTCCCTTGCCATTTTGGGATAAGTTGCGTTTGCTTCTGCATGGTCGGTTAACGTTGATAGCCAAGCAATTCACCATATTACTCCACGCCTCGCTTGATCCTTATAACACCACAGAGGAAATGGAGTTGACCTGGAATAACTGTGGAATTGTGTTGACAAATGCCAAGATTATGTTTAAAGGAGAGCTTAATGTAAGTATTGTTTTTTGTATAGGGTCTCAATTTAATAATAATATGGTCTTCTTTCAGGTCACTGTTCGAACAGCTTCTCGCTACGACGATTGTCGTTTGCTTCATTTTCCTAATCTTAAGTTGACGATCAAGCTTAAATGGGTGTGTCTGGCTAATCCCAATGACCACCATGCTGTGATGCCCTGTGCCCCAGACAAGCTGCCAGAATACTCTAGTAATCAAGTTCACGACTCTTTCCGAGCTTTCCGATCGCTAAATCTAAACATTTGGATATCATTCGAGACTAAGCCCAAGGCAGGGGATGATTTGGAAGTCGATATACCCAGTCTGGTTTTATACGGTAGCACCTTGCGATGGTTTGAGAGTCTCCAACTGATTCTGTCGGGTGTAACAAGGCCGACGCGACGTGGTCCAGTATTCAACAATGTGAGGCCACGGAAAAAACCGCTCAGTCGTCACTACAAGAAGGCCAACCTGCAAATGTGCCTTCACAAGTTCCAGGTTCTCTACTGGATGTCCCACGCACTGCAAAAGGGATTCCAGTTAAATGGCCGGCGTGTATCTTTTAGTTCCGAGCACTCTCTGACCCTCAATCCCATTGACGATGGACTTATCCATAGGCCACGGGCAGATTGGTCAACAATCTACATGAACTGCGAGCTTAACGATGCTGAAATCTGGTTAAAAAGCATTTTGACCGAAAAGATGGACAGCAGTTCTGAGAACTTGGCCAGTGCAGCAGATGCCTTTAAAATCGTGCGATTCTACTTTCTAAGCGTAGCTAAGGTATCCTATGGTCGCGAAGCTCTAATACCCACCACGGCTACTAGCACTGAGGAGGATGTTAAGGCTCAGTCCACGACACCAACGCATAAATTGGTTGTTTACGATTTGAAGGGAGCCTGGACAAAGAGCAATCGGGATGTGGCCTTTGCTCTTTTTGATTCCTTTATGAAATCACAGAAATTAAAGAACAATCTTTCTACGGAAGCAGTAAAGAGTTATCGCAAGGAGGGTCCCAACTCGGCAGTACTTAAACACAAGCGAAGTGATAGCACCATTACTTTATCCAGCACTAACAACGAGGTCTTGCCGAGTAAGTTTATTACAAATATATTATTAATATATATATTATATATATATATTATATATATTTAATATTAAAATTAATAAAATGTTTTCTAGTTTCCAACCCCAATGCATCGATGAAAAAGGCCCCAGCACAGATCCATGCCACAGCAATGTTGCAACAACTGATCGCAGAAGCCGACCACAAGTTCAATGTCTACAGTGATGATCATAGCACTCAGTCGAGGGAACTGCAGCTTCAGGGTCTGCAGGCGTGTTCCGCTCAGGACATAATTCATGAGAACTGGTCTATTAGCCTGGTAAACTCGCAAGTGCTGCTCAAGGGCTGTGAAACTTCTGGCTATGTAATCATCAGTGCTGCTAAGGCGGAAATCTTGCAGCGTGAGCATCGTCCAGTTTGGCGCGAGCGCTCGCTAATTTCGAAAACTACGTGGAAGGGACTGTTGGAGTGCATGCAGTACTATGCGACAGTTAGCGCGGGAGATAATAATTCCCTTTTAGAGAAGGAAATCATGTGGCTGACGGTGGACAACATTCAGGATAAAGACGAAACTGTGATTAACAATCTGCCGGACATCTCACACTTGGTGGGCAGTGGACGCAGTGTGGGTGGTGTAGTTTCCGAGACTGTTGGTGCTTTTCTAAGCGATAACTCCGGGGAAGCTCAGCCCGTCCAACTGCAGCGCATTGTGTCCAAGTGTAAGTGCGAGTTCTTCTATGTGAGCTACGGTGATGCCATCGATCCGAATAGCATTACTGAGGTGCCTCCGCCGCCTTCAGAGGAGTTGCAATCTCCTTGGGAAAAACAAGACGATCCAGTGGATGCCTTCACCCTGATGCATCACGATCTGGATGTGTGCACTAACTCATTGCAGTACGCCATGATCCTGGATATTGTAAACAACCTGTTGCTTTATGTTGAACCCCAGCGAAAGCAGGCAGCGGAGAAGCTGACAAGGATGCGCTTCCAGCTTCAACTGCACTCGACGGAGGATCAGAAGCGACCCATTCAACAGAAGCAAACGGTCATCCGTAGCCTGTTGATGAAGATTCGCTCGCTTGAAAAAGACACACATATGATCAGTAAGGAGCGGATAGAGGATGGCGACTCATTGGAGCTGCGGCAAGAATACGATCATGTCCAACAGATGATACGAGAAAGCAAGGAGGAGCTAAACACCTTCAGCGAGGATCTGGATATGATGTTGCTGTGCTATAAAGAGACTCAGTTATCGCAGCTCAGCAAGATATTAAACGTGCGCTCTGATGAGTCGGTGACCATGGTGCGCACCAACGAGATCTGCTTCAAGCGCGCCCAATGGCGGCTTACTGAAACAGATGGACAGATTGGCATAGCTGATCTTGTTCTGAGTGCTTTCCTTTACACAAAAAAGTCCAAGAGTGATGATTCTGTTGAACATCTGCTAGAGCTTGGAAATATACGAATGGAAAACCTTTTACCAAGAGAGATCTATCGCGATGTCCTGCTGGCCACAGAAATCCAAAAGGACATGCCCGTAGATACACACAAGCGGGTGCTGCGTATCTTCTGTCGGGAAAAGGCTCCAGTGGGCGGCATATCAGTAAAGGAACATTTTGAGATCAATGTGGCTCCCATTACTATTGCCATTACGAAAAAGTTCTATAGCACTATGTTGAAGTTCTGCTTCCCGGATCGAGATGCCTCCGAAACGGAGGTTAGCGATGAACTGGACGACAATGCCTCAACAAGTTCGGCGTCCACAGCGAATTTGCAGGCAAAGCCTTCAACTTCTTCGTCCACCAAGCGATCGGGAAAAGGCAAGAAGGGTGCCAAGGACTCGGAGTTCTATGTAAAGATTGAAAAGGATGACGTCGAAAAGATGAAGGAGCGCGCCGAGAAGAACAAGCTGTTTATCTACATCAAGATTCCCGAAGTGCCTGTGCGCGTCAGCTACAAGGGCAATAAGGAAAAGAATCTAGAAGACATCACAGATTACTCACTAGTCATACCAACGTTAGAGTATCACAACGTAACTTGGACCTGGTTGGATCTGCTGCTGGCAATGAAATCGGTAAGCCGGCGGGTTATATTCTCGCAGGCCATCAAGCAGAAGCTGCATATCCACCAGCGACAACCTATTCTGTCCGCTGGAGAACGAGCCACCCCACAAGAAGCGGAGGATAAGGCTGTGATGCTCTTCGGAAACCGTTTATTGGTAAGTTAACTATAAGTCTACCGTAACGAAATGCTTATTTCTAACTGCTTCATTTTTCTCTCCATCTAGAATGAAAACCGTAACCAGAAAAAGGGTGTCTTCAAGTTTTCAAGTGGAAAGAGATCCGGAAATGATTGAAACGTGCATTCTTATTCAACGATATTTGTTTGCTTTTTATTTATTACTGTACGTTCAAAGGATGTACGAAAATATGTGCAACTTGCGGTACTGACCAGGACTTAGCACAGCTTATCTAAAACGCCGTAATCAACTAACAAGAATGTCGAGTGCATCTTGGCCCGTTTAACAATACATTATACAATACAATCACACACACTCTCAAGTATTATGCTATGTAACTCTCTAAATATAGCTATTTATGTATGTATGTTTGTTGCTAGCAATAAAGAGGGAGTAGGCGTAGTTAATTTTTACACACCAGTGGTATTTGTAAACTTTAAAACACTTAAACTAAAGCGGTATCATCACTGTTCTTTCCCTACTTGTTCTGTTGCTTCAGAGGTGGCTAAGGGATTAAAAGAAGTTAGTATCGAGAGAAATCTGATTATATCTGATGGCCACTTACCAGCACAAACACTCGTTTGGGCAGTGCACGCTGCACCAGTTCATCGAGCAAGGCATTTTGGCTATCGTTCTTTTGCGGATCCGCCTTGGTATTGTACTCTAGGCTTAGCACTGGCAACTCTTGCCAGCCCACTTGTAGGGGATACAGGTTGTACACCAGTTCTTTCTCTTCGTACGCCATTACAGAGATGTCCAGCTGTAAAAATAAATAGTTAAAATTATGAATTTCAAAGGATTATACCAAACCTACCTGCTTGTGACCGGAGCATATAAAGTTATCCGTCTTACTGATACTCAGGTTGGCTATCAGGTGAAGCACATGCGTAGTGGGATTTTTCAGTACCACCTTGAAAGCCATGGGCATTTTTACAAACATTTTCTCCTCGACGGTGCAGTAGATATTCAGCGGCGGCTCCGCAATATCCAAGCCACTGATCACAAACTTAGACTCGTTCTCCTCCTTACCATTAGCCCTTCGCCAGCGAATGCAGAATACACCAAAAATAGGCACAGTCGAAGGATTTCCTTCCAGTGTGTATATACCTTTAATGAAACCACGACAATGACCCGTTCCTTGGACAGCTTCCAAGGCCTTGTTGTATATAAGTCGGCTGGTTTTTATACCCTCTTGGGTGTTTATTGCTTCCTCAGCCACATTGACTTCATCGGACTGCATCGAGCTGGTCATCACACCTGCATTGGCTACTTGTAGGGCATTGGACACTGCTGAATTGCTGTTGATGATGGTCATGGTGGTAGGTATCTTGGTCACCAGACTCTTACTCATGTAGGCACTAATACCGGCTGGCGGCGTGGGAGCAAGAGTTTCCTCTGCGGAGAGTTTGACTACAGGTCTGATGAACTTGCTGGCCACCGCTTTGCCCTCAAGCTTGCCGCGTTGATCCAAATCCCGGGCAGTAGTCCAGTCCCGCAGAGTGGCATTCGTTCGGAGGACTATCACGCTCTCCAGCTGCTCGCCAGCGCTGTACTTGTTAGTATATTTCTTTCGCTTAAAGCTGTAGTTTGATTGCACTAGGTTGTGATCCTAGAGTGAAATGTTTATCTTTTTATTGTCCTATAAATCTTCCTAAGGATACATACACATATAAAGAAGCTGTCCAGTATCTCCACATCGTCTACGGCTACCACTTCAGTGTTGGCTCTCAGAAGAAAATTCTCGCCACGGTAAGCCTGGTTCAAAGGCTTTCTGTCCAGCGTGTAGAAGCGAGCGGTGAACTTAAAGTCTCCGTAGCATCGCACTGTAAGCGTATCCTCCCTGGACTTTCGCAATCGCGTCTCATCCAGGTACTCGATCTGGACCGGAGAAATGGCAGACAGGATCTGAGCTACACTCTTCACCTCGTGATCGGGTGTGGATTCCGAACTGTTTGGAGCAGTGCTCACTCGTGCATTGCTTCCTGCTCCCCCTGAACCTCGATCCACATCCAAAGTGTAGCTCAATCTTTGTTGCAGTTTAATCTCCGTCTCAGCCATGCTGAAAATGTAATAGGTTGCTGTGTTGCCTCCGTGGGCGGACAGCTCGCCCACGTCTATTTGGATTTGGGAATGCAGCTTCTGCCGTCCCGGTGAGATGTCCGTGGTAAGAAATACTGAAAGTTTAAATAGTGAAATGTTAAATAGAAATTTATACATCTAAACTGTGATAACCAACATTTTACTTTTTATGAAAACATAAATGGACTTAGAATATTTATATCTTTAAAAACATTTGCTTGCTACAATAATCAGTAACACCTGGAAGGTATTGACTGCTTTTTTTATTTATTTAACAATCCTGCTTTTAATTTAACATATCGATGTATAATATTTAAACAAACTATCTTATATCGTATCGTGGACTTATCCCCATACAATAGGACCGATTGTGTTCCCACCCAACTATTCTACAAACCCTAAACACACATAAAGTGGGAACAGTTCTCTTTACTTCCTAGTAGTAGCCCTCATATCAGCAAGTTCATTGCCGTGTGTAAACAGCGAGGAACAGGTGTTTTTTGTAAGTGGGTTCTCATTGGGTAAGGTCAGTGTTGCTCCGTTGTATAAATGATTGTGATCCAATATTCGGGGTTTCAGTCCATCGAAGTTCATATTACAAGCCAGATCGCGATGCAAGGTGTGCTGCTTCCGCTGATGATGTGGATGATTTGGATTCTCGGGTCCTCAGCAGAGGAGGAAAACTTACGAAGGAGTCCACGCGTTGTGGGCGGACATCCAAGTGATGTGCGGAATCATCCGCATATGGTTAACATTCGGCGGCGTGGCAACTTCGAATGTGGTGGATCTCTAGTCACTCCCCATTGCGTCTTGACTGCAGCCCACTGCCTGAAAGATGGTCAACCATCAGACTTTGTGGTTCGTGGAGGAGTTACCTATCTGAGTGATATGCGAAATTCTCGTTATGTGAGGAAAATACTGCTTCCATCAGCCTACAGTCGCAATACTTTGGATTACGATGTGGCAATCCTGAAGCTGCAGCAACCGCTCCAGGCTTCTATTGCTCAACCCATTTCTTTGGCGGCAAGATCTCCTCGACCGGGGACTTTTGTCAGGGTTTCCGGCTGGGGACTAACCGACGACAGCTCCACTTCGCTGCCTAATCAGCTGCACAGCGTCCATGTACAAGTGATGCCTCAACGAGAGTGTCGGGATCTATACCATGGCTATCGGAATATTACTAACAGCATGTTTTGTGCTTCGGTCCCGGGTATCAAAGATGCGTGCGCTGCCGATTCTGGGGGACCAGTGGTCAATTCAAATGGTTTCCTAGTGGGCGTAGTCTCGTGGGGAAGGGCGAATCGTTGTGCCGCGAAAGACAGTCCAGGGGTTTACTCTGATGTGAGTTACTTATCTGACTGGATAACGGATAATATTCGCAGATACTGTTAGATTTATTTTAAAACTGTATTAATCAGTATTATATTAGTTAACCCTGATTATTGACGTCACCTGGAGTCGAAGCTAGAATGCCATTGAAGTAGCAGTGCCTCTCATTGTGACCCGTGGTGTTTGCTCAGGTGGTTTTTCGATGTTTTTGCCGAATATCCGGCGATAAAAGCCGGGGCAAGGTCACAACTATAACAGTTCACATCGAGATGCTTTGGCGCTGGGAGTATCTTATTATAGGCATGGTGCTTCTGGCTGAACTCACCCAGTTGGGTGATGCAGTGGCAACCACTAATCAAAGAAAAAACAGGAGACTTAGAAGCTCCAACGGAAACAAGCTAGCGGCCAGAAGAAACCAAAACGGGAATAAGAGCAGTGGCAATCGAGCCAGAAAACTCGCCGCCAAGAGGGTCAATCAGAACCAGAAGGCAACTACTTCAGATAAAATTCAATCCAGGATTGTAGGTGGCACCTCCACCAGCATTTCCACTACTCCCTACATTGTCCAGGTGCGACGTGGCTCAAATCTGTGTGGAGGGTCCCTGATCACCGAACGGTGGGTTTTAACGGCTGCCCATTGCGTCAAAGGATACAGTGCCTCCGATTTCACAGTCCGCGGTGGAACGACTACCTTGGATGGCAGCGATGGCATCACTCGCTCCGTTAGCTCTGTCCACCTTGCTCCTAAGTTCACCTCAAAAAAAATGAACATGGATGCCGCCCTGCTCAAACTGAATCAATCCCTTACGGGCACAAATATTGGAACCATATCCATGGCTAGCTATCGACCTAAGGCTGGATCAAAAGTACGCATTGCGGGATGGGGAGTAACTAAGGAAGGCAGCACAACGGCCTCCAAAACGCTGCAATTCATCCAGACTAGAGTGGTCAAGCAGAAAAAATGCCGTTCGGATTATCGAGGCAAAGCCTCTATCACCAACTACATGATCTGTGCCCGCTCTGCTGGCAAGGATTCCTGCAGTGGAGATTCCGGTGGTCCGGTGACAAGAAACAACGACCTGGTGGCCATCGTATCCTTTGGTTATGGTTGTGCCAGAGCCGGATATCCCGGCGTCTACACAGCCGTCTCCTCTATCCGCCAGTGGGCAAACAATGTTATGGCTAATAATTAAGGATCGCAAGTCTGAGCGATGAAACCCAACTGAACTATGTCTTAAGGTCGTAAGTTGCTACGTCGATTAAATAAATTTTGTTTACTAAATTTGTTAACTAAATATTATTTACAAAGGTTTTTTGCAATATGGATTCTTAAAATAGTGAATGGTATACAAGTTCATTATGCCAGGGGCATAGAATATTCAAATTCCACATGATCAACAAATAATATATATAATATCTTGCCGCAGGAAAGTTTAACATCGACTTTAATAAACAAATACACAATAAATAGAAAACCATGTTTAACTCTTCTTGAACAAAACTATAGTGGATTGCATGGAATAGTTAAGGAACTTAGACAACTTTCAAGATTGTTTTTCAGCTCTGTTTGAGTAGAAACAAGTTAGACTCTAAGAATTTTAGCGATCAAACTTCGGACCTGTCCAGGTTTGATCTCATCTAAATATTCACTTTCTAACTACAAATCTCATTATTTGAGTGCTATCGTGGAATTTGAAGTTTATGTGGTTATCATGGATTTCTTGAGTATTTAATTTGTAAAGAAAACATGTTGAGAAATATTATTGTTTGTCATGAACACACAAAAGTTAGTTTAAACAAATCATTTGTAATAAAAAAAACTATTTGTTTAACCTACACAAAATTCTTTTAATTCATCGCCAATATTTTAACGAAAGCAAAATGGTTTAAATATTGAAATTTATCTAAAACTAAAAACGGTAACGTTTCCGTTTGAATAGCTATTCCGAGTTCGACTTCCCGGCAAAGGTGGTTGATTGAACAATTGTGCAAATGTTAATATCTTGTTCCGCCCAGATTTGCTCAATATAAAATCGTGTTCCAGCTTACTCTCAATATAGTTGGATAACCGCCATGATTGCCCTGTGTCTGCCGTCGCTGTTGTTGCTCCTTATTCCAATCCTGAGACTCAGCTCAGTTTTCGCCTCCTCTTTCGAAAGCGTGGAGATACAGCCACGCATCATTGGTGGTAAGGTATCCAGTATCAAGCAGGAAAAGTATCTAGTACAAGTCACCACGTCCACGGAGCTGTGTGGAGGATCGCTGATTAAGCCCCGGTGGGTCATAACTGCGGCACACTGTGTTTACAAGCAGAACAAGGACGAGTTCAAGGTTTATGGCGGTGCCTCTGATCAGGGTGGTCCATATGCCATCATCCGTCAGGTGGATTTCATGGCCATTCGTCCGGATTTTAATCGCAAGACTCTTAATATGGATGTGGCTGCCTTGCGCTTGACTTCAGATATGACTGGAGCTAATATAGAGACCATTGCTTTGTCCTCGCAATCTGTTCCAGCTCGCGTTTTAGTCAAAGTCTCTGGTTGGGGTTACCTTACTGCGGATGCCACACAAACAGCAAAACGTGTACACAGTGTCCTGGTCCCCGTGTGGTCACGCTCTTCTTGTGTGTCTGCTTTTAAGGGAACCCATCGAATTACCCGCTCCATGATCTGTGCCGGCAAGCTGTATAAGAAGGATTCTTGTGATGGCGACTCGGGTGGACCTTTGGTGTATCGTGGTGAGCTATCAGGAATTGTGTCCTTTGGGTATGGATGCGCCTCCTCTCTGCCTGGTGTGTATACAAGTGTGCCTGTGATACGGGATTGGTTCCTGCGCGTGATGGAAGAGCATTCCTAAGCATAATCTTAAGCTTTAGCTTAAATGTTAATAAATAGTTCAAGTTTATCTAAAGGCAATTAACTGGGGAATGTAAGAACAGATAGACGAATATAAAAACTTGACTCCAGGCCTAAATGTCTGTAGACCATGTTAAAACTCCTCTTTGGACTATCACTGCTCTATGAGCTGCATGGAAACTCCTTGGCTTTTCGGCTGGGTAAAATCTTTGGAGGAAATACAACGCAAGTAAAAAATTACTCCTTCCTGGTTAATCTTCGACGTGGAGGTAATTTCCGATGCGGTGGTGTTATAATCTCGCCAAGCTGTGTTCTCACAGCGGCTCACTGTTTGGAAGGACGGCATCAACACCTCCAGGATTTAACTGTTCATGCCCAACAACAGTGTTTGGGGGATGAGACGCCGCCGGAGCATGTGCGTTCGGCCTGGTATGTCGGCATATCAACACATTACTGTCGTCAGCGGGGTCTGGACTCCGATCTGGCTGTGATCCGATTGAAACGCGCATTTGACATCTCCGGTAATGCTAGTTTTGTCAAGATAGACTTTAATGATCTGCCACGTCGGGCCAATCTCACGGTGATGGGCTGGGGAGCGATTAACGAGCAAGGTCACAACTGGAATCAATGTCTGCAAGAAGCCAAAGTTCAGCTCATCTCGCAGAAACATTGCATGAAAATAATGAATTCAGGCCAGCAACAAGTTACGAATAACATGTTTTGTGCTCTGGGGGAAAATTCTAAGGATGCTTGCCAAGGCGACTCCGGAGGTCCCATAATGCACGACGACCGATCTGTGGGCATAGTATCCTGGGGCTATGGGTGTGGCAGTGGTTATCCAGGGGTATACACCCGCCTCAGCAGTCCATCGATTACGTACTGGTTGAAGAGCTTCATTGAGCGGCATTGCTGATAATCTATCACTAATTTTGTAAAACCTTTAACCCAATAAAAATGGCTTATAATGCAGTTGCACTGTGATTACAATTGAATGTCAAATAATGGGGAGATCGTGTGATCCAATTTCCTAGCCAGCATCATTATCACTTTCCAAATTAGACAGCAATATACATAGTAGACGTCAGTCTGAACACGCCATGGTTGCTCTGTGGTTGCTCCTCTGGCTCTGTCAGTTAACACTTTGCCTCTCCAACAAAACCAGGATAGTGGGCGGCAGGGAGACATCCATTTCCCAGGTTCCATACCTGGTTAACCTGCGACAGAATGGAAACTTCATATGTGGTGGATCCCTAATCTCCACCAGGATAGTGCTTAGTGCTGCGCATTGTGTTTATGGATCCAATCCAGAGGACTACACTATCCACGCTGGCGCCAGTCGGTTAGATGAAAATGCTCCCGTGGTTCGCAGCATATCTAAGTTTCACGTTTCGCCCAGTTACTCTTCAACAAACTTCGACATGGATGTCGCTTTGTTGGAGCTGCAGGAGACAGTTTTTCTAATTCCCGGCAAAGTCGCTATCATTACTCCTTGTCACAATCCGCCGGAAGCTAATTCGTATGCGAGTATCAGTGGTTGGGGAGTGACCCGTGAGGGCAACCGTGAACCCGCTGAACAGGTCCGTATGGCCGTGGTACGAGTGCTCCCGGCTGCTGAATGTCAGCTTTCGTATGCCGGAACAGCACAACTAAGCGACTCTATGTTTTGCGCGGCAGTACGAGGACTCCGGGACTCCTGCTCCGGAGATTCAGGTGGTCCCTTGGTATTCCGTGGACAGGTTTGTGGCATTGTTTCCTGGGGATTCGGCTGCGCGCGGCTAGCTTTTCCGGGTGTATACACCAACGTGGCTAGTGGAAGAGTTTATGCGTTTATAGACCAAACCATACGCAGGATTGGAAATGATAGATATCGAGATCAATTGACAATTATTTAATCAACTAATTTGTGGAATCTGATAAATAACAGAAACAAGGTCGGTAAAAGTGTAGAGAATCCGGTATAAAGCACCATTACACAGCAGTTTTGTTTGGTTTCAATTTCCCATACTAAATTACACTGATGGAATCCGACGATAAGCCACACAAAATGGTTTATTAAAATAATTATTATTTGCGCAATAAAATAATATGTGTGCTCTGTAATGATTGTTTCCTAAAGGGCATATAAATCGAAGCACAGAGCCGCGCGATCCGAGTCGGAACTGCGATCAAAAAGGTGTTTACTCAGGTGACCAGCGACTCGGAAACTCGGTTGGTAGTTACAACTACCGGATACGGCAAATATTGAGGGATGGAGTGAGCTGATGGCTACGCTGTGGCTCTTGCTCCACCTAATCCCACTTTGCTGGGCGACCAGCAACGACGCTAACAGTCGGATTGTGGGAGGTGTCCCAGTGGATATTGGTAGTGTGCCTTATTTAGTGAACCTGCGTATCGGTGGGAACTTTATATGCGGAGGCTCTTTGGTTACGCCTCAACATGTGGTCACCGCCGCTCACTGCGTCAAGGGAGTCGGTGCTTCCCGAATGCTAGTCGTCGCCGGAGTCACTAAACTTACGGAAACAGGTGTTAGGAGTGGCGTCGAAAAGGTATACACCCCAAAGGCCTACAACACCCGCACCCTCAGCACAGACGTAGCCGTTTTGAAACTTAAGTCTCCAATAAGTGGTCCAAAAATATCCACCATTGAGCTGTGCAATGCTAGCTTTAAGGCAGGAGACCTGATTAAAGTCTCCGGCTGGGGACAAATTTCAGAGCGCAACAAAGCTGTTTCTATGCAGGTGCGGAGTGTGGACGTCGCTCTCATTCCCCGGAAGACTTGCATGAGCCAGTACAAGCTGCGTGGAACTATCACCAACACAATGTTCTGTGCCTCGGTGCCCGGAGTCAAGGATGCCTGCGAAGGCGACTCCGGAGGACCAGCAGTTTATCAGGGCCAACTATGCGGAATAGTTAGTTGGGGGGTTGGCTGCGCCCGAAAAAATTCACCAGGCGTCTATACTAATGTTAAGACTGTTAGGAGTTTTATAGATAAGGCCTTGGGAATGTAAGCCAAAACAATAACAAGTTCAATTGCTTAAAATGTAGAGAAAAGTTATAAAATAAATAATAGTTCCCATTGAAAAAACTTACCACTATTTCTCAGTCCCACGGGGACACTAATGTGAACGCCCACATTCTGCAGATAGACATTATAGGGATTGCTGACGGTGGTCACAACAGGATAGTACTCGTTGACCAGCATTTTCGTAGGCACCACATTCGATTCCTCATCCACACCGAGACCATGTCCATGGCCAAGGTTCGTTTGCGTGTCCAAATGAAAGCTGAAATAGAAAACCATATTCAGTGGAGCATTAAATACGCTAGTTGCATGCAATTGTCCGGAAATAAATCTCTGCTTCCGGTACCAATCAATTTGACCTACGTGGGCGCAATGTAGCAAATGGGATTGATCGTCACGTTGTCATCTAGATCACGGCTGCGCGTGTGATGCCGGAACAGCTGTCGTGAGTAGTTTGAACTGCACGTGAGTAAGGCGGCCACTTGGTCAGTACCCATGTGGGCCTCCAGGCGAACAATTCGTAATTGCGTGTTTTCGTGGAATTGCTGGGCTTCGGTGCTGCAGAATAGCTGGTAATAAGAACCGGGCTCCAATCTCATGTTCTTCTCGAAGTTCTTGGGCTCCTGCTGCAGCTTCTCCAACTGCTCTTCCTGAGACTGCTTCTGACCGCGCAACTGCGTAAGGCTAGGAAAGCAGAAATACTTCAGTGCCTCCAGTTTGTAGCTGTTCTGCGGATTAGCCGCATCGGCTAGAATGACATGGAAACTGCGAATCCTAAACGGTACATCCGTAAGCACACTAAAAGAATTATACATATAAAAAATTGAATTTATAAAAAAATACTAAGTGAACTTACCGCACGATAAGTTGCAATTGCAGCAAGTCGTCGTTGTTCAGCTGAACTTGCTCAAATGTCGCACACATTTCCACTACATCACTGACCTTATCTAAATCAATTTGAATAGGCGATTTTACGCTTGCCAGTGAACTGGACCACAACGCCTGCGCTTCAGGCGCCAACTGAGTTTTCGGCATGGGTGGCACGCCCTGAAACACCTGCCACAGGTTCTCCATCAGGAAAATTCGCTCCGCTTGCTCGCCATGATGGCGCAGGGACAGAGCTTCAACACTGCATGCAATGTAGTCAGCCACGGACCCCGAGAGCAGCGCACATCGGAGTGTCTTTAGCAGAACATCAGTGAATATCGTTGACCATTTTTCCTGACGATAATCGGGCAGCATTAAGGAATACAACCTAGAGTAAGAAACAGAATAAATTAATATGCTCAACACATGAAACACTTCAATTATAAACTCACGTCAAGGCCTTAGCGTGATCCCCACTCTTCAGGTATTCCTCAGCCATGTCAATAGCTAGTTTCTTTCGAAACCTGAGGCACTTGTAGATCTTAAACTGAGCCATGGCCTGGCTGAGCAGGGCTATGATCCCCGATGAGTGATTATAGCCCCGCTCTTGATCACATAACAGCGCGTTTGCTTGCTGCTCGGCTACTAGATCGCCCGTCTTGACCGCTCGAATTCCGAAAAACTCTGTGTAAAGAGACAAAGGATTTTGGTTCGTTGCGGAAGTGACTTCTGTGGAAGATTGCATGGCAGCATAGGCCTCATGAGCTGAATCTCGCCGCTTCATCACATATTCAGCTGCCTTGTGGTAGTAAATACCGGGATGCTGTGTCTGCAGAGCAGGCAGTCCATTCTTAATAGCCTCGCAGAACAGCTCAGCAAAAACAGAATGTCTTTAATCAAATATAATATGTTAGGTAAGATATTAAAAGAAGTCTGTCTTCTCGACTTACTGCGTGCTTAACCAGGCATGGTGCTCAAATGCCAGATCCTTAAATCCCACTCGAGACTTGTACTTTTCCACATGAATGATAAACTGATTGATGGCATCTCTGGGAGTCTTCAGTTTGAACATAAGCCGGCAAATCTTATAGTTTAAGAACCCTGCCAGTGTTTTAATCTCTAAGCAATTGCCGTCATTGATGCGTATTTCGTCCAGATTGGCATATGCCTGGAAGTAGTGCCTGCATAGAAATACAAAATAAGGAATTGGGTTTGAGAAAATTGATAAGGACCGACTTTTGTCCGGTGCTGAAATCCTGCCTCATCTCCGCCACGAATCCAAGCTTGAACTGGTGCCGAATCTTTAGCGAGGTGTGAGCCGCCGTCAACTGATCCCGATGGTTTCGAATACGCTTGGACATGAGGGCGTAATAGGACTGCGCCATGTCCAGGAAAGCAGACTCCAGTCGCAGTGCGTATCCCGTTAGGTGCTCAGTATGCGGAAGTATAAACAGCATCTTACTAGTTATGCCACAGGCGTTTGTCAGACTGGCCGCTCGCTCTGCAGCCAGGAGATCTTCGCCTGGTGGAAGCGGTGCTGCCTTTTGAAGCAGCACCAGGCACAGCCGGGTATTTCGGTCCTGCAGAGCGTTCTTCAAAGCCTGCACAATGCCAGCACACTGCACCTGCTTCTCCGTCCACTGGAGGTCATTCCACTCCATATCCTGAAACAGCACCACCACGGAAGGCAGTACGTGCAAGTGCTTTAGCATCCAGTTGCGCTTTAATATTCCCTTTGGGTGGTACCACTCGTAGGAAGCCCTCTTAGGCTTAGCCACGGGAAACTCATAGTTGTGGGGCAGTAGCTTGTACTGCACAGCCGCCCTGTCGGCGGCCTTACGCTGCAGACTGCCACTGAACGCCTCCCAAACGGCTTTGTGCACCGCCACCCGTGCCGTATCCAGCCCACAGAAGCCAATAAGCGGCTGTGGGGTTACGAGCAGCTCTGACGGCAAGGCGGTGGAGTCCATCGTCATGGTTCCTCTCCGGCCGCTCCTGCTCAGAATTAGATGAGATCGATCTCTTCGTCACCAACGGGCACTCCTCTCCTTCACTGCAATTGATGATCTCCTCCAGCTACGTTGTCCTCGGTTCGGGAATTTAAGTGTGACCAAGATTAGGGTATCAAACTATGCCACTTAGTAAGACCGGGTGGTTAGGGAAAATAAAGGTAGAAGATATGGCTAGATAAAAGCTAGATGAATTTAAATTGAAAAGACTCTACTTGTCATAATATTTAACTATTTAAAAGACTTTATATTATTTATTGTCAAAAAAAAATAAATTAATGTAATGATAATGTTATGTTCTACATCAGCTAATTTAAAAATCAAAATATTACGTTAATCTCCATCCCTGACATCTAATGCAGCCCTGCCCTCGCAGCCCTGGCAGTATACGTGTCGTGCAGTCGCTTTCTCATTCGTTTTGTTATTTTTGAGCTGAAAGGTACGAGTGTTCTCTGGGGCGAATTACAAAGCAGTCTGTGCCATTTAATGTGATCAATTTAACCTAGCTGCAGCTTAAACAATTGGCAATTAATCATCGATTCGATTCCCTTGTGATTTTAGTGCGACCTATACTTCACAACAACAACACAAAAAATGGCTCCACCACAGAGAATGCGCGTCGCCAACGAGAAGGCCAGCAAATATGTTACAATGCGTGGCAATGTACCCAAATCCTCGGTAAGTGTTATCTAAAAAGTTGACTGTCAAACAAGACCGATTAGGATAATGCGGAGAAAACAGTTAATATAAGACCAGAATTAGCCGATAATCAATTGTGAGAAGTGCCACGCCGTCATTGATTTTATTATTGGTAACGTGCATATGTATGTACATATGTTTATAGCTATGTGTGCGGAAGCTGGTGTGTGCGAGAGTGTTATCGGTACTTCTGGAAATTTTGATTAGACGTTGCCATTCCATCGACGTTTTTCACTAATCTCTTTCAATGCAATATATTCACTAGACAAACGGTCACAAGTCAAAGCTAATCTGTATTTCTCTTTGCAGAAAACGAAAGAGGGTCAGTATCCCGTGGGTCCATGGCTTTTGGCGCTCTTCATCTTTGTGGTCTGCGGCTCGGCTATTTTCCAGATCATTCAGTCGATAAGGGCTGCGTAAGGAAAAGCTCCTTCACTTCACAATTATACATACAAACGCAGCCGCATCTGGAGGAAGATAATAGACCCTTCCGGAGCCTCCATTTGCTACTACTATAGCCTTTCCAGAAGACCTTTTTTAGCTGAATAGACCCCAAAAGCATGTGCAACCGGAAGATGACGTCAAATAACTTGGCTTTCCACAGTTTATTTTGGTGTCTGCAATATCTACTCTTATAAAACACATACAAAATTTAAGTCCATTTAAAGCATTTTGCAATTATTAATTTAAATGTAAGCTCTGCAATGTGCATTCCTGCAATTCTCTCCTAAACACTTACAACAAAATCAACTGAATAATGGTCTTGACCATTTTATAGGCGATAAATGCATTTTTAAGATGCTTCTCGATGCCGTTTTAAATAGTGCAAAGTGTTAAAGCGTTGTTTTCTAATGCAAAGACGAGTAGAGAAGGAACTATGAGTACATAAAAATGATGAATATATATTAATTTTTTACCTTAACACCTGTTGTTTTAATCTATTATGATTCCTTAAAATATTAAGGACTTTTGGAATACAAATTGAATTACTAGGGTGGTAAGATAAAAAATGAAATGTTTAGATGTCCCTGTACATTTACATATTCAGTTTTATGTTACAAATATTTAGAAGAAAAAAAAACAGTTTCCTTATGAAATACTGGTTTTCTCACTCACGTAATTGGTTCATCCCTAATTTAGCTCCATCCCTGGTTATACCCATCAGACAGCTGTTTTACGCATATGTGAATGGAAAATAAACTAGGAATTTACATAAAAATGAATTTAAAGTTAAATATTAAATAAGATAATTAAAAAAAATTAATGCGCCGTTACTTTACATCGGTCAACGTCCAAACAATGTCGAAGAACAAGGTGAAATCAAAATCCACTGCTCAAAATGCTAAAAGTGACGCTGCATCCGCACCGGCTAAGGAAACCAACCCGATTACTGTGGACAAAGGCGGCAATATATGCATACAAATTTTGGCCAAGCCAGGTGCCAAGCAAAATGGAATTACGGGAATCGGTCTCGAAGGAGTGGGCGTCCAAATAGCCGCTCCGCCTAGTGAGGGAGAGGCAAATGCAGAACTAGTCAAGTACCTCTCGAAAGTTCTTGGCCTTCGAAAGAGCGATGTATCACTGGACAAGGGATCTCGGTCCCGCAACAAGATTATATTGATCAGCAAAGGAGTATCTACAGTGGAGACCATAGAGCAACTGCTTCGAAAAGAATCTGACCCTTAGATATTTGCCGAAATAAATACTCATTAAACAAATTGATTTTTAAAACACATTTGCTTTGTTTATTTGGTTGTTTTTTATGTTTATCATCGATCGATCGGGTCATCAAACCTTAATTATACATATACTCCATTCTTTATATAGCTATATCAACTAGAGCACGTATGTAGTCTTTAGTGTTTATACATAAATTACTTGGATTCTAAATTAGAAGTTCTTAAAACGACAACTGCTTTTGAATGATTTTCGGGAATCTAACCTTTTTACGAGTTTTTCTTGTTTGTTTATGAGTTAAGCGTATGTTTGTCGCATACAACGCGGCAAAATGTTAATGGGAATACAATACAAAATTTAACTCGGCCGTAAACTAAGTACAAAAGTTCGAAACGCAAGTAAATTGTGTATGTGAATGCGAGTGATAGAATGAATTTTGTTTGGTTTGGGTTGGTCGCTTAATCCACCTCCTCCATGTGGGAAGCGTCCTCGGTGTCCTCAACCAGCGAGGGGGCATCTCCGGCGCTCTGGGCATCCTCGGTGGTCATTGGCTCATCCTCGTCGATGCCCAGACCCAGCTTGATCATGCGGTAGATTCGGCTGGCGTGCACCTGGGGACTGTCCAGAGAAAAGCCGGAGGACAGCAGGGAGGTCTCGAACAGCAGAATAACCAGATCCTTAACAGCCTTGTCGTTCTTGTCGGCATCAGCCTTCTGACGCAAAGTTTCAACAATGGGATGATCGGGGTTGATCTCAAGCTGCTTCTTGCCGGCCATGTAGCCCATGGTGGCCGTGTCACGCAGAGCCTGAGCCTTCATGATGCGCTCCATGTTGGCGGACCAACCGAACTGAGAGGTGACAATGCAGCAAGGCGAGTCAACCAGACGGTTAGACACCACGACCTTCTCAACCTTATTGTCCAGGATGGACTTCATCAGCTTGCACAGGCTCTCGAACTTGGCCTTGTCCTCCTCGCGCTTCTTTTTCTCGTTCTCATCCTCTGGCAGCTCCAGACCCTCCTTGGTGACAGAGACCAGTTGTTTGCCCTTGTACTCCTTCAAGTGCTGGATGACGTACTCATCGATGGGCTCGGTCATGTAAACCACCTCAAAGCCACGGACCTTGACGCGCTCCACAAAGGCAGAGTTGCTAACCTGGTCCTTAGACTCACCGGTGATGAAGTAAATGTGCTTCTGATTCTCCTTCATGCGCGACACGTAGTCGGACAGGGAGCAGAAGTCATCGCCGGAGGCAGAGGTGTGGAAGCGCAAGAAATCAGCCAACTTGGCGCGGTTATTGCTGTCCTCGTGCACGCCCAATTTCAGGTTCTTGCTGAACTGGTCGTAGAACTTCTTGTAGTTCTCCTTGTCCTCGGTAAGCTCCTCAATCAGCTCCATGGTCTTCTTGACCAGGTTTTTGCGGATCACCTTCAGGACCTTGTTCTGCTGCAACATCTCACGGGAGATGTTAAGGGGCAGATCCTCGGAATCGACCACACCCTTAATGAAGTTTAAGTACTCGGGGATGAGGTCCTCACAGTTGTCCATGATGAAGACTCGACGCACGTACAGCTTGATGTTGTTGCGCTTCTTCTGGTTCTCGAACAGATCGAAGGGCGTGCGACGGGGGATGAAAAGCAGAGCACGGAACTCAAGCTGTCCCTCCACGGAGAAGTGCTTGACGGCCAGATGGTCCTCCCAGTCGTTAGTCAAGGACTTGTAGAACTCGCCGTACTCCTCCTGAGAGATATCATCGGGGTTACGGGTCCAGATGGGCTTGGTCTTGTTCAGCTCCTCATCCTCGGTGTACTTCTCCTTGATGGTCTTCTTCTTCTTGGCATCCTTGTCTTTCTTGTCGGCATCCTCATCTTCGCCAACATCCTCGATCTTGGGCTCATCAGTGTCCATTTCCTTCTTTTCATCACCTTCCTTCTTCTCATCATCAGCCTCGTCGTCGCTGACTTCCTTCTCGCGCTCCTTCTCTACGAGGAGCTTGATTGGGTAGCCAATAAACTGAGAGTGCTTGTTGACAATCTCCTTGATCTTGCTCTCCTCCAGATAGTCAGTCTGGTCCTCCTTGATGTACAGAACGATCTTAGTACCACGGCCCAGAGGCTCAGAATTGTCGGCACGGACAGTGAAGGAACCTCCGGCAGAGGACTCCCACACGTACTGTTCATCATCGTTGTTCTTCGAGGTAACAGTCACTTTGTCGGCGACGAGGTAGGCGGAGTAGAAACCCACACCGAACTGTCCAATCATGGAAATATCGGCGCCGGCCTGCAGAGCCTCCATGAAAGCCTTGGTTCCAGACTTGGCGATAGTTCCCAAGTTGTTAACCAAGTCGGACTTGGTCATACCGATACCGGTATCGATGATGGTCAGTGTACCAGCCGTCTTGTTGGGGATCAACTTGATGTAGAGCTCCTTGCCGGAGTCCAGCTTGCTGGGATCCGTCAGGGATTCGTAGCGGATCTTGTCCAGGGCATCAGAGGCGTTCGAGATCAACTCACGCAGGAAGATCTCCTTGTTTGAGTAGAATGTGTTGATGATCAGTGACATCAGCTGAGCGATCTCAGCCTGGAAGGCGAAGGTCTCTGCTTCTTCCGGCATCTGGAAGGTTTTGAATAAAGATAGGGAGGATTAGTTGACGTCGTCGGGTGGAAATTCAATGAAAGCAGCTGCATTTTCAGCAGCTGCTGTGTGCATTTTTCTTTGTTCCCCCTTCTCACTTCTTCTTCATCACAGCATGGCTTACTTAGCATGCGCATTCACAAACACAGCGGTAAAAAAAAAATAGTGGCTTACTAAGCGAAAAAGTTATCTATTTTGCATTATCGAACAAAATGCTTTGCAAAATAAATATTTACGAGAAATTGAGATATTTAAAAAAAAAATGTAGTGGTTGATAATTTTTCTACCCCCACTGTATACGCACGTGTATAGGTGGTAAGCATTACACATTGAAAATTCGTACATAACCAAGTTAGTAATTGGAAACATCTAGAACCCCAAGCATAACTAATCCCCTTGGCAACGGTTATTAAAATAAAACAAATAGAATTTAAAAATAACGCACTGCTATCAAGATTTTTTACTGACTGACGCTTTCATTTCTTCTGCGTTCCGCTTGCATGTGTTAATATGACATGTGCAAAGTCGAAATGCAAAGAAAGCACATGCAAGAGTTAATTAAGAAAGGCAATTTATAATTAATAGGCCCATTTGGAATACTGTTTAATTCATGAATTTGTTAAAGGCCTTCAAGAACATTCTCTGGCGAAAAAAAAACCGGCATTTTCTATACGGGATTGTGTGCACGCTGAGTCACCCTTAAAAAAGCGGCAAAATGTATTTAAGTAATAAAAGCCTAATGCGTTTAACTAGAAAATCTTGCACCTTGCATCACTTGGTTGGTTTCTAGAACTTTATAATCGATATTTTGCAATTGGGTCAAGAACATTCCAGATGCACATCCTCAGACAAATGATTTACTTTTGCATTTATTTTTCACAAAAATAAATTATTTAATGCTTTTTGAGATTACTTACCTTGTATGTATGTTTTTCGTTCTATTCACAGAATAAAGGTAAAAATATAAAAATTTTCACTTTGCTTTGTGCAGAATGGGAAATTCACAAAACTTTTTCAGACGCTGTCGACGCACACCGCACGAAATTTTTTCAAGACTCGAACCGGCATCCGACGCGCTGCCGCTTTTATAGAAAAAATCGCACCAGCCGAGAAAATTCTAGACGCTTCTAGAGATTTCCAGACGCCAGGGATACAATATCCGGTTTTTATTAACGATTCTCAGTGTTGGAAGCCGTTTGAAAAAGGCACAGCCTGTGCGGGTGAATTTGAAAATTTAACTGACCGGTATTCGGTAGAGATTTGTGTGGATAGGCGGAACGGTTGAGCGCAGCCCACTTGGATTGGTTTAATTTTTATTATTAGTTATTATATTGGCATTGTGCGCCTACTATATTAACTTTTATATAATTTTTTTTATTATATTTAATGGGAATGGAGCGATTTATCTTATAATATTTTTTAATAATATAGTCGATCTAACCCTTTGCATGTTATAAGATTTTTTCCAAAATGCTAAATATAATAATGTTTTCTACATGTTTTTTTTTTATGATCAAAGTTTTTTGTTTTTAAATTTTAAATAATAATAATTACCCAACTTGATATCGGCGTGCGATATATTGCTCTTTAACGATTGATCGACAATCGAAAGGCTAACAGCTGATAATAATCATTTTAGCGATTTCTAGCTTGGAAAATAAATATATTAATATCGAAGTACCATTGGGCCCGATAGTCCTGACAAATAACGCTTCGAAATTGAAGACAGGATAATAAGTTTTTTGTGTGGATTTATACTATGGGCGGAACTAAATGTTGTTTTCGTGACTGCGCGGTCGCATCAGCCCGCAATCCCAGAATGCATTTCTTTAAATTTCCGGTTAAGGATCCGAAGAGGTTGAAGGCCTGGGTAGAAAATTGTGCAAACCCTGATGTCTCAAATGCTTCATTGGGCAAATTGGCAGGAAAGGCTGTTTGTGCTAGACACTTCCGGGCCGAATCTTTTATGAACTACAAAATGGATAGACTTGCTCCCTTCCAGACGCCTACTTTGCTCAGGATCAACAAGGATCTCGCCCTGGATTTCGCTAGTCTCGACAGCAACGGGGAGGCACTCCTAGTAAAGCTGACGCCACCAAAGCAACAACATCTTGTACCACCCAAGGGTTTCCAGTGTCCCCTTGGATTTGTTGATGACGATGATGATGAAACCCAAAATGTGGAGGCAATCAGGAAAAAGACCAGAGTTAATGTAGACCAGAGGGTTGAGAAATCACAGGAAACGCAATCAGCAAAACTAATGGATCTGACTGAGGTTGAGGATCACCAACCAGCGGATGAAACCAATGGAACTCTTTATTTGTTGAACTCTGAGCACGAGCACTCAGTTCTGAACCAAGAAAAGGCAGTGGTGGAGAACCAGAACTACACTACAATAACGAGTGGAGATTCGGTTATGCCGCAAAACATTCTTGATTTAATTAGTCAACTGCAACCTTCAATGGGCATTAAATTAATAAAAAGACCAGTGGAAATTCAAACAATAATTGAGATGGACTTGGATCTGAATGAACAGCAACTGCCAATCGAAAGTACTGAAGGTAATACTGAAGAACAGATAGAAACCAAAGGGCCAGAAAACTGCTATATACCAGCAAGTTTTCGGGAGACAATTAATAAGCAAAGCGTTCCGGTGAGCCCAAACGAAACAAGAAACGCAGATCGACTCAAGATGATTAGTGATATTGTTCAAAAACGTAAGATGCAAAAGGAAGTAGATTTTCAAGATGATAACGTACTCAGAAGTGATGAGCAATCTACTCAAGAGCAGCCTAAAAGAAGGAAACCAATTGAAGAAGCCCTAAAGACTGAAATCGTCGTTCAAGCTGGGCAGACGACTATAAGGAGTAAGCAGAAGTCTGCACCATGCGAGAAACCAACTCAATCAATCCAATCTGTCCTTAATGATATTAGTTTAAAGACTGCATCTGTTTGTTTTATAAACCAGGAAGATAATTTAAACTATACTAGTGAAAGTGAGGATGAATCTGCCCCGTCAGAAAAACCGTCTTCGTCCGAGGATACTCTGCGTGAAAAGCTTCATCAGGACTACAATAAGCTTCAGGCAGAATTCGACAAGCTCTCGGAGGAAAATGCCAAACTAAAACAACTCCAGGACGAACTCCTAAAGACTCACGCGGCTCCTCCAACCAAACCAGCAGCTAACTCTTTAACCAAACAACAGCTTTATATGGGTATAAAGAAGTACCTGGGCCCTACAATGGCCGCCCTGCTGCGCATGGAAATGTTTGGAGGCTCTGAAGATCGCACTTGGAAGGATGACGAGCGGGAGTTCGCAACAGAACTCCTTCAACTGGGAGATGAGGTATACAAGTATTGTTGCGACGAGTGGAGGTTTCGGCTTCCATCGATTCGGATTGCCCGATCCTGGCTGGAGAAAAGAAAAACAGATGATACCGAAGATTTTCTTGATTTATAAGCCTATTTTATAATTTTTACCATTGTCATATAATTTATATTTTAGTTTCGTAACATATTTAAGTGTTTTGTCAAGTTAGTACAGAATATTTGCATCTTTTCCAACTTATGGCCGATCTATGTTTGATAATAAACGATATTCTCTAACTTTGTAAGTGTGTGAAAAATTGATGTTTTCTGAAAGGAATGATTTACAAAATAAATCTTTCAAATAAAATTTAAACTTAATGGTATGAAATCCACATTTAATTGCCATGCATAAAAGAATGCTTGCTTGTTAGTTCAAGTGACAAATGATAGAGTCATCAGTTGCCGTGGTAACGCAGATCTCCTGGGTGGACGCGTCGCAAAAATAACCATCAGGACAGCTTCCTGTGACATTTGTGGGCGTTAAGGCGCCAAAGCAAAAGGCGAATGTGGATCGCGAGGTACATGCAAAGGTGTAATTGGGAGCACACTGGCCACAGCTGTCCGTATCACCACAACTGGCAGGAGTTTGACTTCGTTGGAAACATATCACAGGCTGATCCGTGCACACCAGTCCATCCGTGCAGATGAAGGTCTGGTTGGTAACCGGCTCAGTGCCACCGAAACAAAGATTATATGCGGTTTGATTGATGCAGGATGCGTGATTTGATTGGCATACGTTGCAGTCTGCCTGGATCCAAACGATAGGCAAAGCCACTAAGGCAATCTGAAATTGGGTGATTTTATCCATTACATCAAGTTCTTTTGAAACATGTAATTCCCTTCGATTTGAGAACTATAACTAGGATTTTACACACTTACCAACCCCAAGAACTTGTACATCTTCACAACTTTGCGGACCTTCTGTGAATGATCACACATCTACGTCTAAGTCTTATTTGTACATTTTGGAAGCGGTGCCGAATTTTGTTCTATGACATCGTAAAATTTCGTAGCCTTGGGTAATAAGAACAGCTAGTTATCTTTTTATGGGCGCTAAACAAACGCTAACTGAAGGTGTGGACCGGCTTAGCCTCTATAAAGAGAATTGGCACCACGTCGAAAAGTCATCACAAGTAAATCGCTCTTCCCGGCAATCAGACAAATCATGCTGGCGAACATCACACTAGGAGTGAGTCAAGGGCATTGTAAGTAAGTAGAAAGTGATCCACTTCTCTGGTAATTATAGGTCTTGCTGCTCATCTGGATTTCGGGATGTTCTCTAGGGCAATCCGTTTGCTCGGATTGTTCCTCAACAAAGGAACAGTACGCATGTATCAATGAAACCGCCTATGGTTTTTGCTTCGGCCAGGAAACTGTATACGAAAGTGCAGTTGAAAACTGCCAGGATGGGTACTACTGCGTCCTAGAGGGATTCTGTGCACTCATGGATTCAGCGGAAGTGAGTTTTAGTGGCATAGCTCTGGGAAAATTTGCCAATTCTCACACTTCTTTTCCCACAGCCGGCCTGTGTCCCAGATAGTTCAACGACCACAACGGATATAGTGACAGGTTGGTAGATATAGCACTTATTTTTATGGGTTTATTGCCTGTGGTTTAACTTAACTTATACTTAAAAATGGAAGATTCGACAACCGATTCGAGTACCATGGAAACTACAGATATTACAACGATCGAAACTACGGAATCAACAGAGTCCTCGGATTCCACTACTTCTGAAGTTACAACTGATTTGAGTACTCAGGAAACCACAGGGTCAACTGGGACCACAGAGATCTCAACAATGGAAACTACAACTGATTCGACTAGTACGGAAACCACAGAAACTACTACAATGGAAACTACGGACTCAACTACTTCTGCAGTAACAACTGATTCGACTACCCGGGAAACCACAGAATTCTCTACCAAGGAAACAACAGAGTCTACAGTAACCGAAACACAGTCAACGCCAGTTACGACCACTGAAACTACAGTAACGGAGACCTCAACACCTCTGATTACTACACCAGATTCTAGTACAGATTCCACTACGTCTATTATTACAACCGATTTAACTACTCCTGCCAATACAACAGATTCAAGTTCTCTGTCCACAACTCTAGAACCAACTACTGCTCCAATAACGACTACTATATCTTCGGAAGTAGACCCCAACGTCTACTGTGCTAAGCTAAGGAGCAAAGGATACTATCGAGTTGATACAGATACAACGTGCCAAATGTAAGTATTCTTCAATTAATTCATCATCATATTAATTATAATTACTCCTTTTAATTTATAGGTATGTCTACTGCTATAAACTGAGCCAGGATTACCTAGGTTGGCTATATTACTGCAGCACGAATGAATACTACAATTCAGAAACACAGGCCTGTCAAGCCACTAGACCAAGCAATTGCTAACTCAAGAATTTTTAGTGATTATATATGTATGTACTTTCTTCAACATGTTTGCATCAGCGATAACACGCTCTTATCCGTTGAAAATAAATTTAATATTAGGTCGAAATAGGACCGGACACTTTATCCTCAAGACTGTTGATTTATATTTAAATTACACTTAAAAACTAATGTATGATTATACCAACCAACATAAGCTACCCACATATTTCTAGATACCTAGCCATTATAAACGAGAGTGTTTGACTAAATTGGAAAACTTTTACTTCCGATTTAATGGTATAAATACTCCATTGTACAAAATATTTTAATAATTTAAGATATAGGTCTATTACACGATGAGTATTATTATTTTCTCGTGCAGGTGAAGCTAACTACGTTTGTATGTACATATAACATATGCTACATCACAGTTACTAGGTATTACAGGCAACCAACTGGTTTATTGATAGTGCATAAATATAGATCAGCATCGAAGTATTGTCCACTTTTGCAGCTTTTAATTAGCGCATACGTTGAGCTATTAGATATATAGCAATACACAAAACTGCATGTAAAACTCCAATTTAGTACTTCAATATAAATTTGTGTCTTTAAGGTTGCTTACGTGGCGCATGTTGAATCGTTTTGATTTGCAATTATGACCGTTCTATCCACATCTTGGCAGGCCTTCTCGGCACTCCAAGCTTCCGTTTCCAGATCTCTCAGTCCAGGAGCTGGTAATGCAACCAGACAATTCACTAGGAGCTATTATGTGATTAAATGTATCATTCAGAGTTTCAATCAGGATTCCTAGCATAGTTACCAGGGATAAAATAAGACTCGTCCACATTGTCGGTTTAACCTTGCTTCACTTTGCTCACTGAAACCTTGAATCTCCCGAGGGGCCTTTAAATACGGGGGATTTAATCTATAGCACCGTTTATCTCGGTACATTTTGGTAATGTACATATTTAATCTTTTTTGCGTACTTTTATTAACTTGCTTTTTTAGTTATAAAAATACATACATACATATATGTTTTTTGTTTACGAACTTTTCTGAAATATAAAAATTTCCGGAGAAATTCTGAGTGCTCTGAAGAATAATAATATGTTGTTTGATAATGCAAATCTTTTATTTCACAAGCAAAAATGTGTTCCTGGTATTTAATTTATATGATTTGTTGTTTTAGGGATATCTAATGTATGTGCATATTTTTGCCTTCTTTAAATGGCAGAATAGTAAAATACTTATCAATTCCTGTCTCTTTTATTGACATAAATTACGGCTTTTGTAAAATTTAAATTCTAGTATTATCCCCAAACCCACAAAGGTTCTTAAATACCTTTTTCCCCAAAAGACTTAACCAATTAATAAAACTACTATATCTGTATGCTTGTTATTAATGATTTATTGGCAAACGATGCATCTGATAATATAGAAACCTCTGAGCTTAGGTGCAATAATCAGGCTTGGTATCATCGCAGAGTTTTTCTTCTACATTATAGTATTGGTTTGTTTTGCAACTCTTTATTAAAGCTAAAGTTGAGTCATTAACGACATAACAGTATAAATATCTAGATGATTGGAAAGTGTTAGCACATTTTTACGTTCCGTGTCATTTTTACTTACGTAGCGCAGGTCGGATCATCTTTGTTTTGAAACAAAGTGTTCTTGGTGACAGTCGAGCAGGTTTCCTCTGCACTCCAGGGCTCGGCTGTGGTCGTGCTGGCGGTCGTCGTGGTCACGGTGGTTGTGGTGGCCACAGTGGTTGTGGTCACTTCCGAACATCCATCCGGTTTTGTGGAAGTGCAAACCTTTAAGCTTGCACTGAAATATTGATTAGCCTTGCACGACGTGATTTTCGTAGAATGTGTTCCCTCACTATCAACGGTACATGTTATATATCTAAAATATGTCATATAATAATGAGTTTGTTCACCGAAAGGTTACTACTTGGGATATCTACGTTGCACAGGTTGGATCATCTTCGTTTTCAAAAAAGGTGTTTTTTGTGGCTTGCTGACAGATATCATCGGCGTTCCACGGACCCTCCGTCGTGGTGGTGGTGGAAGGGATCTCCGTAGTTGTGGTGGTTTTAGGAATTTCAGTGGTTGTCGTGGTAGTCGGGATCTCAGTTGTTGAGCTGGTAGTTGAGATCTCTGTAGAGGTAGTCTGGATTTCAGTAGTTGTAGTGGTAGTCGGCATCTCAGTAGGTGTAGTGGTAGTCGGGATCTCAGTGGTCGTGGTCTCCTTTTCTGACTTGCAAACTGGATCGGCATTTAGATAACAGGTGTAGAAACCATCGGTGCAATAAAAATCCGTTGGACATGATAGGAAATTATATGATGGCACTCCTGGAATAAACTTTGCTGAATAATCTCCTTATGTTTATTAATTATTAACTCACCGTCATAACAGACTGAAAAAGTGGTTTCATTATGACAAGCCACTTTGCTGTCACTTTGGCACACATTGCACGTGCCAGCTATGTATTGGACCAGGAGCTTGAATTTTTAAGAAACTAATATTAACCAGACATTATTACGGCTTAAAGAAGTTACCAGTGAGATGAGTGCCCTTAACCACATCTTTTTTGTCTTCAGTCGCTTTTCATTCTAAAATACTGGAGACGAACGAATCACCTTATATGTATCTTCAGTTATCTTTAGAGACTTGCCCAAAAAAAGTGAGATATTTTTATGTATGTTTACTTAGTTTTATTGCGGTGTTAGGCTTTGCGTCAATAAATAGTACAAGGCTACAAGTAATTTATAAAAAATATATTCACAAATTGAAGGCGCGTTTGTTAGCTGATAGCAGAGTACGATTGTGGTTTTCAACATATATAGGAATTCATAGATTCGAGTCAAGTTTACAAAACACCAAATAAACGGATTTAAATATACATCTTGTCTTACCAACGAAAAAGAAAGCCTTTCGCTTAGGACGTAACATTGAGGCATTGGTATTGCTAATTTGTAACATATTTTTTTTATAGTTTCGTGTATATAGGGGTGTATACTGGATATTTATGAGTTCGCTTATTTGTAGCGTAGTCTTCTTGATTTTTTAAATTGCATAAATAGGTACAAACTATAGTATAGTACATATTCTTATTGTAAATCATGTCTTAAGGCAAATCATAGCGGTTTAAGCAGCACTTTACATTTACATCAGTAACTAGCTTAAGGCAACATCGATGTTCTAATGCGTTTAAAAAATAAATTCGTTAATTTCTAAAACGAAATAATACTTCGTCAGCAAATGCATTATATTCAAGTTCATGTGGAGGACGTATACTGTTTGATTGTATCTCTAGACGCAACCGTATTCATACCAGATGCTATTGCTTTTATCTTCGGTCCGCTTCCTCGCCGACTTGTCATCTTGCAAGGGCGTCCCGGAGACGCTGCCGCTGGCCTGCAGCAGTGGTGATTGATCTCCGCTATTCGAGGTTCCTCCGATCGTGGTGTTTATCCGGTTGTACATGAGAAAGGTGGCTGGACCCACTGGGGTACTGTTTTCAGTGCTCTTCTGAGGCGTTTGAGGTTCTGCGGACGTGGTAGTTGAGGCATTGCCAGAACCGCTGCTTCCACCTGACTGCGGCTGAGCTGAGTTGGGACTGGAGCCATCCGGAAGCTTTTGGTGCTCATCGATAAGATAAACGGTGCGTCGAGAGCCGGCTGTTCCGAGTGTTAGACTGCTGCCCGTCACGTCTGGCGCTTCAAGACTGCTGCGAAGCAAATAGTTTATCAGTAACAGGTTTATTAAAATTATTTTACAGTTTTGAGGAGCGACAACAAGAAGATGCAAACACGCATTGTGCAGAAGGAAAAGTGGAATTGGGAGAGACAATTGCCACTTGACAACTGTAATGATCGGTTTCAATGGGCATGTTTTAATAGGATTTAAGGATTGTTAAACATCTAAAGCGCATACCCGTGCACGCTATTTCTACGTGAGTTATTCAAATCCGTACGTTTCTGAGCCTGGAGGCTACTGCGTACGGCGCTGCCGCGTTGGATGGAGTTATCCAGCATATCCCTACTCGTACATAATAAACAGTTTTTGGTGCGAGTGTTGAGATGTGTATAATACATGTAAATAGAAAAACAACCATAAACCAAAATATCCACAAAACCATATTTTCTCTCCCAATTTTATGGCTTACCGCTGCAGACTCTGCCGAAGTGGAACGTTCCTCTGAAGCAGATGTGTATCTGAGGCAATAGACAGTGGCTCTTCATTGCTATTATCTGACTCATTTCCGCCTGATTCGGAACCGATCACAAATTGAGAATTTGTACGGGCATCATCCACCCAGGAGCGACGGTTCTAAAATAAATAGGTGGGATTTTATGTAAGCATTTTTATTCAAATATTAGCTGAAGAAGGATCTATTACTCTAGTTTGGGTTTAGATTATTCGACTTCAAAGTGTTCTTCTAGCAAACTTACTCGACTGGGCACTTTATTCATTAGATCCGAACTAGCCTTCTTTACTCTTCTAACAAGCATACTCGCAAATGGTTTTCTGCAATGAATATGGGCACAGTTAATAACAATTTATTATCGTCTGTTTTGATATTTACTTCTTATGCACTGTGGTCTCCGACTTTTTGTAGTGCTCCATAATTTTCTCTTCTAGTTTCTCCTTCTGCCTTTTTAGACTGTGCACTCGTTCAGTGTAGTTCTTCTCCTCTTCATGGAAATGCTTCTTGTCTTCCAGGGATATTGCCAAAAGTTCCTGATACTGGGAGAGCAATTGCGACACATTGTCCATCAGGGCCTTGCGTTCTGAGTCCAGCTCAGCATTGTTTTGAATTAACATCTACATGCAGAAGAAAATAACATTACGTAAAGAAAATACATTTGTACTTATCGACATACCTCACAACGCTGTTGAACTTTGCTGTATTCCACTTGCAGGTGACGCACTTGATCGCTCTTGGTATTTAGCTCACCGGAAAGCTCAGTGTTTTGTAGCTTGAGACTGGAGTGCTCCATGCGTACCATCTTGTACTGCTCCTGGATGTTTTTGTACTCGTTTTTGAAGCGGTCGCTGGTGGCGAAGAGATTGCGGAAGTCGTCTGTAAGCTTGGAGTGCTCGGTGCGAAGGATTGACAGATCTTCGCTGCAGGTCTTCATGTTGCTGTTCTGAATTGTCAACTCCTCGATGCGCTGCTCCAGGGCCAACTGCTGTTCACGAGTGTCGCGCAGTTCCTGTCGCAAATCTCGCACTGCTGCTTTCAGCTGCTCTTTGTCCTTGTTAAGCGACTCGTACTCTGCGGAGAGCTGATCATGTAAACACTGCAGCGTCACCTGATCCTGAAGTGCATTCTTATGCTCCTGTTGCAGTGAATCAATCTCCTTAAGCAACGTGTCTTTTTCAGCAGCCAGCTGGGAATTAGCCAGCTGAAGGGCTACATGCTGGGTGTTCAAGGAGGTTATTTGCGAACCCAAGGCAGCCACGTCCACACTAAGGCGGGCATTCTCTGTCTGAAGCTGTGTGTTGGAATCCTTAATACGAGTCAACTCTGCTGATTCTCGGGCCGGACTCATTCGCAACTTGTGCTCAAAACGAAGTTCCTGGGAAGAAGGTTGCGTTGGTGGTGGAACTGGAGCAGCCGCGAGTTCAATGTTCTTTTCCACCGTGAAGATCTCTTGACGGTGGCACAGGACACACATGTCCGATTTTACGCCACCCTCCTGCTCTTCCTCTTCCTGCTGCTCACGGGTCACGTTCAGCATGATCTCACGTACCGTTTTGAAAGTCTCCGGATTACGCACCAGTTTCTCCACCACATGTTCCACATTTAGCTCACCCGGTTCTTCATCGGCTAATCCCAGCTTTTCCAAGTTGTGCCTCACTTTCTTTGTTACAAGGGTACCAGTGACCAGGTCGTTACGAAGTGTGCTTATCATCTCTTGATCAATGATGCGCTGCGAAGCCAGCTCTTGGTTTTGTTTTTCTAGTTCCACAAGCTTCTGATGCATCTGATCCGAATCTTCAAGGGCCTTTCCGAGTCTTTGAAGTTCTTTGCTCTGTACATCCAAACGGGTAATACTCTCGTCTAGCTGCACAGACTTTTGCTCGCTGCCCTCCTTTAGCTTGGACACTTCTTTAAGCAGACTGGCATTCTCTCGCTCAAATGTTGAGACCTTCGCTTCGATCTCATACAGTTTTTGTTTTGTCTGCTCGTACTGCTTTGATTTTTCTAAGAATTGCTCTAGTTCCTTAGCCTTGCTCTCCGCCAGACGTTCAAGGTCGTCGGCCCTTCGTTGGATACTTTCGTTCAGCGTTTGGATACGTTGCTTCTCCTTGTTTAGGGTTTCAACATGTTGCTCGGCATCAGAAAGTTTCTGACGGTCAGCATCGCGCTCCAGGCTCTGACGATCGTAACTTTTTTGACGACTATCCACGGCGTCCTGCAGCTTTTTGTTCTCCTCCAAGGCATTTTTAAAAACGCCTTCCAGTTCGACATTCTGCTGAGTAAGACGCTGGATATTTTCCTGCATTTGTTCGGCTTTTAAAGAAAGCTTCTTTTTCTCCTTCTCTAGTTCTAGCATTTTGCTAGTGGACTCATGGAAGCTGCTCTCTTTTAATTGCTCGAGGGCAGCAGTCAAGCGACGATTCTCCAGTTCCAACTTGAGAGCACGGGTTTGGGCATTGTTGGTTAGCTGTTCAGACAGACTATTGTCGCCCGAATTGCAATCGTCTTCGTTTTCGGAAAAAGATTTATCCATATCCATCGTGGAGTTAAGATTTCTAGCTACTAGTTGGAGTTGTGCATTCTCCTCAAGCAACTCTTCTAGCTTAGAGCGATCTACGTCCCGTTCGAGTGCCATGTCGTTGAGTTTTTGTTTGTATTTGATGATCTCAGACTCCAGGGAAATGGCGTGCTCTGACCTTTTGCGGTATCGCTGTAACTGCTCTTCCAGCATTTCCCTGAGGAAATAAAATATTACTGGTCAGTATAATCAATGGTTAGGTTTTAAAGTAGTATACTTTGATTCCAGCAGAACACGGTTATCCTCTCGCAGTTCCTCAACGCGGGATTTGTAGAAGTCAGAGTCCCCGAGCTTTTCGCGATACTTTTGAACCTCAACCTCCAATCGATCGGCTCTTTCGGCTCGTTCTCTGAGGATGTCCACTTCGTCGCGGTATGCTGATGCCCGCTTTGCCTCCGTGAACCATTCTTGGCTCTCCTGCCGCAGCTTGTCAAAGCGAGCCTTTTTGTCATCTAGCTCCTCACGTAGTTCTAAAAGATTCTCGGACTTTTCCTCGCTGAAAACAGGGTGACGAATTAAGGTAACTAAATACTCAGTAAACTATAACTTTTCTTACAGTTCTTGACGCAATTTTCGGTTTTTTGAACGAAGATCCGCGCACTCCACAGCAAGGTGATTGCTCTCAGAGTTAGAAGATGATGAAGGCGTTGAGGTGGCAGTTCCATTCGAAGGAGAACGTGGAACGCTGACCCCTGGGCCACACTCGACCAGATTGTCACTGACTGTCATTTCGGTCTCCACGCACGCTAAGTCGATCCACTTCAGATACATGAGGTCCCTTTCCTTGGTGAGGCGCAGGATGTGCGTGTACATACTCTGCGGGGTCAGCCGCTCTAAAGAATCTTCCGTAAGCACCAAACTATGACTGTCGGTGACCTGTTTGATCAGTGCCACAATAGCGTGTTGTGTCTCCAGATCGAGTTCCTTGATTCGTGCTATAAACAGCTCCTTGTTTGGGCATTGTACAGCTGCTCCGAGAAGCAGGGTCAGCAAGGTTTTCATCTGATCCAGGCCATTTCTGCTTTCCGGATGATGACCCAGGGTGAAGGCATCAGGTAAAACTAATATTGTCTGACCTAGTTCTTCCTCAAAGAGGGACTTAAGATTCCTTACGATGCACTCAAAGTTTTTTGCCCTGGCAATGCTGAGGGATTTCCCGTTTAGATCGTTAAGCTCGCTAGGATTATTTTGGGGTTCCGGATCAATCTGCAACCAGACACTGTGAATTATGTGGCCATCTAGCAGGGAAGTGTATCCCGCGAGCAGTTCGGCACGTGGCAGACATGATTCCAGCTGTAAAAGAAGGAATTACCAGTTTTTAGATACGAAACGCAACAAATAGCGGGCGTGAATATGTATATTCGCTGGACAAGAAGCACACAAGCGGAGCTCATTACACTCCTCCTCCGTTTGTTTTTTACCGTAAGCCGTCTTGAGCAAGTTACAATGACCTTGGTTCTTTTGCGACTGCTGCGGAAAGCAACATAACTACGTACAGTTTGGAGCGCAATAATATGAATAGGAATTGGAGTTATAAGGTAAATTGAAAAATTAATAATTATATTTGTTTCTAACAAAAAAAAAGAAAAACGTTTAAAAAAAGATAAACTCCATTTTTTTAGATAACTTTTACTTCCATTGTTTGAAAATGTAAATTTTTGTTCTATTTTGTTGACCTATGCTGTGTGTTTGAGTGAGTATGTGAGCAGGTTGTTCTCACGACTCTGTTGTTATTTTTGCTGTTTTCGCCGTTTCCATATGAGAGTGCTTGGGAATCGAACACTTGGGTTATTTATGCCAAGCACATAGGCACACTTGCGATGCAAATATCGAGCATGTTTATCCATATTACCCGTAGTACTCACCCAAGAAACGAGTGCTCCATTTATGAATTCGTCAATTTCCATTGGCGTCGCGGTCGTCGTGCCAGCCATTGTTGTTTTTGTTATTGGACGGGTAGAATAGGAAAATGCAGGTATATGTAATTGTGTGTGTGTGCCGCTGCACCTGTCACAATGGAACAGCTGCGGCTTTTCCAAACTGCGATTCTATGTGATAGTCTTTATTTTCCCAATAAATGTCCCGCAACAGCCCCCCAAAAATCATGCCAAGGATGTAGCATTTTAAGTCACAGGAAGCACAAACACATTTAGATCACAGTTGTAACTTTACAAGGTTTGCTTAACAGCACTTTGGGATCGTATTGGGTTTAATTAACAAGTCAACAAGAAAAACTACAAGGCGGATCTACAAAAATAGCGAAAATCTTTTTCGGGAAGACTGGACTGTTGGAAAAAAGCATAATTTGTGTGATGACACTCCACCACTGTTGCCAACTATCGATTGTAAACGGTTGATGGAACTAGAGATGTGTGTATGGAGAAACTAGCTATATTTAGAGGTATGGCTATGTAGCTAGTAAATAACGATTTTTTAATAGTGAATAAAAATAAAATATTTTGGATAATTGAAAATTCCATATACCAGCATGGTATATGGTAGGTCATTATTTATGTTTAATTTTATTTGAGAAAAACTACCCTCAAAATGTTAAGAGTCTGTTTTGGAATTATTGAAGTAATCGTAAATAAGGCTCGTAAATAGAGCTGTCGATTGCAGCTCTTATCGATCGATAACCACTGCCAAACAGAATTTGAATTTGAAAAAGAGTAGAAAGCTTTTGCGGATCGGAGGAGGAGGAGGATGCTGGGCTGACGAACCAAACGGAACGGATTATTTAACGCGCCGCAAAAATGGCAACGCTTGCAAACAAAATTAAACAAACGCTACGAAAGTTACATTATTAGGAATTACTCTATCTGGAGTTAAATTATTTAAAGTTTAAAGTGTCTTCATTGGCAATACAAAACGACGGGTTAAGTTAATTTCGACTGTCTATATATAGATCATCTGTATAGGCAAGCACAATATTGCAAATAGGTTAAATATCTAAATATCTCGAAATGGGAAATCAGCCGGGAAAGCTACACACCCATCCACAGAGTGGTCGACCCAAAAAGAATGTCCACTGGAAGTCCGCAGGCAAGTAGAAACTCCGTAACAAATTGATGTCCCAGTAAGTATTCCTGCACGATTTTTAAGATATTAGAGGGGGCCTCAGAGACCAGACAGGCCCACATAGCTGGCAGGCTGGTGGGAGCGCTAGAAATGCGTCTATTTATAGCCACTCGCACACTCAGTGGTTGCCGTTTGGCCCCAAAATCTCAGAACGTCAAAGTAATGTTGTCGTTCGAAAAGCGGAAGAGCCGTTATGCTGAGATATAAAGTGCGGTGGGTCTATTTTTTAAGGCTTAAAGTCGTTACAGTATGACTGATGGGAAGGGATGATCCAAAACATTTATAAATAGGGCTTACATTTTTTTATATACCTTATTTTGTTTTTCTATCAGAACGACCTTCACCACCTGGCCGACCGATTCTAACGCCAGTAGCACTTCCGGAACAGCAACCAGATGTGGTGAATCTGCGCTGGGATCGACCACTGCATGATGGAGGTTCTCCTATCACTGGCTACACTGTGGAGCACCGGCGCATGGGATCTCCCCATTGGGTGAGAGCCACGCCCACTCCTGTCGATCGCTGTGACGTATGTATCAGTGGATTAGAACCAGGATGGCGTTACCAGTTTCGCTGCTTTGCCGAGAACATTGTAGGTCGATCCGATGCCAGTGAACTGTCCGATCCACTGACGGTTACGCTTCAGCGAAATGCTATTACCGTGCCGCGATTCATTGACGAACTGGTGGACACGGATGCAGTGGAGGACGAACGCATAGAGTTTCGAGTACGCATCCTGGGCGAACCGCCGCCAGAAATCAATTGGTTCAAAGACGGTTACGAGATCTTCAGCAGTCGACGCACAAAGATCGTCAACGATAATGACTCCAGTGTTTTAGTGATCCACCAGGTAGCCCTGACCGACGAGGGCGAGATCAAATGCACAGCCACCAATAGGGCGGGTCATGTAATTACCAAAGCCAGATTAATGGTGCAAGCACCGCCTAAGATCCGATTACCACGCACTTACGAGGATGGACTGATCGTTGAGGCGGATGAAGTGCTGCGCCTCAAAGTGGGCGTGGCCGGACAACCACCGCCGGCAATTACATGGCTTCATGAGGGCGAGGTTATCCCTCCTGGTGGGCGCTTTGAAGTGAGTTATCTAATTAAATAATAAACATAGATGATTTTAATCATAAAAAATACAACATTATTTAAAAATATTTCTTAAGGGTTTAACTTTTGCCAATCCTTCTAATCGTTTAACTCCCATTTCAGATCACCAACACTGAGAAGAACTCGCTGCTCAAGATCGACAATGTTCTGCGGGAGGATCGCGGAGAATACATGGTAAAGGCTTGGAATCGATTAGGCGAGGACAGTACATCATTTCTGGTCACTGTAACGGCTAGACCCAATCCCCCCGGTACTCCCAAGTTGAATATGTCCTTTGGCAAGTCCGCTACTCTTTCCTGGACGGCTCCACTTGACGATGGAGGCTGCAAGATTGGCAACTACATTGTGGAATATTTCCGAGTGGGTTGGAATGTTTGGCTCAAAGCGGCTACCACACGGGCTCTGACCACTACGCTTCACGATCTTATCGAGGGCTCGGAGTACAAGTTTCGGGTGAAGGCAGAGAACCCTTATGGTCTTAGTGAACCATCGGGAGAATCGGAACTTCTCTTCATCCCAGATCCCAAGAGGGGGATCACGAAACCAAAGTCAGCTACCAAGATTGCAGGGGATGAAAGGGATAAACCCAAGGCAGAAGCTGGAACAGTACAGGTCCCACCGCGTCGGAAGACTTTGTCCCCACCTCGTCCCCATGCAGATGCCTCAACGGGAATGTCACCTAAGCAATCACCCAGTGTAAAACGCAAGCCCAAGCCCCAGCTAGTAGACAACGAGCAACTGACGCATGAGATGTCCTACGGAACTTCGGATCAGGCATTAAAGATGGATGTAAGGAAGAGTCCCTCTTTGAGCAGTGCGGACTTAGCGAACAAGACCACGTCAGATAGTTCTAATCCGAAGCTGAATTTTACCCTGGTGACTACCACTTTGGCGCCGGTGGAGAAGTCTGAACCATCATCACCCAAGTCACCAATTACCTCCCCTTTGAAACTATTCAATCCCAAACCATTGGGAGTTCCAAAGGATAAGTCACCAGTGCAGCCACGGCCACAGCCCTTGCCCACTCCGCCAAAAGAAAAACCGGAGAAGGCATCTCCTAACCGCAAGAGAAGTTTAAGTCCACCCAATAAGAGACAACCACCTCCGCTTCGCAAGAGTCCTACGCCACCGGAACCCATAAAAGTTACTCCAGCTTTGTTAAGAAGTGCCGAGCCCGTTCAATTGGGAGTAAATCAGAATGTGAGACGTTTCTCTGGACAGACCCTAAGCCCGGCCAGAAATGTTCCTACTCTGGCGTTGGCAGTAGCTTCTGGGGTGTCAGCTGTAATTGGTGAGAAGCTTCCCACCATAGAGATTAGTGCTCCACCAACGCCACAGGAGGAGGAACCTCCAATCTCAGAGACAACTCCATCGCCGGAACCACCTCTAAAGTCCAACGCAAGGCGCTTCTCCAGGTCAACCGACAAACACGATGATGTGCACACCAGTAATGAGTTCATGCTGGTCGTCTTCGACAAGAACAGCAAGGTCAGGGATAAGGACAGTACGTATCCAGTTATATGGATTTCAGAATTGAGGATCACCAACTAACCCACAGTCACTAACTTATGTATATCTTGCCCCAACTAATCCCATCCCAAATTTCTCGCCCCCAGAACAAGATTCCTTTGAGTTGGACCTGGAGGACGCCATCCAGCCACCACCCATCTCGATTTCAGCACCGGATTTGGCCTTTCTGGAGTTCACCAACTTGCACACCACTTTCCCCCTGCGCCGTTCTGTCAGTTCCACGGAACTTCTGTATGAAAGGGCCATGGCAAGGTTTTATGAGGCAGTGGAGCTAGAGCAAGCTTCTAAATCCCGCAAAACGTCACAGGACAAGCTGGCCACTCCAGCTCCTCATCAAACTCCTGCTAATCTTCGCAAGCGTCTTGGTTCTATTTCAGAGGCTGAGCGGTTGTCTTTCGAAAGAAGGAGCGAGCTGCGCCGCCAGTCAGCGGATATGGTGTCCATTTCACGAAAATGGGATTCAAGGGAGAATGTCAGCGAAATGGGTAACTTGACTCGCATGCACACCACTGGGCAGCTGACCTTGGAGACACGAAAGGATCTTAAAGAGCTGGAAGACCAGGAGGAGTTGGAGGAGGAACATCTGACTGAGAGCACAGCAGATGATAGTGAGGATATGGATATAGATTTCGATGAAGATGTAGAGTATCCGCCACAGAAGCATCTGCAGCAGCAATCTAGCAATGATCTTGGTTCGGATTACACGGAGAGTACTGCATCCTCAGAGCAGGACTCCATTGAAAAATTCAAGATGGAGTTATTGGCCCGCACGCGTTCGCCTAGTCCCAGAGATCTTGAGACCTATCATCCGCGTACCATGGGCGCAGGAACCTTTACGCCATACAGGGCTCCTACTCCTGAGCAGGCTGCCGTAGTGCTTAACCGTCCAGTACCACTGCCCAGTCCAGATTTTGTTCCCAAACCGATCCTTAAGAGGTCCTCTAATGAGCATGTGGAGCAGTCTGTTAGTCCTCCCCCGAGTGGAATTATAACCGAAATAATTCCGAGCATAGTACCTCCAACTCCAACTGTGACTGCCAGCAATCCCAGTACTCTAAAAATGGATCTGGCCAAGGGAATCAAATCATTTTTCAGCCGGGATAAGAGATCAGCTACAGAGAAGAACACTGAGGCAAACGAGGGGATTTCAAATCCTCACGAGAAAACGAATGCAGCTGCCATTGCGGCGGATTTGGAGGCCAAGCGAAAAGCTAAGGAAGAAGAGGAGCTGCGTCGCAAGGAGGAGGAACGTCTTATGCAGGAGGAGGCCCATGCCGCTGTGGATCATTACAGCGATCTGGTAAGGGAAGTGGGTGGTTCCCACAAATACCATACACCCCTCTACCTTGACAGAGATGAACTGAAACGAGCTGCGGCTAAGGCAGCAGCGGAAACGGACGAGGAGGACATTCTTTCCCACGCGGAGGAGCTGAAGAAGAGACTGGCGACTGGCGGCAACGATGACATGTTTCTGGCGCCTCCAGTAGTCAGGGAACGACGGCTTTCCATCTCAGAACGAGAGCAACTGGTTCATGTCCGAGATGCCGCCAGTAATCTCGCAATCCATCGATCGCCAGACAGTGCTAAAGTAGAGCAGGAACACGACTCCCCATCATACCAACACGATGAAGAGCCGGAGTACCCCACTGTTCTGGTGGTGCCCCCACCGAAATCGAAGAACAAAACCGAATCTGAGACTGAGAGCGTCATGAGCGAGATGGTGGAAGCTCGTCCAGATGCCAGGGGCCGAACTCGTTTAGTAAAGGTAAAGAGGGTGATTAGACGGAGGGTTCCCTCCAGCACTCGATCGCGGGATGCCTCACTGACCAGACCTCAAATTATGGAAGTGGAAGGCAACTCGCAGTCAGCCTTAATCCTCTCCGCTGCAGACAGAGATCTGATACAAAAGGCGGCCGCTTTGGCTATCGTCCAATCAGAAGAGCAGGCCCACGAGAAGGTTCGCTCGGCCCTCAGCTACTGCACGGATTTGGTACTCTTCCTGGTCGCCTGCTATGTGTACTTGTTTAAGGATGCACGCCTAGTCTTGCCCATTCTGGGCCTCATCATCTATCGGCAACTGGGTGAGGCTGTGAGGGGCTACGTGCCTGGCTGGCTGCGCCGTAGAATCATCGGAGATGGTAGTTAGACCAACCAGAGCCGAACCCCACCCCCTGCTCATACTCACATGCGTTTATCGGTTAAGTTAGTTTTTATTACATACGACTTATTTATACGTCTTAAGGTGAAGTTGAAGGTATCCCCCCGAGTACATCGTACTAAATTCTGTATACGTAAAATCCTTGCAACTCCTTTTCCGGTTTTCATTTTAAGATCCTCAGATCTATTCAAGTCTATTAACCAGTAATCATTCATTGAACTTATCATAACTAATTTATCTCTAACATTTCATTTTGCAAGGATAATTGAGCATAATCCCCAAAAAACAAATCAAAACCATATATATCCCCCCTTTTTAAATTGCTTTATGTATGTATGTGGAGCTATATAAATCCTTATGTTATGAAGTGTTCGTTTGCGGTTCTTTGTGGTCTTTCCGGATTGTTGGTGATTCACTTTAAAAATAAAGCTTAGCATGTTATAAATTCATATATTATAAGTACTTTCTTTGGTCATGTTTGCGAACCGCCAAAGACTTCCGTGGGAGATGTGAAAGTGGGTAAACCCATAAACAGATCGAATAGCGCTTATCAGATGACGACAATTGTCAACAGAAATGCTGCGCAAAATTCCGGGAGTCGCTATCAACAGATAACAAGAATAATAAATGGGGGGATATAAAAGCGTATCCGAATTTTATTTGGTAGTCATCTCTCGTAACCATGGTCAACACTCTGGGCTGGCTCTTTCTAATCACTCTTGCCAGTGGATCCCTGGCGCAGTGGTCTCCGCAGCTGTTGGGTCCAACTGGTGGACTTTTACCGCAGCCTCCGCCTGCCCCCTTTGCTCCGGCGCCTACTCTATCGCAGGATCTGGAAGAAATCCAGCGTTTGATCCAGTTCAAGCCCTTGAACCAACTTATTGAGCGCTATCTAATCAACGATGCCCAGTTCCAGTCCTTCGTGAGAATTATCAACAGCAATGTCGGATTTACTGCCCGTTGGCGCCTACTTTCGCAGCCGGAACTCATTATCTTCCTTCAGTGGACGGACCAGCAGCTTATGGCCTCGGGCGGTTCCTTTGAGGTGGAGGAGCAGAGGCTGAAAGTGAGTCTATTGAATCGATTTCCATACTGGTCTGGTACCGTCTTTGGCCTGCAAGGATTTCTCAACGAGGCGCAGCTGTACTTTCCGCTTTATGCGATCCGAGCGCACACTAATGCCAAGGCTCTGCAGCAGGGAATATTCGCCCAGTTCTGGTTAAGATTACAGGGTTTAAGTGCGATGTATGAACGCTGGCTGACTTCAGTAGAAACAACACAGGTTCTTGCTGAACTTCAGAAGGCGGGAATCAATACGGTCCAGTTGGACGGCATCATCCGAGAGCTCTTCGGTTGGAATGCTGTAAATGCCACTGTAGAATCGTCTACTGCTGCACCTGTAACTTCAGTTGCCCCAACCGTAATCCCGGGTGCAGTTCTTCCCCCAGTTAACACTATTCCTGTGGTTGTCTAGGTTGCCATAATACAGTGATGGGAGTGCAACACAATTATTGGTAGGATTCAAGAAATATATAAAGGTACAACTATATTAATACCCACATCCTACTAAGAGATGTACGCTATTTTTTTAAATAAATTTGGGATCAACGATTATTTAAAAGGCCTATTCCTTGGAAATAATATTTATCAGGTATTCGAGCGCAAACGGAATGAAAGTCAATAGAAGGTTAACAAGAGGTCAAGAAGTGATTGAGTATTCATAGAATATTACCTAGATTATTGCTTCCCATCACTGTCCATACAGCTATCATATATTTTGGATAATCATTGCCCTAGCAACATTAGACACAAGTCTTTAACAATCAATGGGGACTAACTACATCTACTATACGTAAAACGTAAACCGGATTATGCGTAATTTTTTAGAACTTAAGTTTGCCCAGCGTGTCGGACACTTTTTGGGCATTGGCCCCTTTCTTCTTATTGGTCTTAATGGGTGCCACTGGGGCTTTTGGCTTCTTCACCACCAGATCCTTGTGTAGGCTCTTCAGGCTGGCGTCTACCTTCTCCTGCTTGGCCTTCACAGATTCCTTGATCTGTAAATTAAACATTTATGTCTGTCGGTTTTTACTCTTTAGCAGGAGTTAACCAACTCACCTGCTTGAGCTTGCCCTGCACTTCCTTGGGCTTCTTGCCCTTGCCTTTGTTACCGTCTCCCACTTTGAAAACGTTCTTAGTCTTCTTTGACTTGTTCAGAGGAGTCTTTGGCTTAGCAGCTCCAGGAGCTACCTTTTTGTTGTTTGCCTTGTTGCGACCCATCTGAAAGTAGCCAGACAAACAGACTCAGTTTAATTGTAAGTTATAATTTTATTGTATCTATTGTATCAAGCACATTTAACTTTTGTAGTGACCATCCTCTCCTCCTCCGCACAACGCTTTCTTGAAATTTCAGCCTCCTTTGGCGTAGTTAGCAATTTAAGGGATAGCTTAAAGGAAACCCTGTACATATCCTTGTTTGGGGCCACATTCCTCACAAAATTAATTCCGGAAAGGAGGTTTTGGTCAAGGCTGGCTCCTAGGTTGCTCTCTACTAGTTTCTGCACCAACCCCTTCGTGTTCTCGCCCTTGGCAAAGGAGTAAACATGAACAGTGGGAAACGTGACGTTTGCCGGCAGTTCAGTCATTTCCTCTGCTTTATAAAGACTTCGAAATGCATCCAAGAACTCCACAGCAATTGCTGGTAGATTCATTGTTATATGGATGCCATAGGAGGAGGTATCTGTGGTTAACAGTCGCTTTAGTAAGTCCTCCCGCAGCTCTTTGAGTATAAACTGCCTGCCATCCTTGTTAAACATTTTTATATTGGACAAGCACTTATTTCTCTTGGAATTGTGTTGGAGCCAGTGGAAGCTCTCTGGATTCAGGTCATTGGCCAAAACATGGCAACGTTTCTTGGCAGCAGGAACACTAAACGGACCCACGCCAGCAAATACGTCATAGAGGACATCTCCTGAGTTTAGCATCTTGACAATCCTTTCGTGCTCCGTGGAGAGCCGAGGATTCCAGTATACCTTTGAAAAGTCAAACTCAAACGGTACTCCATTCTCCTTGGTTTCCACCTGGTACTCGGGATCCCCACAAATTAATTCCAGCTGGAAGTTACGGTAGGTATTATCAATGGAGGATGCTTTGTTGACCACCGTACGGCAGTTGGGCAATTTATCACAAAGCACTTGGCCAATGAGTTCTTTATACGGCAACAGGTGTTCTCGGAGATTGAGGTGGGCAATGTGGCCTATGCGGGAGTACGAGGTGAGACCCTCTTCTTCCGTGGGCAGCACGCTTTTTAGGATCTCATTGGCAGACCAGTTTTCATAGCCCAACTCAAGTTCAGCAAAGCAGAAGTTCTCTGCGGTGATGCCTTGCTTTTGCAGATCCTGTGTCGGTAGGGATTCCCAATCCTTAATAGGAGTTGGATGAAGTAGGATCTCTCGAGATTTATCCACAGCTCGGACAGGATGTAGGTGCTCCATTTTCAGCAGGAACTTCTTAACGAGCGGCATCACTCGCTGCACTTGAGACTCGGGAACCCGTAAACGGGGTACTTTGACTGTCTTCTGGAATTGGTCCTTTTGGAGCTCCTGCATTCCGCGCACCGAAGCGGGAGGCTGCAGTTCTTTGGCGTCCATATTTCGAAAGTAGTGACGTAAACGATTCGTTATAATCGTTAATCCCGGGACCTTCAATTTGGCCACCATAAACATCCAAACACGTGCGACCTAGATTCTTTAGTTTCCAGCTTTTTCAGAGGATATAAATAGGGTTCCGATAATTTGGAAGAATCTATTTGTATATGGAGCTCTACAGATTCCTTAATGATCAATCAACCATTGAATATACCTCTAAAATCTTCAAATTCCGAGTATGCCCACAAGATTGGATGAAAAGCCAAACAAACTCAGTGTGACCAGACTGGTGATTAAGAAAAGACCCACCTTGCGCACACCTTGGAATATCCCAAATGTTCAGTCAAAATCTTGTGACTTGTTGTTCTGCTAACATCGGGAATCAATTCGGACAGCTTTTCAAGCGTCACCCGTCGATCTTTACGCAATTACCTTCGCACCATTCCTGAACTCAAGCAGTCTTCTCCGTCGCTGTACAAAGTTCGGAGTGAATATCCTTGGCAGACATTTGCTTTGCAGCCAAAAACCGAATGACAGACCGCAAATCGCAGATGGCAGGAGACGCAAAAGGAAGCTCCATCGCGAACGGCTCCCAAGCCAATACTGAGCGTTGCTGCGAAACAGAAGAGGGCGGGAATTCAGTGGGAGGAACAACTGTCGCAGGGTCTCGCGTAACAACGCCCTTGCTGGCTACCGAGCTTTGCGGAACTTATTTTACGAACGCGAAACCGTTTTCAAATATTTTTAAAATTGAAAAACAATTTCTGAAATTAAAATATTTAACAAACATTATTTAAATTCTAAAACTCTATAGAATCCACTTAATTTAAGTAACCATATTTTAAATTTATCTATTCTCTGCAAATTGTTAAACTGCCATTATCAAATGAACATTTTTGAATTCTTTAGTGACATTTTACGTTTTATTTAAAAATTAAAAGTCAATTATACGGCATGGTGAATATGTATTACAGAGATTAGCTTTCATAGTATACAATATGCATTTTCGCGAAGACTTTTACAAATTGTTACAAAAATATCTTGTATTTTGTCTTTTTGACTACATTCTATTTATGCGACTTGTTTATCAAATATTGTGCAAAGACCCAAGCTGGTTTTGAATGGTTTTACAAGTTGTGCAAATATTTAAAAGCCTGTTTTTTTCGAAATGTACGAAAAAGCAACTTTGAAGTGATTGTAATCAGGTTGATACATACATAAGTATATGAGTACGTAAAAGAAAGATTACATTATTTTATTTTCGTAGTAGTTCTCCTGTCCGCAAAGCGCTGGATATTTTAATGTACACATATTACTATCTTTAGCGTGGCAGAAACATTCACGTAAAAGTTAAGAATTGGGCGAACCAAAATAAAAAACGGCGGAGTTAGAGTTAGATTAAGGGAAGCCTTGGCTTGATCCATCTGCCTTCGCTGTGGAATTCAAATGACATTACTACAATTAAATAAATAAAGGCAAAACCGCTTGCTTAAAGTAAAAACGATACACCACTGAACTGGAACCTCTAGTCCTGGTGATTTTAATATCAATCCTATCGTCGGTAGCGGCCCAAATATGCCCGGCAGTTGGGGCACGAATGATGGACGTCCATGCAGTCATCGATGCAGCAAGGTATCAGGCAGCATCCCAGCCAGCATCTAAATTAATCGGAATTAAATGTATGTCTCTCAAGCAGACCACTCAGACCTCACCCGAATAAGGCAATCAAAAATCCGGACAAGTAGGCAATCATTCCTGGCTCAGTGCGCGTGGTGGTCTCAATCTCGGCGTGGCACGATGGACAGATCATGTGCGTCGACGTGCGGCTGATGGGCACCACTGTAGTCACAATAGTAGTATTTGCCGTGGTGGCGGGGGCTACCACTGGCGTATATGGACCTACTGGCTTAACTCCGCCTACCGCCTCCTGGTATGAAGGAGGAGCTGAGGGTGGCGGAACATAGGTGAACTGCGGAGGAGCACTGCCTGGTTTACTCATATTGCTAGGGCTAGTAAATGCACTTAACGGTTAAGTAGCTGAAATGGGAAAACAATTTGAATAATTTAGTTTAAAGAAATATTTTAACTTTTTTTAGCCACTTTTTTGTGTTACCCCTACAGAAACTACAGGAATATTACCGAATTATTAACGCATTTTTAACGTCCTAGGCGTTTTGTTTATGGGACACTATTGGTCAATTATATAGTTTTAAGACAATATTACTGAATATATTAACGAATTTTCAAATCGTATAACTTCCAAAACAGTTTATTTTAGGTTATAGAAATACTAAAGCCGTCTATGGTTAAATTCACGCTCCCTGAACTCAAAAAATAAATGGAATGAAAAATAAATGGAACTACCAAAGTACACATTCAAAAAGGTAAACACCAGAATTTAATTGATTTAAAAAAATTAAAGCTGAAAATAGCACGGAGCTCAATGGTCAGCATCTCATCCACATCCACGGCGCCATGAGTCATTCTCGCTCTTTTGGCACGCATTCGAATCTATTACAGAACACATCTCTAGAGAGACCCGAATCATGCTCTAAATTACTGTACCCTGCAAATTCTAATTGTTTTGTAATTAACATTCTTTGTATTGTAAAATATTTACGATCATTAAAACCTTGCATTACAAAAACAGCTTTGAACGGAACCTTATTGTTTCAAAAATAATAGAACGAGAGATAGGTTGAAAGATAATTTTTATTACTGTTAAAAAAAAGGCATCTTTAGGGTATTGTTAAAAAATATACTATATTGTTGAATCTGAAGTAGTTGAAGCCATATTTTAAAAGTTTTATGATTTAAAATATAATAACTTTCATTTACAAAAGTTTCTGATTAAGCTGTCGTTAATAAATATACATTTTTTCCGTGCAGCAACAGAGCTAATTTGCTGGCAGTCACATCGCAATTACCAATTGAAATTCCGTGAAGGGATAGTGAGCACACTTATAATTGGGAGAAACAAATGGAGTTTTGGCTGTCTTTTCAGTGGAAACTCAGATAAGATATGGAAATTGGATCCATATGACGACAACTGCCAGAGCTGAGCAATTGGTTTTACATGTCTGACGACCAGACGACTGGCACTCGACTTTTAGAGCTGGTGTACAATGACCTGCCCGTCATCCAAACTGCGCCAACTTTCACCATTCGTTCAGGGAGCTATTGCATGCACACAGATGTACCTCGTATGGGACCATATATTTGCAAACCACGCGGAAGTACATATGGTCAAAGCAGAGAACCAGATGTCTTGATCTTGGCCAGAACAACCGACTAAAACCAGCTGCACTTGGCGGAAATCACTACAGTTACAACCGATACGATGACGTATGTGGGCGATATGCATTGATCTGAAGCCCTCATGAATCAACTTCGATTTGGTTTTTACCCGATCAAAGCAAATACGCTAATACAATTATCATCTGATGGTGTCGGAGTTAAATTCTTCCATTTAACAATCTATTCCAAGCTTTATAACAATTCATCCATCTGAATGCCACTGGCGGCAATAATTGAAAAATAAATTGAGACTTTGAGACCAGAAATCCATCCTATTTGTAACCGCAGCGATTACGTCAGCTTTTCCGACTTCGTTCATTATCTCAGCTCAGATGAATCTTGGCTTGGAAAATGCTATAATCTTGCGATTTTGGACTAATCTATGTTTAAATCACAGAGTTCAGAAATCAGATAAATTAGTTCCTATCTTATCATTATTCATAGTGAATGTTAGTTAGTGATAGAACCGAATTTAAATTCAGACAAGTCTTGAGATATCAATGTATGGTATTAAATTGGATAACTTTTATTCAATTATGTTTCAAGTTTATATTAAATTGATGTATAAATGAATCTTCTGTCCAATTTCATGTTGCCTTTTGGTAGTGTATAATGAATTAGAATATTTAGCTGTGTACGAGGTGTGTTCAAAAAGTAAGGTGACTTTTCAAATTTCTCGGGCAACATATTTTCGATTATCGTTTTTTTTGTTTTGTTATATTGGTACACTCTTCCCTAACATCTGTACCAAGTTTCAATGGAACATCCTCTTTTGTTTGGTTGTGAGAGGCGTAAAGTTACAAGTTGTTTTGCGAGCTCGGCGATTTTTTGCTATCGAAAAATATGGATCAAAGGATTTGCATCAAATTTTGTGTAAAAAATAAAATTAAGTGCTCTGAAACACTTGAAATGTTGACAGTGGCATACGGTGAAACTGTTCTGAGTAAAAAAAATGTGTACAAGTGGTACAAACTCTTCCAAGATGGCCGGGAAGATGCCAATGACCAGCCTCGCTCTGGACGCCCAAGCACGTCAACAACTGATGAAAACGTTCAAGCAGTGACGAAAATTGTTTTGGAAAATCGTCGAATCACTATCAGAGAAGTTGCTGAAGATGTCGGTATATCGCTTGGCTCGTGCCATGAAATTTTTTCAAACGTTTTGGGTATGAGTCGTGTGTCAGCGAAGTTTGTTCCGAAATTGCTGAATTTTGAGCAAAAGAACCGTCGCATGAGCATCGCTCAAGAGCTGTTGAATGACGTCAACGACGACCCAGATTTACTCAAAAGGGTCATAACTGGTGACGAATCATGGGTATATGGTTATGATATCGAAACCAAAGCCCAATCGTCCCAATGGAAGAGCCCAGACGAGCCAAGACCGAAAAAAGCAAAAAATCGCCGAGCTCGCAAAACAACTTGTAACTTTACGCCTCTCACAACCAAACAAAAGAGGATGTTCCATTGAAACTTGGTACAGATGTTAGGGAAGAGTGTACCAATATAACAAAACAAAAAAAACGATAATCGAAAATATGTTGCCCGAGAAATTTGAAAAGTCACCTTACTTTTTGAACACACCTCGTATGTAGATAGGTGCGTACAAGGTCTGCCACTCATAGCGATCGGAAAAGATTTAAAAAAACGCCTTAATGTGTATTTAATTTTAGCCTTTGTGTTAATTTCATGTAGTTCTCCACCATATGTAAATTTAATGAATCGAACTTTATGCCTAAGGGCTATACAAAAACCAAATTACATATGTAGTTAAATCGTAAGGTAGAATAATTGAAGATATTGTGGAGGTAAATAGCAAAAATGGCGAAAAATTGCTTTTGTGAACAGTGTTAAATGTGAATAGAACTGGAATTAAGTCCGAGCGACCTTGTAAACGCCCTTTTAAAACCACTTTTTCTAACGGAACCGAAACTAAAAACAAAATTAAAGCCCTCCCTTATGATGATGATGTTGTTTTAAGCGATGTGTATTCCGCACATTATCTTTCGCATCGCCAGATGTTTTTGGCCGATGCCACAGATGACGTAGTCGCGCCAAAAATAACCACCTTAGTGGGCGGCAAGGACGCGGGGGGCGTGTCAAAAACAAGAGCAAGATGATGGGTTTACAGGTGTGTTTGTTTGTGTGGGTGAATTGTCCAGTTGAAACTGCTTGTTGCTTTTGATGGTAATTAGTTTTGTTTATATTAGTACACTTCACAGCACAATAGATAACGCCAAATAATGCCACATATAACCACAAAATAAACCCGATAAATTGCGCTTATTTTAATATATATTTTTTTTCACGCACACTTAGAAATATCTTGGTATAGGTTGAAATGCATAGAGCACATCTTTTTATCTGATTTTAAGTTTTTATCTAATTACGTTTGAAGCCGTTTTTTAGGCAGCCCTTATTTGGCTGTTATTATTAGCTTGTCACACCTGCACAAATATTCTTTCGAAAGAGATCGTTCCCTCGAATTTTTTAACCGAGAGCGACGAATACGTTATAATAATAAATTTCATGTGGCAGAGTGACCGTTAAAAGGATCGTTGGGAAATACCATGTGTAAGGTAATCGATAAGTTTCGATATAATTTATAACGATAGTAAACAAATTTTAAACCACCAGATATGGCCATCCCTATTCCGAATTGCTATGAAAAATTTACGCCAGAAATTAGCGAATTGCTGCCAGTGCGAGAGCACAGGTGCAAGAGGTGTCCCAAACTGGTGTTTGGCAACATTGGTCACTATATCCTGCACCTGCGGCAGCGACACCCGGAAGAGCAACCACCCTTACAAAATGGACCCAACACTGCGTTTCATTGTCCTGCGGAAAGGTGTATCTACCATGTGGCAACAAAGGGATCACGCAGTTTCACCACCTTACGGCTGCTGCGACAACACTATCAGAAGAGCCACATGGAAAAGAACTACAAGTGTCAGGATTGCGCCGAGAAGTTTCTGCTGCAGCACCATCTGGAGAAGCATAAATGCTCTGAGCACAAGTGTCCCGTTTGTGAACTCACCTACAACAGCAAGGCTGGCCTGAGGACCCATATGCGGCGCAAAAACCACCTAGTGGAGAACAAATGCGACAAGGTGGCCATAACATCGTTGGCCACCTGGAGGAAAATGAACCCAGTGCCTAAGCCTGCTCCTACAGAGATTATTGCCTGCCCTAGTTTGGAAGTAGCTACTGTTATGCCCCCTCCAGAAAGGTATATGGACAATATATCCTCCAGTTTGGTAATAGGCAATGACTTATCTACTGAGGTAGATAATTCGCAGGCGAATATCTCCGCCGATTTACCTGCTCCAGAGGGGCATATATTATGTTACCTACCCATTTTGGATTTGCCGTATGCATTAGAGCTAACATCCCAAAAATTGGATATGGAAACCCAAACGGAGAAGGATAATTTTAATGAAATCAGGAATGAAGTTTTGGCGCCTCTGTTGCGGGATATAGAAACCCAAACGGCCGACACGCGGGGTGATATTGGAACGATGACTGATGATTTTCCTGGGGAACAGGAGCAAATAAAACAGGAAGTTCCAGTAGGAAGCGATTACCATACCTATCCTGAAAATGAACCCATCTTTGATTTGCAAACTTCCGCCCATATGTACACCCAGACTTGCGACGATTTGTTCGAAGAACTGGGACTGTCCCATATTCAAACTCAGACAAACTGGCCGGATGGTCTTTACAATACCCAGTACACGCAGACCTGCGACGAAATAATGGATGAATTATTTCCGGACAACATTCAGTCGACTTACACTCAAACTATGTGGCTGGACTGGAAGGATAATGCGGAAGGAAATAGTTAGGAAAGGTTCTTGTCTAATAAACTATTTAAGAATGTTTTACTATACTTCAAAATACCTGTTTCCATAGCTTTATAAATATGGTTATATTATTCATAATTTGAAACAAATAAAAGACTATATTACATCGGAAAACCCAATTATATTTTAAATGAAATGTATTTATGGAATTGAAACTTAAGTACATATTTGCTTTGTAAATATCACTAAACAATTATAAAGCCACTTTTGCGCCTAATAAGTCACTTTCCACGTAAATCTAAGCAGACATTTAGCGAGGTCAATAAGTTTTGATCTTGGAACGAGTGTCCGACTTGGTCAGGAGCAACTCAGAGCATTGGAAGAAACAGTAGCTGCAGAAGCAAAGAGCCATGTAGTTACCTACTCCACTGAGGTAGGCACCGCGCATCAAAAAGTCACCGATCTCCTGCCCACCTATAAAGTAAACATTGGAAAAGGCGGCCGGGATGAAAAGCTGGGTGGCCAACATGGCGTACAGCCGCTGAGCACCCACGGCTCCAAGATAATGCTGTGTCCACTGCTGGTACTGTGGAATCAAGGTCAAGGTTTTAAACAGCTTCTCCGCAGCCAGGCAGAGGAAGTTTAGAATGCTCCAGATGAGCACGTAGGTGTAGCATCCATGCCAGACGAAGACGAAGGCGAAGGTCAAAGCAGTAGCTCCAAACTTGGCTGCAGACGAGGATCTCTTGCCGCACATCTCGGCATAAATGTTCTGAAAGAGAAACTCGTACAGGCCCTCATCAAAGTACTTCCACATGTCCGAGTAAAAGTGGATACGTCCGATACAGCGGGGTCTGCTGGGCGCCGGGATTCCATCCTGCAGTGCAAAGGCAATGCCCAAACCATAGGTGACCACGTAGTACAGGAAGAAGAACTGCCCCATGAAGTACCCCGCAGAATGCTGCCAAAACACAGAGTCCATCATCTCCACCATTCGCACATCGCGCGACATGTAGTGTATGTAGAAGTAATGGAGGGCGCACTGCATCACCAGCCACCAAATAGCACTACGGATAACGCCTTTAGCGAATGCCAGCCAGTCTTCCTGTTCATCTACACTCCTGGCTACGAATCTCTGATAACTGATAATGGGTCCATAGGTCAGGCAGGGAAAGTACATGGCATAGCCCAGATACTGAACGAGGTTGTATCTACCTAGATCCTCCTTTTTAGCTTTCATCTTGGACAGGGAATAACTGCAGCCGCGTAGTACACTCCAGGACATTGTGACTATCACCAGGACGTATTCCGTGTAGCCTACGCGATTTGTCCACCAAACATTCTTTTGTATCACATTGATGCATAGAATCCAGCCGGCGGACAAGAACCATACCAACAATTTAGATGTGGCCAAAGAAACAAGATAATAGCTGGCTATTAACCAACCTAATATTACTATCGATGTCCAGTCCAGGTTTATACCCAGGGCAAAGGCACAAACGGCTGCAAATGCATGGCACTGAAGGCGGGGAGTTTTCCAGCGGATGATTCCTTGGATAGCAGCATGCAGCAAGTAGAAGGGCCAAAATCTGGAGATGAAGTCTCCAAAGTTTTCCAGCTCATCGTTACTGTCATCCCGCCGCCGCTGGGAGAATGGAAAGACGCTCCAACCGTCCGGAAATTGAAACTTTGCCTCCTTGGCTATATGGTCCCGGAGTCCATAGATCTTGTACAGTCCTACAACTATATAAGCGATATAGACCCCAAAGTAGACGAATATCTCGCACCGGGTCAGCAGAGATCGGTCAGGTAACCTGGACATTACTGGAACACCGACTTGGATTCTTCATCACGGAAAGAGATTACGTTAGGGATGCGAAGAACCAGTAAATATATCGATAGTTTTATAACCTCACTTAAGAAAACTATTTTTGTTTTTCTTATATTTTAAAACTAACATGCATTAAAAAAAAATAAAGTTTTTTTTTATGAATTTGTGGATGTATTTATATAACCTGAACATTAATAAGAACATCTGCTCTTAAATTACGTTGCTAATGGTATCTACAGATAGAGCTAGGTCTAAAAACATACCTCTAGCATTGCATCTCCTAAGGAGATTTCCCTTTCTCTCCGGGTTAAATTTTGGTTTGATCCCGACCTACGACAAAGTTGATGTACATTGATGGGATAATATTCACTTAAACACTAAACTTATGGTTTCTTAATGGTAACTTATAAACATATCATTCGAGGCCTTTTTCTAGTTAAGCAAATCATCCTCATAATCAAGCTCCTTCTTGACCTTCCGGTCTTGATTAGACATGCGTCGTTGCAGGTGACGCCAGAGAGTGCTCTTGGGGATCTCGAAGAGGTTGGCAGCGTGGTTCTGAGACATTCCTTCATTAAGGCAGGCATGTACTGCTTTTGCCAACTTGTCACGCAATTCGTCCTTGGGCGTACTGTCCCGCCGGCGGCAGGACACAAAGTCTGGAAGGCTTCCCTGTGCTGACAAACGAACCTTATGCCGGTGCAATGTCGACATGGGAATTTGCAATTCTGTGCTGATACTCTTTAGCGAATCTCCGTTCTTTAGTCGCTCATAAGCCTCAGCCAACGAAGGTCGTTCCCGGTTGTTTCGCATGTATGCCGGATTTGTCCGCACTCGTCTCCACAGAACCGTTTTAGAGATGTCGAACCGATCGGCGGCTTTTTGCAAGCTCAAGCCCTCGAGAATTACAGCGTCCGCCGCCAAATCCAAAGCATCGTTTATATCATCTTTTACTTCCCGTTTGAGCGCCACATACTGCTGGAGTCGGGTCGGCTTACTAGACAAACGCTTCGCGGACTTGGAATTAAGGGATCGGCGGGTACGCGACTTTCCTCCTAGTTTACGGGGCTTCTCTTCCGTCTCTTCTAAATCTTCGTCCACCAGATCGCCGGGAACGTCCTCGTCGTCGTCTAGTTCAGTGGCCCCACTCAACTCGATTAGTGGATCGGTTTGACCAAACTCCTCCTCAATCATTTGTCCATCGTGTTCTTCAGAATCCTCTGTGATATCCGCCTCAACATCATCATCTACCAGCTCCACTTCGGCGCCACTGGTAACCGTCTCATCGACTTCCATCTTGGACAAATTGGAACCAGACTGAGTGATGGTGAAGGTACCTGTGTTCTCGGTAAGAATAAACTGATTGCCGCTCGAATTGCCGTCCATATGCTCAATGGAGTAGGTAATCTTTGGCGGCTCGTATACATCTAGATACTCCAACGAACGACTGGAGTGGTTGGCCTGATTCTGGGGCTCTCCCAAGACAGTGGCTGGTACAGTTTCAGTGGTATTGCCTTCCTCCTCTTCATCCAGTAGCTCCGCTTCAGCAATTTGCAAGCCAGTAATCGATTTTGCCGATTCTACTGCTAATGTACCGTTCTCCACATTAACACTTGGCGGACTAGCCGAGGGATTACATTCAAAGCTGATGGCCGACTTGATGCCCAATAGGTTGATGGCCTCCAGAAACTCGGATAGAGAAGCGGAGGGCAGGCTCGTTTCACCCATATAGATAAAAGAGAGCATGCTCTCCAGCAAATCACCTCGGATGTCGGGCAGCACGATGGTGGCCTCTTGACCGCGAGGAACGTCAACTAAGATGTTTCGCATCAATTCGCTGCATGTGCTTAGCACAAAGAGATGGGCGCGCACCCGGACGCCATCCCTGGAGGCTAGAACCACCTCGCAGTTCTCGTCGTCGTTGCGTAGCGAGCGCTGTATATCCATTATCGTGGACGAGTGTCCCATCCACTTGAGGTGATTCTGTAAACGATACCGATGTTTTGGTCAAATCCCAATAGGTCAAGATATTTGTTGGGGTGCATTTCACTTACCATCTTGTTGTGTTTTGATTTCCACAATCTTTTTAATTTCGATTCTCGCAATTCCAAACGCGACGCGAAGGTAGAGTTTTCGGACCAGGGCTGACGGTTATGGTATTTCCGATATATTTTCCATATGCATAATGGCAAGTATTTGGTATTTTATTTAATAACTTACAAGTTTAACATTTATCTTGTTAAGTATTTTTTCTGAAAAGAAAATGAACATTATATATATATATATATATTTTCATATTTATATTTATTCCAGTCCAGTTAAGAAATTTGAAAATTTTAGATTAATTGTTTCATATTAATTTTTTGTAATTTTAGTTTCTTAATATAATAAGCTACAATTATTTTAATGGAATCGAACGCTGAAGGTGTACAAAATACACATAGTATTTTTATACATTTTGTGGTCTGGTATATTGAAATACCAAAATAGGGTTACCGAGTTTAGTTATATATTGACATTTTAGCATTACATAAATTGTCAAAAACTGGTGCAAATTGTTGAATTTATATTAAACAGTTGGTAAAATGGCGGCCTTAATCAGGAATCTGGGTGCCCGAGCCGCAGTCGCCGCTTTGTCGGCCAAGCATGGTGAGTAAATATCGCTTGTCAAAAGCTCCTACTGGTACTTTCTATATTTTATGTTTAGTCGTACCCGCAGCAGGATCAGCTGCTCTTCGGATGGCCAGCACAGCGCCTGTGGATCCCAAGAAGGCAGATAAACGTGAGTATAAATAGACTTCATTCTGGTACGAACTATATGGCCATTATACCATTCACAGCCACTGTCCGCCAGCCGGACGCAGTTGCGCGTTCGCATCTTTCCGATTTTGGGCGCTATGTGGCCGAGTGCCTGCCCAAGTACGTCCAGAAGGTCCAGCTAACCGCCGGCGATGAGCTGGAGGTTCTTATTGCCCCCGACGGCGTGGTGCCCGTCCTGCAGTTCCTCAAGGATCACCACCAGGCACAGTTTACCAATCTAGTCGATATTGCCGGTGTGGATGTGCCCTGCCGCAAGAACCGCTTCGAGGTTGTCTACAATCTGTTATCGCTCCGCTACAACTCGCGCATTCGCGTGAAGACCTACACCGATGAGCTGACTCCTCTGGATTCCGCGTGCGAGGTACACAAGGCGGCGAACTGGTATGAACGCGAGATTTGGGACATGTACGGTGTGTTCTTCGCCAACCATCCAGACTTGCGCCGCATTCTCACGGATTACGGTTTTGAGGGACATCCTCAGCGCCGAGACTTTCCACTTTCCGGCTACGTAGAGCTGCGCTACGATGACGAGAAAAAGCGCGTCGTCTGTGAGCCGTTGGAGTTGGCCCAGGAGTTCAGGAAGTTCGATCTGTCGGCGCCTTGGGAGCAGTTCCCCAACTTCCGCAACGCAAATCCCCCTGCTGAGGTCGTTCCTCCACAGGCTCCTGCCAAGAAGTAATCCAAGTCGGTTTGTTAAATGGTAATTAGATCAATAAAACGAGATCACTATGAGATATGTGTAATCAAATCACTAACTTTCAGTAAGTTATTTATTACAATATCCTAAATTGTCACCTACCTCCTGCAGGCGAGAATTCAAAAAATGCACAAATATTTATCAAACCAGAGGGGTCACATATATTTATTGATTTCCGTATTGTTTACACAGTAGTTTACACACTCAGAGTTAAACGAATCTCCCAGACCTGACACATTCAAAAAGGACATTCCTTAAAGGACATGTGCATATACATATAAAATGTTTGATAAAACAAGTGTGGGCCTCTTGACAATTCGTGCGCCTGCGCAGCGGTGCCCGGCGATAGTACAGGTGCAAGGATATACTTAAGTTTAGGCCGGAGCGGATTGAGGGTGTGATAATTGTACTTGGTGAAAACCTAATCGTAATTCGAGCTTCAGAAGTCTGACACACCGCTTGGCTGCACCGTCGTCAACGTTTAATTTTTGTTAATGTATTTTTGTTTGATTTTCGTTAGGTTTTTTGTACAAGAACATACACACATACATATATATAGTACATAGGTACACACATAAACATAGTATTACATTTAGCGATTTTAAAAAAGCTTACACTCGGCATTTCGCCAGAGTGGTCCAAAATATTTTCATTTACAAATGACTGCATGCTCTTAAGCATGGCTCTAAAAACAAATCTTCCGCGCCACTTAGCGCCCTTTCTGGCAGTCCATGTGCCGGGCTCTGGGCCGGATGCACATTGGAACTGGGACAACAAATGAAAATTTCGATGCAGGTTGTAAAATACGCGATTTACACGCATCCTGCTGACAAAAAAAACAAATTCGACAGACGGTCATAAGTGGAACCAACCATATTCTAGACAAAACCTGAACAGTACGACTGCTCTTGTCTGGAGAAGGTCTTCCTTCGAACCGTCTTGCCACAAATACAAATATGCGGGCGGGTCCACGGCAGCTCCAGATTATATTGATTCCGTCTTGGTATAATGCCGAGCTGCTCCCGCTCCACTACTGCTGCTGCCAGCGGAGGAGACATATGGCGAAGCCTTGCCACTGCTGTTGCTGCCCGCTCCCGTCGTATTGCTGTTCAGCTGATTTTCTCCTGCTCCCGCACCACTAGACGAAGAGGCCGCCTCGTTATTGAGGCGCTCATGATACTCCTGGAAGCAGGGCACAATGCACAAATTCGTCTGGCACTCCGGGCAATGATATTTCGTTTTGCGGCGCAAAATTCGTCCATGCCCATCGATAGTGTTCCAACAGAAATTGCATCCCAACGCTGGACCGGGTCTTATTACCGGACAGTGACTAGAACGCGGATTCTCAAGGGTTATAATCTCCCGTTGGGTCTGCCAAATAGAAATGTCAATGATTGATACTAATTTCAGGATATACCCAATATTACCTGAGGTGAAGACACCGATCGCTGCAGTTCCTCGTTCTTGACGCGAAGCGTGGGCAAATGCTCAAATGAACTGCTCATAGTGGCTTGTCCGGGATGAAGATGGGTTCCACTACTGATGGAGCCCGATGCAGACTTGGAATTTCGCAGCCTCGATCCACCTCCGTTGGCAGCTTCTCCCGGATTTTTCCCTGCCCTCTCCACAATCTGCGATCTGCTGATAGACGGTGAGTGCGGGGATCTTCGATCATGAGCCACATCCGAACCAATGGAGAATGTGGGGGACAACGGATGCCGACTAGCGCTGTTCTGGATTCCCGAATTCGGTGAGGTGACAACGGAAACGGCCGCCGACACTGTCGACGAGGAGCCGGGGCTGGCATTTGTGGGGGTGGCCGCCGTTTCACTAGACACCACTGGACAGGTCACCACTCGTGTGGGTACCAAGTACTGTGAGGAGCCGGCCGGCGGCGGAGAACCCGATGCGTAGATCGACTCGGGCAGCGAGATGTGGTGCGGATGGTGGAGCGGTGCCGGCGTGATGTAATTGGCACTTGTCCCTGACAGTGGATGCGAGTATTGACGGTGCAAAGGGGCAAAGGGATTGCTGCCGGTTGTAAGCCCGGAACTGGAACCGGATCCGGCAATATGCAGGGCGGACTGGCGGGGAAGCAGCGGATCCGAGTGCTGCTTAATGAGATATGGTGTGCTGGACGGCACGCTGAGCAGATGCGGCGTGGATGGGCCCAAACTGGGCGCAGGCTCAGAGGCATGTCGCTCTATACGCGGTGGAACGGTCAGCAGATGGTGGTGATGATGTACCGTTGGCTGATGGTGCAAATGGTGCGATCCCGTGGTGGAGTAATCCCTCGCTGTGACACTCGTGGCCCCAGCAGCATTGAATGGATCAAAGTCTAGCGTCGTGGCAGCCGTATCCGGAGATATCTGATTCGTGGAGGAGATACTGTCGCTATCCCTCTTTACCCTCGGCTGACGCGTGAGCACCCTATTGCGCTTCGTACCCATCACCACTGGCGAACTGGGTGTGCCATCCGGATCACATTCGCCGGAGCCAACACCGCCTATGCTGAAGGAGCGCTCAAAACTTCCGCTACCACCGCTACTGCTGCTTGCAGCCGCTAAAGAAGGATGTGGTGGATGAGGTGCATGCGCAGGGCTGGGTTCTGCAAGGGAAGAATTTACAAGATCAATTTGTTAGCCAGTTTAGAAAGCTTAGGTGCTATTGCAACTTGTCGATACTCAAAATATTTGAAAGGTACTTCCACGTCTTACAGAACAAGAAAAATGAAAATGAAGCCAGGGGAACAGGATGAGTACGTTGTAGTTTTGAAAGTTTATTCGTTTCTTGCACATCGACTACAGTCTAGAATGTTCGTTCCATCTCGATATTGGTTTGGGGCTCGCATTACTTGGTATGGTACATGCAACTTATAATACAATCGGTTCATTTATGCACTTGCGCTGATTTAAATAATTTATATATATATTTAACACACATAACTAGCGTAGTTATTGGTACTTTGCAATTGTAGGAAACAGAGTTAGTAATATTTGCTTATTGTTTCTGCTATTTTCGCGTCGTTACATCCGTGTTTTTTTGTTTTGGTTGTTTCGTATGTTTCCGTGGTTCTGTGATCTGGGATCGGGATAGTAGGGTTGTCATGCTCGTGGGGCGAGTGTAATAAAAGTCCATTATCAAAGTTTACGTTACTCTATGACTTCTAACAAATCACGCTTAGTTCTTAGTATGCCTTGACACAATATAAAAAGTTCTCTATTAGTTACAATATTTATATGAATCGTATTAAAAACACACTATTCGTAATCGTTATTTATAACCGGAAACGTATGCGTTATCCGTTTTGTGTTTTGGTTTTCTTTTTGCCTTTAGCTGCAGTCTCCGTTTAGGATTTTGGGTGGTTACGAGTTATCTTTAAGTTTCGTTTGTTTGCGTATCTGTATCTTGTAATCCATTACCGATCTTGATCGCCCTTTCGCGCCTCTATATGTACATTGCCTATGTACAAAAAAATTGTATAAAAAACAAGAGTCAAAATAAATGGATCCCCCGAAAACACCCCCTTCTTAGATATGTTGTTGTCGGATTTCGAAATATATAAAACCTAAAGTCGATCACCTTAAAACCAGTATGCCAGCGCACCACTGACACCTTGACAAACTTAAAAAGAAAGTAAAAAATGTGTGGATACATTCACAAATATAAATATATATACATATATATTGATTGGTACATATTTATCATACATATCCGGTTCTCTTACGTGCACCACCAGCTCCTCCGATCAAGTAGCTTAGTCTATTGTACGCGGCGGTCCTGCGATTCTAGGATCTCTCTGTTCATGACATTATTCGGTGTGGAGGCGGGAGCTCACTAACGATTACTCTTATGCTTCAAATAGAGTGGATTCGGTTCACTGTACAAAGAATGTTCTCACATTGATAGGAAGCTTAATATAATGCATACAGAGTACCTACATACTGATATTTGCTATTGTAACACAAGTGCAGAAATGAAATCTCTTTCGAATCGAGGAAGATAGCTTATTTCTGATGTGCCAGAGCCTAGCAAACCGCAGAATGTGGGGAAATTGTTTCCAGAAATTTACCAATAAATCTCATTTTGTCCTTAAAGTTTATCATTATGATTACAGATTGAATTTTTGGTTTCGTCGATTGCATGTCAGCATTACAAAAAGTGGAATATGGAACGGATTCCGAAAGGTTTGATTGGCTGCTAGCACACAGCACCACTTTTAGCTGCAGTTTGCTTTACAAATCATTTGATGTTCGCGATTAACACTAATAAAATTGTATAATTTATGTACATTTACATTATTCTTTTACACGTAATATAGCTATATATATATAAATATATATCGAAGATCTGCACTACCAATTTCTTAGTTAACAATCGTAAAAATGTAGGGTTCAAAACTTTAAGCTTAAGGAATTAAGTTCTAAGAAATTATTACAAGTGCGGCCGGTTCGCCTGCTCTCTCGCTCTCTTTAATCGTTCCTCTACAATTCTTTCCAATCCTCCTGCTCCGCTTAGCTCAGCTCAGCGCAGGAATCCGATTTCACTTCAGTTTTATCCTTGGCCATATATCCTATTGCCACTCTGCCATTAAAGCGGTTCGCTATATACACTAGATTGCTGCCGTTGTTCTAATACCTGTATCAATCGATTTGGGGGCTAAGTTTCCGGACCTATGATTTGTCCAGGTACTGCAGGCCCGTGCTAGTCACCGTGGCCACCGGTGGTGCAGCTACCGTCACAAAGTTATTAATGAGGAAACTGTGGGCCATGCCCATTGGAACGGAGACGGGCATGGCTGATATGCTCAGGGATTCCGCTGGCTCGCTGGCGGCCATCACGGCAGCTGCCTGCAGCAGAGTGGCCGTCCCCGCCTGGCTCGAAATCGTATTCTATATTGAGTTGAAGTTAATACTCTGAAGATTCATGGCGGTGGTCGGATTGACGTTGATAGTGCCTGTGCCAGCGCCCGTTCCCGCACCCGCTCCGCCACCGGTCGCTTCGATATACCGCTGCCGCGTCATTGAGTGTACGTTTCCAGGCGAATCCAGGTATCGCGGATCGAACAGGCTCATCACCCCGATGGCTGGGTGGGAGTTTCCTCCACCCGGCAGACTTCCAGCTCCACTTCCCAAGCTCGCGTGATGCGGAGTGCACATTAGAGACGGCGTTGGCGTCTCCGCTTGTGGTGGTATCTGCATGCCGAGTGTCTCGTTGGTGTTGTCATCTCCCTGGTTTGTCGAGGGCGTAGGCGACGGCGACAGATTCGGTTCCTGCTTGACTACGCGCGCCTTTATGCTAGGCCGTGATACAGGGTAGCCTCGCTTCTTGTACTCCAGCCACAGCGTCCTATTGTTCACACCGTAAAGTCGTGCAGCTTTGCAGAATCCAATGCCTCCTGTTCGCACCGCCTCCAGGGCACGAATAAAGTTCTCATCTCCCTGCGGATTGACTGATCTTTTGCGCTTTACCACAGCACCAGCGGATCCACCGTTTCCAGCATTCGCATTGCCCGCTCCTCCGCCGGTGGCACTGGCTCCGCCAACACCCGCGTGGACAGGAGATTGGGTGGGCGTGGGACCCTGACTGTAGACCGATTGCACCATGTTCGATTCGTTGGGAGAGGTGGGTGAGAGGTTCTGAGCCGCCGTCGCATAGCTGCCGACTAGGTTGTTCACGGTGATGATCTGGGACGAGTAAGCCGGCCCAGAGGCAGAGGCCTGCTCCTGCTGCTGCTGTTGCTGCTGCTGGTAGTGAAGTTGCTGCAGGTGCTGCTGCTGTTGGGTGGCCTGCTGCTGAGCCTCATGCTGCTGCCTCTGGTCGCTATTGACGCCGCCAGCGCTATTCGCACCACTGCTTTGACTGCCGGCACCACCACCGCTGCCACCGCCGTTGCCCAGCAAGTTAGACTGGCAGGCGGGCAGGGAAAAGCGCGGATAGTTCGAATCGACAACTGTCCATTGCAGACCTGGGAAGGGGAGAGAGAGAGAGACAGCGAATGAAAGATTGGTTCTGGTACTGGTACTGGAGGCATTTCGATTGAAATTGAAGTAGAGATTTCTCTCTTCTAGTTCTAATGGTTCGGGATCACGTCAGGTCTGGTCTGGGTTTAGTCCTAGTCTGGTTGAGGCTCTGAGATAGTTTATAGTATCTAAAGGCAGTTCATAGATAGGTACAATAGAGGTAGGTAGTAGAGGAAAGATTGCTAAGGCTAAATCATTATCATCGGAAACCGCTGTTTGAAATTCCCACAAAACAAAAATCAAAAAATCAAGTAAACGCAAATCGAGAATTAACAATCGAAAAATAAATCATTGGTTTAGTTTTTGGAAGTTTTGGTTTTTGTTTTGGACTCTGTGCTAGCTCTCTCCCATTCCCAAGTTCAGGCAGGATTCGGTTTTTGGAATACAATACACAATAATAGTTAAACATAGAAAATTTCGGCATTTCACAAATATTTCGTGGTACTTAGTCGGTAAATCGGTAATGGATATTCGGTATGCTAGATCTCATATTTAGCTTTAGCATTCATTTCTCCAAGCGCTGTGTATTGAAATTATTTCGAAATGCTACCGTTCGTGTGTGAATTATGCAGATGAAGTATGATCGTGGGCATTATTTCGATGAGTGAATAGAAGTAGCTGAGACTAAATGCGGATTTAATTAAAAAACATAGGTTTATTTACCCCCACAGTTAGATTAGGTGATACTAACAATATAGAGATCATTCTTTTCCGTCTAATTACATCCGTAGGAATTGGTTAATATGTCATTTAAGTCAAGGAAAATAGGTACACTGAAATCCTCTAAATTATCGTACTTTACTACTGACCTAACATTTTATTCCTGTCATTCATTTTCTGTGTTTGTGTGTTTAAAATAATTATTGCCAAAAAATTAAGAAAATTATTATTATTTATTAATAAAAAAAATAATCCATTCTGGCAAATGAGATCCCTACCCGATGAGCAATGAGTTTTGATGGATCAGTGTGCTGGCCCTTAAGTTCTAGTTGCAACTTACCCGAGTGCGAGGACTGGGAGTTCGGCGCATCGTGCTCGGATGGTGTGGTGCCGCCGGAGATGTCCAGGGGCATCGTTTGGTTTACGCCGCCAATGTCGACTTCGGGCTTCTGCACGTAGGTACCGAGAAAAAGAAAGAACACAATTAGTTAAGTTGCTCACGCTGACGAGGGTGAAAGGTTAACGTGACCAATTTCATTACAATTTGCATGTGTAAGTGTCCGTGTCCGTCGTCCAGATCAGAGTCCTGCGGCTGCTGCTCCAGTTCGGCACTGGCCGACTCCTTGAGCAGCTTGGCCGCATGCAGTGAGTGACCAGTCAGACCGCCGCCCGCACCAAAGGACATCTGGCTCATCTGGGCGAGACTAAGGCCGGCATTGCCGGCACCACTGGCCGCGTCCAGGGAACTATTGTGCTGCTCCTCCACATTGTTGCGTTCGCCAGAGCCTAGAAGAGGTGTTAGAACCAATTAGTTTGAACTCTATCAGTTGAGGATCTCACGCGACGATGCTTTACCCAAGTCCAACTCACCGTTATTCGAGGATTTGCGCAACCGCTTGCGCCTTGTAGCCGGCGATGTACCGGCGCTCAAGGGTGACGGTGTTCGTCGCATCTGGTGGTGATGCGTTTGCGCCGCCTGTGCCTGTGCGCCCTGTTGCTGTTGATGGTGGTGGTGATGGTGCTGCTGCTGTTGTTGCTGCTGCTGCTGCGCCTGTTGCTGTTGCTGCTGCAACTGCTGTTGTTGCTGGTGGTGATGGTGCTGCTGTTGCGCCTGTTGCTGGGCCTGTTGTTGTTGCTGCTGTTGCTGCTGAAACTGCTGAGCCTCGCTGGTGCTCCACAGGGAATCACCCACGCTGCTGCCACTGGCAGCTCCAAGGCTGCCAGCTGAAGTGCCCGCCCCAGTGCCCACTCCCGAACCACCCACCAATTCAGTGCCGTCACTAGAGGACTTGCTGTCCGACTTGGTGAGATTGGCCGGATCCGTGGGCATCTCCGCTAGACCCTTGATCTTGAGCATCTCTGCTGTCTTGAGGATATGCGGCAGCTGTTCCTGAGACACATTTACCTCGCCGTAGTACATAAAATCCACCATGGTCTTGAGGTCATCGTACTGTACGTCCTTTAGGATGACAATAGGATGTTGGCACGGATTTGTGGTAAACAAAGCCTGTCGAAAAAGTATACGAATTATTTTATAATTATGATTAAACAAAGGACATCCAAAATCTCACCTGAAAGTACGAACTGCAGGCGGACAGCACTATTTTGTGGGCCTGCAGCTGGCGACCCTCGGCGGCCAAAGTGACGTCCACCAGGGTGCCATTGTGCAGCAGCGAGGAGCACACCGATATGAAGTTTGGCTGGTGATTGTTCCAGCGCAGGCAGAACTGCTGCACGGACATGTTGATGGAGGATGCGTGTCCGTATCCGGGTTACGGATTTGGAGCTCCCTAATCCTCAATCTCCGGAGCCACCTCCTCCTCCCGCTCCTCTCCTTTCGTCCTCCTCCTTTTTGTAGCCAATTAATTCGCACTGATAACACTTTTTATCGCCTCCCGCTCGACGCTCTATTGATTTTTATTAATTTTTTTTTTTTCTTTCCGGTGTTTTGTTCGGTTTTGTTTTTGCCTCTGCCTTTGAATTAATTAAAATTTATGACAATCAGAGCTTGCACATGTGTGAGTAGACGGTGTGCATGTGGGGGTCGGGGTTTCGGTTTTTTTTGGGGGGGGTGACGACTTCTAGGCCGCACGCATCGCGAGTCACTGCAAAAAGGGGTACAAAAATCGGGGTTTAAATAAATCAAACATTATCGATGGTTACACAAATTGCTCGAAAACAAATTCCGCTCTGCCACACTCTCCCTTTCTCTCTTTTGCCTTTCTTCTGTATCACAGCTGCGCGCTCTCTTCGCTTACAAAAAACCACAAACAAGAACAACAACAATGGGACTGCATGTGTATGTAATTATACAGTCGCGAAAATGAAACACACACTAGCACACTATGGCAATACTTGTTGTTGGTGGTACTGCCTGCTGGCCAAAGTTTTATTTTTGATAAAACCAAGAACGTAACGAAATCGAATAGCTTATGGTAAAGCCGTGTAGCGCCGTAGACCTTGAATTTTCTTGATTCTTATGACGTAATTACGCGGCCCCCGCGCCTACTCATTCCCTCTTTTATCAACACATCTCCATCTCTATCTCACTCTCTCTCACCCACACAAACGACCGACCGCCGACGACGTACTAATCGCTGCTTCTTCGTTTATTCATCGTATCGATATTTTCAGTGTTTCAGTGGCATTTATTTATGTGCATGTCGCGCGTTATTTTTGTATGGGCATAATGAGGATAAAAACTGATACACAACCTAGCGCAGCACCACATGTTTTTCAGTGGCCTTTCCCCCAGTGTCTTGTTTTGTTCTTCATTTTGCTTTTACAAACTTTGACTTTTTGTGGTAGGTTTTTGCTATTGTATTTTTTTTTTGCTTTCCAAAAACAAAATGGCGCGCAACAAATTTATGCGAGGGGCAAAACAACGCCGAAAAATAGACGCACTCGCTGAATTTTAATGTTTTTGCATGCCGGGATGTTAACGGAAACTTATTTACCACTTTTTACATTCTTTTTATGCAGATTTCCTGGCGAAAAAAGCCTTTGAAAATTCTTACGTTTTACTTCTTTATGCGAAAGATTTTTGTGACTATACGGCAACTCTGCATGAAACAAGTTGGCAGCTCCTTTGTTAGTGTTACCGCATATGACTAAAGACAAGTTACCAAAATACCATAAATGTTTGATCATTTGTGAAAATTTGCTGTGTTTATTAAGTTTTCAGTTAAATAGGTTTCTTTTTAAATTAAATGTGAAGGTTAACAAACTTTTCTACTCAGGAATAGAGTTGTCATACCTTCGCTACTACATACTTAATAAACTAGTTCAGTTCCATTGGTGACTCGCGAATTTGTTGTTGGTTTTGTTCAGATATGGCAATAGTGAACAAAGAAACGATAGTTTGCAGCGGCCAAGTTAAACAATTTATGCTTATTGGGCAGTGAACTGAAAGACATACCTCTAAATATTTTGTATTTATAAATTGATAAGAGGTAAGAACTGATTAAAGTGAATTAAACTAATTCGATTTGCGAAGAAATCGAAAATGAACTACCGAAACTCGCCATTTTCGTGCTCGCCGGTATCGTTGCATTCGCATTGTTCATCTCTAAGCAGCAGCTGCAAAAAGTCTCAAATATCAAATTAATTTCTCATTTGATTCGCCAAGTTTATGTGTAAGAGCTGTTCACTGAATTCCAGATTAGCGTCATGGAGGAACTACGAAAGCATTTGTCCAAGGTAAACGTGCCTTGCGGATCTGGAGCAGGCAGTTCCCCGATTTATAAGGACGAGTGCGTCTATTCCTACGATAATCCCGAGACTTCTACCGGGTTGTACGTGTGCCTGCACAGCTTTTTGGGCTTTGGAGAGGCGTATGTGCGTGAATATGCCGACAAGACTGGAAACCAGGTCTTCTTGCACATCCAAAGGGTGAAGATCCCCAAAGAAGGCGCCGATACGGAGGCAGAGTGCGATCCGGAGACGGAGGCTGGACCAGAACGAAAAATCACCCGCTTGGCCATCGGTGTGGAGGGTGGCTACAATGAATCGGACATGGCCAAGAAATTTGAGATCAAGGACACATACAGCATCGTCGTCGCTCCGCAGCTGGACAAAAAGCTTCCGTATCCCGATCCCGAGCTTCCAATGCGTGTCACACAGGCGGTGGAGGCGATCTTGGCCGCAGATTCCGCCATTGCCAAACTAGAGAAGGCCACTCTGATGGGTGAGTTGTGAGGATGAGTGCAAGCTGAAGAAATCATAACATTTTATACCCCCTTCCTGTCGCAGGTACTTGGGATGGAGAAGTGCGCCAGGCATCCAAATACGCGGAGAATCTGCAACAGCTAGACAATGGCAAGAAGATTCCACCAGCGGGTTGGCAATGCGAGAAGTGCGACCTGACCAACAACCTCTGGCTGAACTTGACCGATGGATCCATCATGTGCGGACGCAAATTCTTTGATGGAAGTGGTGGAAACGACCACGCTGTGGAACACTACCGTGTGACAGGCTACCCGCTGGCTGTAAAACTGGGTACCATCACCGCAGATGGCAAGTCGGATGTGTTCTCCTACCCGGAGGACGACATGGTACTCGATCCTTATTTGGAGCGTCATCTCTCCCACTTTGGCATTAACATGGCCGCTATGAAGAAGAGCGAGAAATCAATGGTGGAGCTGGAGTTGGATATTAATCAGCGCATTGGTGAATGGTCGGCGCTGACAGAGAGCGAGAGTGAGTTGACACCGCTCGCCGGCCCTGGGTACACTGGAATGCGAAACCTGGGCAACTCCTGTTACATCAACAGCGTGATGCAGGTACTCTTTGTCATCCCAGACTTCCAGCAGCGATACGTTGGCACCGGAGCCGAGCGCTATTTTAGAGAGTTCCCTAGTGACCCTGCCAACGACTTCGATATTCAAATGGCTAAACTGGGCAATGGTCTGCAGTCCGGCAAGTACAGCAGCATTGCAGAGAACACGCTTGACACTGATCACTCCACTGGAATCTCGCCAGCCATGTTCAAGAACATTGTGGGAAAGAATCACCCTGATTTCAGCACCAAACAACAGCAGGATGCCAACGATTTCTATCTGTATTTGCTTACCCTGCTGGACAGGAATTCGCGCAATCAAACCAATCCCGCAGATGCTTTAAAGTTTCTGCTAGAGGATCGAGTGGAGTGTCTTGCCAGCCGCAAGGTGAAATACAAGACACGCGAGGAATACAGCTTCCGGCTGCCTATTCCTCTGGATAAGGCGACCAATCTGGATGAAGTGCGAGAGTTCCAGGAACGGGAAAAAGCAGCCCGTGAGGCAGGACAACGGCTGGTAGACCGAGACATCGTCAGACACAAAGTTCCTTTGCAGGCCTGCCTAGAACGCTTCTTCGGCCCGGAGCTGATTGAGCAATTTTATTCCACTGCCATTGAGGGCAAGACGAATGCTAGAAAAGTCACTCGACTGGCTACCATGCCAGACTGTCTGATGATTCACCTGGGAAAGTTTACGCTGGGCGACGACTGGGTTCCCAAGAAGCTGGATGTATCCGTGGACATGCCGGATGAACTGGATTTGAGCACCTGGCGCTCGGCCGGTGGTTTGCAAGCTGGAGAGGAGGCTCTCCCCGAATCCGCAGCTGAACAAGTGACGTTCTCCTTTGACGAAGCGGTCATGTCTGAGCTTCTCACCATGGGATTCCCGCCCGAGGCCTGCAAGAGGGCCTGCTTCCACACGAAGAACAGTGGCCTAGAGGCAGCTTCCAACTGGCTAATGGAGCACATTGCTGACGAGGACATCTCAGAGCCATTTGTAGTACCAAACAATCGCATTGGAGATGGTGCGGCCAACCAGTTTGTGGCCAATCCTGAAAGCTTGGCCATGCTGATGAGCATGGGCTTCGATGAGCGCCAGGCGGTGGCCGCTTTGAAGGCTACCGATGGCAACGTGGAGCGAGCCACCGATTGGATTTTCTCACACGCTGACTCCATAGGCATTGACGAAGTTCCTCCTGTCTCGGATTCAGCAGCTTCTTCGGAACCCAATAAGAACAACTATCGCGATGGTGGCGGAAAATACAAGCTTGTGGCATTTATCTCGCACATGGGCACCTCCGCCCAGGTGGGACACTACGTCTGCCACATCCGCAAGAAGGGCGAGTGGGTAATCTACAACGACAGTAAGGTGGCCAAGTCGCAGAACCCGCCCAAGGACCTTGGGTACCTTTATCTTTACATGCGCGACCAGTAGCTAGCCCGATCTCAGTCCGATTCCAAACCGACCCGAAACCTAATATTAACCTCCCAGAAGAATGGAATTTAAAAATAAAATACATATGTATACATACAAAGAATTAATAAATTTCGTGGACTTAAAAGGGATAATACCGAAGATAACACGGCACAAAAATTAACTATAGTTATCGGCTCAATCCATGTCAAGAAAACTACTTCGTAATGCGATGAGATTCGAGAGAAATTCTGACGTGGCATTAAAATCATATATCCGTATCTTGTTAATGGGAATTAATAAATTGTAAATAATTTATAGAAATTACATTTAAAAAAGCTCTGAATATAATTCCAATGGTTGATTCATTTTATGTACATATGTATAAACATATGTAGAAACAATTGACCCTGATGACTAATTTTTGGAAGAAGCTAAAAATAATTGTTTAGAAGAATTCAAGATACATACATATGTACATGCAGTTAAACTGGAAATTTATTCAGTTTTCTTAGTAGTCGAAAATTTTGGTATTGAAACAAGCTCCTGCACAATGCCGTTTAAACGGTCTGCAAAGGCATGGAAGGAGAACTTCTGCTGCACTCGCTTGTGACCTTGGTCGCCCATCTTCAGCCGCAGCGGTTCTTCCCGGAAAAGCTGGTACATTGCTCCGCCGAAGCTCTTCTCTTGATTCTCGCACAGGAAGCCCGTTGATGTATTAACCACAGTTTCAGTGGGTCCACCGCTGTTTAATGCCACCACTGGCTTGGAGCAGTACATGCCCTCCAGCGGCACAATGCCAAAGTGCTCGTTTTCGGGGGTGTACAGCAGACAGTGAGCGGCGAAGAGCAGACGGCACTTCTCCTCGTCAGTGGGTGAACGTAGCAGGACGACATGATCCTGAAGCTTCAGTTTCTCCGTAAGCTGCTCCAGCTCGGCAAAGTGTTCGACGTTCTCCATGCAGCGGGTGTCGTAACCTCCGGCGATGATCAACCGACAGCGTTTGAAGTCCATTGTGGGAAGCATGTCGCCCAGGAGGCGCAAGGAATGTAAAGCCAAGGCGTGATTCTTCTTTCGCTCATAACGATTGATGTCCAGATAGATGAAGGCATTGCGTGGAACGCGCGGGTGAATAGGTTCATCTATTACAGCAGAACGCTGTTCAAGCTTTTTCTGCATCTGATCAAAGTACTGGGTGTGCAGAGAAGGATACAGCACATCCGGTACCGTGCTCAGTCGGCGGAAAGTGTCCTGAAAGACTCGAAGCGTGAACTTGGAGTTGACCAATACCTTATCCGCCAGTCCGATGGTGTGCTCCTCCAGCCAGTTAATGGGTAGGCGATAGAACCGCTTTAGCAGGCCCTCGCGGGCGCTGAGGAGCTGATCCGGAAAGTGACAGTAAAAGAGTACTCTTGGACGATGGCGGGCTAGTCGGAGAACCGGAATGCACACGGAGATCAGGTCACAAACAATCACATCTACCTTCTCCCGCTGGGGCATGAAGAAGCTGGCATAGATGGCAGCATAGAGCATGCGCAGATAAGCACAAATGGCATAGAATCTTCCGAAGAGTCTGCGTGGCAACCAGTCGCCCACAACCTGCACCGGAAAACTTCCGTCCGCCGTCTCCTTGAAGCAGTGCGTGCTGTCATGATGATTGGTGAGGAAGCTAACCTGGTGGCCCTGCTCCTTGAGAGCCAGTGCGGCATCTACCACCAGTCGCTCAGCACCTCCGATTCCCAAATCTGGGTGAAGGAATAGGACGCGAACCATGACTTAACTACTAATATTTAGTACAGGAATTTGGTAACTAAAAATATAAACTAGGATTATATCCTTTTGCTGACACTAGGGTCAAATTATTTGCATTCTCTCAAAGCCTTTGTTTTTATAAACTTTAAAATTGTTTTATTCTTCAGCTGACTTAGTAAAGTGTGACCGTGTCGTCATAGATGTTCTAAAAGGTTTCCAAAAGTATACCAAACCCCAACATTTTAATGTAAGCTATTTTTTAATCTAAAAAATAATGTTTATATATTTTTACAAATTGTTGTACTATTACTCACAAGAACAAGAATATTGTTCGAAATTATATGGTTATTTGTTTGTTCATTTCGTAAAAATTTAGTTGTTGGTACAACACAGTCATTTGTAAATTTGAATGTTATTGAAGGTTATAGGGCCTTAAGACCATTTGATAATCTTACATTTAAACATTACTTTTATAAATTGGATATCGTATTTTAAAGACACTACTTTTTAGAACAGAAAACCGCGGGCAGCGGCAACCCTAGAACACATGTTGACAGCGTTTCTTGGTGTTTTTTAGCCCCAAATCAACCTCGTTCTCGGCCCGTGTTTGCAACGAACGCATTAAATTTTCGTGGAACCACCGCATCCGGATCCTAGCCAGAATTTGTGCAGAGTGCAGCGCAGACCCAAGTGATCCCAGCCACATGAGGTCGTCGATGGCAATTAACCCATAGGCATGCGAGCCGCCTAAAACGCCGCCTCCTCCGCCGCCGTCATTGTTGATGTTCTTGTCGTCCAGGCGTCTCTTTACCACCAAATAGTAGTAAACTAATAATAATCGTGATTAAAGCGCTTTTAAACGAGTAAATCGGGTGTCCGCCGTGTTTGTGTGCCTCAATTAAGTGCCGTGTAGCGACTAAAAAACATCAAACACGCAGGCAAATTGATAGAAACAAATAATACAAGAAAAAAAAAAACACTAAAAGAAAAGCGTCCGGTGTTTCCATTACCATTCCCAAAGTCAACAAACGTACTGCGTCCTATATTCTATAGGTAACGGTAAAACTAAAGCCACGTAGCCGTAAAGTTGCCAGCGCCGCCGCCAAGATGCCTAAAATCCATGTGAAGAAGCCCCTGGCGGGATTGGTAATACGGAATCGAGCCCACAAGAGCAAGAGTGTCTTTACGGTGAGTATATTCACGGATTTTCGGACTCGCACTTTGGCGATATCTAACATTAAAGTGGTGGCCTTATCTCTAGAACGGAGTGAATCAGCAAACGGCGTGTGCTCGACACTCCAGCCGCGATTTGGGCATTAGTTTCAGACGTAATCGAGGTCTATCAAGCGATTCGGGTAATGGCAACGCCAGCACTGAAATGTTTACTCAGTTGGGACGGGGGTTTTCTCAGGGTATTATAGTATTTCGAAGTAGTCTTGAACTATAGTTATGCTTATAAAAAACGATGTTATACTGGAAATGCAATCGGTTAGGTGTTCCCTATGAACAGGGCTTGAACGTATCCATATGAAATAGGTTTGGAAGAAATGTAGTATTTCTTATCATCTTTCGCTCTATTTATGTATGCTTATAAGTAAGTGCCACTCGTATAAGCAGGGGTAGATTAAGTACCAGTATTAGAAATATGTGAATGCCTTTTCTTTAGGTTATATTTATGCTAATTGCACTTTAATTTGTTAAATATAATTAGATAGAATTTCTCATTTGGGAATAAACTTCACCCGGTTGTTACTCCTTTTTAAGTACCTATTCTTTAGCTACTTTCTCTTATCTACAAAGAACAAATTGGAGTCTATTCCATTTACTTCGTGTATAATACTTAATATTTTGAAATAGTTTTAAGCTCATTGTATTGATAAGAGAATCCATTCAGTCACGTAGTCTAGAATCCCATTGAATAACTCTATTTAATAATTTTCTTGAGCTCGTATATGCCTTAAATTATTTAAAGTTAATTTATATATGCATATTTAATTTGCCGACTCATCTTAATATAATTAAGTATTGTTGTATTTTGGTTTGAAATATTTTAAAATTCGTAATATTATGTATAAGCATTATTATTTTTGCCCGTGTATGTGTGAATAATGTACCCCACTGCTTTCAAATGTGGGACTTTACCATCACTAATGACTAAGCGTGCACGTAAAGCTGATATCCACTGTAGGGGGTGGTACATGAGGCAGACATCAGGCGATTTCCTCCGAGTAGCGATAATAGCGATAATATCACAAGGTTTTCCCCAAATCGGCATATTGCTTTAAAGCTCTGCACCGAAATCAAAGTGCAGTAAAGGCATAAAAATGTGATTGATAAGTGGGTACGTTCTCATGGTGACTCCACCTCATAAGCCCATATTGCTCCACTCCTCTCCAGCTCCAGTTTCATTTCCACTTTCATTTAAGTGTGTCACTGGCGATGGCGTAATCAATTCAACATCGGTGACCTCTCTCCACACACTGCCAGATGAACCACTTGTGGTTGACTTTCCATTTCGTAGAGAAGCTGTTCCGTGGGTTCTGGCCTTTCGCTTTCTGTTCTTCAAGTGCTTTTCGGGTTTCTGGTTTTATTTTTAGGGGGGCATTGAACTGCCTTTTGTTTACCAATCGTAGTTCTTACCTTTACCGCACTAATGATCGACCAAATCAGTGCGCGCGTGTAAATATTACATTAGTCACCTTTGCTTTCCACCCCCAAAATCTCCCTTTTGTAATGTCAGTAATTTCTGCTGTGAATTTAGTAGCAGCACAAGTGAGTGGATGTCTGAACTCCATATGACCCCATCCCATGTCCAACCCATTGCGAGTTGGTTATACTTAGTTTATTCCCGGCTAAAAGTTAATTAGCCGCTTATGGAAATGCTAAGTTGGTAGCCAGCATGCCGCCAAGCTCCCATTTCTATGCAACAGTTTTCGATTGGTTGGAAAGCCTACCACGCCTGCGCCGTGCTCTAATTTTCTTTCTCATTTCCTCCATTTGATTTCTTCATATTTTCACTGCGGTCTATTGGCTGGGGAATATAATTAAGGGTTGTGCCACGTGAATTTAATTTTTGGAGTTGTGTTATGACCTTGGCTAGCCACTAATTATACTGCACACGGCAGCCATTAGACCATATGCCTCCCATGAGATTTCATGCGAAAAAAAGTTTTTACATTTTCCTATGCTTTCTGGGAAATTGTATTTTAACTGTTAAGACAGGAATCTAATCTAAATCTATCAAAATAAAGTTACAAGTAGAATTGGGTATTTAGTTTAATTTTCTGAAATCTTTTATTAACATAAAATTGGTAACCTTTTTCATAAAGTAAAGTAACTAAAATGGTTCTCAGTGCACTAATTACCATTGCCAGGCAATTAAAAAATTTCCCTTCGACAAAGCATACTTTTACGTTTTTCTTTAAACTTTTTTTTGCGAATTTCCCTTGTAAAAATATTCCCCGAACAGAGCTTTTCGATGAGAGTCTGATAGAAAAGCTCCTTCATTCATAAAACACTGTGATAAGGCGCAGAAGCGAACAGGTGCCAATGACAAAAGTAAAACCACAGAATGAATTGCGAGGAGAGCATGGAAAATCCCTGTGAGCGAAAGCTTTTCTTCGGCGCACTCTCTCGGAAAATGCGAAGCCGGGAAAATGTGACATGCAACAACAGCAACAAGGCGAACCAACAACAAACAAACAAACAATGGCGAAAAGTCCAATGGTAATTGTTATGGGAAATTTTAAGCACGCGAGAAAGCAGGTTTATGGAGCAAATCTGCGACGAAAGTGAAAGAATCGAAAGTTATTAGGGGTTAGGGAAATTCATTCCTCTTAAAGTGGGTAACATTTTCTGCTCTCGTATGTATTTTATTATTTTATTTAATTAAGTTAAAATAAAAAGAAATCATTGGGATATATAATTTAAATAATTCATTCAAGTCTGTAAGCCTGTGTACATTCCTTAGAATAAATCATGAGTCCGCAGAGAGAGGCACTATCTGAAAATACCAAAAAGCTTTTCCACTTGCAAAGCTCGGGGGTCGCGTGTTTTTGTGAAAAACGCGAGGAAAAGTGCAAGCAAAAGAAAATGCCCAAGCAGACGCTTTTCCAGCTGAGTACGGCGCAGCGTGTGGAAAAGCGCACATCGAAGCGCACATTTTGTCGCGCTGTGTAGCAAACTATAAATTCACTAAACAATTTCCACGCGTTTTCTTTTCGTGTCGACTTTTGTTGTTAATTATATCCGAACGGTACCATGTGCAATTAAATCAAGCCTTGTATAAACAGCATAGAGAGAAAAACAGCCCAGGAAAATTCCGTGAAAAGTGTGTTTTTGTGCAAATTTAATGATTTAATGATTCAAAAGTGGAAAATTGAGAGAGACTGAACTTGAAATGCTTCCCAATTTGCTGACCCACTCAATTTGCTTTGCCACTCAGCTTTCCACCCACGGAAAACTCGGAAAACGTCCCGTTACGCAAAACTGTTACTTTCCCCCCCCTACCCAACACTCTTGTTGTTATTCTTGGTTCAATTATGCTTTTGTTCATGAGATCAGACTATAATATGTATCTCTAGTTTTTCTTCATGTTTTCTTTTTTGGCGCAGGAAAAACCAAATGTGTCGGAGAATTTTCCCCTTGGAAACTGAATTTCCTTCAGCCTCTCGTGTTACTGATTTCCTTTGTTCGTTGGCCGCCTGACGCACACAAAAACAAAAATGGAAACGAAAATGAAAATGAAAAGAGAAGAAAAGGAAAAGCCTCGGCTTTCCTTGAAGAAGGTCACTCGAACTAGGCGTCCTTACTCGCCCACTTTTCCGATCCTTTTAATTTCTTTTCCTTGACCAGTATGCTCCTGTTTAATGTTCTGAGAATTTCGCATAATTTCGTACGTATTTAGCGCTCGTAAAATGACTTTTTATGGCTGATGGTCTTCTGGTTCTAGGAGTTCTAGAGGTTCTCGTTTAATGTGTGCCCCATCAAATCCAAGATAATGCTCCCCGTAGTGCAACCAGCAATCAGATTTGCATTCTCTGTGGGTATAAGTATATTATATGGAATATATCTTGCTTAATATGCAATCATCCTCCACAGAAATCATCTCTTTGAATCACATAACCCACGTTTATTTGTCTAACCAAATTTGCTCGACAAACGAACAGAGTTCAATAAACCCTCGCCGCAAAATTTCCACCACACTTTTTATGTA